GGCAAGGAGAGTCGGTTAGTTGTGAACCGAGCAGGATTTAGAGGCTTCGGTACGGGTGATCAGGCCGTTGAAGCGCTCTGTTAGGTTCCTGTTAACCTAAGATTGGAGTTGAGAAGCGAGTTATGGGGATTTTGTGTCACTACGGCTTCTGCCCCCGACTTATTTTATTGAATACATCCTTTTTATACAAGATTCTTGGATAAACTGTTAAACTAAACTAAACTAATGGGTGTCGCTGCACCGCAACTGATTTATTGGTGGCGGTACCGATCTCTTCCTTTTCCACACTGGCTCGGGCCTCCACAGGTTGTACGAGGCACGCTGAAATCTAATGCACCAATTGCCATTCTCTGAACTGGTTTTTTCGGTCGCGGTAACTCAATCGGTGGAGTTGGTCACGCGATTCGTGCTTCCCGCGTCCGATTTGGGCTTACTCGTGATCTCTCGAAGACGTCCTCATCGTTACATCCCCCCTTTGAAGAGCCAATGCACCGGCGCTCCGAGCGGGGGTGTTGGGACGTCAATTACCAGGTTGGTACCGGATCTGTGGGGTCCGCTTCATCTGCATCTTGGTTCACGACCCAGATGATACTGGCACGGCCACCGACGTTGCAACAAAACCAGATTTGATCTGTTGCGGTACAAACGATGGTACCCGGGGTCACGTCGGGGCCAGTTCTGGTTACGTAGAGGGCCGTAAAGGTCTCCGCGGCCCTTTTCAGGTTTGTCGCGCGGAAATGGTACTCCGCGTGCTCGTGATGTCGGGGTCTGGTGAGCCTTGCAGAGGCTTCCGCTGCATTCGCCGTCCTTAGGAGCACCGTCCTAGCTGCTTCAATGATGGCAGACGCAAACTCGTGGGCATCATCGTTCGGCCAATCGGTGAACGGAGCCATTTTTCGGCTTCCCGCCTCGTGTTGGGGAACCCCGCAGTCGAGCCAAGCGGCGCACGGAGCTGGGCGCCCTCTTTTTCCGGGTTTTTTCGTGTCGGCAACTATTCCGACTGCTGCTTCACCACCATCGGTGGCCTTGCTGTAGGGGTCCGCGATGTGGTTTGTGAGGGGCTGGCCCACCGCGTAAGGTTTCGGAGCGTCGACTCCCAGCCAAAACTCATGCCCTGGAGTCTGCAGCGGCGCGTTGGGGTTGGTCCGAAGCTGATGAACCCAGGAGTGAACCCAGGTAGCGATCGCAACCCCAAGGTGATCCAGCACGCCCTCGGCCTCGAAGTTGCCCGAGTCTTCCTCCCAAGGGTAGCCGGACATGTACGTGGAGGGTATGCTCACTCCTGCTTGTCCTCTGAGATCGGTGTTCATTGTGTTAGAAATGGAAGTTTTAGTTTCGGTGTCGATAGAAGGGGTTTGCGAAGCAGAGTGAGTGTGTAAGGGAAGTAGGTCATGGGCGGTTGAAGAAGAAAAAAGAGGGGGAGCGTGCAGGGGCGTCCTTTTAAGGTCGTCGCCGGCTGATTTTGACAGCTCGGACGTGCGTAAGCGTGATCGGGAGGCTTGGTGTGGCGTTCTCGACTGGTGAGGTAAGCCACGCGAAACTGGTTTTCTTTCTGGTGAGAGGGCGTGATTATCACGTGAGCTATCATCCGGATAAACTGCGAAGCATTGGTGGTCAGAAGCATAAGCCGTATCTTCCGGGGCGTCGCCTGCAAGGCTGACTACCAAAGAGTCCTCTACTAGCGCGCTAGTGGGAGCTCTGGATCTCCAGTACTCTTCTAAGGCTTCGGAAGCCTCTGTTAGGGCTTCCTCTGGTTCCCAGGTATCCTCATGGGGTGGGTATCCGGACCAACGTATTTGAAATTGACGTTTTCTGTGCCTGGTTCGATGGTCTACTATCGCTTCCACTTCAAACTCGCCATCTGAAGCGTTGGAATCCTCCGCTTGTGCTTCCGCGACCTTTTCCTCAGTTTCGGCGTCGACAGGCTTCTGGTATGGATGTAATTTCGATATGTGAAACCATGGATGAAGTCGTCTCATCTTGTCTGGCAGTTTTAACTTGTAGTTGTCACGGAGAGGGTTACAGTCGGTCACCGTGACTGGTCCCAGCCATTTCGGAGCGATCTTGGACTCATACCCTGCTAGGTTTTTCGTACTCAGAAGCACCTTATCTCCTCTCCGGAACTCCAAATGTCGTCGCGATAAATCGTAATATCTTTTCTGCAAATCCTGGGCTTTGATCATCAGATCTCGGATAAGGATGTTTAGGTCGCCGAGGTGTTTACAGAGCTCTTCCGCATCTGCATTTCTGGTTTCTGACGGCCTTTCGACGATGTCCGCCAGTGGATTGTGGGGCTCATAGCCTAGGTCCATTCTGAATCGTGTCATTTTTGTCGCCTCGTGTACCGTATCGTTGATAATGAATTCCGCAACCGGAAGAAAGGTGTCCCAGTCGTCTAATCGGGTGTTGACCATTGTGGTAAGGACCTGCAAGACCGTTGCGTTGTCTCTTTCTGATTGTCCATCACCTTGAGGGTGGTAGGCTGTGGTGAGCTCTTGATTAATCTTTAGGTTTTTGCAGACCTCCTGCCAAAATCGACTCGTAAATTTGGAGTCGCGGTCCAAGATAATGGTCTCCGGGATGCCGTGCAATGGGACGTAGTGCTCTATAAAGAGTTCTGCGACCTGAATAGCTGTCACAGTGCTCTTGAGGGGCCATACGTGGATCCTCTTTGAGCATTTACATGCTATTAACCAAAAGGCGTCGTACCCTCTGGAAGTAAGTGGGAGCTTGGTTACGAAGTCAGTTGTGATGACTGTCCAGCGTCCCGGAGCTGGTGGTATGGGTTTCAGCAACCCCGGAATCAGTTGCGGTACCCTTTTTGAGCGTTGACAGGTTTCACATCCTGCGCAGTGTTTTCTGAAATCTTGTGCCATTTTCGGCCACCAGACTTGCGCTGCAGCTCTAGCGTAGGTTCTTTTGAATCGGAAGTGTCCTCCCCCCTCGTGAAAAAGCTTGCGCACCTCAGGGGTGCAAGCAGGGGGCACGTAAAGGCGCCAAAGGTCTTCGGAGACTGAAAAACGGTGCCACAGCAGGTTATCTGCACGTTGCCAGTCCTGAAGAAAGCGTGTGTCGGCGGTAGTGTACGTGTTGGGGCTGGTCTCCTATAGAAGGGTGCGGGCCTGTTGGGTGATGGGGTGGAGCGGGCCGGTGAGGCCAGCGCGGATGGCGGTGATGAGTGCGGGCTGTAAGGCCAAACAAAAGATGGCATCTGCCAGTGTTGAGGAGGGTGCGGGACCGGCTGGCGGGGTGCGCGGCCGTCATCCTTTGTGTTCCGACACCCATATTTCGGTCGCGGTAGAGCAAAGAAGAGTTTCCGCGCCAAGTAGCCGCGAAAGTGTATCAGCGACTATGTGGAAGCGTCCTGGTTTGTGTACAATTGTCATCCATTCGGACCAGTAACTAAGATCGAGGGCCCAGCAGAGGAGCTTTCGGTTCTCACCTTTGTATTTGGCGAGCCACAAAAGAGCTCGGTGATCGGTAATGACCGTGAAAGGCAGGCCTTCGAGGTATGGGCGGAGTTTTCCGAGGCCCCAAATGAGGCATCCGGCCTTGAGTTCGACAGGTGGGGCCTTCTTTTCCGAGGTGGTGGTGCCTCGGGAATGGTAGCACAGCGGGTGTTTAGAAGCATCCGGCTGTAACTGTTCGAGCATGACATTAAACGCTGTGTAGGAAGCGTCACTGTGAAGGGTGTAGGGGAACCCTTTTCTGGGTGCCGCAAGCACTGGAGCTGTTGTCAGAGCCTGCTTGGCGGCTGCGAAGGCAGAGTTTCGGGAGTCGGTCCATGAAACTTCACGCTTCGCGACGAATCTGCGCAGACCTTGGTCGGGGCGCTTGCGAGCAAGGCGTCCGACACAAAAGGGGTCAATGGGCAAGTCGGCCAGCGATGATTGGCATAGATTGACCGCCAGTAGGTCTGAGGAGCTAGATTTAAGATGTTGCGAAACCTCAAATCGGGCTCCGGTTGCTGTGATTGTTGGGGCCACTGCCGTGTCAAGCATGGACGGTGAATTGAGCTTTTCAGCTCCTTTCCTTGGGTCAGCGCGACCCTTTTTAAGGTCTCGGTATTCACGAACGCCCTCTTGGATAGCGTCTTGCAGGGGTCGGACGAGTTCCGCGTAGCGAGGGATGAATTGGGCATAGAACCCAAGGAGACCCATGAAGGACCATAGGTCACCAATAAATTTAGGTCGTGGCCAATCGACTATGGTTGCGACCTTGTCTGGATCGGTAGCGAGGCCCTGGGAAGAGGCAACGAAACCGAGGGCCGTGAGCTGGTGAAAGAGCCATTGACACTTGTCGAGTCTTAGGGTGAGTTTGGCCCTGGAAAAGTGGTCGAGCCAGTCCGCGATGGCATCTAGGGCTTCCGCAGCTGTCTCCGCTCGTGTATGGATATCGTCGATGAAGTTGTTGATATTTCGCCATTTGGAGGGACCCAAGGTGTCGTCCATCACCCGACAGAAGTGCGAGGGGGCAGTCTTGGGTCCGAAGGGCATGAAAAGTGGTTCGTAGATGCCATCGTGGAGTCTGATCGCGAGCCATTTGCGTACCGACGTATCAGTGATGGCAATTTGGTAAAATCCTTTGTTTGCGTCACCTCCTGATATGTATCGGAATGGGACTGCGACGATCCAGTTCAGGATGTCGAGCATGATGGGAAAGGGATATGGATCCCAGGCCATGCAGTCATTGGCTCGGCGATAGTCGAAGGCTACCCGCGGGGGTTTGTCTGCGTAGCGAATAATAACAGGATCGCTGGCGAAGGTTACTTCGGTGGTTTGTTTCCACCTCTGAAGCCCCATCATGGTGTCTCGCTCCGTCTCGAGGGCTGTCCGCTCCAACGGAGAGTACGACCGTGGCCTCGAAAGGGGTGGTGGAGCTGAGATAAATTGAGGTGCATAAGGAATCTTGGTGTAGTTCCCTATGAGATGACCCTCATAGCTGAAGGCTTGATGGAAGTGTCATAGAATGTTGATTAGGGCCCAGACCATGGGTTTGGGTCATTTGAGATCGACGTGGAAATGTTCCGCGTCTTTTAATTGGGCTTCAAAGGCCCCTGGAGCCTTCTCTGTAGAGTTGAGGTTCCATTTGTTCCGAAGTGTCTGCCATTCTTCTTCGGAAATGTTCTCTTCGGGGTCCGCGACCGAATTATGGGTCGCGGTGGACAGTTTGAGGCCTAACGGGGCCGTTGTGCTAGCAGCAGTGGCCTCAAGAGGGTTTTTGATGAGAAAAGTTTGGGCTGCCATGCGCATCTGTCCTGTGATTAACATGGTTAATCTAGACTTCTGAGCTTTGGCTTTGGTCAGCCATGGCATTGACACATCCTTCATGAATTCACCCTGCTTGGTCTTGTATGGTGTGCTGTGCATGTGATCAGTGTCCAGCTCATCTGTTATGAAGCAAGGGATAAGGATGTCCAGATTCTTGAGTGTCACTGCGAAACTGGGTAACAGGGGTTCCTGAACCAAGATTTGGAGTTTCAAATGTCCCAGAACATTGTTGGCTAGGATGATGAGAGGTTTCCCATATGCAATGACTCAGAAATAGGTGCGGAAAGTCAGGTATTCTCCTCTGCAGCCTCTGAGGGAAGTTTCGAGGTATACTGTCTTGGTAGATGAGATACATCCACCAATGCCGTTGAAAGCCATCATTTCCACATCCTGCAAATCGGTTTCGGAGAACAGAAGGCCCTGGTATGTGTCAGAAATCAGAGACTCGCAGGCTCCTGTGTCTAGTACCACAGGTGCCCAGAGCTGAGCAATGATGGCTAGTGTCCAGCAAGGCTGCGTTTGGGTCTTGGTCTGGCTTTTGAGTACATCGCCTAAATCTACCATGTAGAAGGCATTGATAGAAGGCACCGCGACCTCGAAATGGGGCGCGATGTCGTTAATTGTTGCTTCCATAGCCTTGATCAAACTCTCAAAGTGTTCTCTAGGTTTGTCATTTTGTGGTTTTGTTGGTTTATTCTGGCAAGCAACTTGTTCAATAGCCAGCATGACTATATGCATCCATTCACTCTCTTCGTGTCTTTGGAGACATGGATGGTCTTTAATGTGCAGGAATTTGGGGTTTCCACAACGATAATAATAGTCTGAGTGAATGATATTGCCTGTCAGGAGAAATGCCACCAGTTGCAGGTTGGCATAAGAATCAAAGATAACAGGATCTTCAGAGCTCCACATCAAGAATTTCTCGTGCTCATCGAGCCTTATCCAGGCAAGGAGGATCAAACGAGGGGTACCATCTTCTCAGACCTTTCGCAGGATTCGATCCTTGTTAGCTTCAGCTGTGGCAGTGATGTAGAGGTGGTGGGAACTCCATGCGACTGCATAGGGGTTGTTCCCGAGGTGCCTGGTGCCTCGCTTCGGTTCTTTGGCAAAGAAGCTGAGCACACGGGGGTTGTTGCCCATCATCAGAGCCACTTGCAGGGTGCCCCAGATGATGGCTATTTTGTCCCAGACTCGGTCCCAGCCCTGTGTGGGCATGCAGGGGTCCTCTTCCTTAGTCTCTGTGACCTCGGAAAGAGGTGCGGTCATCAAAATTGTTGATTCCAAGTGCTTGGGTGAATGAAAGAATCCAATGGTGTGGAATCCTTGATTAGCGGCGGCTGTCCTTTCCAGTTCCAAAGCCAAAAAAAGAGTCTCAGTGGTAGCGGACGTCAAGTCCAGCTCCACTATGTAAGACTTCTTGGACTCCTGTTTGGGTTTCCAACCTGCGGGCATGGGTTCTCCATATGGTCCCTTCTTTCCATCTTCAGGATCTTTTCGGTTCGGGTTCTGCCAGCAGAAAACATTCCAATGCTTTTTCTGACAGAATTTGCAGGGTGCCAGTGGTTCCTTGTTGGGGTCCAGAACCATCTTCTGAAGACCATTGTGACCCTTTTCGGGGTTTCTGGTTTTATGTTGAGCCATCTGCTTAGGGCCTTTGTTGGTTCTGGTCTTTTGTGACTTCTTCTGAGCTTCTGTGGCACCGCTGTAGCAAGGGTCTCATTTTCTGGTGTCATCAGAGCTGAAATAAAGGCACAGGAAGTCTTTTAATTTGGTCAGGTTCATGATGTTACAGGATTTGACCATGATTTGGATGTCGCTGGGCAATTGTTCGACTATTAGGTCGAAATGCTGGTCAGCGGGACATTCTATGTTTGCCCAGTCACCATATGTGAGGTGCCGGAGATGAGTTTTGTGGTCAATGAATGCAAGAAAGCTGCGAAATTCTTTGGGGTTCACATGGCAGTGCACATATTCAGTTTTGCACTTGGACTCAGTTAGGGGGTCTCGGAACTCTCGAAGCAGTTCTTCCTTCCACCTTTTCCAGGTCCATGAGCGAGTTTCCTGGGCTTCCAGAGTGTAAAACCAAGCGTCAGCAGGGGTTTTCTCGGCTATCATGGCTGGTAGGAGCTGTACCATCCTGGCATCCGACGTTGCGCTAACGTTTTGAAGAAGTTGGACTTTGTTAAGCCATTCTTCAACGTCTTGGTTTCTTCTGCCCATAAACTCGGGTACGTCCTTTGCTTTCAAGGAATCGACCTTGGTGTCGCTGGCCCACGGGGCCGCTGGCACTTGGATTGGAGGCACCGCACCTGAAAAACTTGGTTCGGTATGCTCCCTTGGTGTGTCCGCCGTTTCCCACGGGGTTGCGGACCGTTCTCTTGTAGCTCGTGCTATGGGAGGTTGTTCAGGCAGCGGGCAATGCGCTAGGGCTTCTAAGGCTCGTGCGAGGCGCTCATCCGCCGCTGTCTGACGTTCGGAAAGCCTATGAAGCTGTTCCGTAAGGTTTTGAGTTGCCAACTGCGTTGCAGCAGTCGAGCGGGCAATGTCTTCTTTTAACGCTGCCACTTCAGAGGCCATCGTGGCCAAGTTAGGGGCTTCCGGTTCGACGGAAGTGGTCCCTGAACGCCTTGGGCGTGTTGCGGGAGGGACTTTGACGTCCTCCGCAGGACCCTGACTACGAGTCTGGATCACAGGTGAGCGGCCTCGCATTGGTGAGCGTTCGACCGGCATCATTCTCGGTTTCGTGAAGTTCTGTCTCCGAAACGAGAGAAAAGGTTTCTGAGTAGCTACCTGAGCGGATCTCGGTTTGCGCAAGAGTTTCGGTATGACCGAATAAGGTTTTCAGCTGAATTTGAGAGGGGAAGGCGGTTCGTCGCGCTTCTCCACCATGTAGCGGATTTTTTGTTGGTAGACTACGGTAAAGATGACTTGGGTCTCCTAGCAGGTTATGGGGGTGGCCGTACTAGGAATCATAGTCTCCGAATCCTTTCTTTGGGCGTCGGTAGCAACTTGGGGGTGAGAGGCAAGGAGAGTCGGTTAGTTGTGAACCGAGCAGGATTTAGAGGCTTTGGTACGGGTGATCAGGCCGTTGAAGCGCTCTGTTAGGTTCCTGTTAACCTAAGATTGGAGTTGAGAAGCGAGTTATGGGGATTTTGTGTTGCTACGGCTTCTGCCCCCGACTTATTTTATTGAATACATCCTTTTTATACAAGATTCTTGGATAAACTGTTAAACTAAACTAAACTAATGGGTGTCGCTGCACCGCAACTGATTTATTGGTGGCGGTACCGATCTCTTCCTTTTCCGCACTGGCTCGGGCCTCCACAGGTTGTATGAGGCATGCTGAAATCTAATGCGCCAATTGCCATTCTCCGAACCGGTTTTTTCGGTCGCGGTAACTCAATCGGTGGAGTTGGTCACGCGATTCGTGCTTCCCGCGTCCGATTTGGGCTTACTCGCGATCTCTCGAAGACATCCTCGTCATTACATTATCCTACAACTAGACTGGGTGCACCTGAGAGGTGGATAGCTGTGTTAGAAGCTGTGCCATCACTAGAGAATGTCTCTGGGGGCTTTGTGTCAAAAGAGCAGTGAAATAGTTGTATTACAGAAAGAAAAATGGGGGTCCTAAATACAGTACAGATCACATGATGACAACCTGACTTCAACCTCTAATTTTGGGATAAAGCAACTAACTAAGAAAGTGTTTTGCCAAGCCTGTAGCACAGATTCAGGGCTTTCTAAAACCATCTTGGTCTTGTCAATAAGTTAATAACTCACTAAGTTATTCAAGTTACCATCCCATGGCAACTTTGATGAAATCAATCAATTAATTCCAACACATGACAGTCCAGTAGCCACTATCTTCTTAATATATAATTTATATATATTTATAAAAATTATAAGAATAGGGTGAAAGATCCTTTTCAAGAACCTCACAGTATACCTGACCAGTTAATCTGTTAGCAATCACAGGTAGCAGACCTCTAAGCCACTTAACCGCTATGCCATGTGGGTGCATCTTCACTGCACCACACGCGTCACTAGATTTCTTTTGCATTGCTAGCTAGTACATTCATTAGTGACTTCTTAACATACAATAGACTTACATCTATACAAGAGTAGAGTTCACTCTGTTCCTACTCTCTATCACTAATGCATTCCTTATAGGAATATACCCTCACTAGCTAACATAATCCTCCATCTAAAGTAACTAAAGGGTCAGTTCCACTTCCACACTGCCCAATTACACCCCAAACTATTATATATATACACATACCCCTCATCCCAATGCTGCACTTGGGGAATACAGTTTTCTCACAAATATCTGTTATATTCACCAGGCTCATACCCAACTCATATTCTTTAAAGATAGTAAATAATCTATTACTAAAATAAGGATTTTTCCATTGTTGTACTATCCAGTTACATTTTTCCATGCACCAAGCCCTCCTTTTATCTGCAAAGGCCAAGCTTGTATACAGTAAATAGCAGAGTGTTGTAATGGAGCATAACTTGAAAATTTAACTCAAGCTCATATTGGAGTTGTTACAGGGCTATTTACTATTTTTAACAACTGATTTAACTGTATCCAACTGCTCAGGTGTACACTTGCTCAGAGGACCAGGTTGTTTTTGGGGTATTGTGCAACCAGTAGATTTCCACCTCAAAATTGTGTCAATAACCATAGGTTGAGGAATATCCAGGGTTCTGGCAATATGTCTGTTGCTACATTTGGATCGGTGAGCTCCAATAATTTGCCATCTGATTTCGTTCGATAGTTCTGATGTTTTGTGGTTTGGCATCGTGTGCGATCGCGAGAATTTAGGAGGCCCTGCGTCGTCATTCTTTGATTCATCAGATTCGAGATGAATATAGTCTCTGATGTTGAAAGCACCATCATCAGAGTTAGATTCAGCTGGTGGAGGACCCCAGTAAATCTCATCAGTTGTGGTGTTGGTTTTGTCTGTCGACATTTCGAGAGAGATGCTGGGCGACCAGTGCAGTAGCAAGCAAGGGGGATGCAATGCTCATCACGTCATCAGTAATTCAGAGTCATATGACGCACGTGGTTGCAACCTGGGTGATTAACAGGATGTCAAACCAGCTCGCGTTGACTTCAAGTGACTGCTCGTAGTTGATGGTGGATCTAAATCCATAAACTTCCTCCATACCATGACGAAGATTGAAAAAGAGGATGATCAAACGGGCATTGGGGGAAGCCCAGGGAAATCTGTAGTTTTGACAGGAGACAGTCCGTTCTTGTTTCCCTTCGACCCATGGCCGATACAGCTGGCATTTATGAACAGGTTACAAATGTCCAACGTTGAAGATATTTGAAACATCGACCTCATGTACTTACAGTGAGTACGTCCTTGTTCAGCCTCTACGAGGGTCTAAGTCTTGGGAAAGTTATGATAATGGAGAGCCCAACTGGAACGGTTCGTACTTTTTCAAGACGGTGTTGGACAACCAGCTGACTCTGTTCAAATAAGTAGGGAAAGTCTTTAAGCCTTCTGTGCGGAAGTCTCAAGTGGCTGCACGACTTCCATCGTCAATTGGAAGTGGAGGAATATGCGAAATGTGTCCCCAATGAGCCTGGTATATCCAATTCTGGTACCGATGGTATGTTGGCATTTTCGAAAAAGAACTCTGTTGGATACTCACAGTCGGCTGCACGCCTTATTGTTGGGCAGAACCTAGTTGGGTTTTGGAGCATGAGAGAAAGGAAGCTTTGCGCGAATTGGAATACACAGCAGAGAGAAAGCGAAAACGAGCACAACGCCTCGAGGAACTTCGGCAGGCGGAGAAAGAGAATGGGTGGAGACGAACTGTAAAACGACCGGTTGGTGGTGACATTCCAACATTTTACATGCAACCTTGTTGTCCCTTACCTTTGATGTAGAAGAATCATCATTGCAACGACGAGGGCGAAGAAGAACCTCAAGAATTTTTAGTGGACGAGTACGAGAGCGACCCAGAAGCTTCGGGCACAAGGGGGTAGGATGTTGACCACTTAGCTGAACTCTCAGGCATCGTTTTTCCAAGAAAATCAACACGCTATTTCACGTACCATTTAGTGATCTTGCGGACAACCCAACCGACTCTGATGATCATCAAGATGAACGCGACGAGATGAAGATTATCTATTGCAGTCGAACGCATTCACAGATATCTCAATTTATTAAGGAAATGAAAAAAACAGCCTATCAAACTGTGAAATCCGTATCCCTCGGGTCGCGCCAGACGATGTGCATCAACGACAGCGTAAAGCAACTAAAATCCGTGTCCCGTATGAACGACAAGTGCTTAGACCTCATTAAAGGTGTGTAAACATCCACATAGGCAATTGGATGACGGCAAATTGTTATAGTGGTTTAGCAGGCACCTCGAAACAAGGAGGGTCCTGTTGCCCGTACCTTAGCAAAGATCAGCAGAAGAGAGCACTGTTCACCGACCATCTCCATGCAGTCATTCGGTATTGCATTGAAGAGTTTTACTGCTGGAAGTACGGGGATTCTAACAGCGATCGTAGAGACATAGAGGAGATTGTTGAAACGGGAAAACGGCAGGATACCTGCCCATACTTCGGCTCTCGCTACGCTGTTCGGACATCCCAGGTGCGATATTGGCGCTTTTTAACAATTTCCACCGTCCTTTGTAACAGTAAAAACTAGGTGGTCACTTTGCCTTACTCTATGTTACTGCAGAAGACAGCTCGAGAATCCGTTGGGATAACGGTCAAGGGAAATATCGTGATTATCGGTATGTTATCTAAAGATCTTTAGCTAAGGGTGATACATGAGCGTAACAGCACCTTTAAAAATTCAAGACGAAGCCCATAATCTAATTGGTATAGTTGGCGAACTGCCACCGTCTGAGAGGCACCGTAATTCTAATGAAGTCGTTGATGTAGATGCCATCACGTCCGTTCATTCTGTCTCACTGGATTCGCGGCAGGTGCGGTGGTAGGAAAATTGAGTTCACTGTGCCTTCTTATTGTTTACAGGATCCGTGCCACAGCTTAACCGGTCGGAAGCCCAATTGCAATCGTACTTGCAGAAGTACAAGAGTCGGTTGAAGGGGAAAAACCTTGCATATATCCGCCAGTTACTTTTATTGATAAAGGCATTGCAGAGGGCCCTCAGACCGCTGATGTCTGAAGGTAAGCCGTTGGCCTCAATGAATCCATTCAGAAGTCGATCACTAATGTTAACCGGTCAAGAGCGAGCTCAATCGTATATCCGAAGGACCAATGACTTCGTCCATGATTTAGATATTGATCACATTAAGTAGGTAGACGAATGAGGAAAGGCGAAGGGAATAAAGTGGGAAGCTGATTCTGCATCCTACAAGCCTCTTCAAAATTGAAAAGTATCTCGTCAACAGCAGGCTTGCTCAAAAGGTAGTCCTGCCCAATATTTATCCACAATAAAACGCATGTTAACGACGATCTAACTAGCTGCAAGGATTTGCCGAAAAAACTGAAGATCCTAAAGTTGCTGCAGATTCTGAGGATACTGGTAAGCGAAGCAGCATAGAGGGGTGCTCTTTAACGGCGATTGTAGACTGAGATATTTGTTGAAACCAACAAAACCGACAGACTTTATGCCTAAACATGTTTCTCCGCTTAAGCCGGTGGAGACATTTTTGATGTCGCTAACCAATCCCGACTTGGAAGGGCGCATTGTGGTAAACATCAGTGGTAGGTGGTCCCGGTGGCGAGAGCGACTGCATGCGACAATAGTCATATGTTGCTGATAGAAGCTGATTCGAGTGCATCAAGTTTGAAGTATCTCTTACTCAACCCAGCGAACTGCTTTCGCAGCATTGTGGAGGATGCTAGAGCGGTTGTCCTCGCTGGCGGGACAATGGAGCCGGTAAGATATCAAGCCCCTTGATAGTTTGTTATCAGGTTACATATCAATCAAGTATTGCCCCAGGTACAAGACTTATTAGATGAGGTACCACAAATCCTAGCTTTCGAAGAGTTACTATGTTTTCTCAACGGTTCTTTCAGCTCTTTCCATATCTTCCCACCGACCGTATCTCTCGATTCACATGCGGACACATAATCCCCCCAACGTCTTTGTTAACTACAATCGTCGCTAAAGGTCCCAGCCAGATTGATTTTGACTTCACGTTTGAAAAGCGGAATGACGGGAAAATGGTGAGGTTGTGGGTTGCTGGACAACTTTACTATTCCTGGCAGCTCTGAATTTATGAATCCATTGTGAAGATTGATGAGCTGGGTGGTGCAATTGCCAATTTTTGTAATGTGACTCCAGGGGGAGTCGTCTGTTTCTTCGCCTCTTACGACTATCTCGAAGTGGTCTATAATCGATGGCAAATGGGACGAATTCTTTCTAGAATTAGTAGTAAGAAACAGGTATGAACAACATTATAAACGATTGGAGACTGCTTCATGATGTCATGCTGGCAAACTGATTTGTATCGCAGGTGTTCAAAGAGCCGAAGCAGAGTGTCCTGGTTGATACGACCTTGACGGCGTATGCGCAATGCATCCGAAATACTAGCAATCGGCAGGTAAGAAACATTTGTATTCTTATATGTCGGGATGTTATGACTAATCGTATACGTTCAGGGGCACACGGGTGCCATTCTCTTTGCGGTCGTTGGAGGTAAAATGAGTGAAGGAATAAAGTAAGCGTTTGAGCCATAGAGCTGTTCTTCCGGTACAGTGTATTAACTAGCCCCAGCTTTTCAGATGATTTGGGAAGGTAATGTCATTGGCGATCTGCAAACGTCTGCTTGCATGTGGCGCACAAACTCAACATGGCCGGAAATAATTTTAGACTGGTCATTATGGTTGGTTTACCGTTTCCCAACATCCGTTCCCAGGAGTTGAAGGAGAAATTGAATTACGTTAAAGCTCGTGCTTCATTACGGGGTTTAGACGGCGCGGTAGCCAATGATTACTATGAAAACCTGTGTATGAAAGCTGTAAATCAGTCTATTGGTAAGCTGAAACCCGAACCACGGTTCACTCTTCGACTGATGCTGATTGAGGATTTGCGGCAGGCCGCGCGATTCGCCATAGGGATGACTATGCGGCGATCGTGCTATTAGATTACCGCTACGGACAGCAGCGCATAAAGCAGAAATTACCTGGGTGGATTAGAGACGCGGGAATAAGTGAGCCTGGTGGATTTGGGAGGGCGATTGCAGAGATTTCCAAGGTATTGCGGCGGTGCGCCCGACCAATTATTAGCTCTAATCTCATTGTGCAATATTTGCAGTTTTTCCGCGGTATAAAAAGCCAGGGTGCTAGTCTTTGACGCGTTTCCTTGAATTCAGGATTCATGCATGTTAGGGAAGACGAGGCTAGACTGGCTTGCAGCACTGTAGCTGGCTTCAGTGATCGCAGGGAATTTTAGCCATAGATTCATCAATAGTACTAGTGTTAGACGTGCAGCCATTATCTTCTTTCACCCAATTCACTGAGCAATTGACCATGTTTTTATAGCAAGCATGGGAGTCTTATGATAGATTGAATTGCAAAAATTCTGGAGCTCCTTACTTGTTATACACCACCCTTTTCACTGGCAACCGGAAACCGAAGAACACAGCTCTGCGCTCTGGATCGATTGCATCTGGATTGAAGACAAGTATTTAGATATCGGCCATCCGCTCTGGAGTGTGTTGCTATTTTAACTCCACAGATGGTTGCGGTCGTTGACGTCGTCTACACGGTTGAAGAGCGCTTGACAGAATCTGTAAACTCGGTAAAAACAAGGTTGCTCAACTTTAGCACGTGATTAATTAATTTCGGAACCCAACGCAAGTTTTGCAGAAAAGTTTTTCTGCATATTTTTTTTTGCCTTAGGACGACAACCCTCTTTTTATTACCACTAACGTAACCTCACCATGTTCGTCGACATCGTCCCAACAGAGTCTTCCGGTTTGAAAATTATGCAATGTCACTGCACAAGGCCTCCTTAGAAGCACTATTTGCTTTCGACGCAACCTCACATGTTCCTGCAGAGTTCACCTTTGGAGTTGAGATAGAGATATGGTCTCCATATCCGCGGGATGAACTTGCCGAAAAGCTGCAAGAGCGATTTGATATTGATGCAAGAGTAGTATGGTAAGGCCGGTTTCATCCCAAAGTTTATCTTGAGCATTCTGGTTGACAAATGCATTAAGGTTTACTCATCAATGCACACCATACTGGAAAGTGTTACGGGACAGCACTCTGGTGGACTCGCCTAAGGGCCAATATGGCATGGAACTGGTATCGCCTATTTTGCATGGCGGGACGGGGATTCAAGAAATCAAAGGAATCGTACATGCTTTACGGGCCTTGAATGTCAGGTGTGACGCTTCTACCGGCCTTCATGTGCACGTCGGTCGCCATAATATGGAATGGACCTTGACCGAATTGCAAAATATTTGCACGCAGTTCATTCGGAACGAGACTTTTTTTGATGCGATGGTACCTGTAGAGAGACGAGGTGATACTAACAGCCAATTACGATCAAACGCAAATCTGTTTATCGGTTGTCCTGGACCGCACATACATGCGACAGCTGATGTAGACGCACTTATAAAGTGTGTGAATAGCAACGGGTACGATGGGTCCACGCGGTATTTCAAGTTGAATGTTGAATCATTGCGAACCTTCCGAACGATAGAGTTTAGGCAGCAGGTGGCGACTGTCGATTGGCAAAAGGCCGTGGCATGGGTGGCCGGTATTTTGGCATTTTGCAAACGAGCTTGCTTGGAAAACGACACCGATGTGGGTAGATGATCTCGCATGAAACATTTCTGCGGAGCATGGCCTATCCACAGTTTTTTGACCGTAATGGCAACCGAGTGGTGCTCCACCGAAACGTTAGTACCGAGCTTCCTCATTAACAAATGTAATTTACCGGATACGGACCCTGCCGAGTTGAGGATGTGCTGGGTAGATTCACAGCAACGACATTGATGCTGTGCAAACTGGCCAGACCAAGAAGTAGTTGATAACCAATATAACTAAAGAGAAAGGTTTCCATCACTTTTCGATAGGTTAGGAGGTGTGACCCTAGTCATGATTTCTCATTGGCAAAAGATGGGTTACACAACATCGTGATATTCTGATACAATTAGATACAGTATATAAACAACTATCTGGTTTCAATCTCGGCTAAAGTGCGTTGAAATAAAGCCCATTCATCGCTCCGGGGTTGGGACATCTGGTGAAGAAAATGGTCAATCATATGTATACTAGATGCCCATGACATTGATTGCGTTGGCCATCTGAAAAGGGAACACACCTCTCCAATATCGTACACAAAAACTTGGCCATCCGACGATCCAATGGCAGTTCGCCGTCCCTCCTTGTCCCAAGCAAGCTTGTTGAGAGCATGTCCTTGTCCTACGCGCATACTGACGATGGGTACCTGTAGGAAAATGAATTCAGCTTGTTGAAAGTTTGGATATGTGCAAATGCTCCCACCTCCATCTCTTGGTTGAGATCATACAGATCGAAGCGTCCACTTCCATCTACCGACCCGAAAACTGACGGGTGTACAGGGGACCACCGTACATCATATACGTAGTCGTCGGCCTCTTCAAAAGAATATAAAGGGGTTATAGTTTGTGTAGATGTTGGTGCCTTTTGAATTGACTTCACATCTGTTTAGTGCACTTGATGAGACTGCTGAATTGGCACAGCTACCACCTTGGCTCTCCACAGCTTGATAGTCCAATCGACGGACGAAGTCAAGAATAGATCTGAGAAATCCGCAGAGCCGCTCGGTGGATGAAAATTTAATCCGGTAACCATGCTGTAGTGTCCTTTGTATATATCCTGAGCATTGACCCCTGCTTTACTGCTCACCAATTTTGCTTTAGTGCGTAATCCGTGCGCAGATCTTCACATCATTTCCTCACAAACCTTCCAGCTCGGTCATATCTATTAACTTGATGAATGCTACCTTCTTCTGTTCCTATCCAAAAGGTCGCCGTTTCGTTATGTGGGAAGGCCATTGTTGTCACAGATACACCGTCGGTTTTGGCGTGCGTTGGATGAACGAGGTCCAATATCTCCTGCATATCACTAGGCGTCAGCTACATTAGAACTGCGGGTTGAACAGCACTCCGCGTACCGTCGGTTGAGCTAACATATCCAATTGCCACGAGCAGACAAGTCCATCTGTTGATGCAGATACTAGATTGTGTGCGTTTTGTGTGCCCACAATCGTCATTGAATATACGGGATGGGTATGACCCGCAGCGGAGAGGGGCGTCTTGAGCACCGGTAAATTCTTGGCACGCGTATCCCAGATGACAATTTGTCCGGAGTATGTCCCTCCTATAATATAATTTGGATGGAAGTCCGCAAACCGTGCTACAGTCAGATCCGACTGTTTATCAAATCGCAACAGAGTAAATGAGGTCATCAACGGGATAGGCGAAATCACGCTCGCACGAACCTGAGATTGGAATACGAACTCGGGTCGGTCCCGTAAATGCAGGTTCCAGATGAGTACGACCCCGTCTGGCTCGCTAATCGCGGCGTGGTTTTTTCCGCAGGAAGCTAACACTAACTCTGGGTGCTGGAGAGAGGAACTAGCTCAGTAGAGGCGGATATGCGCAAACGAAAAAAAGTAGTTGCCTCACCTTTTGTGACCAGCTGACATCAGTTACTGAGCGATTTCTTGTCCATCGTTCATCAGAGAATGAGCAGAACAGTTTCACAGTCTTCCCTTCAGCGCGATCTCTGCCGATTACTCATTAGAACTGGCAGACACCTTACCAGTCTCTACGCAACGACTTTCTCACATGACACCCGAATCTCCTGTGGTGTAGTCTGTCATAAAGTCATATGCTGTGTCACTCAACGCCCGCTCAACCAGTTTAGTGGTGTATTCAAAGAAATCAAGGAAGGTCTCCGATGCTACGATCGCCTTGCGCTCATCCTCTGACAGCTCTAGAGTCGACGCGTTAGAGCGGGATTCGCTGATCGTGAGAGATGGAGTAATATACCTCGTGGTTGCGGCGTTACAACAGTCGACATGTTCTCGGAGGCCGGGATAGGTTGGACGAGCACATCAACGGATTCTGGCGTATTGGCAGATTTTTGAGATTTTTCGACATCACTAGTACCAGCCTCCTCCACATAAAGAGTCTCAGTTTGAATCTCTTTGGTGTACATTACTTTTTCCTATCAAAACGGAAATGAGAGTCAATATCGAACGCTCAAGGGCTGCCGGACCATACTTTTGGCGCAACATCTAGAAAAATGAATTCAGCGGAAGCTAATGTTGGCTGGGGTCTGAGTACGCCGTTAATGATAAGGTTAGAATATAGGTAATATGAAAAAACTTCGCGCAAAGGAAGCCTACTTCTCCTGAGCGGAAGCAATAGCATCCGGTTGCGGTTCTGCGTCTTGTCGCAAGCTTCTTGTCTCCCTTTCATCATGCTTTCGTGGCTCAGTGAATGAGAGAGATGGTGAGGAGGATCGTAATTCATCGGTACTGGAAGCCCTTGAGCTCGGTCTGTCTCCGACTAGCGACGCAACGAGGTCGTCGATGTCTTTCCTGTCCCTTGTCGGCTTCCCTGGGTTTCAGAGCGCGTGTGAACACTTTCCAGCCCATGTTCTCAAGTGCTGTTACCGTTCCCGAGACTATACCTACAGAGTCCCTCTTCTGTGCATCCAGGAGGGCAACTTTCCTTTCCTCTTTCGCACGTCGCAACTCGGCGATCCGCGCTCGTTTCTTCTCCAGTTCTGGAAGGAATATCATATCAGCTTTGTGCAAGGCAACCATGAGATAGTCTTGCCAGTTATATACCCTCTTTTCGTCTATCCACTGGCAGCATTTTCAATCGCTTGAAGCCCAGCCCTCGCGATCTGATACCAGGCGAGCTTGCAGTGGTCGCCAGTCGGTTTGAACCGGATCGTAAGTTGTGGTCCAGTGAGGTAACAAACAACACGATACGCAAGTCGCTGTTTGCTATGGCGGCTTCGCCAGCACGTCTCTTTCTCCAGCAAAAGCTCGATACGATACGACCTACCCTAGTGTCGCCAGCTAATCATGCAGGAGTTCGTCCTTCATCGTCGGGAACGTCCACCCCTAGGTCACAGAATAGGCCACCACAGAACCCCCTGCAGGCTACCGAAGAGCTTCTCATCTCTTTATTCATAGCCCTAACTGCCGGACAGCGGGCTATGTTGGTATCCACTAAACAAGAGTTCGTGCGCGACTTACGGAAAGCTTTGGATCAGGTGTGCAAGTGATGTTGTTTGACGACTGAAACAATCTGTTCATCTTTCCGCGTTCACAGTTGTTTGCGTTTGTCTTCAATTTTACAGTTACACATGTCCAAATAGAGAGAACCACCACGCATTCCGACTTCCTGTCAGCTCTTTTCTACCGGCGGGTTGCCGATGGCACCGCGGGGGCGGGTAGTGATACATCAGTTTCCAATACGTCGCGGCGCAGAGGCCCTGCACAGTTGTCCAGAGCAGAGTCCGAGGAGGACAAGGATTTCTTGGTAGGCATTGACGCACAGATCGGAGATAATCGCTCAGCTTCTTTATACTCTCTTGTGTTTAAACCATGGTTCATTTTCCAGAAATCCTCCAGATCCAGCACTCACGCTCGGCAGACCTCAATGAAATCCGACTCGGCATCTGAACTTGAATCCCCTGCCTATTCTTTGTTTGCACCGTCATACAGAAGCCAGAGAATGCACAGTCATAGCCGAAATGCAGCAACCGCCGGTTCCCGTCCCTTGCTCTACCCGTTTTCAGCAGCTGGAGGCGAGACGCATTTGGGGTCTAACACTTCATTGGTGACAACTAAACAATTACCGAATATCGTGTTAGTGGATGGACTCCATCTTGCGAGCGGTGCAGTGCACGGTGCTCTACTAGAGGTACCATCCTCCTTCGCCAGTCACATTAGGTCTTGCTGACACTTGGTTCCACCTACGTCCATAGGTTCTTGAGAGGGGACAGGTTACCGATAAATTCACCGTGTTTCCTTGTCCGGTACCCTTCCTTGTTGTGGGCTTGATATGTCCTTCTTCCCGCAAGCAAACAATACCACCGCAATTGGTAATATCCTACTTCCAGCACAGGCACTCAGTATCTACGTTCTTATAAGATCAGTCTTCCAATCACAGTTGGACAAGTTTTTTCTTTGTCATACGCTGAATTCTCATATATGTCGCTGCATCATTCCATATCCCCTACGGTCGCCCTTAGTGAAAATGGAGGTAATGCCATCGGTCTGCAAATAGTAGCCTTCAACTTCAGTCCACTGATGGTTTTACTTGAAGGACTTAGAACAATTGACATTGGAGGCGTCTCGCATATATATGCACGCGGAAGTCTCTTACTACCTGCGTGATTTACTGACAGGCTTGCGGAATCACCAATTGGTGAGCACAGGTGTATCTGCCAAAGGTGGTATCGATCTTGCACACGCTGCCCGGTGAGTTACATTTTAAATATCATTGTGTAAGGACTGTCCAGTCTTAAGGTACGCCATGCTGCAGAACTTTAGCGGTGCTCTCCGGGCATCTGATCGTAAGCCCGGATCATGTAACTCTGATGGCTGACAAAGTCATTGCCCACCGATTATTGCTTGCGCATCAGTCACCATATGTAACGCCTGAGATCCGGCTACGATTAAAAGGGCTAAGTGGTGTCGACGTTGTCGGGAAGGTTATCAATAGCATGACAATTCCAATGTAAACCTATCAGGATAACACTCCACACTGGCTTGCATCTGTCGTTACACCTTGTATGCTTTCTGTAACCTGTGTATATCTGATGGATCGATCTTGTTGTCGTCAGCGCATGCCTTCAACCAATCCAAAATGTCTCTCAGTGCTAAGTGCAAACCATTTGCGTTGTATTAGTAGACGTCACTGTGAGCGTTTGAGCAATCACCGACCTTGTTTGTCAGCCTTCGATAAAAACATTGCATTCATGTCGAAACGTGGCAGTAGGGCTAAGTGCTTAAGGGTGTCTAATGCCTCGTTCGCCTTATTGTCTCTACCGAAACAAATACCATAAGTCGCAATAGGGCTTCACTGGACTCGTCAGATACTCACTTTTTGTAATGATCACGCAGGACGAAGATAATCTTGGATATGTAACTGCTCTCTAGCGAATTTTTGAAAATTCTTTGGTAGCTCTTGGGATCGATTATCTAGAGCTTGATGGTAAGAATTTGAAAGACATCATCCTGCACGAATAGGCTATACCTTGAGGTAACCATATATCGCGGCACTATCGCCCTTCAGGCTTTTCCAATCACGCTCAAACTCATACATACTCTTAGGAGCAGCTGATGCGCTGACGGAGGGGAGTACTACTGGCTTTGAAATGTCTGCAGCAGCATTTCGAACCAGCTGCGATTTTTGAATTTGCGCAGGGGGTGGTGAAAGTGAGTTGACGGGAACCTTCACATCCCGCTTTGAAACCTCCTGAGCCGCAATCGGCATTGTGGTGCCATTGCCCTGGAGGCTTGTGATTTGATGTGCCTTGAGAGATCTGTTGATACCAACTGCTTCCTCACCAACTTCTTCGATTGCTAAACGCCTTCGTACTGGTCTTGTAGGATTCTTTCTGTCATTTTTCGTTGCCTGCAATACACGCCATGAGCAGGTCAGCATGGCAAAAGAAACTAAGAAATGTGAAGTGCACTCACCTTTTCCTTTATACTAGTAAGAACATCGCTCAGGTCTGCTTTAATCGACTTGTTGGTTGGTTCGAGCACGACTGCGGCCTCCAAGTCTAGTTTGACAAACACTCAGTACTACTGCTTGCAGTTTTGTATTAACAATTCTGGGCAAGGCCACCTTGTCGTGCTTCTTCGGCCTTCCCAAGTTTCGCCCGCGCAATTCCTCGTCGCCACAATGCCTTGACGTTCTTTGGGTCCATTTCAATTCCCTGAGTACAATCGGCCTCAGCCTCTGCGAATCTTATCAACAAATGAGCTTCTCGGTTCATAATATTAATCTTCCAAGCATAATTTTGAAGCGCACCTATCCAGTTTCAGATATGCCAGTGCTCGATTAACGGGAAGCACCGCGCTCGTAGGATCGAGCTGCATGCTCTTGCTATAACACAAAATAGCGCGCTTGTAGTCCCCCTTCTTAAACCATGCGTTGCCCTTCCCCTGACCTGTTAGACAGTGCGGTTCCGCTAATCCTTGGAAGTGCCTAGATTACCTTCTCCTTTTCCAGAATTGCCCGCTCTCCAAAGTCCTTCTGATCAGCAGATACTTTGGCAGACTTGGAACTACATAATTCTGGGCGCTGTGCATCGACGGCATCTAGCGCCTTATCCTTTTCCAAAGGAGACTTAGTATCCAGCACTCAACAGCTTTTAGCAGACCTTCCGCCCTACCGCGTCCCAAGCCTTATAGTCCTGCGACTTTATCCTATCCTCTCCTAGAACTGTTCTTGTGTCCGAGCTTGCTCTTACCATTCCCGCCCCCTGATGTTCAAGTGTTATCGTTGTCTCAGGGATGATCCTCGCATTCTGATTTCGGATCGGTGGAATGAACTAGAATCTTGAGGTTATAGGAAGCCCCTATACTATTGTGGAGCATAGGTCACTTACGTTATTGCCTGTAGTTTCCTTGTTGACGGCCCGGTCCTTTCGTTTTATGTCGCTTTCCCATGACTCCAAGTCTTTTAGATAGGCCTGATACCAGAGATCTGCAATTGTTACATATTGAAGGTACGTATGGAATCAAGGGCCATTCAATGACCTTCAGCTCCTCCGCATTTTGTCGTATTTGAAAAGCGGTTTTTGACATATTCGCAGTTAGGAAGTTAAAAAGGACGAAGTTGAAGCTGCCCTCGAATATGCAGAAAGGTCGCGCGTTGAGACGACGACCGCGTCGTGCGCATCAACCAATTACGACAAATGGCTGCCCTCTTTTCTGCAGGCGTCTTAGGAACACTGATGCTAAGTAGCTTGCATAGCCACCTTAAGCAAGGAAGCCCGCTACCGGATACACCCGGCTATCGCAAAGGCAAGCGACGGAAGGCCGCGAGTGATGGTACGTTGCGACGATCACAAGGTTTGCATGCCAGGTTGCGAGGATACTCATAGGGTTCTATGTGATAGTTATCAGTTTGAAGGCTCTGGAAGGTATGGTGCTCATAGTTGAACCGCTGACGGCATTCGACCATTCATAAACTGCTTGAAGAGGTCTTCCGCTCCAGTGACCCGCAATTGCAAGAAAGGTAATGCAATAACACCGACCTCTCCTTTCAGACACTTTTAGACAATATTTCTTAATGATGTTCATGATTTTAGTGCCTTACAAATTCTTTTGGATAGAGCAATGACAGGTGGGCTCCGAGGTGAATTCAATAATATCTTTGGTATTGACATCGTGACTCTTGAAAGAGCAATCCCTATCCTATATCATTAAATGTTGCAAGAACAGTAAAATTCCTGTTACGCAGCGAAGGGCTGTTGCTGTGATTCAGCAATTAACAAAGCAAGGTTTGTGTTCGGACCCGTAGGACTGAGTGCATAGGAGCTGACTTCTGATGCATGCCCTGTAGAGCAAAATCGGTTAGCCGGAAGGAGGGGCATTTCTTTGTTTATATCAATAATGCGTAGTCTAACAATGACATCCAATTAGCGTAATACTTGTACGTCGAGGAATTCTGAAGATTTTCTGCCACATACTTCTACAGCCTGCGGACGAGACGACTTATCGCTATTGCATCATATCGATGTTTCGCTTGGTGCAGAATAAAGGTCGGTTGTCTTCAGCCATTAAAATAGATTATATGTTGGTAAAATTTTCGATAGACCAGCGAAAGGTGCAGATTGTACGTTACGGGATTCTAGGGCCGCTGAAGAAGTTTCTCTCTATATCATCCACTCATAGTAATGATTTGATGTACTGGAGTCTTTTGCTCACGCACCAGCTCTCCCTTATTGGTGAGTGCGCTTTTGGGGCCTGTTACCCATCTTTCTGTGAGCCCAGAGACGCTGACGATAAACATTGATAGATGAGCTACAAAGCGAGCTAATTGGAACCGGATTTTTATACATACTTGCCTATATGATACGTCTGACATTTGGCAACGCAAGCATGCAAAGGCTATGTCTTCACTCTCTTGTCCGGCTCCTATCTAAAATGGAGAACACAGGTTCGCTGTAGCGTGACGCTTATACTGATTGGGAGAACTGACCCAAATGTTGCAGAGGTTGTCAAACAAGTAAGCGACAGACATACGAATTTGTTTATTGAGGTGTATCTTAATTGGAGCCATCGAAGCTCCAGTCGCTTTTGCAAGTCAACATTGTGCCCCTGTTGGTGACCTGTTTACGGAACGGTTCGGATGTCGACTACCGATGTTTGTGTGTTCCATATATTCTCAATGCTGACCATTTCATATTCTAGAGGATGTCGAGCTTGCGTCATGGGCGGTCTTCCTAATACACGAATTTGTCACAAAAGGTGCGGCCATACAGAATTCACGAATATATGAGATATTGAATTACTCTTGGGATGACAGATGTTGCAAAAGAAAATTTTCAATCCATGAAAGGACTGCTCCCTGCACTTGCTGCACTACTTAACAGCGAAGAAGCTTGTGTCCCTCGTCTGGTTCTCAGGTCATTGAAGTATTTGGGAATGAGAAATGGTTCGTGTGGAAAAGACGCGTTAGCTGCAATCTGGTGTCTTCTGAGAACCTTCATTCCAGATCAATATCAAATAGAAATGATCCGCGCTGGAGTCGTCTCGAAGATCGTGCCATGTTTAATAGGCGGAGAGCACTCCGATCCGGACTCTCCCCTTTGGGCCTTGGTAAAATATCGCCTAGGGTCCTTTCACGGAAGCCAGTTAGACTTACGTACTGCAACTTGTACACTCAGGCCCTATTGCACGACCTTTTGGCGCACGGTACGTATTTTTGCTTGTGATTGATGATTTTCGGAACAGAATCTCGCTGACGGTTATTGGCGTTCAGCTGAAGCACATGCTCAATTTTTGGAAGCTAAAGGATTAGATACATTGATACGCATAAGCTACGATACAACTGTTCATCTATCGCTGTAAGTAACCTCATACGGGTGGATTGGTAGGCGGTAATCATAATCTAAACCCAAGTGAAGATATATAGCCGACATCATTGTGTATCTAGCATCTTCATTGCAAAATCGTGATATGCTAGAGAATTCGGAGGTTTTGGATGCTGTCCTTCACTTCTGCAAATCTGACGAGGCGGAGCTTCAATATGCCGGTGCTGCGCTTCTTTTGAATCTCGCAACCCTTTCTGGTATGTATATTACTGCACAGCGTCCTAAAGATTCTCAGCGTATTGAAATGGTGAGTCATCAGATAAGATGACGGATCGGATTGCAGAAAACGGCAGTATTGAGCTCCTAGCTGACCTGACGCTCCACAGCGACCGAGAAAACATACAAACGGTCGCCTCGAAGACTTTGACTACATTGACCCGACGAGGTAGGTTGTGACAGTTGAGGTCGTCAATTGCGCTACCGGGGCTTGCATTGATTATCTTGCAGATCCTTTACTACGGGATCTTATCATTGCGACAGCTATTCGACCCTTGGTTGCGCTGGTCATTGAGGAAGCTGCTCGTACTGTACATATCCTATTCCCCCGCTCATCGAAGCGACAGTCGGCTTCTGACACATTCAGAGGAGCCCGTGGAGATGGCTGTGTCACAATACAGTCCTTTGAGCTGGGAACGAGCTGTGAACCGGAAGCAGACCGGCTTTCCATTGGCGAGCAGTCTGGTTACCCGGAAGTTTTCGAGCGTCTCACTGGCCAGCTCATTAGTCTCACGATCTTCATGGAATCTGAGCTGTTCGATATGCCTCCTCGCAAGAAATTGGAGCGCTTGCTTACCACGCTGCTTGATCTCCTGATTCTACCGCTCATGTATGCAGAAGAGGAAGATACGCGATCGGTGGATTCAGATGTGCAAATCCTGACACAAACCTCATCGCAAATCGATGCTCTCAAATGCGCGAAATTAGGCCCTGACACGGACGAGAATGGGGCCCCGGTTGCGCAGGGATTTGCGCCGGGTTTTGGGAATTTTAAGGACGAAGTTGCGATGCATGCGCTCAAGCTCGTAGCAAAGCTCTTGAAGAACGGTATATCAACACGTGGGATTCTGTAAAACTCGCTGTCTGATGGATAGTATTTCGTTTCTAGATGATGCCTGTGAATACCTGGTTCAGGAGAATGTCTTCACGGTGATGGTAGCTCTGATGCAGCAGAATCGGCCCAATGTTAGCGAACAGGCCATTGTAGCCTTAAGTGCGGCATCGCTGCTACCTGGTAAGTCCACTTCAGGCCCCAAATTTCGGTGTATTTATTTGGTATCTGAGCAAGTCTTTCTGCAGGACTGCGAAATGTGATCCTTGATGTCCCGTTCGCATTTACGGGCCTCACAAGAGCCTTACTCCGCAATGCGTCTCCCATGCTCCGCTTTCACATTCAATCTTTCTACGAGGCAGTATGCAATTACACTGAACCTGAATTGCGTTCTAGCCTGGAGGGAGATAACGTGAAGTTCACTAAATCTCAAGCCACACCATACATGCTCGTTTCGCCACAGTGTTGGGAGGTACGGTTCTAACTCAATCGGGATTGATGAATAAGGAACAAATACATCTGTCTGATAGATAAGAAATGAATCCTGGACCTTCGAAAGCGTTAGAAGCGAGTTCGGTGTCATAGGAAGCGGGCGCTGTGCGTACGAGGTTGAGCTTCATACGGATGGAATAGTACAAATCGGATGGGCATCCTCCTTGTGTACCTTCGATCCCGAAGCTGGAACAGGAGTTGGAGGTACTTTTGTGTATATATTGATCTTGTTACACCTGTCAAAAACGCTGACGGCGAACATATAGACAACCGGTATTCATACGCCTACGATGGGCATCGGAAGAAAAAATGGCATGGACCTTGCTCTCAAAGTGTACGTAGAAAGCAGACTTAACTATGCCAAGCTTCTGGCAGAGCCTAAGTTGACCGCGTCTTAGAACGAATACGGCGACGATTGGTATGAATGGGATGTGATTACCGCGCTGATCGATTTAGATAATAAGGAGATCTCGTATCTTCGTAATGGCGTATCCCTCGGCGTCGCTTTTGTTGACATCCCCGATGTGACTTGGTTGGATACATACGATTTTTAAAATCGTTGCCATCTAAATATCTAATTGATTACCCCGCCAGGTACCCTGCAATATCTCTGGCGTCGGCTCAAGGATGCCGCGTTCGATTTGGCTATCAGCTAGACCCTCTACAGTACGTCATTCAAGAGATGGTTACCCCTGCAGTAGAAGCATGTCATTGAAAGCGATATAGATACTTGCCGCAGGGGTATGCGTCGATAGCCAGCATTGCTTGTAACGATGCAGAAGTGCTCTCTCCGGATGCACCATCCGTATATTATGATGCCTCGGAGAGCCCGTCCAATGAGGATCCATTAGGGATATCGAATCTGTCTGTCCCTCTGACAGAGCCTACCTCGTGTGATAGACACGAGTTCCTGCCTTCAGCTTATTTTGAGCTCCAACTGGGTATTGGAGGGCCCGAGACCTTTATGTACGCGCGGAGGCCTTTTCTTCTCGCCCAGACACGCGCATGATGAGTAACAAACCTTCTGTATTTTAGGATCCCGCAAGTTGGAATTGCGGATCGTGACAAAAACATCTTTTTTGTTGGGCTGTGTCCCGGCGGCCGCTATGTTTTGATGGTTGTGCGGAATCGGGATCCAGATGATAAAACCTTCTTCCGGAAAGACATTAATGAAATGCTAATGCATGAATCAATGGCGACCATACAAGACACGGAGATTTTGGCGACATGGCGCGGTCCGCCGGTTCAAGATGGCGATGTGATTGGGTGTGCTATCAGCTTCGCGCAGGGTGCGCTATTGTTCACACTTAACGGAAAAGAATTGGGTGCGTTGCTTTCATGGAACATTAGAAGCTGTTGAAAGCAAAATGCTGACTTGGTGTTTTATGACAGGACCAATCGTGCATGGTGTCTCGGAAAAGCTTTACGTTCCGTATATTCGCTATGTTCCACGCTTTACACTCAATTTGGGCAAGGCGTCCTTCCTGTGGCCGTTTGGCGTTCCTTTTGGGATCGGTCGTCTCCTGTGAGTGATACCGGAGCTGGGAATTGGCTATCAACCTATTGGTGGCAAATAAACGTGTAATGAAGATATGACTTTCACGGTTTGAGTAGAGCCCTTTTGATATCATCCTAAGTATAATTTCAAAGCTCATTAAGATGTAGGTAGTTCAATGCATGACACTCCAGCTTGGGCTGTGGGTTTAAGTCCCAGAATAAGCAGCATCATTGCATTTCTCACAATTCTACATATTTTTATATACATCACACTACATTTCCTATCTAACCAGTATGTCTATCACCAAGTCTTCTTTTCCCCTCCCCATCGGTCTACTACAACCGCAGGTATGGGTTCTTTCAGGTCAGATGGTTCCTCGACCGTAGAAGTACACTCTGGGCACCGCGTAGCTTTGATTGGAATATCCTTGCAGCAAAAGATACACGGCTTGGTTTTAGGATCAGCCTTCTTTCTTCTAAATGCTGCGGCATAAACTGACAGATGTAACACATTAGTCTCATCCGCCATGCCTTTAAACGCGGTGCCTGTGACTAGACTACCTTTTACAATGAAAAAGACCATCACGGAGATGATGAAGAAATTGATAATGGTCTGTACAAACATCCCCCTTGAGAAGCAGATCCAAAACCATTAGATCGCGATTTGCAAATGAAGGTTCGTCGATATGTTTGTTCAAGCATACCAATTCCATGTCACGGCGCCGGCTTTCTGTGCATCCGCGGTCGTCTTCCAGAAATCCACACAAGAAGATCGGGGCGGGTATGAGTTTGTCGCATTATTCCGTGGACAGCGGAGAACCAAAAAGTTGTTTTGCAAGTTTACGGCAGTGCCCAAACTGATAAATGGCGTAACGATATCTTGGACAAGAGACGTCACGATGGCAGTGAATGCAGCACCCATGACGATACCGACAGCCAAATCAACAACGTTTCCCCTGTTCAAAAATTCTTTGAAGTTGTCCACTACTCCTCCCACTGCTTTAACTCCCTATTTTCATGGCACCAAGCCAGGCAATTAGCGATCACTCTTGCCTCATGAAGCAGACTATTCGCTTCGCCGCTACCTTCATTGCCCCATTGCCAACTTGATCTGCAAACTTTTCGACTCCCTTCTTCTTCTTCTGGACGACAGGTTCTGCCATTGGGTATGCATTGTCCTCGTACGGGTACGAATTGTCCGTCGTTGGGAATGTGTTGCCCTTCATTGTGTGTGGAAGGTCACCTATCCAAGGGGAGGTAATAGTTCAGACCCCGGAGCAAGTCTGGAGATGCGAGAGAGGACGACCGCTGAGAAAAAACAGAAATCAGCCATTTTCAAAAGGCATGGTGTGGAAGGACAAAAGGATCCAAAAATTCAGAACCCCGTTCCATGGCACACAAAATTAGCGGCAATCGAATATTTGTGAAAATACAACCCGCCAAAGAAATAATTTTGAGTGTTTCAAGGGCCGCCTTTAATAAACAGCAACAACGACACATTTTTTTTTTAAAAAAGTATCTCATGCGTTTGGAGTAAATCAGCAAGTAAATCGTGCAATTTCCGACACACAGCGACTGATCCTGCTGATTATTTCATCCAATAATTCATAACGACACTTTTTTGCTCACAATGAATATCTGTATATTCAACACCACGCCGGAAAATATGCACAATCACGACCGCCCTGGTCGCAATCAGAGTCACTCTCTACAAGCCAAATATGAATGACAAAAAGGCGGCCAACAAAGCCATATATTTGTTTAACGGTAGGACTTTTGGTAGCGTGCACGAGCACCAGCACCACCAAACTTCTTTGGCTCGCACCGACGGGGGTCAGCTACCAGGAGGGTACGGTCGTAGTGGACAAGGAGGTCCTTGATCTCCTTCTTTGATGCCTCGTCAACGTCTATTCAATACAATATTAGGACAAGATTGCACGGACAAAAATAGGACGTCCTGTTCTACTCACACTTTTGGTAGAACGCAACAATTGCCTTAGCAATAGCCTGACGAATAGCTAAATTCCAGAAGAGATGTCAGATCTATTTGAATTTAACAGTGGCGGAACACCGATAAGTAGCATACCGTAAATCTGAGAAACGTGACCACCTCCCTCAACACGGACGCGGATGTCCACGTTGGCAAAGCGCTCCTTGCCCAGGATGTAGATGGGCTCGTACACCTTGGTCCTCAAGATCGCAGGCTCCACCAAGTCAAGAGGCTGGCCATTGATCTTGATCAATCCACGGCCACGCTTGCAGTGAGCTACCGCAGTAGCAGTCTTCTACTCAACCAAAGAGGAAGGATGGACCAAATCAGCCAGAAATTCAATAACATCAGCCCCTGAAGCCACCATTCCCCAGACAAGGACAGTTCGATGCTTCCTCCTCAATTCCTCAGTGCCTTTGCTCTCCCCGCCCGGATCTGTGTTTTCCCGCGTAATACCTCTCCTCCTGCTCATCAATGACGAGAGAGAATTTGGGGACATAGAAATCACGCTCGTCAATGTCCACCAAAGTTTAGCCTTCCTCACAATACAAGGCTCTCCAGCCTTCCGCCAGCCTTCCGCCAGCCTGTGTCCGATCCTCATATCACTCATTTCTACAGCTCCCCATTCCAACGTCCCACCATTGATCAGCAATTGGCCATCAAAATCGCACCTTACGACCGTACGTTTGAACCGCCTCAGTCATGATTACAGTGACTATATCCAGAAAAAAAAAGACAGTGTCAGCCCTTCCTTTACTTGGACCCTAGGATGACGACGGATGGATGGATGGATGGATGAACTTACCTATCGTGCGTTGTGCAAGAGGGCGAGAGGAAGAGGCTCCTGCCGGTTGGGGGCGACGACGGTTTTCAGGACTGTCTATCACGTGACTATGCTCGTCCTAAAATGGTTACATTGAGCGCACAGTCATACAGGGCGGAATGCGCAATTTTCGGGACCGTGTTTCTTCCAGGCCCCACTCCAACCTGGCCATTTCGACATGGCTTCCCAAATGTCGCAAGGGAACAGCAGCTCAGCGAGTCTCTCAGCAGGAACTCGGGTATATCCACCTTCTCCATCCCAAGCTGCTCCACCGCGTCCTGTTCATGCCAGCAACCAATCTCTTGCAAGCACCTCTTCTCTTCACTACCCCCAGCAGGTACCACTGACCGCCTCACCTGCTGGTTCACAATCAGACTTGGGTTCCCTTCGTAGCCGCACCAACACTCCCGCCAACGGCACGTCACCGGGCTCTGTCCCGCGCTTGAGTCGATCATCCCGACCAGAAATGTTACCACGAAAAAGTGGAACACACTTGCTCCTTTACACCCGGGCGGTTCCTCTACCGAAACGTTTTGAAACCATCACCGAGTACCGGTTTTTGATGAGAATGACGCAGCTGCTACTTGCCGGAGGTGAGAGATCCAGGCTCCGGAGACACATTTGACAGGCATGGGAACTCAGAATGCAACACAGAACTAATCTTTTTTGTGTGATAAGCTGCGTTTGCCAGTCTCGCGACTGCTTCCTTCAACGTGAACTATACATCTGCCGTCCTAGCGGTTTCGGGTATCAATTTGATGTGCTTCACATCCATCTCCTCTATTGTAAGCCATCAAAGATTTACTAGTCTGCGAGTACCGCTCCTTCTCATGCTCAGTCTTGTAGTTTGTCTCCTTCGGCTGCATCCTCGTATATTGCTTTCCTGCGTTCATTGGCGTCCCCCCTCATAGGCATCCTCGGTTCAGCCGAGTGGAAGTCGCGGTCGATTTGGTTTACGTGGGTTTTTGGATTGCGGCACCCTCAGTACTGGTATGGTACGGAAAATGTCCACGACTGGCATTTTCAACGGCGCCGGATGCAGTGTCATGTCTACCCTGGAATATGTGCACGGCTTTTGGATATGCTTGCGCGGCCTTGTTTTTGGGAACCCTAACGATGGGTGTGAGGGATTTGAAACGATTCGGGTTCTGGGATTTGGGTCGCGGTAATGGTGTCATGTGGGCTCGAGGGTCTTGGAAAGAATGGGCAGAATCTTAAAAGATCTTTTCGTAGCATCTTCTTTCCAATTAAGTGTACATTGTTTTTTCCTTTTGAAAGATTGTGAGCTCTCGGGCTTTGGACACGAGTACTCAAAAAGTAGGGCAATTTGTGATTTGGTGCCAAAAACAACGCATATCATTCTCATACTATGAGTGTCCTATCTATGCTACACTCATACTGTGCATGTCTAATCTGATGCTGCGTTCCATGACGAAATGAAGTCTACTCAAATCTTTATCTTGAGAATTTGGCCACTCGATGCCTTGCGGCCGGTCAACGGTAAGTGCAAGGCACTATTTGCAATGTACAGATACCCGTCGGGCCCGATAGACATCTGCTCTGGCCACCTCAGAAGAGTGGGATCACGAACAATTTGTTTCATGTGACTGGCCGGGGCGGTGGGATCGAACGCACGAATAGAAGAGGTCTGGAAGTCGGATAACAAGATATCACCATTCTTCCCAGTGAGCATACCAGTAGATGCTGGCTTGTGTGTTGATGAGATCTCGACAAGTTTATTGGCTAACGTAGGGTCTTTGGCGTCAAATGCCTTCTGTAGCGCTGCTGTAGGAACGCGGTATAGGACGTTTGATGCCGTGGCTGCAAAATAGACCCATTCCCCACTCCTATCTACAATGATGGAGGACACAGCTGGCCGCCATGGAAGGAGATTGAAATATGACCATTTAAGGGGACGCGGCCCCTTAGTGTCCACATCGGTTGTGAACAAGTACGGTTCTGCACGCAGCTTTTTTGAAGACAGGACAATTGCAGCGGTCAATTGGAATGTGTCCACCTCGATGATAGATGGAAAACCGCGAAGCATAGAACTGTCGGTGATGAATACTCTTCGGCCATCCGGATGCACAGAAAGGGAAGACAGGGTAGAGCTGACAAAGACGTTTAAACGTGAACGAAATGTAAAAGTCTCATGCTATGGATCTGCTACTTACCCATAGCCTGCCAAGTCAGCCAGCATGTACCGCATTTTCTCCTTGTTAGTGGTCAAATCCCACCAGACAAGCATTGGGGCCACCGCACCATACAACCCGTGATCAAGTACAAAGAGCGTTCTATTGTGGATCACGACAGCGGTGATTGCATTGAACCCAAGCTGATTGCGGATGGTTGGAAAAGGTGTATAGGTTTTATTTGCAGGATCCCAATATGCAAGCTAAACGCATTAAACACCGTTAGTTATACCTCGCAGCCAAACGGAGATTCCCTAGCGAAGTAAACTACCTTGGTGTCATGTCCGTGCTGTGGATGAAACGAGAAAAAAATCCGCCCATCATGTGCCACTGCAACACTACCTGGTGGGCTCGGTAGGTCTGCTACGACCTCTAAAGCTGAAGAATCTAGAAGTGGAGATCCTACTGTGGCGGGCTCCGGGAATGGTTTACCGCCTAGACCTACGAGGGGATGAGTACACAGCGATAGAAACAAGCATGCCCGGACTGTAAGCTTACCCTGGTTACCGTAGAAAATCACCCACAGGAGTAAACCCACCACTGCGACAGCCAGGACCTTTACAGCAAAGAAAACATACGGGTCCAGGACAATACCGTCCAGTCGTTGGGGTACCGGCTCCCGCTGTCTCCTTTCAGGACGGGGGGCAGGAGGTCGCTCTACTGGACTCTCTTGCTCTTTTGCGGCAGAGCCCTCTGCCTCAATGCCTTTATTCCGTTTCCTGATCTCCGCCATACCTGCTCAACGGGAGTAGAATTGCGGCTCGTTTTTCAGCGATAACCTCCAGTGTGCTGGTGACACAACATTGCGTAAGCGCCGATCAGACTTTCTCCTGACTCATCTCCTGGCTGTGGTTGCTTACTGGGTTAGCTGCCACTAGAATTACTTGGTATGGAAGAGCAGGGACCGTCCCGTCTTAAGTTCAAGGAGACGAAACGCAAGAAAAAGCACAGAAAAGAAGAGAACACAAGGAAGAAGCAGAAGAAGAAGAAGCAAGGGTCTTTGTCTCCCCAACTCCCCCCGTACTTTACCAGTCGAGGTCCTATTCTCTACGATGATGGTTACATGCCACCTGAACAGGCACACAAACCAGAGTTTACCAGCTTATGGGATGATGTGTGGGACGATGAACCGGGCGCTGCCCAAGATTATTGGCAAGCTAACTGGTCGAATTCTGCGTATCAAGAGCCCATCCAAGAGACGTATGACGATTGGGCAGATAGAATACGTGCGTCTATGCATGAGAAACGATATGGGGCTGCCGAAAGGATGGCTCGGAAGGCAGAAGAAGAGCGAGCGCGCAAGCGCAAAGAAGCGAGAGCCGAGGCTGACAGGGAGGAAGAAACTCGGGCGAAAGCACACCAGCAGAAAAGGAACGACCTTGATAACGGGAAATTGTCTGGAGCTCGCGATAAATACAGATCCGGGTGGACCAAGCTGAAAGCAGCAAACACGGAGAATGCATTTACAATTAAAGATTTACCTATACCCAGCATGAGAAAGGTACCGATTAGCATTGACTCTGTCAGCAGGTTTTTGTTCGATGGGTGTACGTTCACATTGGAGCAGAAGAAGAGAATGATCAAGGACTCGTTGTTATTATGGCACCCGGACAAGTTTGCTAGGCACAAGCGACTGTTTAAAGAGAGGGAATGGGATGCCGTGGTGGACGCGGTAAACCAGGTATCACAGGCACTGAACGCAATACATGGGACCTTGCAGTGACGGTGGACTGATGGTCACACTATATTAATTAAGCGCTATATTACTGCGCTTCACGCCATGGATCTTCTGCATCTGAAGATGGCGCGACTCTCGCGTCTTGATCTCCGGCGGTTGGCTCCAGTGGCGGTGCAGTATTTTCCGCTGAAGGACTCATGGTGGTTGCCGGTGATAATTCGGGTGTCACTTCTTTGCTGCTCACTGGACCAACTGGACCATTGGCGGCCGAATGCCAAGCATCGCGTTCAGTCTGCAAGGCTTCGAGCTGGATGCGCAGGGCGTCCCCTTCAGCCCTAAATTTGGCAAGCTCTTCATTGACGTTGTTAAGATGCTCCCGTAAAGCCTTACGATCCTCTTGGACTTCCCGTAAAATAGCCCCTTCTTTCTCCATGTCTGCAACCTTCTCCTCGGTACTAGCCAACTGTGCTCGTAACTTGATTAACTCATCATGGGCTTCGGCTAGTCGTCGTTCAGCATCATCCGCCCGCGCCTTTAGTGCATCCCGCTCAGTCTGCAGAGCAGAAAGTACACTTTCTACCTTATCAGCTCCACCCTTCAACTTTTCTGGTCCCGGCGCCGGGGAAGCGACAGGGGTCACCGGACTTGTCGTTGTCGTCTTGGCCGTGTCGGCGGCCAATGGATCCAGATTCAGAACTGCCAAATCCTCCTGTACACTAGCTCGGATATCTTTTTCAACGTTCTGCATTTTTCGCCATACAGCGTCTTCCATTTTCGTTTGGAATCGCTTCTGTATGTCATCGAACCGCTGGAGCATTGTAGTTTGCAGATATGCGAATTGTTCATGGATGGCTCGCACTTCTCTGTCTCGAGTTTGTCCTACTTGTTCCAATGCTTTGAATCGACTTTCAAGGACCTCGAGAGAACTGCGGACTGGAGATCGGTCAGTATATACACTGTGCGGCGAGGTCGGAGGCAGACTACCATCTGTATCTTTTAGTGTTGTCCCCATAGTTTTCTTCAGATTTTGGAGCTTCGCCTGTGCAAGAACGATTGGCAACCCGTTGTATACACAAAGTTTCAAAATCTCAATTCTCACATACATCCCGCCACTTCGTCACTAAAGGATCGATTCCATGTAATCTATCTGGAAAAGTGGACCTTTTAGCCGTTACGATGCGATAACCAATACTTTTCGGATCCATGTTCACTGACCAATTTCCTCTGCCAAAGTTCGCCCTTTGAAAAACTTTTGAAACTTTTCCTACAGAACGCGAACAAAATCAGCGCCGTCCTTACATCCAGTAGATGTTATCCCAACAGGGTGCTAACCACTTGATCATTCGGAACCTCCACTTCAAAACCAAACTCTTCCATTGATTCTGAGAACTTCATTTCGCAGCGTGTAGCAGCGAATCCTCTTTCAAAGATCCTATTGGAGGAGGGTAATTCCCATCAACAGTCTGTCATCTTGTTGGACATGTCAATGGTGTGCTAACGAACGCGTATAGAGAGGCCTCCATTTCTTTCCAAGCTATCCATCCCAATTTGCTTCGCACTAGGAAATGCATGCAGCTTGTTTCCGCGCCTGGTAGTGCTTCTTCAACCTCTTCGAGAGGCGTGTCGTCCTCCTGTTGGGGGCTGGTTGGACTTTCGGTTGCATCGGGACTAGCCACCTCAGTGTCTTCTGCTTTGTTATGGTCCCCGCTGCTAACAAAACCAAAAATACTGGCCATCTTGGCAGTAGAATATGGATATGATATCCTCGTCAACATGGAACATTAGGTATTTCAAGAGCGTGTGTGTGGCTGTGCTGATTACCTCAGCGTATTTGCCTATCGCAAATGCACGTCCTCCTCAGTAACCCACGCACATACCCACAGTGGTTTACCCTCCATGTGAGTTCCCTAGCAATAGCACAGTATTTTGAGACCAACGGTGCCTATTTTGGACAATCAACATGTGCACGGCCTAGCCATGCTTTGTTACGAACCACTCCGGGGCCGGGCGATCTACAATGCAAGCCTTAATACTGGCGCCGAGAACAGTATGTCCACCTTCACCCCCCGCTTAATCGTATACCTCCTATTTCCACGAGGAGAACTTCCGCATAATGGAGTGAGGATCTAAAGTCTCCAAGTCTCCACTCAAGAATCGAAGAATTGTGCCCATAGCGCTGGTTTCTCTTTGTAATCCGGATATTAGATGCTTGTCTGCGAAAGGGATTCGAATCATCATTTTTGTGCATTTAAAGGCGATGGTAGACTGTACGCAATGCTTGCTCAACGTCAGGAGACAAAAAACAGCTCTCGGGGGACGCTTGGTCGTCTTGCAATGTTGAACAGCTTTCACTCAACATATTTGTAGCAACAACTTCGAGCAGATAAGTTCCCGGACTCCGTCATTTCGGTACTTCTCAAACGTGTAAGGTATTAATTCTGGTAAAATATGGAGAATACGTGAAGGAAAGATGTTCTGTTGATTTGACCGTTTACAAAAGTATTTTTCTTTAGCCCACTTTTACATGGAAAGCGCCATCAACACGGAGCCAAATTGCAGAGTCCACATATTACTTGGAGCCATTTTTATGCGACTGCCATGGCTTGCGAAAACTGCAGAACGGGGCAACATGCTTTACGGATATCCCAATATGAAAATACGGTGTGTGGCAACATGCAGGTCGGCGATGCTTACCTAAGCCCTCCGATCATCCTCGAATGCAGACAGATACCTGTACGTCCATTATAAACAATCTTTCTGTGCACTGTATCTCAGGCATCAAAATGTGTCCTGCTGCATGTGTTGTCACTCATTCTTGTCGCTCGTGGTACGTCGGACGGATTCGTCAAGAAACTCGTTCGTTGCAATTGCGGCTGGGAAGTGCACATTGTATCACGTGACTGGCGACTTGTAAGCCAAGCAGGTCACTTCTGCTCCAAACCGATCTTCGAGTAAACCATGGCGGAACCAGTAGTCGTTGTCGGCCAACGATACAAAGTTACAACTTCATACCAACCGGCGCATGGGGACGAAATTGTTCTAGCTCCTGGTCATATTATATCTGTCCTCCATTCGTATGACGATGTATGTTGGTCACACCTGATGGTTAAGTCTAGAGAGATCTTTACGTATTTCCTTTGTTAGGGTTGGGTGCTTGGGAAGAATGAGGTAACTTTAGAAACGGGGCTGTTACCAGGAAACTTCCTCGCTCCACTGGATGCACCGGAACCTTCCAGCACTAGCCAGCCTGAGAAGAAGGTTGCCGACAAGCGGAAATCTTCGATGCAAGCGCCACTTCCTGTTGAACAAGAGCCAGCAGAAGTAAAGCCGGCAAACGGCGCGGAAGCGTACGCACCGCATGAAGTGGCGGCCATTAAGGTGCCAGATTTTCCTAGCGGGCTAGCCGCGGGTCCCCTCCGTGCGCCATCCATTGGATCTAAGCCAAGTCGTGCCGAGCAAGAAGACGCTCGAAGAAAGCTGAGAGATACTACTACCCGACGAGGCTCGCGCTCAAAGGTGCCTTCCAACATTGGGGTTTTGAAGATTGCGGTTGTGGGAGACTCTGGAATCGGCAAGGTGAGGTTCTGGGTCGAGAACGATTGGTTACCTTGCGATAGCCTGTCTTGTGGCTTATTGGACACCTCCTGCAATTAGTCCTCATTGATCAAGTTGTTTCTCGGTTCAACGGAGGTGGTAGATAGTACCAGCCCAAAGCCCATTGAGTCATATACTGCCCTCCCTATCCTTCAAACCCTGGCATCCACTATTCCAGACAGCCACCTGCTTGCTGGGGAGGAAAAGCTCAACCTTACGTTTTTGGAACCCCCAGGGTTTGGCAGCTATACCGATGCGATGAGAATAATTCGGCCAACGGCAGACTATAACATTCTTCAATTCCAGCGCACCGATCGCGTCTTCGTCCGCGACAAACCGGTTCCCAGTGGGACGATTGTAAAGTTCTTAAATGCAGGGACCGGTGCCCATACCCACGTTGACATCTGTTTGTATGCTGTTCTGCATCGGCTGAAAGCTGTTGACCTCGAGTTTCTCCGACAATTGGCACCGAGTGTTAGCATCGTGCCCATTATCGTCAAATCCGATTCGCTATCGTCAGCGGAGGTCTTTGCGCTAAAGGCCTCTATTTTGGAGGAACTGTGGCGTGCAGGCATCGAGGTGTACGGCTTTGGACTCTCGCATGCTGAGCTATTGCAAATCGCTCAAGCTGGTGTATCCGGTGCTGTTCCATATGCAATCTCGGCATCAAAAGTCGCTCCCGCTGCAGGCGCAACGGATAATGATGATGCTTTCCATGGAGTAGTGAATGAGTTTGATAGCCTAAAGGACAACATTTTATACAACTATATCGGAGAGCTACGACAGCGCACATCGGAGAAGTTTATGAATTGGCGATCAACCAATCTTCCATGATGAATGTGGACATAATAAGATTTACTTTCACTGTGTTGCAAGCACAACATCCTTGCTGACAATATTGATGGCTTATCGATCAATATTTTTCTTGATCTTCTTTTTTCGCGGTCTTAGCTTGTGCCCACATACTGGCCCTATATCCTCCATGTGCCACTCCTGTGCTACGACCTCCCATGGGTCATGGTGAATGATTATGTCTGATGCGAGTTTCATCTCAGCGCCTGGAAGGTGAACGGAATGAGGATGTGTCCACAATTTGGAGACAAGCTGTTACAAACCGCCAGACTCGATTAACTTGTTATATGCGAATCGTGCGAGCGCTCCATAGGAGGAGGATGAGTGGACTAGAACACGCAGAGATTGAAGAACTGTGGAGCTGCATAATTCTGCGGGACACGGAACTGAAAATATAGTCAGTAAATTGGGACTCGTAGACGTTTGCAATGTTCAGCTCTCACCCTCAGAAACAAATGGTTTGAGTGCGCGTACAATCTGCTCCAAAGCGGTGACATTGTAGGATGATAATGCACTACCGAGTCTCAAAAGCAGGTGACATCTTCGCATGATCGGACGATGTCTAAGGTTTGAAGAAGAGGTTGGTGACTGCCAATGCCTTCCAATGCCTCAGTTGCGGACAGAAAGTTGCCTGGGATAAAGTGCCATGTGGCATAACGCTGCTGCCGCTTGAGTCATGATGTGGTCTGCATATCTTTGAGATGAACTGACGGCAGCTTCCAACATAAATAAACCACAGGGACAAAGATCTAACCTTCATCATCCAATAGATGAAGCAATGCCTGCGTGAGTGCTTCAGACAGGCTGTCTGGAAGCTCTTACAAAGGGCGTGTGAGACGTTCTCCAGAAATGCGAGATTTGGAGCAAATATACAAATAGAAACCTTTGAACGCGGTAATCCGACGAATGATTCCTACGGCTTCGGCACGGAGGTGAAACTCGGCCGAGGATAGCATATCTATTAACTTTCTGATAGCTTCTTCCTGCACGTCTCCTATCGGCTCAAACTCTGAAAGACAAGGCCATGTCAATGGGTGTTTGATAATAACTTGACAGATCCTTCAAATTTACCGATGAATGGCGTGGGTGTTCTGAATGATATTGCGTCTTCTTCCGTGATATCCGGGCCTTCTTCATCTGAAACCGGTTGCGACGGAGGCAATTGCAATGCTCTTTCTGATCCTAACGATACTTGGGAAGACTCAACATCAGCATCTGAGATACAGAACACTTTAAATGATCGAAAATGTCCACCAACCTTTTGGGCCTTGCTTGAAACTATTCACAATAAGGTTGATCTCAGCAACAACTTCACCAGCGATCGATGACTCTCGGTCAGTTTCCGGTTTCAATTTTTTTCTCAAGTGGGCGAGTCTCGTCACGACTTGTTTTCTGGCCTCTGAAGTACCATGATGCTTAGACAAGATAACTTTCCGAATTACTGTAACGGCCGGGAGAAGGGAGGCCATATTGTTTTGGTTCAGGATCTTGAGAAGACTACGCAGGCCGCCTCCTTCCTCGAAGATCTGAGCGAGATCAGCTGTACAGTGTAAGCTTGGTCGCATTTCAATTCCGCTTTAGGTTACTAAACTTACGTGAAGTGACAAGCTGAACCAAGGCCTGCAAAAGGGCTGACATCACCACGTCTTCTGGATGCTTTTGAAGCAAGCGCAAAATCACATTCATTCCACCGTTTCTTTGGAAGCGGAAGCGGTTTTTATCTGGCAGTGATGAATCAGCTGCAAGGAGATCAAAGCCAGTCATGCTGATGCTTTCTTTACCGTTATTGGTTTGCCTTTCGATCAAGTTCAAAATCTTGACGGTGACTGAATTTGTTTGAACTTTCGTGGTATAGGGGTCGATCAGCCGCAGAAACGGGAAGAATTCATGCCGCTCCATAAATACATCAGCAAAATGCACTATAGAGTTGCTAGTAAGCATCTTGATATCTATCAATGTGATAATGCGAACAAACCTTCGCTCATTCGTTCTTTCAAAAATGGTAAAATCATCAACAGATCAGATTCGGTGGAGGAATCTAACCAGGCGACAAAGCAGTCAACCATTTGGACAACTTGATTGTCCTCAAGATCTAGATTCTTTGATTAAGTCGGCATGTCGATCCCTGTCACGCCGGAACTTTACCGTGCGGCGAAATGTTTTGCAACGTCCGAAGGGCTTGAATGGGATCTCTGACTTCTTTTTCCGTTCCAATGGTCCATCGAACCAGATAGGATAGAAGAGAGTCAACAGCACCAAGCTTTACCGCATCATGCTTATTGTCTTTGATGGAAAGCAGGTCAAGTTATGCTTTTAAACTTTGTAGAAAGGATTCATGCTCACTATCGGCCGCTAATGTGTCCTGAAGAAGGTGATATGCTCGCTCTGCAGTTGGGTAATGCTCAGAACCAGCAACCAGGTTCAGAACGGTGTCAAGGGTTTCGTGAGACATCTAGGCGCAAGGTGACAATGCTTATTAGGGAGAATAAACAAATTATCAAGAGGCGGACAAGGCGAACATTTACCCCATATGAGTTTGATTCCAGGTTTTCTACATTATGCAAATCGTAATTTGGGGACTTTTTGACAAAAACTCTGTAGAATATGCTATTCGATGTTGCTGCATGTCGTCCGAGGAGCTCCAGTAGCGTTGGGCGACCAATATCTAGGATGATATTTTAAACTATGCAGAATGCTTTCAGCAAGCAAAAGAATGTACAACAATATTACCTGCCCATTTTGGAGTTAGTGGATGAACGTACTGCATCTCTGCTCTATTATCAAGATAAACAAAGGCTGTGGAAAAGAGCTGAGACGTGTCGCGGCGTACGTAGTTGGCTCCATCGTTATAGTGACTTATCCACCACTTATTGCAGCCAATCAGCGTGTCCGCATGATAGCATCCACCGAGGAGGCTTTAAAGGCACAAAGAGAAGCCCTCGTCACCGCAAACACTCGTTTCTTTGTTTTGCACACACTCAAAGCTCATCTGTTCAAGCAATCTGCGTTTACTTTTACTTTCGTCAAATCTTACATTACCATGGCTCGTACCAAGCAAACCGCCCGCAAGTCTACTGGAGGAAAGGCTCCTCGTAAGCAGCTTGCCACTAAGGCTGCCCGCAAGTCAGCCCCTAGCACTGGCGGTGTGAAGGTACGAATATTTCCTTGCGCAGTTCTTGCATTCTCGCGACCACTAAACACGTAGTCTCTGCATTTCAGAAACCTCACCGTTACAGGCCTGGTACCGTGGCCCTTCGTGAAATTCGTCGGTACCAAAAGAGTACCGAGCTCTTGATCCGCAAGCTTCCCTTCCAGCGTTTGGTCCGTGAAATTGCCCAGGACTTCAAGACTGACTTGCGCTTTCAGAGCTCTGCGATTGGTGCTCTTCAGGTTAGTTTGGCACATGTTGAGTGTAAGAGTGCGCATATTCAGTTTGTCGTTTTCTTACAATACAGGAAGCCGCCGAGGCGTACCTCGTCGGTCTGTTTGAGGACACGAATTTGGCTGCCATCCACGCAAAGCGTGTGACAATTCAGCCGAAAGATATCCAGCTTGGTAAGTGGGGTCTTTTTTTTACCTTCCTCTGCGAAAGGGAGTGTGAAGAGAATCATTCTAACTCCAGTATTGATTGTAGCTCGTCGTCTCCGTGGTGAACGTTCGTAAACAAGCGAGTTGGTTGTGATGGTGCATCCATGCTTTTTTAAAAGGTTCGTAAATATCCAGGTGTTGCGACGGCATTTCGAAGAACAACAATCTGATTGCTGTCTCCTTCTATCTCTAGCAATATCTCAGGATGCATTTGATGTTTGATAGTTTCATTTTGTGTATATTGTTGATGTAGTACAATTTGCGTGAATACTCAATTCGTGTTCGGTATAATTGGCACGGTATTATTGCATGGTGCGATTAGAACGTATCACAGGCCATCGCAAACAGCATGGAATACCGTCCGTATATTCTAGCGGAATCAAAAACTGTTTTATTATCCCACGATATCTGTCGTGAATATAATGCACCCCAGACTTCATACCCCATGTCTCTGTTTACATCAGTGGTCAGTTTCCCACCCTCATTCCACAATATGTACAGGTTGAACCCCCGAAGGGAACATTCCGCTACTTAACGCACTTTGCATGAAGCTACACTGCTGGACACCCGTTACAACTTAAGGCAAGGTACACTGCCATAGCAGACCCAAATAACATGACTGCCCAGTTCGTGGCGAGCCCGATGGGTCTGCCTCGGCCAATCGCGTCTGGCGAGAAGATTCCGTCTGGAAAATATCAGAGGATAATATTAAACATCCGAAACACACATCCAATGGTCCGACCAAGTAACTGAACCACTTACATTCTGTCTGCACAATGTTGCCAGCGAGGAAAGCCAAGGATAGAATGTGTAAAAGAGGGCGATACGCGCCAGCAAGTTCCAAAGCACACAGTAAAATCAAGTAGAGCGGAACGTTGGTTGAGAACGCAGTCCTGGCATCGTTGGCTCTCATGACGGTAAGATATTTTTTGAGTGCAGGGCTGTTCTCGGTGTGGAGGACGGCAGTAGTCTTTTCTGCGCGTCCTTCAGAGACCGTTGTGCGAGATACGACAACATCGCGAGAAAGCTCGCGGGAAAGTTCCGCACTACCATCTCCAACAAAAACTTTGGCACGGTTGCGGGCCATCCAAACACGCCTGTGAGCGACAATACGTGAGTACGTCTTTATGAGCGCAACAAACCTGCAATAATGTAACCTACCTAGCAAGCCACAAGAACCAAAGAGTTGACAAGGCCGAGTAGAACGCGGTGACAGGAACGGGATTGGGGCCAAGCTGCGGGTATGACCATCGTCCATCCAATGATCTTGCACCGTAGGATTCATATCCTGGACGTTTTCTGGGTCCAACACATCCCAGGCATTCTGCGGCCTGTTCCGCCTTGTGTAATGCTCCCTTGAATCCTTCCTTCACCGACGAGATTCCTTCTTTGACATCATCCTTCACGCCTTCAAAGCTATCGCTGATACCTTCCTTAACACGCTCTGCCTTGTCCCGGACATTCTCCTTTGCATTGTTGACGCTCTCTTTTATGCGTTGCGCGGTTTCCTCAACGCTGTTTTTCACGCTGTCTGCAGCATTGTGCAGCGTTTCTCTGCCAGCTTCAGCAGCTTGTCGTACAGAGTCGCTGGCTTTTTCGACAGTGTTTCTGGCGCGTGAGGCGATTTGCTCCGCCGTCTCTTCAACCGTTTCGACGCCATCGTGGATTCGGTTACGGACATTCCCGAGATTTCCGTGAACACGCTGCCGGGCCTTCTCATATTCATTTGTAGCGGTATCCTTGACATGGTCGTATTGGTTCTCAAAGGACTCCCTCCCGTGTTCATACTGCTCGTAAATTTTATCTTTAACGTTCTCCAGTTTCTCTTTGACATCTTCCAATTTCTTCACCGTGATATCGGCGGCTTTGTCTTTATTTACCCGGTAGCGTTTTCCGGCTTTGGATCTGAGATAGTTGTAGCGTTCTTCCGCGGACTCTTCCGCGTCCTCAACTCGTTTTTCGGCGCCATGAAGAGCATTTTCAAGCTTCTCTTTTGTCTGCTCGATACCGGACCACAGACGGTTCAGAACACCGCCAGCCTGATGAATAAAGAAGTAAACAATCTAGAGACGGTCGAAATTAAAAATTTATACACAGGACCGTACCTTTTCCTGCACGACTTCGGCAGCTTCTTCACCTTCTTCCTTCAACCGTTCCGCCTCCCCAACCAGGTTGTTTTTGACTTGATACGCTTTACGTCTCGCACTGTCTCCAATCTCGCGTACTGTATCTTTGGCTTCGTCGGCCCATTCAGAAGCGGCATATCTGTGGCCATGGGGATTCTATAGTTGAAAAGCGTGATTAAAATCCGTTCTTAATGCTCTCGCGCTCCGCGTCCTCACCTTGTCGTAATGATGCACGTGAACAATCTTTACGTTATCCTCCTGCGCTTCATTGGAGGCACTCGGCCCCAAGAAAAAGTGCTTTAGTTTTGCGACAATGCCTGGAGGACGGTGCTCTTGTTCAGGGAGGGGTCGACAACCATCCTCGTCACATATGTAATCATCCTCCGTTTCTCTTATTGTAGTGCGTTCGCGGTGATAATGGTGCACTGGGTGGCCGTGAGTTTCTTCGTGGGAGTGCGGCATTGTTTTTTTTTTTTTTTTTGCCTAGTCTTCGGTGCGGGGTTGTTGTCAACAAATGTTGTCGGTGGATATTATGCGAGAAGGGCTTCCTTAATTAAAACGTGGGATGGAAAGTGACGCAGCTCTCGTTGCTTCGTTTTCAAGTCGGATGGATTGCAGTGCGAGGGGACTTTGGGGGATATGCCTTCCTTTTATAAACCGCTGTGGTAGAAAGTTTCGGAGGGGTTCCTTAATTGTTATTGCATGTGTGTCCAGCATGACTGCATGACGGACCATGACGTCACGCGAGGCTAACCGCATCGCGTCATTCAAAGTCCGCCGCCAAAAACCATTCCAACGGCCTGCCAAACGATTTGCAACGTTCAAACAAGTATTGACCAAAAGAAAAAATAAAACAATATGATTATAACCATTTACCAAAAAGTAAAAATATAAATCCGTATCCAAAAATACGGAAAGCCAAAATATAAAGACAAAACTATTGGCTATGAAAAACATTTCCCTGTCGCTTTTCCATTCTTATTTGGAGACCGCATTCCATGAGCCGCATGCCGCATGTAGAGCTCATCCTTACCAATAAAAATGAGAAGAGGTTAAAGAGCGAAAATCACATTGATAGTCTACGGCAGGATACCTTGAAATGAATATGTCTAAACAACAGGGTGATCAGACTTTGCTCAGATTCGGCATGTAGATTACGAAAAACTCACCGAATGCCTGGAGGGCGCGCTTCTGCAAAGTACTGTAATGCTTGGGCAACGGTTGCACCAGTACGTTCAATGAGATAAGAGCAGATCATGAATCCGGTCCTAACCAACATGGTAAAGACAAAGTTTTGTATAGTATCTCTCCGTTGTATGGAAGTGCTTGTTAATTACAAACCTGTTGAACCCATAATGACAGTGACTAAATCCAAAATAGCTTTTAATTTAAATGGGAGGCACAAATTGAAGAATAGAAGGGTTGTTTACTTACACCCCTACATGTCTGTCGGGATTCTCTCGCCAAAACTCTGCAACAATGTCATTGAACCGCGCTACTTCTTCTCGGGTTGGGGGGATTTTTGAGGTTGTTGCCAACTTTTGGTACCGACAAGTGGACCCTTCAAATGCTTCTGGAGCATATGGTGGTGCCTCCCGGGATATGTCAACTATCTATACGAGCAAAATTCAGTTCGAGGAACGGAGGATGCGTTGCGGCTCGTTTCCTACCAAACCAATATCAGGATGCCGTCGCATGAATTCTTTTGGTGTATGTACTGCGTCATCCTGTTTCATGGTCTTCATTGGGCGAAATAACTGCCAGGGACCATGATAAGATACTTTATCGACTGACTAGCACTGAAGCAGAGCGTACCGATGTTCTCACAGGAATTTCCGCCACAGGGGCGACTTTCTGCCATTTTGCATAGTTCCTAGAATCGCAAAAGTGTCACCAAACTGTCTATTTCGGTCTGCTCTTACGGAAATAGCTTACTTCAAGCTCCACTTCGATTTCGAGGGATTCTTCAACTGGAGCTGGTAGCTTAGATTCATCTACAGAGTATTAGGTCAGCGCGGCACAATTAAAGCACTAGGGAGACAGATCTAGTCGCGAAAGCACCTTTGCGAAATTGCATTCCATAAGCCAGTTGTATATGATGGCATTTACAACATCCGGTTGCTCCAACATGGCCTGATGGGCGGCGTTGGGAATCACAAATGGCTCAGCAACGTTGGCGGACGATGGAAGCCACGTATGAATGAGTTCAAGGTTCTCCTTAACCGGACAAACTAGATCTTCTTCCCCCCCTATCTGCTCAAAGTGAGTACCAGACCAGTATATCTATGAAAAAAGCCTTATATTACCAGTAGCACAGGACACTTTATGGTCGCATAAACATCGGATGATGCCCATTTTGCCTAATAAGCGGTTGGATTTGTCAGCGTCTCTATAGCGACCAACGTACGAAATGCCGTCTCACCCCTTTGAAAACGCGCTTTGCAATGAATGTCGAGTGCTGCCTATTCCACTCCAGCTGTCTTTTCCGGAGTTCCATCGAAGCTGACTGCCCGACTAGCCGATTCACAGATCGGGAATACACGCCCCCTCTTCGATCCAGATACCGTAGTAAATCGATCAATGGGGTAGGAGTTGCGATAAATGTTTTCAGCTTCTCGAGGTCGCTCAAGGTGGGAGTGGCTTTGGGGCAGAGGAACACAATCGCCTTGATCATATCTTCAAATTGCGGGTAGAGATAAGTGGCAATATTGCAGCCGTAGGAGTGGCACACTAGCTATCATAATCAAAAGGACTTTCATTGAGTGCGTGAAAGGATTCAAAGCTTGAGATCAAAGTTCGTACAATGAAGGAATCCGCCTTATACTTGTATATGTCTAAAAGTTCCACGAGATCTTTTGTAATCGATTCTATCGTGTAGGCTTCCTCACTGGAGACAACCAGTCGCCTTAGTAAAGACTAAAGACCTTAATGCCAATACCATGTACTTACGCGGTCACCTTTTCACTCTGGTCCCATATGCCGAAAATCACATTAGCCTTTGCCGGGTTCTGCATCCTGCCCAATCGGGCGTTGACTTCCTTACCTTGCCATGCCCGACAAGGTCGACAGCCAGAACGTTGGAGATATGGGAAAAGTGCGCAACCTGTTCGCTCCACTGCCCTAACTACGAGAGTCCCTATCAGTAGGTTGCTTCTCATGACACTGTGACAATCTATAAAGCTGCTCGTTCAGCCCGAAACTCTGGTGAATGCGAGATCTGCCCGATTTTATCCCTCTCATACGACCAAGTCGACATATAGATGACAGCAGCTTTGTTCCATTGATATCGGCGGTGTTGCTCACCTGGGCTCCCATGCCGTGAATGAAGACGATCAGTGGTAATTCGCGGCCAAGCTTATGTTCCATAAACACGACTCGGAGCTCCTTTCCTCGCACGTAATGCCATTTCGTGTGTTTCGCGACCAACGGATCTTTTTGAAATGCTTGTCAACTTTTGCCTTGATAAAGTGTCAACGTGCCATAGCTGGAAGAACGACAACCTACCGTCTTGGATTGTGGCCCGGCATGACGTTAATCTGTTTCTTCGGGCCAGATATGCCAATAGGATGCTAGCACCCAGGGTTGCGCATATTGTCGTTCCCCACTTTGTTATCAACGGATGTACATCTGTCGGCCACGATAGTAAGCGAGCCATCATGTGCGATCGGGAAACCTTCCAAGTGCGGAGGTGGAAAGGGTGATGTGAGGGTTGCGCGTGATGGCTAAGCACCACGATGATACAGTGATTACACAGCAGGCCAGTCATTTGGATCAAAGCTTGATTTTAAGCAGAACAGCTTGCATTCTGGAAAAGGACGTTAATTCGCATCCACTTCCATTTTCACTATCGGTATGAGATGACAAAATATCATGCAACACATAAACACAAACCACCGGGCGCACGCTCTATTCCGCCCATGTTTCTATACCACCTAGCTCCTCTGACTATTTTAAATTGGCAGCTCAAACTTCACCTGCACCCCAGCTTTCCTAGCCATGCCCACAATGTTACTCATTTGTACGGCCTTGCTGGCCGCAATATCCAAGTCGTCAACAGAGAACATTCTTAAACCACTCTCTTTAATTAACTTCTTTGCAGCTTCCACCTCAGTTCCTTGCAGACGGACAATGAGAGGGAGGTTCAGACCGAGTTGGTTCACCGCTGAAATGATACCCTGCGCAATGATGTCGCAGCGCATGATACCACCAAAAATGTTGACAAGAATAGCAGAGACCTGGACGGATTACAAGCAATTAGCATCAATGGTAAACAGGGGTGAAAGCTTTCATCAAGTACCCGTGGATCAGAGCTAATGATCTTAAAAGCTTCTGTGACCTGGTCCGCCTGCGCACCACCGCCGACATCCAGGAAGTTGGCTGGCTCTCCTCCGTGGAGTTTAATGATGTCCATTGTTGCCATGGCCAACCCAGCGCCGTTAACTGGTCGTGGCGCGGTCATATGAGTAGCTTCATTAGAAAACGGTTAAGGGGCGCTTACTCACCCAAACACCCAATGCTTCCATCAAGACCAATATAGTTCAGGTTCCACTTGGCAGCAGCAACCTCACGGGGATCCTCCTGCGTCGTATCGCGAAGGGCGAAGATGTCCTTTTGGCGGAACTCGGCATTGTCATCGAACCCGAATTTTGCATCCATACACATGACTTTACAGTCGGTTACCATCATAATCTCGGTAACAGGCGCATGGGCAACTTCTTACCCTTGCTCTCCCCGTCCTCAATATGGACCTCAGCCAATGGGTTGATCTCGATCATAGTGGCATCTTTTTCGATGAAGAGCTTGTACAATCGTTCGAAGGTGTCAGCGGCCTGTGAACAACGGTAACTATGAGGTCCTATGCTTTGGGTTAGGCAAGCATGACAGCGTCACCTGTTCCAGGGTGTTGCCAGTAAATCCGAGTTTCTTGGCAACGTTTATGGCATCTTCCCGCTTCAAACCAGTGTTGATATCGACCGGGTGCGTTACGAGGGCTTCGGGAGTTTCGGCGGCGACCGTCTCAATGTCCATACCACCTTGAGACGACGCCACAATGACGGGGCCTTGGGTAGCACGGTCTTGGATGATGGCGAAGTAGTATTCGCGACGGACGTACAGTCGCTCGACAACATAGACAGCGTTACACTGACGACCAGCTGCTCCAGTCTGCTTTGTGATGAGGTTGTGGCCAAGCATCTTTTCTGCAAACATTTTCACTTCTGTGGGGGAGTAAACTAGCCGCACACCGCCCTTCAATCCCGAGTCAAAATGACCCTTTCCACGTCCTCCAGCTAAGACCTGAGCTTTGATGACAAAGTCCTCAGTGCCAAGGTCCTGAGCGATTTTCTCCGCTTCCTTTGGGGTTTTGGCGACAGCACCACGTGGAACTTGTACGCCATATTGTTGCAAGAGGCCCATGGAAAGGTGCTCGTGGATGGAAAGGTTACGCTTTTGGGCATGTTGAAGTTGGCTCACACGAGGTTGGGCCGCACGGAGCTGCCAGAGGAATGAAAAGTAGCGGTTCCAGTTAGAGATCTATAGTTCTCACTTGTGTCTCACACGGGCTTCTGCCACGCGTGCTACTCGTCCCACACGCCCATCTGCCATCACGCCCACCTACCTGAGCGATGCTCGAGCCCCTTACAGCACGAAGTGTAGAGGCAAGCATTGTGGAAGAATGTCCAGAGATGAAAAGGCAAGATGGGGCCAACCAGTTACGACGAGGCCTATACCGGGCGTGTTTTTTCGGCAGTTGCTCGTTCCAAAGTGCCGACGCAGCCTGCGGCCACAAGTTTTGTTTCGGTTGGAATGCTTTTAATGCATTCAAGTGCATTATCGCCGCGATTTGTTCTACGGCGATATTTATAGTCCCGTTTGCAAGTCGCCGCTCCCCCACTGTTTTGGAGAAGGGAACTCATCGGTCGACGTTTTGTGAGCAGGCAACATTCGCTCGACTTTTGGCTATCGACGACGACGACAGAAAGACTTACTATGGCCGATAATGAGTATGGCTTGGTGGACGATGGTCTTCAAGACCCGTATGGAGCACTCGGCTATTTGGACGATGACACCACCTACCTCGGCGGTGGAGAGGATATGGGTGAGATGGACGGGCTGCATGTTGACGGAGTTATGAGTGCCGAAGCCGCGGAGATGTATGCCAGACATCGAGGCGGTAATATCCTGGACCCAAACAGAAGCGAAGCAGGGTAAGTCAAGCTGACACTTGTTTCTGCTGAAGTGAACTAGTAGCGGGAGGCGGGTTTATATGTTGCCATAGTCCAACAAAGGTACGTGTGAATTCCTGGCGAATGCCTGTTGGATACGGACATTATTGCTTCGTAAAGTTCAAAATGGTTAACGTCTTTTCCATGACGGGGTTACAGTGACTATGTTGCAGGTTTGGTACTCCCATGTGGCTATGTAGAGGAGGGAATCTAGCGGGAAGTCCATCTAGAGAGACGTTAGTGCGATTCGTAGTAACTGAAGGAAGACAGACCACAATACGCTTCGTTAGCCAACATCTGCTTAGACGGCAACCAGACACTAGCCGTAGGCACGATGGTTTTAGTAACAGGCAAGATAGCTAATTAGAGTCTTTTTCCGTATATTCCGCATGTGTAGGAAAATGTTCATAGGAGGTCTGAATTGGGAGACTACTGATGGTAAGAATAAATCGTTAGTCATTTACTTCAGAATCGCGGAAATTTCCGTCAAATTGCATTCGACACGCTGGATGTGCATATGGTTCAACGTGCTGCCGTTTCAACAATCCCGACAATGCCTGGGTCAATCCTGATCGGTTTATCATTGACATTGCCTGCCATTTCTGTTTCAGAAAGTATGCGGGCCTATTTTGAGAAATTTGGCGAGGTGGAAGATTGTGTCGTTATGAAGGACCCTGCGACAGGACGTTCACGAGGATTTGGATTTCTTACCTTCAAGGATCCTCGCTCAGTGGACGAGGTAGTTCAACTCGAACATACACTTGACGGAAAGATTGTACGTCCATTACCTTTATTTGTGTCGTCGGAGGGGCTTTTTGAAGCATAAAGTCTCACGCGTGCTACCCACGCACCGTAGATTGATCCAAAGCGGGCCATCCCCCGCGAAGAACAAGACAAAACAGAAAAGATATTTGTGGGCGGAGTTGGCTCAGACGTAACAGAAGACCAGTTCCGCGAGTACTTTATGCAATTTGGGAAGGTGATTGATGCCACGCTCATGATTGACCGTGAGACAGGCCGACCCCGAGGATTTGGGTTCATCACTTTTGAGAATTCTGATGGAGTGGACAAGGCGATGGCCAAGCAAGCCCTGGGTGAATTAGCCATTAACGAAAAGATGGTATTTTCGGTTCAAAGCCAACTTTTTTAATCGAACATGTCTAAACTTCACACCTGCGCTCCTTAGGTCGAAGTGAAGCGGGCCATGCCAAAACATAAAATCCCGCAAGCTGCGGGAGGGCAGCGTTTTGGAAGACCGGAGAGCTCGTTTGGGGGCATTCCTGACACGCGCACGTCAAACTTTGGCCCTATGCGGAGTCGTATGGGTGGCTACGGTGAAATGGGTATGGGCATGAATCGCATGGGCCCACGGTATGGATATCCTGCCGGCATGCCGTACGGTCGGTATGGTGGGGGTGAAGGTGCGGGTTTTCCTCCCGGAGGGTTTGGCTACGGAATGTACGGACGCTATGGTTATGGAATGGAAGGATACGGCGGGTACGGCCGGGAACCATCAATGTCGGCTTACTATTCTCGAGGTTATGGGAGCCCGTACGGCTACGGGTATCCTTCCTATGGTTATGGCAGCATGTACGGACGCTATGGATATAACCGCGAGGGTGGATATCGCCGCGCACCTGATTCCCCTGGGGGCTCTCCTGGACGCGGATCATCTTCGCGCGGATATGGATCGCCGGGGGCACGTCGCGGTGACGATGAAGGGGAAGCCGTGGCGCTCGCTGGCGGCGATGTCGACGTTAAGCCTAACATTAGTGGAGCTGGGCCAAGGTTCGACCGTGAGAGGGATCGCGACAGGGAATACGGATCTGGCCGACCAAACGTGCGGGGCCACGGATTTCATCCCTATGCTCGGTAACGATACAAACGGCTGGACAGGCCGATTTTCCTTTTGATCTTTTTGTTTTTGCATTTTCACTTTGACAATAATACGCCACTTTGCCGTAGCATACTCACCGTGCTCCTCCGCGTAGTATGAATTGTGGATTTAAGTAGATGGGTGCCTTCAGCTAGATCCATTTAACACTAGCGGAAGGACCACGCACGTACACTGTTCCAAACGTCATAGGTGTCCTGAAACACGTACCACAAATATCGGATAGTAAACGAAGCTAGTTTTAAGTCAGGTGTATTTACATGTCCATAAAATCAGTTTTTGGATTTTGCTCTAAGATCTGGGAGACTATTGTACTAAGTGGTTGCAGTTCTTTGCTATCTACCAGGTCAAACTACGTAGACGAACGCAGCATGAGGACAAATCGTGGTGCACATGACACAACTAGTGCAGTTCCACTCACCTCCGTTACAAATAAAATGAAGTGCTTAAAGCATGTATTTAGATGTCGATCCTCACCGACTGCTTCCAATTGCTAATTTAACTAACCGTCAGTAGACGTCTCTGAACCGGTTGATAATGAAGACATCACCTTGAGATGGTTATGATATAGGTGTGCATAAAAACGAAATAAGCGTTTGAAAATCTGTTTCACGGTCGTGTAGAATTGTGGTGGAAATTCGTCGGAAGGCGGAAAGATGGATTCGTCGTCTAATTGCCTGGTGGAACGGTTTGAGATAAGACGACCGTCCTGCTCTGCGCGAATTAACATCAACCCGGCTGACTTACGTATCCACCCACGACAGAAGATACTCAATGTACTCCGGTGCTGTGCATTTGATAGGTTTTGGAATTGATTTTCCGTCAGCCCAAAGGTATTCATATCTGTCAGGGAAATTAGCGATGTTTTATAAAGGTCCTATCCAAGACCCCTGTTGAATTGCATACCGTGCTCCTGCTGTCATGCTTGGACAGTTTTCTCGTGTGCAATATTCGGATATGCATCCATAGAGGAGATTTATTTGATTGTAGAAGTCGACGGCTAGAGATGCAGTTCGTGAGTGTCCACGCTCCCAACATAATCGAGCAGTGCACATCACCGATGCGACAAACGCACTATTTACTGCAAGCCATTCATCTCGACTCGTATCTGGCGGAAGCTCAACTGCTGCTCGCAAGCTGCCCCCGCCAAGCGTTTTCTGAAAGAATGGTCGCCCAAATGAGTATCATTTTTCAGCTACTTCCTTGGCCATTTCCTTGAGCGGTGCAAGCACACAGGCGGTTGAAGCTTACCACAATATACTTTTGTAGTTGATCCCGCTTGGTTCCTTGAAAGAATTGTTTCTTGGACTTGAAGGTTTTGCCTTCATAAGTTCCTCTATCGGCGTTGTATTCACGTCAGAGAATACTTTCAAAGACTATATGCATGCTACAACACTCACAAAAACTTGCGATAGTCCATTTTCGTGTTAGTCTATGCGAAATGAACAGTGCGGCAAATGATGGCGAATTCTGCAAAGACGAGACGAAACGTCCAACATGGACGGTCCGATGCTAAGCCGCGCGTAGGGTATAACTTGAATTGAAGTCCTCTGGTCAAAGCCTGCTCCTCGAATGAAAGAAACTGGGCTATTATATTGACACTGCAGTACTTTTTCAAGGCTAAAGTTTTTTTCATTGGCTCAAGCTTCTCTGTATTCCACTATTTGCCTCTGGGTAACGCCGACTCTTCCAACGATCGAGTACAAAAGACAAAAAATAACAGCACATTGATAAGTAAGTAAACCAATTATACCTTCTGCTTCTTTTCCGCGCTCTTCTGCACAGCAAGTAAATTCGTCAACACACGGCATGCATAATGCCACATCGTCAGAGTGACATCGTTCTCACCTGGGGAGTTTGGAGACTGAATCTCTCGGCCCGCTTTCGCTTTTTTTCCTCTTCCTCCGCGCTAACTATTACTTTTGCTACTTCCGGGTTTACAGTCCCCCAACGTTCCACCCGTTTCTTCAAGACTTCAGGATCAATCTATTTATCGGAACGACTAGAGTCAGATCTGTTATGATGTCTTCGAACAATGATAGGGGACATCATACCGATAGCTTCCTAGTGCCGGCGGACTTGGAAACCGTAGCGTTGACGGTGGCTGTACCGGCCTTCGGGTTGGGGGTTGCTTTCACACCCTTTGACTTCCCCACTGGCGTTTTAGAGCGTGCCGCACGGTTTTCCAAAAGTGAATTTTCCGCAACTGGAAGTCCGAAGCGAGCGGCTCTTGCTTTACGCTTCTCCTCCTATAAAAAGCCAGTTGATGTTGACGATCACCTGCTAACTCAAGCATTTCTGCCTATATACCTCAGTCAGTTGAGCGGTCACAGGAGGTACTGAGACGGTACTCTTCTTCTCTGAATTTGCAGAGACCGGCATCTGTTACATCATGCATTCAGTATTCCTAGAGGGGTTTTCAGAAACGGCTTTACTTACCCCTGTCACCGGGGATGCTGTGACAGCGGCAGCAGGACTATTTGCAGCAGCGGAACCCCCGGAATTACTCTTTTGCGGCGAGGCAGCTATCCCGATCCTTGCGTTTCGGGCTGGCTTTTCCTTTGCACTGAGTTCCTCCAGCTGTGCCAGCTCAGCGTTAAGTTCCGAGTCGTCGTGAAGGGTGGGAGTACTGATATTGACACGTTCGAGCAACCTCGTCACTAGCTCGTCCTTTTTGCCAGTCGTCGGTAAGCCCAATTTGGTCAATTCTGCATCGAGTTTCCTGTAGATCAGCAGCCACAATGATGGAATTTGCAAGATCAGCAATTATATACCTGCTTTCAATTCAACAATCTTCAGCTTCTTCACGGCTGCTTCGGTGAGAGTACTCATTTTGGAACGACGACTATCTGGGGTTGTCACAACTCGGGAGCTAGCTTTGGACGCGAAGGTGCAAGATTGACCTCGCAATACCTACTCTAGGTCGTGCAGCGTGGGCGGTCTTACTTAATACTAGCTGAAACAGGTAGTAATCCTGTTGCTTTGAGAACAAACGGATGCTGCTGTGGAATTTTGGAGCTGGTGAGATACGGACTTGGGCGCTTTGGCGAGCGAAACCTGGTTAGAACCGCTTTGGGGATGACGGAAGCAGAATGGGAAGCCTACGCGACATACATTGCAGTTATGCGTGCTCAACATCCAGGTGGATGAGAGACGCTCTCTGCCGGGGTTTACAAAGTACCTCATAGATACTCACTGACAATGCTTCAAAAGGCCTAACCACAGACTACACTAATCCTACTCTACCCTAATATCATAGAAAATCTAGAGTAAGGCGGGTGCCAGAAAGACAAAGTCCCGCCCATCCTTTGTGCAATATATTGCCGTAGCGTGGTGTCTCATGCCGAGGACAATACACACAAGATGTTCATCGGACGCAAACTATGGCAAATAGTTCAAAGAAAGCGAGCATGGATGGCTCGCACCCATAATTGTCGGGGGGCGATATGGCAGAGTCGATACTCAGCAGACCATGTTCATGGACCAAATATGAAGGATTGTACAAGAAAACTAAGGCAAAATGCAGACTGTGGACTGCAAAGCAAATTCAGAATCTACATTTATGAAGGATGAAAAGCCAGCAGAGGAATATATGATACAAGATGAAGCCCAGTACATGATGCCCGTCTTGAAGCAAGCATTTGCCTGCCGATGATGCAAGTCAGTGGCTGTCAGTTCTGGGTTAAGCTCGCTGCCTTATTTCAATTGGGCCAAAGTACAAAAAGACCATGCAGCCAAATGTCCGGAATGTCCGAAACTCGGAAATCATTTGACCAGCCCCCGCAGTTGGCGTGAACTGACAAAACGAGGTTTGCTTACCTTTTGACATCTGCGTCAAGCAGCCAACGTCATGTTTCTTCTTAGGAACCTCGGCAACCTGGTTTTTGGGGCGGGCAACAATGATAGCCTGGTAGAGTTGTCCTCAGGGCAGCTGTATAAAATAGATCCTCGTGCTGGTAGTGGAAAACAGCTTACCTTTCGGAATGCAGCCGCGACGATTCGTCGTACTAGCACTCCGTACAACTACCAGCTTGTCATAACTCGTCTGTACGAGGAAGGAGAGGACAATGCTGACGAAGACGATCTGTTGAATGATGAACGCACATTTTTACTCGACGCGAAGCTCAGATTCCGGCGGGTTGGGGACCGGAAAGGTCCATCTTTGCTCCACTGGGCGGACTTGGAGGATGATAGTGGACAATGCGGATGGGAATTTGCTGTCGACTCGACGATCAAAGAACCGACGCTGGCTCTTTTCGAGGATACCGCTTACACCTGCATGTTTGAGAGGATGGCTGGAAAATCTCATGCGGACGTCAGCGATGATGAGCTGACTGCGTTTGTTGATCAAGTGAAGGCAAGGGCTGCTGCCAACCCAATCGGGCAGAGAAGAAAGGATATTCAGGTAAGTCTGCAACAGATTTGCTTTACATTGTCATTTTTCAGGAACTCATCCTATCCGACTAGTCTCCTCGCACTCCCCTCAGCGCTAGTTCAACTAATCAGCGGAACCCCGAATTGCGCACTCCTCAACAGTCATTGAACCCGAGCTCGCCTGCACCCGCAACACCTACTCCAGCGTTCTCTGGCAGAAACGCATCATTGACGTCTCAGCAGAGCACACCTGTTCGGCCAGCTTTACCATCTGCTGCAGTACCGGAAGGGATGGTGTTGGATTCCACAAAAGCCCAATTATTTGTTTTTGACATTCGGGTGTATCATTTTGTCCTGATGCAGAACGTTGTGACCGCCGAGCTGATTGAAACCGAAGCGTACCAGTTTCACCTTGTTGTGAAGGATGCCGACCGCGTGTGGGTGAGCCAGCCTATTGAAGACAGAATGTCACCGACTTTTAACGTGGAGCAACGATCGTTCGTATGGGTTCAATACGATCCGGTGACTGGTAAACCGCTTTACACCTGGTCTCTCAAGTTTACCGGTGAACCTGGGTCTGAAGCTGAGTTCAAACAGCTGATATCTGAATGCGTGTACGCGACGATGAACAAAGAGGAGTTTAAAAAGATGAAGAAGGATGAGCAAGAATATTTGATGAAGATATATGAAGAGGACCCGATGGATGTGGATGAGCCCGAGGAGGAGCCGGCAGAGGAGGAAGAAGAGGAATGGGAAGAAGAGGTTGATACCGCTCGGCAAGATGCTACCGATGGCCCTGACTCGGATGATGAGAATGCGCATCTCAACCAACTCGGAGCAGGAAGTAAAAACAGTCAACTAGCCGTTGGGTACAAGAACGACCGCTCCTTTGTAGTGCGAGGTGACAAAATTGGTGTCTTCCGACACACCGACGATGATCAACTTAAATTCTCCACAACTATCAACAATATTCGCACCCTCAATGGTAACACGTTCTCGCCCCGCAAGATTATGTTGCATGAACAGGATACATCCATGGTCATGATGAAGCCTGGGGACGACCACAATTTGTACAAAATGGATCTGGAATACGGGAAAGTCGTGGAAGAATGGAAAGTAGATGAAAACCGTACCGTCCAAGAGATTGTACCCGATACCAAATATGCGCAACTAACCCCGGCAAAAACACTGGTTGGTATCGGCCACAACTCTCTATTCCGCATCGACCCGCGTCTGGCAGGTACCAAAATTGTCGAGAACGAATCTAAGCAGTATGCTTCAAAGTACGGATTCACATGTGCGGCCACCACTGGCAAGGGCGAGCTTGCGATAGGGTCAGAAAAGGGAGAGATCCGCATGTACAATAAGCTGAACGTCAGAGCCAAAACGAATCTGCCTGGTCTGGGTGATCCCATTATTGGCATCGATACGACGGAAAACGGCAAATACATTATCGCGACATGTAGGAGCCACCTTCTGCTCATCGATACTGAGATTAAGGGCGCAGGTGGACAAAGCGGCTTCCAAAAGAGTATGGGAGGATCCAAACCTCAACCAAAGCGATTGCAACTTAAGCCGGAACATGTTGCCTGGTTGGGGTCTGAGATCAACTTTACGCCTGCAAGATTCAGCACGGGCGATTCCGAAGAAAGCGCCATTATTACGTCTACGGGTCCGCATGTCATTCGGTGGAACTTCCGGAGAGTGAAAGCTGGAAAACTCTACGATTATACGATCAAAACCTATGCGGACAAAGTGGTCGCCGATAACTTCAAATTCGGTCAGGACCGTGCAATGATTATCACATTGCCTGAGAACGTGGAAATGATTACCAAGGTATGTGCAGAATGCATGGTAGCCATAGTGTCAAGTTTACTCATTACTTCTTTGCCTTACAGAATAAGCTCTCCACCCCGGTGAAAATGCTCAAAAGCCGGAATAGTATCGTTAACTCTCCTTATTAGTAGCATAGCAGTTGACTTCGAAAGTAAATGTAGGAATAGCTTGACAACTGGGTATTATCCTCAGAAATATCAGTATACGTGTATATAGAGTGTCGCATCGCATTACATATCTCTCTCTGTTACTTGTTAGTATTTTGAAGGAACTCCCTGTTAACGTCATCTTTAAGTGAAGCTCGTTTTGTCCCACCACATGGTTATGTCACGTTTGAGCCTTTGCATCATTACCAGCTTATAAGTTAATATTATGTACGAATATAATGGAGGGATTATTTTACATGATGTATAGGGATTTCCATCTGTGTGATGGCAATTCTACGGCTCGGAACGAGATGCGAATAGCCGTTTCTTTCCAAGGCAAACTTTCAGTGCCGCGTCATGGCAATATGTCACATAGGAGAAATGATCATCCTTCTCTCCACTGCTCAGCACATTTACAGCACTAAATATGCAATAAATGTAAGGAACGTAACCTCAACATATTGCCATAAGACCACCAACCTTGAAAAAGATCGACATGGGTTCATCTGCTGATCTAATCTGCAGCTGCATAAAGTATGCTCGGCCGTGTTCACACCTGGGACATCGAGCTGAAATAGATGCAGAAGAAGACTGAGTCAATCATCGACGTTCACAGCGTTTCTAGTTCGACGCAAAATCGCGGTACTTTCTCACCTTCTGTAGAATCAACGTTTTCCCAAGCGGCTGCTCCGCCTAATACGTCGTCCACCTGTTTACGTTTGAAATGTGTCTTCTGTGTAATTTGCTAGTAAACCCGAGGATTGCGAACAGATTGTCAGTACGGGAAGCATTGCAACACTGAACATAAAGCCAAGCCAGCATCAGCACTGGAGGATACCTTGTTGATTCTACAAACGTAAGGGCAAGTTTGGCAAACAAACTGGTTTGTGCCAGCTTCTCCTTGCGCTATCAACAAGAGGTTCGCACAGCTTGGACAAAAGTACATGGCGTCTTTCGCAAGTGTTGGTGGAGATCGCTTGGCTGCTAATTACTCTCCAAAGTTGCTTGACCAATAGTGGCGCAGGATATCACAAAGCCAAAAAAGGATATATGAGAAGAAGAAGCAGATCAGTGACTCATCTGTCATTCAACGCACCCGTTCGCCTGCTGCCATTGCGATCTCAGAAGCAACATCACTGGAGCTTCAGCCAAGCGTTTAGACCGTACGCTCTCCGCAGGTGATATAGCCTAACTATTATGTGTCACTTGTGACTTTTATGTGAACGTAGATTTAGTCTCTAGAAACTCATCAACATGCCGACCGTCAATGTTGACGCTGAGCGTTACGTCTTCAAGCCCCTCAAAAAGACTTTTGGTACGGTATCGTGGGAAATGGACTAGTAACAGAGGATTGGGGCTGGTAATGGATATACTTAATGACATTAACTTGGCAGACGCAAAGGAGTTTGAGGAGCTATGTTTCGAGTTTGGAATCGAGCTGGAGGAAGCTGTATGTCCCATTAGTTATTCCGTTGTTTGCTGTATGCAATCCATTCCTTGTGGACGCCTTACCCTACATACTTCTGGTGACCTGTTGTTAGACGTCCGAGCGGGAAATGGCAGCAAAGGAGGGGGAAAAAGCTGATGACTTGTCCGATAAACTCGTGTACAAGATTGATATTCCAGCAAACAGGTAGAGTAAGCTGCTTTTATAATTTTTATGTACGTTGTACTCATCCCTCAGATACGACATGCTTTGTGGGGAGGGCATTTCCCGGGCCCTGAAGGCCTATTTGCAAATTGAGAAACCACCTGTGTACAAGGTTGTTCACCCTGTAAACGGAAAGGCATTGGAAAAGCTTTACGTCAAACCCGAGGTAGATATCGGTCATGAGAAAGTATGTACCTGATGAATGATGTCTCATACTACCCTGTTTCAGACTGGTGCTATTCGACCTCATGTCGTTGCGGCCATCTTGCGAGATGTAACTTTGGATCAAGGAGCATACGATAGTTTCATCGAGTTGCAAGACAAGCTACACAATAATATCTGCCGGTATATCAAGAGCGGCACATTGAGTTCCATACATTGGTGGAACAGATTGCTAATCCAACATACCAGAAAACGAACCCTGGTTGCCATTGGAACTCATGATCTCGACACCATTCAAGGACCTTTCTCCTACGAGGCTTTGCCTCCAAAGAGCTTGAAGTTCATTCCCTTGAACCAGTCGAAAGCAATGGATGGCGAAGAATTGATGAAGTTTTACGAGGTTCGTATCGTGTAGGTCACCCTTGGGTCAATGCGGAATCTTACAATCATACTCTTATTTTCAGACTGATAGGAAGCTTAGCAAGTTCCTACATATCATCCGAGATGCACCACGTTATCCCATCATCTTTGACAGCAAGCGCACGGTTCTTTCTCTTCCTCCTATTATCAACGGTGATCACTCAAAGATCAAATTGTCAACCAAAAACATTTTCATTGAATGTACAGCAACGGATTTGACAAAAGCGAAGATTGTCCTTAACACAGTAGTGACAATGTTCTCGCAATACTGCTCCAAACCGTTCACGTGAGTGATGGGTCCCCGCGACAGTGTGATCCTTCGTGTTGATCTCACGCGTGCTCTCATTACAGTGTTGAGCCAGTGGAAGTCGTTCATGCTGATGGAACGTCAGTGGTGTATCCCGACTTGAGTTCAAGAACCGTAGAAGCAGATGTAAACTACATCAATCGATCGATTGGTGTGAATTTGGAAGCGGACAAGATTGCGGAATTGCTAGAGAAGATGTCCCTATCCGCACAGACATCCGAAGACCACAAAAAAGTGATCGTTTCGGTTCCACCGACGCGGAGTGATATCTTGCATGCATGTGATGTTATGGAAGATGTAGCGGTTGCCTATGGATTTAACAATATTGTGGAAACTACGCCAAAGTTCGGGACTGTGGCGGTACAACAGCCGGTCAACAAGTTAACGGATCAGTTGCGAAGAGAGATTGCGCTAGCTGGTTACACAGAAGTGCTTCCCTTCACTTTGGTAAGGGACATCAGGAACATTCGTTCATCATGGGACAGTAAAATAAACTTAGTCATCATAAAACAGTGCTCTCATGACGAGAATTTTGCATGGCTCAACAAAGAAGACAAAGGAGAGGCGGTCAAACTCTCAAATCCTAAAACTGTCGAGTATGAGGTATAATCCCGCACAAAAGTTATCGACTTTCTGAGGAAGCCGCTCACCCCGCTCCAGGTCGTTCGCACCAGCCTGCTCCCCGGTATGCTCAAGACGATCAATGCGAACCAGCATTATCCACGCCCTTTCAAGATCTTTGAGGTCTCTGATGTGGTGTTCAAGGACGACCGTTCCGAATATGAGCGGAGATCACGTAACCAGCGTAATTTGTGTGCTGTCTACAGTAACAACGCGTCCGGTTTTGAGGTACGACAGGCTTATGACTGCGTTCACCAATTACAAAGGGCTTGACACACACGTCTTTATTTCTTCAGAACATCCATGGCTTGTTGGATCGGATCATGATGAAACTGGACGTGAAGCTGGTTCCGCATGGTGACGCGAATGGGTATTACATTAAAGAATCTGAGAGTAAGTACTTAGCGCAAGATATGTAGATCCATATCACACTTAAGAATAATCCTTCTGGCAGACGCGACGTTCTTCCCTGGTCGACGTGCTGATGTATACTATCAGAACGAGGTGATTGGTTCGTTCGGTATCGTGCATCCCAACGTGCTCGAAAAGTACGAGATCAGTTTCCCGTGCACGGCGATAGAGATCAACGTGGAGCCTTTTGTATAAATGGGAAAACAGTACACGATGTTTTCGGATAGAGTTTGGTAGTGAGATAGGTCATATCATTATAAACAGTCCCATACTGTATCTTGTCATTTGAACGGGATTCACGGCGGCTGGAGCCGCTGGTTACAAGTATCTTAGAACATGGCCTATTGGTCGTCCAACACTGTCAGACGTTGCTATTTTTCACCTTCCGGGTTTACAGGATTTTAACCCGAGGAGTTTGTGTATTCATTAGCCGTGTTTCTACTATACAGAAACCACCTTTAAATTTGGGAATGGATCCTCCTTGGCCGTGACAACCATTTGTTTCTCAAACGACAGGTATCCCTTGAGGTATCCCTGGGCCAAAAGTATCAATATCACACTGGTGAATCACATTGAATACATCATCTCACCTTATCAATCATATTCGCCAACATGCACGCAACAGCATCAGGAGTGACATCAGTTCCAGCCAAATGTAACGCCCTCTGAAATTGCGCCATTGGTATTCGCGTACTTCGTTGGTTGATTAACCATCTGCATCATGTCATGGCAATTTAGTAACAGCATTGCATCACAGAGTGAGGAATGTTCTTGACGTACACTTTTTTGAACAGCATCCTGGCTGCTAAAGCCCTTGCCCTTTCTACTGTTAAATACGTGCCCCGATTTATCAAATCCCTTTGCAACCTATACAAGGTTTCATCAAACAGTCTCACATCCCCTCGTCGAATTGCGAGTGCAAAATTGCCGTATAGGTAGTCAAGGGCGGGATACTTGATGAAGAGGGATGCACTAGGGAGGAAGCCGAGTATGAAGCGCGTTGGGATAAGATAATTGAGTATGAGACTAATAACAGAATATGTAAGATATGAGAAATGGAGCGATGCAGAAAACAAGAGACTTACATGCGAATTTTTTCAATTCGTTTTCGGGCTTGCTTGCCTTTCCCGGTAGGACAGTGCCATAGTGCAAACGAGAGTTCTTCTTCCGCCTTCAAGGGAAAAGGAGTCAGGATGAGGCGGATCCCAAATATACGGACCAGTTCCGACCTTTTTATACTGTTCATTGTAAAAGCTCAAAACGCCGACATAAAATTTAAAGGTTACTTGATCTGCAATTGGGTACCGTTCAAGGTCTGGTAAATCCCCGGCTGCAACCGATCGGAGAATGGTGCTGCAGAGATTTGTTTGCGTTAACTGCAAGCTGTCAGCACCATGAGACGAGTAGAGTAAGGACACTGGAAACATAGTTCTTACCTTAAAGTATGTCTTGAAGAGGAGGTTAACGATATGATACGTTCCCCACTTTCGCGATCTTTCTAATGGCGAGAATCTGGCGAAAAGGCTTCAGCGCGCGCGAACGGTCGAATAAGCCCTCTTCATAACTCGTACCGATCCGTGACACAATACGAAAATGCTTTGTTCATTGTTCGCGCAGCTTCTTCCAATCGACCCGCTTTACTCCCTCTCTTCCGTGAGACGTCGTCTGCCTAAGCCCATAATGTTACCGGGACCATTCCCTGTTCCCATGCGACAGCGCATATCCACCCACCTGAGCACTTAAAGACCACAGATCTCCATTAAGAGCGTAGAGTACCGGTAGACACCACCGTGTTTGGGACGGGAAGAATTGGTGGAATGCTCTAATAAATTCGTACGAGGTCAGATCGGCACAGAGGGAATCCAATACAGGTTTGAACGGCTGTCATTACTCACTGCGCGGTACTATTTTGCAGCTCTGCAGCAACTACTTCGGGGATATCTATGCCGCCTCCTGACTCTGACCCGAATCCATTTGACCCAGTAGCATTGGCCATTTCTTTGAGGACTTTGAGATGACCACACACAACTTCAGCCCAGTTTTCGTCAAGTCGGTTTCGAACAGTTGATTCGAGAGCCTGTACCTAATGTTAGGATCGCTCGTCAGATTTTTCACTAAGAGCGGTACGAGAAACGCTGATTTGCATGCCAACTTTCATGCTCCGGACGACAGGTTGTAAAGTTTTTGCATGTGCATCGTTTATTTTGACGAGTGAGGCGAGTAGAGCACCATTTTCGGTATCTAGAGAATTGGATATCCGAGCGAGATATGACTGTAAAGCCTCGCGGTTATTTGCCATCTTGTCGTGATCGCTGCAAGTGTTGATAATGGAATTGGAGGAGCGCTCATCATACCAGACGTTGTTGCTATGGCAACAATAACCTCAATAACGTGCATCTTCAGCCAAGTTCAACTTTTATTGACTGCTCCATAGTTTCATCTCTTTGATTCTCCCCTCGTCCTTTATCTCTTTTGTATTAGTTGCATCTAGTATTCACAGCGAAAATAAGAATTGCAGCAGTCAAGGGCTAAAGCTAACTAATAAAGATGGTTTGGGTTAGGGTTAAACCTAACTTGTCCTACACATTGAACCTAATATCATGCCAGCAAAAATTACACTCTCATCATATGAGGATTGGAGCTTGTAGGAGCGTATTCAGCATCTGGTCATCTTATTATGAACCGGGTGCATTGCTGCTAGTGATGCATACCCCTTCGTGAATTAATGTCTTTTTGGGTTGCAATCGATACAAGCTGAAGTCCATGAAGACTGTTGTAACGAACAACGAGCAAGTGAGCGTAATGATAATCAGCTCATTTGGCCATCAGACTCGGAAGGACAGATATGCAGTTGTCTCACCACTCTATTCCGTTCTTTCTATTAGTATCTAAATATACCCACTGCGCTAAACCGGTCATGCATGACCCATGTTAAACACAGGCACATCCATCAATCTTCCTCAGCCCTCATGTGGAATCGGTCCACTTCCACCAGCTGCGGTTCCACCATACAAAGATCCTGAAAAGAATGTTCCTCACTATGGCAGGCGCATCATAGAACATCTGATTCTGTTCCTCCGTCGTAAGCTGCGTCAACAAGAACGACAAGTGAGTCGTTGGCTTTGCGTCCTTTTTGGAAATCGATTCAATATTTTTGAATGTGCGATACATTTCGTCCTGAGGGATTTTGTCGTTGAGCGCCGTTGTGCACAGATATGATTCTTCGTGGTTCAAATGTGGCATCATGACAGTTTCGAGATTTTTGACAAGATGCGCTATTTGTTCTCCATTGAATGAAGCCTTTTTAACCCGTAAATCGGAGATGTAGTCCTCCAGCGCTCGCATGGCCGGCTGGAAGTTGCCGTGTTCCGCCTCCAATTCTTTGAGTTCTCGTTCGCCAAAGTACTTGACAAAGACTGGATAGGAAATCTGCTCTTCATGTTCATGATGCTGGTGTAGAACCTCCAAGAAAACAGAGATGTAGTTTAGGAACGCCGATATGTCAGCTTCGGAGACGGTTGGGGCAGCTCTCTGCATACGGGTCAGCGCCCGACCAAAGCCACGATGTAGGTTCTTGTTTATTTCGCAGTAAACAGCCGCCCAAGAGCCTCCATACGGTGCTGGTGGTGTCTTCATCGACATGTTGCTTTGGAGGATCGCTCGCGAGTCTGCACAAGAGAGCTCGTGGCCAGCGACGGGTTGTAAAATCCCATGTTGCTCCGGAGCAACACAGCCGGCGCGCGTCCTTTGTTTGGATTAGGCGTCAAAATCAAAATTACGATTCTTCCAAGCTTCCGTCTTCACATGCAACAGAACAATACCAACATCCAAAATCAACAAACACAAGCGTATATAATAATATAAGGTAAAAATACAGAGGGTGGAATATATAGAAGGTATATACATAGTCAAAACCGGGGATTATCTCACGCTTGGCGAAAGCGATGGCGGAGGGGACAGGGGATGGGGTATGGCGAGCGAACCGTTCGGGAACGGGGAGGGAGGTGACGCGTCGACGGAACAAGAAAGAGCTTGAGATGGGTTTCGTGGTTGTTCTTGGTCTGATGAAGACTGCTCGCGAGCTTGCTCAAGCCGCCGTGTCTCTCGGTTCATTTCCCCCCGGAGTTTGACTGTAACAAAAACAGGCATGCCCTCGTTAATGTCTAGAGCATTCATTCTTTACGCTGCATTACAATGACAAAAAGCATACCCAGCTCAAAAATGTCGGCTCTTGTCAACTTGTCTGTGACGATGGGGCTTCGATCATACTCTTCGCTGTAAGTTGCCCACACAACAATATCTGTGGCAAATCGCACCACGCGTCCATCCGCCACGACATATTCATCATCCGTTGTCGTCAAATGCCATAGATCGAGGGGCTCAGCTTGAACGCTCCTCAACGTAAAAACGTTCATTCCCAACAAAAAGAATCCACTGGCAAGGGCGAGAAAAGCAAAAGGTTGAAAGTCACTCGTAGCATGAAATGTTGAAGCGATGATGACAGCATGCTGCGCAGCGGAAGAAAAGCCTGGTTTGTGGCTATTGCACTTGGGCGCAGGGGGAGGCTGAGCGACTCATTTCATGTCGCACAACGACCGCACCGCCCAAGGGACACGTGTCACAAGGAAATATGAAACATTTGCATAAGCATTGCATAAGCTATATCACGTGAATATATGGATTCGTTTACCGATATCATCTACTTTTAGCATCTACGTCCCTCGCAAGGACTTTCGCACACTCTCAAATAGCGTGAATTGGAGTACAATGGTGGGAACCATCCACGCAACACGCGCCCCTATTCCCCTTGTAAAGCCCCACACACCCTCTCGTTTCCACAGCCCGATCGTAAACTCTATGAATCCAACCGTTGCATGCGCGTCCGAGTCTCGGGCGACTTGATATGCGGTTTTGGGTACATCCAAACAATTCGTTGCTGATGCGCCAACGGCACCCGCAACCGCAGAACAGACTATATAGGCCCCTGCCGAAAGTGACGCCTGACCTTGATCTCCGCCTGCGAGATTTTTAAATTCTTCGTAGAGAACAAAGTAGATGATGGAGTAGGGTACATAGACGAGGATGCCTAGCCAGAATCCGACAAAAAAGCCGGCAAATCCTTGGCGATCGTATATGCTCCTCAGAAACGCAAACGTCGACCCATGCACGTGGCCTGCAAACTCCTCATTCTGCTTTTCGATACCGTCCAATTCACTCATTAGCACGTCGTCCCCCTCATCTGCTACTCCCAGCTCCTTGTCACTCGCGTGCAGATCCACTCGGGCATAATTCCCCCCTACATGGCGGCCCGCAGCTTGTTGTCTGCTCTTGACGACTTCCATCGGACACCAAAATATATTGCTCAAGAGTTCAGCCAAAGCTCCCGCAACAAGGTGGAGTATACTGCTGGTGTCCGGGTCGCCCAGAAACACAAAGGATGAGCGTGCGGCCTCATATGTGCACAGATAGACGATTGTAGCGGGTACAGAGAAGACTAGTGCGGTTAAAATCCCTATTGGCAGCTTCGCACATGAATTTAACCTTGCCATACAGAACACTGCAAAGAAAAAACGTACCGCGATAAAGTGCTAAAATGCCTTCTTTTCTGATAATATGCAAAAAGGCTTTCAGTAGAGACAATCCATACACGCCCGAATTTCCCTTGGCAGCCGTCTGAAGGCGGACCTGCCAGAAGGCAATGTTGATACGTTGCTTCCAGTATCGCAAGCTCCCTACGGGGCACACACCTTCAAGGTCTGGCGTAAAAATGAAATCAAGTCAGAAAGCCACACAGTTCACAACAGTCTCAGATGCGCAAGCATACATCTAGGGGGTGTGTCAACCCTCTAGCTATAACGGCTGCCACTGCCGAGGCAAAGACGGTCGGCCAATCGAGTGTCGACATGGATGGTGATTGGGTGCGGTGATTCGAACGATTCGGTTTCACGATGGTCGCGCTCTCGTGATTCGTGGCTGTGCCTGATTAGGTTACCACGCTAAAGCGCACCAGGTCAGAGGGAGGGTGATCGGTCGCCTACCACCTCCTAGCTTCAAGAAGCCCCTGTTTTTACTAGCTAGCAAATCCTACTGAAAGTATTCTACGTACATCTGAAAATTCACTACCTTACGTCGTTGCATCACTAGAAAACCTTCTTTTAAGAAACTCAAAAATCCCCATCTGACGCCTGCATGCCCAATATTCCGTCAAAGCCCGGAACAGCTGCCCAACAGACACTCCCCGCCCCGTCATTAACTCATATACATCTCTCAACCTTCTCGCAAGATCTTCGTCGCCGAATGTAAAGTATAATATTGGCCGCTTGGCGACTGACGCCGCTATCAATTGCACGAGGGATTTGAGTTCGGGATCGCCGTTGAATGCTCCGCATCCTAAATGTATTTATTAGAATACGCTAAGCGGGTCAGCGTCCAATCATGTCCTTACCCCAATTGCCTATATATCACAAATCAAGAGAAAGATCGGTTGTTAGCTACGTTCCAAAATTCCTCTGGAGATATTCATTATCCAAAGACTCACCCGTAGCGACCCCGGCTCCCTCCAAACAACTCGTTTCCGAATGTCCAAAACCCACGAAAGCTTTATTTACCTCCCTCAAAATCATTTCAGCACGGTACTGGTTCTCAGCTCGTCCTGGAGGAAAGTACATGGCATCAATGGCAACAATTTCGGTCTTGCGCCGTCCAAGACCATCTCGTTCGGTTTTGTCCACGTAATTCCCTGCCCATTCAAATGTATCACCATATCCAGTATAATTTGAAAATCTCTCGGCACCAATCATGAGGACCGCTTCATGCGGGAGCATTTCCTCGGTGAATAGGCGAGACACGAGAAGTTCAGGGTTGATAATAAACCGTATTTCTTCTTGGACACAGCCCTGTACGGAGGAGTCAGATGCAACCCACAGCCAGATCATTGGCTTCGTGTAGACGTACGTAGCCCAATACTCCGCCTCCAATAAACTTGTTGGCAAAATCGACTTGTAGCATTCCCTCCCCATCATCCTCGATGGTTCCTTGAGATCGTACCTCCATTGGACCCAGAGGTTCAGTCATTGTACTCCAGTCCGGGATCTCCGACGGTGATAGCACTCGCCGATGGAATGTGACAGACCCTGTTGGATCTACATCCAAAGCGCAGTATGCTCAGCAAACTTTTATATTTGAAGCCCGATTTCAAGTCACTGAACTTACTCTGACTGAGAACTCGCCTAAAATAATTAAACAACCCATGTAATTTCCCCACCCGGTTCATATCCAGCCCCTTTCTCTTCGATCCGGTAAATAAAGAATTGAAATTGATCGATGGGAAGGTAGCATGCTCTGCGCCTCGCCTGGTATCATTTCGTCGAGGAAATGTACAAAAGAACGCATTTGCGAGAAGGCACACGATCTACACGGAGGGGATGTTCAACGTTGAGCAAATCCAGCATCCAGTCCAATCATGGCTCAACAATACCTGCATTTGACTCAGCGTAATGGCACTATTAGATCCTTTTCTCAGAAACGGAATGGGTTCTGGGAACAGCTGTGGCAGCCGCAGCGCTAAATCAGCCATTCCCGGGATAATTTTCTCAAATAAGGCTGGCACATCGCCGACGACGACATTCAAGTAATATTCTAAACCAGACAAATCCCACCGGCGCCTAAATGAGGGATTGTACGCGTACAGGACTTGCTTAGGACAAATGGATGTTTATGAGCGCCGGCTACGATACGCACGATAACAAACCATAACGCTCACCGTTAAATCATTTGCATCCCGAATAGGGCCTTGAAGATGCGTTCGTATCACGTCCCACTTTGCAAACCGGGGTTGATCATGCGATGGCGCCTGTTGATCGCCGTCCCATTGCATTGTATTACGCGGCGAGCACGGCAACTTGACATACAAGGGAGTCCATTCATCTTGTGGCGGATCTATCGGTGTCGAATCACTGAACTAGAATCGCGTGAGTATCTCAGACAGTCTACTCCTCACCACAACGGCCGTTGGAAAATGAAGGAAAAAACGAACACCAGCATACATTACATAAGACCCAATGCTTGAAGACTGGCGGTCCTAACTGTTCTTCAGTATTGCAGCTAGCATCATCAGATTTCTGCCGCTTTGCAAGCATTCGAGCCATAGTCAACATCCTAGGTTTTCTGGGTTTGTCTTGTTCAACAGGGTTAATATCCAGATCCTCATCCACTTCCGTATCGTCCTCCTCCTGCCGTCTTCTTTTCAGTTCATCATCACTCTCCACATCCTCGTCCACAAATAATATGTTATCCGCTTTCCCGCACGGGACTGAAGCAAGAACCGCCGAGGGGTGTAAAGGCGTTCGCGATTCGGAGAACGGGCGGAAAGTAAGTTTTGTAGGTGATGCCGAACGCGGAGTACCCGATGGTGAGACGCGAGGTAGTCTTGCAAATGGAAGAGTTGTTTGAATGTATCTTTTTTCGGGCTGCATTGGTTTTGACAGCTTGTCGAGTGTGTAGCTGGTCAGCCTTGGTAGAGCCCCGCGGTCAGGTGCATGATCGAAGCTTACGCGGGCAAGCATTATACCGTTTCCAGCGACGGCGGAGTAGTGCTACAAAGCACCTTGCACGTAGGTATCAACGATGATAGAGTAGTGAATGAGAAAACTAATAGGTTCCGCTGGATAGCATATTTGATATACCACACATGACGTGATATACCACACATTATATATGCAAATTGAGAAGGCTGAAATGTAAATTACAAGCATATTTCAAAATATACATGTCTAAAGAAGAGGTCTCAATCCGCCTCGTCCTCATCCTCATCCTCATCCACATTCGACAGCACGAACCTATCAAATATTACATCCCGACTGCTGGATCCTTCTCGTCCACCCACCAGTCGCATTTGGGACTCTTGGTCCTCTTCGAAGGCAGCGTCAATTTCATTGTCATTTAGCATTTTGAACTCATAGTTCTGTTCGGCTGAGGTGCGGTCTTCTTTACTGCGACGGAAATAGTATGCGCCGGCGCCGGCTGCACCGAGGAGAACCGCGCCAAATGCAAAGGCGTATCCTGCCGATTTGCTCCCTGACCCTGAGATCCCTACAGGTGGAGGGATGGATGGGGAAGATGTTGAGGAAGCTGACGCTTGAGACGCTGTGGATAGGGATGCATCTGATGGCGGGGCTGATGTAGCTGCCGCCTCTGCGCCTGCCGACCAAGACTGGGAGGGAGGCGCCTCAGGTACAGCCGAAGTGGAGGGCGCAGGCGCAAGCGACGCTACTTCCGACGGTGCCGCCGCCGGAGGAGGTGGGGCTGTCTCGCCATAGAACGTCATCCACCAATAATTAAACGTGCCCTTTTTATCAGGATTTATCTTATCAAAAACGGAAATTGTCCAATCTCCAACCGGATTTTCGTTCCTGTAAGGAACACATTGATTAGATTTTTGATCTTCATGATGCCAATACCAAATGACATACCAATGCTTAACAGTCATAAAAGTCCAGTTTTGAAGACCATAAATATCCCCATCGTAGGGGCGGTACGCGGCCAACTGAGACGCAACTTTATTTGGAGAGGTAAGCCAAACCTCTATATCTCCTCTATGCTCGTGCTCCATATTGACAGTGACAGTGATGTGCTCCAATCGGCTCATGTTTACCGATTTGAGATCATCGGAGGTGATGGTTAGAGTACTATCCAACTTGACGCTGTCTTGGGGTACCTCTTTGTAGACAGTCTGGACGCCAGTTACAAAATGCGTCTGTGGACGGACTTTGGTGAAGTTCTTCGCAGCTTCGACTAAGGCGTAGCCGTCCAGCTTGCCAAACCCGTACTTGTGGTTGTACAGAAAACCACCTGCTGTTTGTGTCCAGTCCGAATCGTCGAGATCGATTGGAACCGCGGTTTGTACCGTCAGATGCTGAATGTCCCTCCAGGTGAGGTCGGGCCTGGCAGAATGAAGTAATTGGTAACGAATCCACGTTTGCTCTAAACGGTAAACGGAGAACATTACCGGATCTGAAGAACAAGCGCATACAATCCGGAAGCGAGAGGGGCTGCGGCCGACGTTCCCCCATGCGTTTGTGTGCACTGACCAGGCCAATCGGTGGTGTACTATCAAAGGGGCAAGCTCAACAGACGAAACAAGCTGTCAACAAAGGGCGACCAGAAGACTTACAATAGCATCCTTATGTACTCCACTACTACTGTACATCACAATCATCACAGCAGAGCACGCTTCCGAATAAATCGGATGCCCATTCTCACGATCCACAGCGCCCACGGTAATGGTGTAAATGCTATTTGTATAGCCATCGAAGTTGCTGGATGATAGAACTGTGTCAAATGAAATTGCAAATAATAGCAATCCAGAAAAATTCTTACCAATTGTCACTCAATGCCCCGCCATTCCCGCTAGCAAAGACGTAAATGGAGCCTAGTCCACCACGTCCCTTGGTGATACCATTATAAACAGCATCAGTGACAATCTTTGGTGGAGCCTCCATAGCCCTCCCATTATCGGCTGGCCCCCAACTGCAAGAGTAGATCTGATTGTTCTGGAAGTCGTAATTGATGGAAGCAGCTTCATCCGCTTCTGTCAAATCACCCGAGAGAATCCGAACGCCTGAAGCAACGGGAGATAAACATACAACTTGCTGGGTGAAAATATACAAAGCGTAGCGCAAACTGACCGGACACTTTGGCGTCGTACGCAACTCCCACTCCACAGACGTCATTCCGCACAGCTGCTACTTCACCAGCGCACCGGGTTCCATGTCGGTCTTCGATTAATTTCGGTTTTGGTAATTTTACATGGTCATTGAAATCATACGAGCCTTCGGCATACTGTGTGCGGAACATAAGTGATACTGAGCAGCCTGTCAAAAACGAGATCCTACTTATCCTACTTACAAAATTGTCTTTGAGGTCCGGACTGTCGTAATCCAACCCATCGTCGACAAAGCACACCGTAACATTCTTGCCCGTGATGCCTGTGTCCATATACATTCGCGTAAGATATTCAACCAAGTATAAGTTAAAAGAGCGTTAATGGGGACGTCACCTTGTCTCCATACTCCCGTTACGTTCAGATCGTTCCCAATTATGACCGTGTTAACCTACCAGAAAGAAAACAGGGTTCAACAAACAGGTAACAGATCTTTGTTTTGCCAGGTCATACCAAATGCCATTGACTAGAAAATCCTGGATCTTGTATATCCAGCTCCTTTCTAACGTCATCCAATCGGAGAGGCCGGCCCCTCTCTGCTTTTGGTTGGCCTGCACTCGGTAGGGCTGCACGTCTGAACAAGCGCCGTTTCGGTATTTGACGCTCGACCCAGGCTACAGCCGGCTCGTCCGCAAATCTCTTGACGTGCCTTACATGCTCATGTTCGGCCTCTTCTGTGCTCCATCTCTCCAACCCCCCCGATTCCTTTGGGGTTGCGAACAGGTAATAGTCCACCAGTTCTCCAACCCGACCCACAAAGTGATAACCTAGTGAGGAGCCCAGCTGATGCGCTCGGTCTTCAAGTATCTCTGCTGACGGTACAGAGCCGTCTCGACTTGTGTCAAGTTGCACTGCAAAATAGTGGAAATTGTTGTGATCGTTGCGAGGTATTATCGGCCCCACAGCGGGTGTTGTGTGAACCGCTGAAGCCGCCACAGCGACCAATACTGCAAAGCATGTGGCGATCACGCCACGTTCAAAGAACATGGTGCGGAAATGTGTTGTCAATGTCAGAACAGGCTACGGCCGTACAGTAGTCTAGTGCTGGGGGGGCTTGGCAGTATTCTGGTAAGCAAGCCTCTTGCCACAATTTGGCAAGAATCATCAATTGGAAACAAGATATAGAAATGCAAGTTTCACAGTTGTTTCCCGATTGCCATCGACATGGCCTCGCAACCAGCAGCAAGCAGGAAGCAAAGCAGCAAGCAAACGATCACCCAAAAGGACACCTTCTTTTGGTCCTACTGTTCCCTCGACCAGTTTGGGGAGGACGCGTTCAAAAGGTGATGGGGCATCTGTGCGCAGCAGCATGTTGCAAGGACTCTGTAACTGGTTTCGATATGAGAGACTATTACACACGACACTGGGAGTGCCTATGAGTAGAAACTATTAAATGCTAAAGCTAACTGTACAGTAAGAAAAAAGGTCGCAAGGTTATGATTATGAGGTACTAGTAGGTATTTTTATATTTGCTCGGGCGACTTGAGCTTCCATGTCGCAACTTGTGGGATGCCGCATGCCTAAAGAGGTTCGGGCTGCCTCTCTGACGACTCTATTATTGAAGAGAACGAGATATGGGTTGATTGCCTGCGCGAACCAACGGAGGATATATCATTTCTGGGAATTGGACTCGCGACCGATACATAGTGAAGGTTGTCGACGTTCTTACCGTACAGCCCACAATGCCAATCATTGCCATAATATCAAGCCACACAGGAGATTCCTTTTCAGTTGATACTTGGTAAAGTGTGCTAATGGCGTAAGTTCCCCACCCCAGCGTAAAGGCTCCCATCATGACGACAATGCTCAAGATCAGACCTATCATATATAACCTAGAGTTAACGTCAAAGACGCCCAGGTTCCCTGATACCCGCGACTCTTACTTTTCTCCTTCTTCATCAGCCGCAGCTTCGTTTCATGTTGATCCTCTTCGAGAATACTGACCATGTCGCCCCATCGTGTCTGCGATCGGTTTAGAGCGGTTATCAATTTTTGACGGGTCCGTCGCACTTTTCTGAAGATGAAGATATCTACGGATTGGGGGTAGAATGGGCTATCAGCAAGCGTCGAGGCATATTTTGAAATTTCAACAAATACTTACAGCACACCATCATAATCGCCGGAAAGCTGAGGCAATGAATACATGTCATCAACCCGATGGCTCGGTGAACTGAGTGCCTGTCGAAGAAGGGAGGTATGCAGTACATTCGAGATGCAGACAAAACAGTTCCCTTGGGTCCGACAAACAGCGATATCATTGAGAAACCTAAGGCAGGTGTGAATCACAATCTTCGAGCCGAAGGTAACTCGGGGGAATAACAGTAGACGTACTTGTGCTGTATAACCACGACGCTGCAATCATAGCATAATAATGTTTGTCATGAAGAACCTTTCCCATCACTAAATGATACCTTGAATTCGTAGAGCATGAGCTATATTTCATTCTTACAGGAAAGCTGACAACCCACTTACCATCGCTCAAATCCAATGAGCGCAAATGTTGACATGTTGGCGAGAATGGCTGCCAGCCGAATACCGTTCACTGCTTGGCATAATTTGTAATGGGCTGCCCAACCACCCCGTGAGGCTGTAGAAGATCCCGCAATACGTTGGTGAATTTGGACCTGACATCGTCCTCCTCCACTATAATCCAGTCTCTTACCATTCCATATCTGTTCAATCAACTCGGGAGCTACCCATGCCATATCAGCGATCGTTATGTTCAGGATCTAAAATAGAAAATTTAGATTTCCCGGCCCGAGCAACGTTGACCGGCACCAACCATCAGTAGCCGAGGCGTTCGCAACATCCGATGTTTTGAAAAGAGCCATATCAAAATGGAGTCGCCCACAAGACCGACAGAATTCTGATATGACAATCAGTATTGGTACTTGTCATAAATGGGTTTACTGTCCTTACGATGACGAATGCCCCCACATATATGGCCAGTTCAACTCGACTAAATGGAAACCACTCTCCTTTCCATTCCATAATTGGTACCTTTAGTGCTGACATGTTGCTTAGGTTGGGTGCCGTTATCCCCTGGGTTGCAATTTCATGTAAAATGGGTCATCGCCAAAAGTCTCTAGCCAAAGCTATCTACGGACGGTCAACCAAAGAAGGAGCGGACAAGGACATAGTCATGATGCAACTGTTTTGTTTTTTTATGTCGGCTAAATGTACCATCAGGCTGGCATGATATCAAATAGCAACAGCGAACACAAATGAAAGGAGTGTCCATGTTTAGGTCATTCTGTTCTCGCATATATACAACCACTTTTCCCAATACGTTCTGCCAAATCGGCATGCTCGCCCTGGTAATCTAAATTAACTTGGCCACATCAACCCATCACCCACGACTGTCAAAATACGTAGTTTGCAGTAATGTCGCTGGAACAAGCTGGAAGGCTACTGTCGCGTGTTCTTGGCATCTACCTGATGATGAAATCGGAGCACGGCCCGAAATCAGACTTGGAAGACCGGCTGAGTAGTGTCTGGCAGCTGAAAATCAACCATTGTTGGGTTTCTACTGGTTGACATGCTCATGCAGTCAAGAACCGCCGAATTTCAGGCGAACAGCCGTGATCCACTTGGAGTATTCAACTTGTCCAAAACAGCAAGCATTTTGCACGAGGAAAGGGTCGCTTGGACCATCGCACTCACGAGGAGTGGCGCAGCGCTCACCTTCGCGTGCGTTTATAAAGGCGCAATCAAGGCGAAACTCTTGTTGAGCGCCCACCCCAACTGTCCATCATGGCAGAAAAGTGGAAACCGCCGCGGGGTGGCAGCTTCACCTGGGTTGAAATTCCAGTAAATGTAAGTTATGTCTTGGTCGCTATTGTCTGGTTCATTTGCCATGACACGGAATGATAGGACATGGAGCGTGCCAAGGGCTTTTACAGCCAAGTCTTCAACTGGACTTTTGCGGACAGTGGCACAGATGATTCTCTTTTAATCAACCGGGACCGAGAAGACGAAGGTGAGGCACAAGTATTACAAAGAAAATGTCTACTATGGATTGCATCTGAAAGCTCTTCAGTCCGAGGCGCCATCATTCGTACATGCGAAAATCTCGAACACAAGGTTGCTCCTTTGGTTTATCTTTACTCCCACGACATTGACAAGCACGTGTCTGCCATTGAGAAGCACGGCGGGAAGATTGTCAAGAGCAAGTACTCGTTGGTCAATGACAGAGGCATCGTATCCGTGTTCCAGGATACGGAGGGAAACAAGCTGGCGCTTTACCATCATCCATCAGCAGACAACTATGAAGCTTAAATGACAGTTACTAACTAGCAGGGTGCAAATGTCATCGTTCATAATACAATGCCAGTAACAAAATCAACGCCTTGATCTAGGCTATCTCCCATATATTTGTGGTCATCTCATATGATGCTGTAAATAAAAGACAACAACATCCCTTCGTTAGATTCGTTACTTACTGCAAGTCATGGCGTGATCACGTAATTGCATTCGTTTAACTATTTTTAGAATATTAAATGCCACTGAATCCAATATATTGCGGTTTGTTTCATAATTTGTCCTCGATGATATGCAGTTGGCACAGCGCTGAACGAACTGATTCTTCCCTCTCTCCTCGTGTCATCACATATCAAGATGGTAAGTTTACATACACAAGGAGAGTGAAAGGACGAGATATGCGAACGACAGAAAGAATATGCAGACGCGGGATGGTTGGACGATTGGTGCGACGGGTAGATGGATGGATGGATGGATAGATGGATAGATGGACGAACGCTCGAGAAGGATGCGGATTGGGCGTTAGCGTGTACCAATGAGTGGCATGTCCATGGAGGTCTACAATTGTACCTGGATAGACGATTTCAGGATTGAAATGGGAAGGGGCGATAGTAGCAGCAGTGCTTGCAAGAATGTCTAGGATCGACTTTGGGCTATTTTGTTGGATGGGGATGATATGAATTGTTCAATGTCTGACCTACTTCCGTTCGACAGGCTAAGGCTGCTGACAAGAAGGCGACAAAGCCCACCTCAAGCGGTGGTGGTAAGAACAAGAAGAAGGTTCGTAGACACGCTTTCTGGCCTTTTGAGTACGGTCGATTAACTGGACTTCTGTGAGTAGAAGTGGTCCAAGGGAAAGGTGAAGGACAAGGCCAACAACGCCGTTGTCTTTGACAAGACCACCTACGACAAATTGTTCAAGGAGGTCCCCACCTACAAGCTTGTTACCCCCTCCGTCCTTGTTGACCGTCTGCGTATCAACGGTTCTCTTGCCCGTATCGCCATCCGTGAACTCGAGGCCAAGGGTTTGATCCGCCTTGTCGACCACCACAACTCCCAGCTTATCTACACTCGTGCTACCAAGGTAAGATTTGATATTGGTGACGATTGTGTATGGTACAGCAACTTACATATTTGCCGTTATGTAGGCCGACGACGTTGAGGAGAAGGGGGCTAAGAAGGCTGAGGCGGCTGATGAGGAGTAAATCCCTTTCTTGCCTGTACATTTTAATACATTGCTCTTGGGAAACTGGGTGGCCATTACTGGTTGGCGTTTAAAGTGACCAACTGAGACTCTAGTCTTCAGTGGTAAATGACGTATTACTGGGAGAGGAAGGTATGGTCGTCCGCAACGCAATTGTCGAAGTACCCCGCCGTATATATTTTCGCCACAATATGGTATTGTGTGTGACTCAACGGCGAAGGGAAGAGCAGACCCGCAGAATCGCTACCACTGTGACGAACCGTGTCCTAGGGTTGATAGTAGGCTGCGATATATTTCACTTTCAGATGGAAGGATGATAAAGACTGCATGATGTTCATTGGCTTATATGTCTTGCACTCATTATCTGCTTTCGTGATCATTTCAACACGTATGTAATTTATATTTCTGATGACACCTGCCTGATTCCCTCTAAAGGCAGTGGTGTCCTAGTTGGATTTGTGTTTAGATTCAAGGTACTGCTACTGCTCAATTCTTTTTGAAGCGCGCTGTGTCCTCTTAGTGAACCCTTCAACGTCGTCGCCCATGGTAGCGTGCCACTGCTACTGATGGAGTTGCGTTTTTGCTGTGCGGAAGATGCTGTCGAATTGATGACCGTAAGTGTCCGGTCAAGAGTACGAGAAAGCTCGGCATTTTTCTGTTCTAGCTTATTGGATCGCATCCGCTCCTCTGCTACCATCCGATTCGCCTCTTCAAAAAGGCTCTGTGAGAGTTGTTCAAGTTCCGCCAGGAGGTCTTCCTTTTCTAGCTGCAGCCGTTCGTGATTTGTGGCCTATCTTGCAGTTTAGTAATCGTGAACTTTGACATAATCAGTCAAATCGCAACGAACCAGTGCTTTGCACAGGTCCTCCCGTTCCCGTAGCTCCCACCGCAGACGAGCATTTTCTGCTTTCATCCGCTCCATATCATCCATGATCTCCTTCTTTTCGGCTTCATTAGCGGTACACGACGCGCATTGGTTACTGCCGCTCGTCCATCCCGTCCACAACTTATTCAGGGGCCAGTTCCATCCATGCGTGTGTTCTCGCTTTCTACGTCCATCGCCCTTGCTTTGGTGGGAGTGTTCATCTTCGAATCCTCTGGATGCGGGCAGGCGATGAGAGATGTACTGGTCTTCTTCGTGCTCAAACATTAAGACGGTGTTAGCCTGTATCTATCAGAGTATGGTGACAAGAAAGTATCAGATTCATTTCGGGAACGCCGCTGTCCAGTTTGGTGCCGAGTGGGAGACCTGCTTTCAATGGAGTGGCTTGCTCGAATTACCTAATCGGCTATATCCGTGCGTTCAATTTATAGCCAAAGTGACTCACCCAGCAGATCACCATTTGACTTTCCAATCGTTGCCCATCGTACTAGATTTCGTCTCCTCCAGTAACCGGTTATTGCTTTGTTTTCATCCAATTCTCCACAAGTCTCTTGATATCGATTGAATCTTCCTTCAACCTGTTGGGCTTTTCAGATGGACGCAAGCAACGCCCAAAAGGTACTTACATTTAGAAACAACTCCATGCACCACCAACAGGTATCCAATAAATGACTTGCTCCATAGCGCTGGGAGCTCGAGAACAATATTGTCGCCGACGATACGAACCAGGATTTGATTTATCACTACAATAGTGAGGAGCAGAAAGCCAATGTCAACGCAAAACCATGGACGAAAGAGTACGTATCTCAACAACGCCGTCCGATATTGTGTGCAGTAGTCGACTGACAAGTACATTCGTGCAGTCCCCACCATTTCAAGAAAGTAAAGATATCCGCTGTTGCGTTGATAAAGATGGTATCTGACGTCCCCCAGCCATCTCAACTTGAATCGCCTGAATGACTCTGGTGTTAGGTTATGCATGCTAGGTCAGGGGGAAACATCGAAGTCATGGGTCTAATGCAGGGGAAGATTTTTGATGATACGATGGTCATTATGGATGCTTTTGCATTGCCTGTGGAGGGAACAGAAACGCGAGTGAACGCACAAGCGGAGGGGTACGAGTATATGGTGGAGTATTTAGAAAAGATCAAGGAGGTACATCCGGCGAGAATTTGAGGAGTTGTCCGTAATTTGCAGGTTGCTAATTTGTTAATGGTTAAGGTGGGACGACTTGAGAACGCGATAGGATGGTATCATAGTCATCCTGGCTATGGATGTTGGTTGTCAGGTATCGATGTCAGTACACAAATGCTGAACCAGCAATTTCAAGAACCTTTTGTCGCCGTCGTGGTAAGTGGTGTCGGAAATCCTATTTTGTGGTGACCACATGAAAATGCTGGATCTGCTTTCTACAACTAGATTGACCCGAATCGGACGATTTCAGCAGGCAAGGTAGAGATTGGCGCTTTCCGGACATATCCTGCGGTAAGAAGGTATTTCATCTTATGCGTTCCAGCCTAGCATTCTAAAGCGTCAAGAATTCAGGGTTACAAACCTCCAGATGAGGGTCCATCCGAATATCAAACCATCCCGCTCAGTAAAATTGAAGACTTTGGTGTACACGCAAAACAATATTACCAGCTGGAAATAAGTTACTTCAAGTCTACATTAGACTCAAAGTTACTTGAAATGCTGTGGCACAAGTATTGGGTTAATACTCTTTCCTCCTCCCCTCTGATCACGGTATGCACTACAAGAGACGTTCATTGAATGCTTGACCTGTGACTCACGAATGTCCCAATAGAACCGAGAGTACACAGCGCGCCAAATTTCGGATCTTGCAGAAAAGATTGAGCAAGCGGATTCGTCGTTATCTCAAAGCGGACGTGGTGCATTCTTTAATGAAAGGAAAAAGGGGGATGAGACTGCTGTGGCAAAGGTGGCCAAGGACAGGTACACGTCAATGTGTTTACTCGCGGTGATTCCTTGTATTCACAAGAGATCCTTTACCCTAGCTCTAAGATTACAGTTGAGGCTGCACATGGTCTCATGTCACAAGTGCTCAAGGATGTGTTGTTTAATCGTCCCTTGTTGTCATAATTCAATATCTTACTCTGTATAAATATTCCCATACAGGGGAAGACACCTTGAGGTTCACCTTCTCTGATAAGATCGCCTGCCTGCTGCATCAGTAATATAAAGCTGGATTTGGTTCAGATATCTATGTATGCATATATTGCAGAGTCATTCACTGGTATCTTCATCACTATCACTTGGATACGCCGACAGCAGCCCAAGTGGATTTGGTGTAGTCTCTTCCGCTCTCCGTGAGCTTGTGGGCTTGGAGGACCCATTCACGTCTTTCGCACCTTCCACATTGTCAGGTTGCTCCACTTTCCCATCCCCGCCTTTTGCGCGCTTTGTCGTCCCACGTGTATCGTCCGCCCCTTTGTCTCCATGTGATTTTTGGTTCGAACTGTCCACGCTTTCTGATTTGCGCTTCCGTACAATCCCATTCAATAAGGAGCTTTGGAAATCACGGGCAGCGGGTATCTTTTTGGCAGGTGCGGGTTTTGTGTCGGCGACCAACTGGATGTGATCCGCAGGGGACGCAACTTCCGATACTGCCTTCCGAAAAGCTTCCAGTTCCCGTCGGTCATTCGCAGCTATCTCTTTTCGTCGCTTGGTTTCTTCATCGTCGTATGCTGATAAAAATTCATACTCCTCTGATCGTGCGATTTATAAGACCAGCTGACATGGTGTCAGAATGGATATTAAAGATACCCACCATCGTCTAGCCGTTTTACCAAGTTGCCTGATATATGGAAATATTGGTCATTAAGGCGCTATAGGAATTCCAACCCTGCATGTGGCCACTCACTGAATCTCATCTTTTCCGCAAATTCTGATTAAATCGCGCATGGGATCAATTGAAGAGCTCACATCTTCAAGAACGCCACAAAGATGCAATAGAACGCTGCAACCAGAACACACCTTCCTCCTCAATCCTCTTTCTCTCTGCAGGACCAATCTGGGATTAACAAATAAGGTAAAAGAAAACACGGATTCGAAAATAAACAAAAAACACGAGGGTGAGCCATTTCGCGCTACACTCCATCCCTAAAACATACCCGCCAGTCGTTCATAAAGAGGTCTTGGGTCATAGACTTCTTCTTCCTTGACAGGCTCTGCATGCTGAGGTGTTGGTAGCTGTTTTGAAGGCAACGTATGCCTGCCCCAGTACCTTGTCCTAGCGCCTTTGCCTCGGCATCGCGCTCCTCGCGCGCTGCTTGCAGCGCAGCTTCGGTGACGAACTTTCCACTCATGGCCACCGCCGATACGTTCCCACCGCCAAATTCGGACATTGTTCGTTTGCTCGTCAACAGTTTTTGAACAGCAGATCTCTGGATCCAACAAGAAGCATTGTAGCCTTGGTGCTGTGCCGCTGACAGTTGCTATAACAACGAACGTAAACATATCCGCTTGTTTGTGTACTCTAACAATGTGTACAGTGATGTTTTAGGATAATACCACCTAGTATTTATGGCGGAAATTGCATTTCAGCAAATAACTAGTAATGGGAAAGGAAAGTAAGATAAATAATTCATTGATGCGTTAGGAATAGCGCAGAGGCAAACTGTTGCTCACCGGATTCGAACTTGCGCGACATCATACACGATGAACTCATTGTAAAGCAGTGCAGCGTCAGATACACCGCTAGTAGTACTTTGACCGCAAGGGACCGTCACGTCCTTATCCTTTGGCAGTTTCACAGCACCGGCCGGATCAGGCATGGTCTCGCCAAGACCATGAGTTGACTGGCAATTTTCCTGCTTGCACCTCGCTCCTGCATCATAATCGGCCTGCTTCAAGCGCAGTTGCTCGCCAAGAGCCACCTCGCACAGAAGGAGAATTCCGGTAGGTGCACGTCGAGAGGTGCAGCAATAATTGGCTGACTTGGAAACCATATCTGCGAAATATATACCCTTGCCAAACCTAGTATCCCAGATAGATAAGCACAAGAAGACGGACAGACGTACGTACATAGCTGCAGACACTTACATGTAACCGGTAACAGGTGCCTCTGGTGGAGCGATTCGAAGCCCTTGACTGAGAATTCCAACGAAGTTGGTCAGTCGGCTCCCGTGCCATAACAGCTGCCTATTGGGTAATTTCTTGAAGCGATCATCCTCCCCATGTCGACTGACCTGTTAATGACAACAGGTTGAGCCCACGAGACAGGAGTTATTGAGAAAAACAGACACAAAGCACCTCAAAGAGATCTTCAATCTCCAATTCATAACCTCTGTGAGTGGGAGCGTGCGTGTTCTCCAGGTACTTTTTGACCAATTGGTAATTATCGCTTTTGGCATCCACGGGAACCAAATCTGTTTTAAGTGTGCTATAGTGAAGATCCACCGGGTTTTGGTCCAAGATCTTGTTGGTAGCGGAAAGGATTGAGGTAGCAATCTCAATGTCACCAAGAGCTTCCACCATCTCGAGCTTCCGCTTTAGTAATTGGGGACTGTCGATGATCGGAGGACGTGACATGCCAAACTCGTGAGGAATGATAGTGTAGAATTGAGAACTGTAATCGGACAAAATGTTTCGATCTGGTCCCGGCTTCGTGAGCTCGTCAGATATTTTAGCCAAAACCGCGTAACCCTTTTCAATGTTCCCTTTGCTGAGTTTGCCTAGGGGCATCTTCTTGGCGTCATATCCAATTTCTACCATGGACTGTGTCATCATATCGACATTGAAGATAAGTTTAATGAGATCCTGCACTGCCGGTGGAAGCTTGGAGTCAGGGATGATGCGTTCTTCTTTGGTCCCTTCCTCGACTTTCTCATTCACTTCCTCTTCATCATCGCCAAAGTCTCGCTCCAACAGGAAATACTTCCCAGGAATCTTATTGAAGTTGGCGCGGTCTGACCAACTATTCCGGCTCTTGTCATAAAACTTCTTGTGAAACCCTCTGATGGATTGTTCTTTGGAAAGCGCTTCAAGCTTGTTCATTCCGTTTTGACCAACTCTTCCCCATCTGGGGTCATGAAAATCAAAAATGCTTCTACTGGAAGTTTACAAAGACAGCAGTTACCTGGTCCACAAGTAGTAATTTCGCCCAGCATCTTCCTCCAACACTTGAATGATGTAGAATTTATTGTTGTTGGCCTTGATTTCGGTTTGATTGAGCAATGCATCTAATCAGATGACAAAAGTGAGAAGACATGATCCAAAACATTACAATGCAAACAGCAATACCTACCATATACATCAGTCCCATCTTCATAAACATGGCACTTACTCGCCACCGGACACAAATGGTCCACTGCCTATTAGCTCAATGAAATAGTGTTAAGGTTTAGCCTTGCAACGTGGATTTGATTGCTCTTTACCGCTCTGCCCTTTTTGATAGCTTTGACTATCTTGACCTCTTGGGGAGGCTCGGCGGTCTCGTCCTCGTCCTCGTTCACCTCGGCTTTCTTCCTCTTTTTGCTCTTTTTCTCTCCGTTGGCCACATCCGGCAAGGTCGAATCAATATCATCGGCATCCTTCTTATCATCACTCTTTCCATTCACGTTTCCATTGCTCTGGTCCACTTTAACAACACTGTAAGAAGCGGGGTCCACTAGTTTGCCTTCGGCTGCTGAGTCCAGCACAAACTGCAAGGAAACAATGGCAACGTCGGAGCGGTGTCGCGCATCGCGTACTTTTGCTGGTACTTTGGCAACAGTAAAGTCTTCCGGTACCGCCACTAAGTGAGTGAGTTTTTGAGAGACGGTCGTGACCACCTTGCCCCCACCGTCCTTGAACACTTTTTGCACCTCCTTCGCAAGGGGGTCTTTCGAGGCTAAAGTGGTGAGAGTGAGGGTAGACCCAACAAAAATTTGTGGAGTAGCGGAGGGAGTAGGCGCGGCAGCAGCAGCTGCAGAGCTTCGCGTTGTTCGTGGCATGGAAGATGCTTGTAGTTGAAGCTAGATGCCGTGAGCGTAAACAATGAGCATTTTGCCCGCCGATCGTGAGTCAGATTTCATTAAGCTGATTTTGGACAAATGAGCTCGGTTTGGTGTCCGACAGCTCGCCTAGCGAAGCAACAACAGACAAAGAACATGGATGAAGCGATAGCATTAGCGGCAGATGCCTCTGAAGCTCCAATAAGGGCGCTACATCTATTGCCTTGTCAGATCGATTACGATGGAGAAGCCGCTATCGACTCATTCTTTATCGTTAAGCCGGAAACCAAAGTTGCGCAAACAAACCAAGGTCTGTATTCAGCCATAAGCAACTTCAGCTGTGAAGACCATATTGACAACTGCGATTACTAGTCACATATCAGTCGACATTTCGTGGGAGAGGTCTTCGAGGTGTAGAGGTTAAACCACCGAGTCGGTACGAGGGTATGCACAACTGGTCACTTCTCGATAAAACCTCAATATCCAGAAAGTGCCATAATGATGAAAGCTGGCTTAGGAGCAATATACCGGGAATCTCGTCCCCCACCCGACATTATGGAAGAACGATATCTAGCGCTCAGTGGCTCATTTAGCTCGATCACTACCTGGGGACACAGCGAACTACCAACTCCTTTCAGCAACAACCTTTTGAAGGCAATGACATGGCTGGACGTGACAGAGGACGTAAGAATCATTTGGGCTCGCTCACAGCTTGCGAATACTTACGCATTTTTTCACTAGCTGCATGCTCATGTTGAATAGGACTAATGCCATAACTCGAATTGTACGCGGACCATTGATAATCTTGTATGGTATATGGCATACATTCCAATATGGACTTGTACAATATCTTCACGCTACCTTATCTACATGTAAGCAAGCCAATAAACGCAAGCTAGACTCAACCATATGTACAGCATATGGCGCCTATTACGAATCCCCCAAGTACATATTTTCCGCAGCAGCCCTCTCTGCTGTCTTCACCTACAAACCAATGATACTCTTAATGACATACTCAAGTGATAATTCGCAATGAAATATATCATACCATTCCGTTGGGCGCATCCAGCTTGGGGGTGACGACCTCCAGGATGTGAATTGCGTCCTTCTGAGCAAATGCTTGGCTCAAGGCTGCCTCGACCTCCCCCTTCTGGGTTATGCGACGCTGAAGGCCGATTTTGGAGACGAGTTCCTTATCTTGCGGGACCGAGAAAAATTGCAAGGCATTCGCGTAATTCCACATTGCTGTGCGGTTGTACTTGCGCTCTTTGCCGTGGATGTAGCGCTCGATGGTATCTTGAGTGAATTGATTATTTGCATGAGCACGATCATCAACCACAGATCAATAGGTACTCACAGCCATCGTTGTTGATTATGATGATTATGGGATTGAGTTTGTGACGGAGGAAAGTTGACAGCTCGACAGCCGTCAGCTGGAAACTTCCGTCACCCGTAACTAAGACCGTGCGCAATGGTTTCTTTAGCTCGCGCCCAGCAACCGCAGCACCTAGAGCAGCAGCCGTCGCATAACCGATGCTACCCCACAGGACCTAATCCAACCGTGAGCATACGATTTCCAATGTGCAATGATGCAAAAACTCCCAAACATACCTGAGAGATGTACGCCGACCCATCTGCAAGTCTTTGCATGGAGGTTCCAAAACTACTGGTGCCTGTTTCAGCCGTCACGATGTGCGGCTCAGCACCCAAAAACTTTCCTAATGCATTCCAGAAGTATGAATGTCTGATCTCCGACTGGTCATCACCCGCAACACCTTCGGTTCCATTGAAGATTGGTGGTGGGAGGTTCCATGGGCGGGGGGTGAGCCGTTGACTAAGCTTCTGTAGTAATCTACGGAAGCCGACTTTTTGATATGTGGCATAGAAGACCATGGTGTGGTCTGAGTGAAGCTCGATAAGCTTGTCTTGCGGAATCTGAAAAGTGAAGCCTCCAGTGTTGAAGTCACTTTTGATCGATCCAACCATAATCACGACATCTGCTGATTCGAGCTCGTTTCGGACCGGGTCCGGGGTCAGCTTTCCGACGTAGGAGCCACGGAAGTGAGGATGAAATTCCGATATGACGCATTTTCCCATGGGTGCCTCATAAACTGGGAAACCGCTCTGATCCACAAATTCTCTCAGTTCTTTCTCCACGTGGTAACGCTGAGCGCAGCCGTCGATAAGTATCGCGGGATTCTTTGCCTGCGTCAATGCCTGCAAGATATGACCGATCTATCGCGTCCACCAGAATTGCCTTTTTAGATATGGTGATACGTCAATTGCCGTCTGAAAGGAAACCCTACCGCTTCCTCTTCTGGCTTTTCTGGATTTTCAGGTGGTCGCACATCAAGTGTGCTCATTTCGACGGTTATTTTCTTGAAGGCGACATCCGAGGGAAGACCAATATACACTGGTCGCCTTTTCTTGACGCACGCGGTAAGAACGCGGTCTATTTCTGCTGCTGCATTTTCAGGTACGATAGATGCTTGGGCAACCGTCACCTCCTTGAACATCCGCATAAACACCTGGAAATCTCCGTTGCCCAGAGTGTGATGGAGGACAGCACCTTTTGACTGAGATACGGTGCTTGGCGTGCCAACACTATCAACATTTTTGATTAGTAGGGCTTACTTGGGGGTTTACCAGAACATAATACAAACATGTGAACGACCGGCACCATTTCCGCAAATGAACCGGCGTTAGCGTTCACCGCGCTCAACTCGCCTACGCCGAAAGTCGTGCAAATGGCTCCCAAGCCCTTGATTCGAGCGTAACTGCACTATCCGGTCAAACGAGATCAAGCCTATTGTACGACTTTCAACGGTAACAGTACCCATCAGCTGCATATCCAGCGCCGAGTTCTGTGGCATTGTATCCCCATCCAACTCCGTCAAAATCTTTGGTAGGGTAGCGAATGTTAATTAAATATGCATACGATGGGTTTGGACTCAACTCACCTTCTATTTGATCGAGGAATTCCTGGAATAAAAGAGTTGGTTATTATTTACTATGGTTAACTACACAAAGTGTTGCTGCATATTCTCACCATATTGAAGTCTCCAGGCACACCAAATACCATATCACATCCAAGTTCCTTCAATCGGGTCAGGAGATAATCTCCCACGGTTAGAGTGGTTTTCCCGACCATCGCTTCCGCTGTCTCTGTAATCCGCTCCGTGATTGTCGGCATTTTGGGCTTTTATTGGATTATTTCTACAGGATGGGTAGCTCCCAATTGGCACAAAAACAAAAACAAGAAAGTGACGAGAAAGCTTGTGCTTTTATGCGATCTGTTTGATGACTTCATTGCGCGGGTAAGGCCACAAGCCACATTCGTCACGCGTCACCGATCGCGCTGTGAGCAGGTTATCGCGCACCATCCGGCAACCACTCCGCACAGCAAGTCTTATTCTACTCGACAAGAATCACCCTGCAACTGGTCTTTTCATCCTCGTATTTAATGCGTCACTAGAGATCAATTCTATTCTACTTTTAACGTTCATAACTCCTTCTGTATTCCTCTGATTTGGTGATTTCAAACTCCTGCCAACTTGCTTGTAATGTAGTTTTAAGACTTTGGGACACTGGAAAGACCAGGCGCATGCTAGCTATAATGAGCAGCCATAGAGGTGCTTCAAACTGCACACAATTCTAAGCTCCAGAGCCGGGCTATCGGTATCAGGAGCGCTTGCGTACGATATCACCAAAGTAAAAAAAGGATAGCGCTGAAATGCGTTGGTTGGCGATTTTGGGTCAGGATTGTATTGATTAATATCTGTACATTATTTTCACTGTCGCATCCTCAAAGGATCAGACGATGTCAAATGGCAATAGTTACACATCTCTTCAGTCATGTATCCAGTGCAGTATGACTAGATAGAATAATATGGTTCTTTTTAAAATAATTATCATTCCCATTATACTACCTTGCTAGGGTAAATCCGGGAGAGATTGCAAGGAGGGAAGGAGGCAAAAGTGGCATTCCCCGGAAGAGCATATAAAATAACTTCTTTGACTAGCCGCCGTGATGGTGAAGTGGAAGAACAATGAAAGAATGAAAAATGCTCCCTTGTATTCGGTAAGGAAATGCTTGAATGGCCGGCCATACTCTTAACAACTAATAGCTCGCCGTTTTCTCAATTTCTATAGACGACGATGTGTAACTTATAGGGCCGTGAATGCACTATGACTGGATCGGCAGTCCCTAAATCGTGATTATGTAATAGCTCCGCTGCTGATCTTTGAACTGTTCGGCCACTTACCAAGTTGGCGCAACGACACACTAACGATGGCTGAACAAACTATGGTATGTGTTGCACTTGCTTACTACTCATATCTTTCAGTCTTTTTAAAGCTGTACCTGACCCTATATGCTTGCCAGTGTGACGCGGCCAGTTTCGGCGTCTCCGACGTCCGAACCTTGATACTTCTGCTAGACTCACCCGAGCAGCTGGTATGCGTAGGTGCACTGGATGCTTTGGCAAAGTATGCAGAAGCCGGTATGTGTCGTTGAATTTGCAACATTTTCTCCATCCTCCCATTGACTTTTGTCTTTATTACTCGCTAGCTTCGAAACATCGGATACAGCTTTTGTCTTTAAATATACTGAACCCCCTCATCGATCTTTGCAAATCGACCGACCCACTTGTCAAAAAATCTGCTGTGGCATGCTTGGCTGCTTCCACCGAGTTGAGTGAGTGGCTGCCTGTGGTGGGTCGTTTGGACCTGATCAATCTGGCAACACGTCCAGGTCACTGACGAGATCACACTTTCTGTGATACCTGCCGCTACATAACAGCAACTGACTTTCACCCGGAACTAAGAAGAAGAGATGTAATGATACTGCTAATCTCGCTGCTGGGACCCGATCAGCCTCCAGAAGTTCAGGACGAGGCTGCCTTTGCGCTGGCCAACCTTGCCCGGGACTGTATGTATGACTAGAGTTGAACTATTTATTTATACTTTAGCTAACGCATCCCATAGTTGCAAATAAGGCTGACATCAGGAGCGCTGGCGGCATAAAAGCACTTGTGGCTCTCCTTGATTCTCCAGATCCAGATGTGAAGAAGAACGTGGGACATGCCCTTTCATCAATGCTTGAAGACTGTATGTGTTGCGTAACCAGATTGAGAACAAAAAAGCAAGCATTGCCGAGAACTAAGATACTTGCCATGAACAGTTGCTAGTCGGATGGAGGTGCGGTACGTCAACGGACTAGCTCCATTGCTCGAACTACTTGCCTCCGAATATCAAGACGTGCAGGAAAACGCTTTGACAAGTCTTATCCGCTGTGCGGAAGATTGTAAGCAATTCATCGCTATTCGTGCAAAATGCCAATCTTACAAACACGCATATACATTTGATCATATTAGACGGCAATCGTATAGAGATTCGCAAACTCAACGGCATAAGGCGTCTAGTTGATTTTCTCAACCAGAACTTACCCGAACTTCATCATTTGACTTTACTCTGCTTGGCTAATTGCTTCGAGGATTGTAAGTCTCTGAGCTTGCTTTCGCCATCTCTTTCCGTTTTGTTGAGCATCCCCATGAACAGCGGAAACCAGCAGTATCTTTCCTGAACTGGGCGGATTGGCGTCGTTGGTGAAAATGGCGGGGGCAGATGATGTCCGAATCAAACGCAACGCTGCGCTTGCGCTAGCACGAGCGGCGAAGCTTGGTAGGTTGCAGATCGCTTTTCATAGACTCGCGACTTACCCTAGTGTCCGATGCGGCCAGATCGAAATCAAAACTACATCCGTGAAGCAGGTGCCCTCCCCGTTCTTCTTGCAAATCTGGCACATTCGGATCCAGGGGCAATCAGTCATGCTGCAATGGCGCTGGCTTATCTGGGAAAGAATGGTAGATTGTTTGTCATCGTCACATTGATCCGCGAAGGACGATTGTGCGCTAATCTGCCAACATGTACTAGAAATTAATCAGATTGAATTGAGCAAGATGGGAGCGGCAGAGGTGTTCATTCGACTCTTGGCGCATGACGATTTGGACGTCTGCAGACAGAGCGTAGGTGCCCTCTCAAGTCTTTGTCTAAATGGTGAGAAAAGCATTTAAGCAATCGATCTGAGGATACTCAACTGAAACTGTCATATTTCTCATAGCTAAAGCTCGGCCAAAAGTGCGGCAAAATGATGGTGTGCAGGCCGTTCTCAAGCTTCTCAGTCTTGAGGATATCCAAACATTACTGAACGCATGCGAGTGTTTAGCGAATCTGGCCGAAGACTGTATGTATAAACCCATATTGAAATGCTCCAGTCTCCACAGATAACTGAGACATCCACTTGCAGCTGCCATTCGGACAGATATTGTCAAGCTGTACAGCGGCGTGCATTCATTGGTGATGACATTACAAAAGACAGATCTCAAAATAAAAAGCACAGCTGCTTTGGCTCTTGCTCGTTGCATGCAAGACGGTGGGTCTTGGGAAACTATTGCACTTCCCCAATTCTCTCTAATTATTCAACCCATGCAGCCGACGGCAGGATGGCGTTGACGAAGGAACCGCAAGATCGCGGCCTGAACCATATCATAGAGTTGATAGCGTCAAAAGATATCAACGTCTGCCGAAATGCCGCATACGCATTGTCGAACGCGGCACAGCATGGTTAGTTGGATTAAAGTTTCCAAAGAGTGAAGTCAGGTCATTCACTGACCGACTCATTTCAGATGGCATTGCAATGGCTGCTTGCCGCGCTGGTGCGCTAGAAGCCTTGATTGACCTGTCAAAAGATCCCGCCAGACATGCTCCGAAATTTGCTGCGGATGCTTTGGAAAAGCTCCTGAACTACAGTAAGTCAGCAAGCAAGGATATCTTCCAACATCAGCCATGTTGCGACATGTGAATTCTTAATTCTCGTGAATATTCTAGATCTCTCTGCTAAATATTGGTTACGGGATCATCTCTCTGCTACAAACATCATCCCCGACGTATTTTACGATTTTGGCTCAGCCGGATCCAATCTTGACTCTCTTCATCCTTTCCCGTCTCTGCAAGAGCTGAAATCTCAGCCAGTCGACAAGCGTCGCGAAGTCCTCCTTATTGACCCAGTTCAAGATCCTCACCTAAATGCATTAGTCCAGCTGGCGTCAGAAGGATCACTCGCATTACGCACCCCGCGGCAGCAAATTCGTCAAATTGCCTCCATTGTAGTGCAGGTCCTAGGAGGCACCGTAGATCGAGCTCGACTACAGGACGTTGCCTACAAATTCAAAATCACGGAGCTCAAAGTCAAGCTGGGGACGAACGTGATTCCGCTGGGACAGGTCGCACACGGAACCTTCTACCATAGGGCACTACTGTTTAAATTCTTGTGTGATAAAGTGGGACTGGCACCGTGCACACTTGTGAGAGGGGAATACGGGCGAGCTTGGAATGTGGTGGATGTCATGCGACAAACATTAACACCGCCAAAAATACCTGCGCCAATCGTTCCCTCTGCTCCTACAACACCCGCTAAGCCGGAAAAGATGGCTGGGTCCGCGCGGGTTCGCCACTCAGTTTCTGCTAACAGAGGTGACCGTGATGGAGGAGTTACAGGTGGATTGGTGGGTTCGGCGGCTGGTAATGCAACAGTTGCTACAACTGTGCCTGTACCCCCAGCGACATTGGTCCCGATCACGTTGCCTGACCCAGCAGACGATGTAGTCCCCATGCCCGAAGAAAAGGCTATTGTTGATCTCATGTTTGATCCTGGGCGACTATTGATTGTTGGGTCTCCTGAGGCGGATATGTACCAGCGGTTTTCGTAATGTGGGATTCGTCTAATAGATGTCTCGTCTCAAGTCCTGACCAAAGTTTTTGGTACTTTTTGCTATTATTTCCAGCTATATTATAGTACATTTATGGTTCCTATGCCACATGGAGCAAATGGTCTCTCACATGAGCCAGCCTGAGCCATTTTTGGAATAGATACTTGATGCAATCTATTCCTGAATATCTTCGGAGAATTAAATCCCTTGTCAGATAAATGCGCGGACATGCAAGGGCTCTCAATCCAGATATTACAACTCTAATTATGAGAATTCAAGGCTGCAAATCCCAGCGCCAGTTTGCTTCAAATACTAGCCCGGTTAAAATCCCCATCGATCGGAGAACGCTGCAAGCAATTGCTAAAGAAAATACTCTGAAGGAGACGATTGCTCCTACTGCACCATCTGGTCAACTGGATTCTTGCACAAGCAAGTCGGATGTTGATTCTCCACATCTTTCAACATCAACATCATGGTGCAACGACGCTGATTCTTCAACAGACGAGCAGAGCTCGACAGCGAGCGCAAATCAAGGATCTATTGACTCCCAGTGCACATCTGCACTGGATTATCTTAACAAATTGGAGCTTCAAGCCCTGCAAGCACATGCCGCTGACTACCGAGATGCATTCCAAATTGAACAGCAGCGAAAGATTCTCGCCGCTCGGGCATCCTACTTGCAAGAGAAACTGGGTGAACAACTACATGATGCGGCGAGAAAGATTGCGCCCCGCTTCTATGGATGGCAACCTTCAGATTGGAATGGAGTACACGGCCAGCTCATTAAAGATGACAGGGATCCTGATGATCTTTGGAGAGCACTTCGAGCTGCTGAAGCACATTCGTATCCTTTGGAGGACCCAGCAGTTTCGGATCGTTTCTTCAAGGAGATGGAAGAATTGATGCTAGTCGAAGATCTTGCGGAACTACAATGCGGTACATGGGCAGGTATGGGAAGGGGAGTGATGCATGCAAAAGTGGTCGACTGAGCAAAATCTCCATTTAGATGAAACCACATCATATGAGACGAACTCTCGCATGTCCCCTTCTTCCAGGAAACAAATCGAGCGAAAGCCGAACCCTGTAGTGAGAACGACCAATCAACGTATGTTACCGGTATTGGGGGCGGTTAAAATCTCTTCGCTCTTATACCTATGTACGTACGTACCATACCTTCGAAATAGGCCACGCTCATTCAAAGCCAAAACTCTCCGTGCCGGTATCGTCAATTCCTCGCGGGAAAACAACCTCTCAAAAACGTCTTGAGCAGGAGCTCGCGAAGAAGGAGGCTGCTCTCCAAGCGATGATGAAAGATGGTTTTCGAGCGAATCCGGTACCTGCCTCAACTTTGATCCCCAGGTACGATGGCGGAGGCAATTGTTTCCCAATTCTTGATTTCAAATAACGGGGACATGCAGATACGATCAGATCATGCGGTCAAGAGGTACGAAGAGTGCGGCAATGCGAGCTCAGCGAGTTTCGAAGATAAAAGGCGGTGTCAAACCGTTTGGCTTTTCAAGTAAGCCGAATGACAAGTCGTGTCCATGTGGAGTATGTATAGAAGAGGTTATGCTTCGAGCTATTTTCGTACCGGCTCACGCTTTTGACCAACAAGTTGGAAGCCACTGTTGAGAATGCCCTTAATCAAATTTCTCGAGATGCACATTCAAAACCCATTATCAAAAGTCAGAGACCCGCAGGTTCTCCACCGCCACGACTGGTACAACAGGCGATAGAAGATGGACGGCGAAGGCGACAACGGATCTTGGGTACATGTCCGCCATGTCAACTTCTGCTTCATTTCAGTAGGAGACTAATCCAGAATGCTATAGAAAATGAATCCAAAGCAGGACTGACCGAAGAGCACAAATTTCGTCCGAAAATAAATTGGGAAATACCAAACCATGCTCGCAACCATGCGAAATTTGCGAAGGAAGTAGAAAAGCGGAAAACCGTGCATTCACCTACAAAGTAAGTCTTGTGCATGCGTCTACATCAGGTACAAACTATTTGTAGAAAACTAATGCTATCATGCTGTCTTGTAGACCTCATCCGTTTCCTGGCGTTGAATATCACCATCAGGTTGCACCTTCACGCTCGCGTCATCAGCAATGCGCTTTGAACAATGACGCCGTGTCAAGTAGCAGACATCAATGGCCGTATATTAAGAAGAAACGTCTCTCAATAGCCACTCGTATGCAGGTACGTCACTCTATTTACCATGGATGCCAATCTCCAGCGAACCAAACTTATGTACTATGTAGATCCCAAAAGCTCGTGAAACCCACTCTCATAGGCTGAAGGTCCTTCATCGAAAGACTGTAGAGGAAACTCGAGGCTTGATTAAGGACGAATTGGAAAAACAGAGGCAAGAAAGGCGGAAAGAGATCAAGGTACATGTGGCATCTTCCCTCATGACAAGTACTACTGGTGCTCAACAGACTCGGCTGTAGAGGATCGAGCAGAAGGTTCGAAGCCGCCTAACAACCAAAATCGGTACCACAGCCAACAGCGATAGCGTACATCACGCACGACAGGAGGGTTACTTAAGAGGTACACTTGTGCGAAAGAATCCGCTTGCCGTGTGTTCATAATCTGAGCGCACCTTGATCGCAGCCCAGGCAGAGCGAGCCGAAGAATACCGTAAGCAATTGCGAGATATGAAGAAGCGTCTCGATGAGCGGCCGTGTCTATTTGAGCAAGTTGACGTCCTTACAGCCAAGCAGAAGGCTATTACAGGTATTTTTATGATTCGTGAGCTCATCCTGCCATCAACTTCCTAACACCTTTACAGATTTTAATCATATTCTCACCAAAAATGGGCTCAAAGTGGAAGATTTCGCTTCAGCGGGATAGCGCTCTTGACATGTACATATATACTTGTTACTACACTAGAATTGCAATTTATGATGCAGATGTTTGAATGATATCGTGCTGGGATGAGATGTTAGTTCTCACTGATAGGCAGAGTTTCCGTGTGTGGAACGCTCAAACCGCTCGATACCACCCATCCATAGTAGAAAGTGCAGCATGGCTCAAGCGCAGAGTAATCCGCGTGCCAGAAAACTTTCCAAAACCTTTGTGCAAGTAGCAAAAGGCATGTGGCAGGATATTTGACGTCGAAACTGAAGGCTTGACCGAGGCTTGCAGCTGTACAAGGTGGAAAGCGGCATGTGCGATGGACATTGAACTTGCACGGCGCAAAATCGATGATTTTTCCAAAGTTGTAACGTGCTAACTACGATGCCATTGACAGCTGGTTATGGATTGTTTATGAACAGACGCGGCATCATCATGCAATATCTTTCATGAATCTCTCATATATCGGCCATCGCTTCAACTATTCTTCAAAAGGCCGTTGGGCTGACCATGGTTTTACATTGCCACAGCTGTGGGGGTTGAGGATCCGTCATAGTTACTGCAATCTTCGCTATCAGACCAGTGAGTTTCGCCCAGGCGCGCGTCAGGCCCCAAAGTTGCAGCTGTCAAATTCCTCCGATGTTCGTCTGGTCATCACAAACCCCCCACATTTGGAATGCTTCATATCCGCCACATGAAAATACAAATTACCTGTCAAGAAAGACTAAATTGGAAAAGGTCGCCAACATCAATCCATCATCTGCCACTGCCAACTCCCCTAAAAAGTAAAGGGTTGCGGGCATGACATCTTAACGTCAAAAGAAAGGACAAGAAACTGCGGAGATGGGAATTTGATAAAAGGGTATAGGCACCTTCCCTCTCCTTTTCAAGTTCCTTCGGCAATATCAAACAATTGAGCTTGTTGCCTCCACTTGTCCTTTACGCTATCTCTGCAACATAACTGGATAGGTTGACATCTTTCATTTACCCTCTTGTACCCTTGTGCATGCTGTCGCACCCCCAGTGACGTTTTCAAGTCAACATAAAATTCACCACTATTGCTAGCCATGGGCGTAACGGATAAAGCAGCATTGTTCCTTATTGGTGTAGACGGCAAAATAATACCAGAATACGTCGAACGCTCCGTGACTCGTCAATCAGTCCACTCTATCACCACATATGTCGGTAGTCAACCTTTGGGTAAACGCTTCAAGATCGTTGCCAAAAATATTGGATGTCGTCCTACATTCCGCAACCTTTTCAACGTCGTGAACAGTGATACAAAGGAAAAAGTTGTCAGAAATCTTTGCTTCCTCATCTACGTTGATGAAGAACTGGTTTACGCCCGTATCATCAGTCGAATCGGCGAAGGACGTGAGATTGAGGGATATCGGAAAGGTAACGGGCAGATCGACCCGTTTGAATTTGGCACGGGCAAAGGCGCCAGGATTGTAAACGAAGGGGATAGCAAGGAGCGTAGTGGAAGCATCCGGATGGAGGTGTGGAATGCGGAAGTCCTCAAAAAGTTAACTGGATATGTCCCGATCTGGCCTGGGGAGGAGAATGAGCAGCAACACTCTGAGGAATCCGACAGGATTGTCATCGGCCATGCTGCGGACATTACTGCACAGGAAGGCAGTGCGGATCCTGAGACTACATTGTAAGTTTCCCAATTAAGTTGGCTGCAACGCAATGTCATTTCTAAAGCCATGTATTTTCAATAGAAATCTTTCTCCCAATGCTGTCAGTGCGGTCATCTGCCGTCGAGTGGGCGCAGCACCCATCGTCACTCATACCATTATATATGGAAAGGTGGAAGATAATGTTGTGCTTGATCCTCTGAGAGAAGGTTTGTTGTCTCCTTTGATAGTCCCGTCACCTGAATTAATGAAGTTAACGCTCGGTGATGTTTAATAAAAGGATTCACTTGGGCGCCTTGCCTTCAACCTAATTTCATTTCCACCTTCCCTTCACCCCTCCTACCACCAGTCGCGAGCCCCGGTCGCGATATTAGTGAAAAACCGCCGCTCTCACCTCCTCGTGAGAGGGATACTCCACTCGCCATATCATCTCAACCTTCCACCTTGCACACATGTGCTAATGCTGCGGGCAGCATTGGATCGTCTTGCAAGAGCTGTCAGTCGGCCAGCACACTCTGCCAATATCTCAATGCGAAAGTTAAGCATCTCGAAAGGGAGTTGAGTAAGATAAAGCGTAAAAGATCTCGCGGAGACTGTAACCTGAGCGAGTGCGATACTCCTGCATATGATTCAGACCGTCCGTCCCCGCGCCCCCATACACCTAAACGATTTCGAGCACTCCAAGCGACTCGATATTCTTTAAAGATCGAACGGCCCTAATATGGACTAGCGGCGAGACCGCTCCTCCTAGTCATTATGATAAGCCATAGATGCGCTTACCCTCTGATTATCAAGAGTCAATACTGCCTCATTGCTTCATGCTTATATTTTTCAATTTCATAGTTTGTGCAGTGTCGGGAAACCCTTTTTTAGAATGTATCTGTTATATTTTGTGTATACATTACTACGCACAATGAAAGATTTTGGTGTACCGGTCTTGCGGTGGATTTTGATATTTGCAGAAGAGAGCCGATGTTCAATATTTATTTTCCCAATGATAATGCACATCTCGGGCTCCGAGAAATTTATGTTCAACGTCAATACATACAAGTCATAGTATTATACAATCTAGAACTCATTGTCGTCGTCCCCAGTGTAGGCATCCTGAACGTCCCCCCGATAGAAATTATCCAACTATAGATCAATCCCAGAAAAAACGTGAGTCTCAGCGTCAATAGATGGTGCGGTTCGACAAGTGTAGCATACCAAACGGCCAACATCAAACTCATTCCTGGTCTGCAGAGCCAAATCTGGATGATGCCCGTATTGGCAACGGTGCCATTGCTCGTCAGGCAGAGGGGTTTTGGCGTCCCTTGCGCATTCTGCAATATGTTCCACTAAAGCAAGACATTCTTCAAGCTGCGCCTTTGTATACCCAGTGACAATATGAGTCAAATCTTCCGCTTGAGTAACTACGATACAGAGAGTCAACAGTTGCACCGCAGCGAAGCGCCATATTTAAAGCCATGGCTACTTACTGTCCTCAAATGGATATGTGAGAAAGAACACCGCGGCGGCCAGCATACTGTTGCGAAATCTGATGGTAGTGTCGACTGCCATGCAAGCTTGCAAGACGAAAAAGGCTCCGCTGGCTTCATCCAATGTAAATGCTGCTTGAAATATGTCGCGCTCTCCAACGGGCAGGTTCGGGGGTTTGTGAATGTCATGGTAGAAAGACCAAAGGCGCGCAAGTTGAAACGACCGCGTCAAAAAGTCGTGTGCGGTGGAAATGCACAAGTTCCAGTTCATTTTCTAAAGGTGACCTGAAGGTTAAGTGGTGACTATAGAAGCTATCGAATGGGGATGTCACTTACAATCATAAAATCGGCTTCGTACTTGACCACCCTTTTACAAGCCTTTTGCATGACTTTAACATGTTCATCGGGATGGTATCCTTGAGTTTCAAATTCACAAATCTTCCAAACGTCGAGTGATTGTTGCTCCTGCAGAAGATTAGGTTATGTTAACGACAGTCGCCTCAAGATATTGCGCAAGTTGCAGACTTACTTCCAGCTTGCTAGCACAGTTCAGCATTGCAACACCAACTAGCTGCAGCTTCTTGAGCGGAATTTCCGCTATTTTACTCATGTACATATCCAAAAAGTTAACAGCCAAATGATAAGCTCTCCTAGAGAGGGCATTTTCGTCGCACACCTACATCGATGCAGAATGTAGAGTTAAGCGTTGGATGAATAATACGGAAGATCCAGTCATACCAACCTCAGCCATCCAATCAATCAACAGACCTCGATGGTCTGCGTTCATCTCCATGTGCTTTGAGATCCAGTCCGGACGCCGGTTCTCCATAAGAACTTCCTCCCGTTCGACGTCTGTCTTCCATTGCTTTAGAACGATTTTCATGTCAGCTTTCTAAAACACCAAATGGTATTAGCACCAACTCGAGGTGGTAACGCATGCGTGAGCGACTGGTCAACGGGCTACCTCATTTCCTTCAACAATCTCAAGAAGCTTCCTCGGCATTGGACATGCCGGAACTACCTTAGTCGCAGCATCTGCGCTGTGAAAAAATTCTGTAGAGCGGGCACACAGCGAAGTATTGTCGGGGGGCAGCAGGTGGCCCATGGTTTCGCTTATCATCTCCGTTTGAGCCTGTATGACAATCTTGCGCCGAAGAGGACTGCACTCAATGGGAGCATAGCGGTTTTCCTTACGTACATCAGATGCGGGGGAGAGTGCATCCAAACGGGTAGAGTATGCCACCGGTGAATTGCCAGCCCTGGGCGTCATCGGTGGGGTAGAAATGAAGGGAGTGATATCACTTAGTGTGTCATCATCTCTGTGAACAGAGGTTGCTGCTGACGGTTCATCAGAGTCCGAAAGGGGCTCTTCATCACAGTAGAGAGGATCATTACACCATTCCGGAATGGATGAGGTAGGTGACGAGGTTTTGGGATCCGAGGGTATATCAAGATCCTCATCTTCATCGATTGACAGACGGGCGTGGGCCTTGTGAACGGTTGACCTGAAGGTAGGGGTAGCAATCTTGCGAGAAAGAGGTGAAATACTTGGAGATACGTTCGGGGCCGCTTGATATACAGGTGAGCTTGAAAAGGTGAACTTAAATTGCGAATTCGGGAGCCGTAAGCTGTTCTCATCGCATATCCGTGTGTCTTCCTTGACCTGCATCTTGGCTGCGTACATTGAGGGCACAAACGGAAGAATCAGTATCTACATTAGATCTTGCTAAATTTTGGTTCGTACCATCCCCGATACGTCGACGTTTGCCACTTTTGGGTTCGATAATCGCGTACTCTAGATTCTTAATACGAACGGGAGTGTCGTAGACATCGTTTTCATCGATCTTGCGCTTGACGCCGGAAAGAGGGCAGGTTCCGTAATTTTCGAGCATTAAGCGAAAGGGCTCATTCTTCTAGAAGCAGCAGATATTAAAAAATGAGATCACATGTTAGGAATGGGGCAGGAATAGGCGAACAGAGGCATTGGTCTCGATCACAACATCTATCTCACCTGCTGAACTGGTGTGTGCGGGGGCTTGATGGGCTGCCTGTCCGCCCTCGCTGGCGACAATGACAATGAAGCGACATTGGCATTTGCGCTGAATACGCGTAACCCGCGTCAATAACGTTTGGCGAGATAACCGAATATGTTGCACGTCTTACCCTCCGAGCATCCCGTCTTGAACTGCCAAAAAGAAAAAGGCCCCCGGAACCTTCATAGAATGGGAGAAGGAGAATCCCAGCGGTTAAGAACCGTGAGGCGCGTCGGCATCTCTACCGTTCGCGTGCAGCAATTGCCAAATGCGCAGATGCTGAAACTTGGCTTAGACATAGCGACTCACCTGCTTTCAATAAAAGAACCCAGTGTGATTCCAGAAAGAAAGCAATGCGGCCTCAATAGGTAGTGCAATCGCAAAAATGTGAGAGAAGAACAATATGGGGAACGAAGGACCAGACGACGTCGGGGCGCGCCGTTTTGACTGGCGCGCGCACACTTTCAGGGTAAATCACGGGGATTCCACCACGTCTAGTGAGACAGGATCGATGGACCTAAAACCAGGTTGAAGTTAACTGGACCCGGAGCGATGGCGGAGTGGTTATTGTCCCCCGTTGCTGCGACGGGTAGAAGGGCAGAAACGCGTCTTATGTAAACGCGTATTGTTCAGTCTTTCGGACGAAAAACTCGCGTGCCCGATCCTCGTGGGCCGTTCGACTGATTCCGTGGGTTGTGAGCTATCGCCAAGCAGGCCCGTTCTCCAGGAATAGCATATGCGTCATGGGAGACTGTAACGTGGTCGAAACAATAGAAAACACTTACACATTTTACTCTCGCAAAAGTAAGCTTAATTCAGCCAAGTCTGCCACTCTTTGGCCGGGTCCGCAGCAATCAGACAATCCAACCACAGGTATCATGTCACATGGTTGAAGGTACCAGCAAAGAAGATGCAGATTGTAAAACTGAGACCACCAATACTCTTTACTATTTGCAAATGATTGCTTGGCAGATCTTTTTCCTTTCAACAGACTTTCTACTGAAGTTGAATATAATACAGTTACAATATAAATTACATGCAGAAGCTTCTTATCCAACTCTATGCGCTGGCATCGGAGGTTGATTTAATCGGTCCACTAATGAACTTCCGAAACCCATTCACGATTCTCTTCAATTTTGCTTCGGTTGCAGCCTTTTGTTCCCCAAGGAGCTTCACGTCTTTTTGCAGCTCCTCGATCCGCCGGATGTGTCCCTCCGTTGTGCGCTCAAGCGACTGTATTCTATCTCGCTCGCTCTCATGGCGAGCAGTTAATGCTTGAATTTCAAGCAACTGTGCTTCCGAGGTCTTGGTGCCCTCTGCCACTTTTTGCTGCAACAGGGCCGCGCTATTATTGGCTGATACATGTAAGTTATGTATATGTAAAAACTGCTTTACGAAAGGTAAAGGATGGTCACGATCATCGGTCAAACGGTCAGAATCAGCCGCGTAAGGGAGGATATGTTGGTACTGTTTCTCGTAATCCGTTAAAAGTTGCTCCAGTTCACGGTGCTGGGATTTCACATCTTCAAAGGATGCTTGAAGAGTTTTGAACTTTCCCATCCATGCGTCTTCGCGCGATTTGAGTTTGTCCTTCGTTTTGGACAGAGCCTCTTTCAGGGAGCTATTTTCCGCGCGGAGGGCGGAGAGCTGATGGACGTGCTCTGATATCACCCGGAATTTTTAGCTAAGGGTGCAACAAAAAGTTTCGAAACCTTGCTTACCTTCAATCATTCCATTCAGCTGCTCCAATTGATTGGATGTATCTTGGTTGTTCTTTAGTAGTTCCATCAAAGCCTCAACATCGCAGAGATTGTCGCGACATGGCGATGGTTCCCCGTGGTGTTGCTGCAAGCCGTTTACCTTGTCAGTTAAGGTTCGGCCTATCTCTCTCAGTAAGTCTGCGGATGGATCCCAAGCAGAGTCACCGCCCACACTGGCGGTTCTAGTATTCTCCAGCTCTTTCTGCTTCCGGCGGAGGTCTTCTTGAAGGTTGTCGATGATCTCAGTTGCCTGTTGGTTCTTCAATTTCTCATCGTCGAGTTTTGATTCCAGCATATCAATGCTTTTGCGAAGTTTTGTGAATTCAGCCTCGGTGGCTGCGGGCGCTGAATACATTTTCTCCAACGACGCCCGCAAAGTGACATTTTCTCGTTTCCATTTTTCGATAGTTCGCTCGAGGTGTTCTTGATGGGCTTGCATTTGAGTAGTGATGGCGGTGAGCTCGTCAATACGCTTTTCATAGGAGGCGGTTTTCGTTTCTTCTTCGAGCAAGGCGGCAGCTGTCCGCTCCGCAGCTAGCCAATCCACACATGTGTCGCTATCTATCTGCGTGCGTTTCTGAAGTGCCTCATGTTCTTGTACTTCTTTCAGAACCGCTAATCTTCCTTTTTCTGCAACCATGGCGGCTTCGCGTGCGAGAGCTACTTCCCTCATTCTTTTCTCTTGCTCTTCCTTGTATGCTTTTTTAATCTTTTCAAACTCTGTTTGGATCTTCTCCAAGTTCCCTTCTAACGTTTCATTGTCGTCCTGTAGCTTTTGCATGTCGCTGGCATAACTGTCCGCAATAGTTTTGATGGTTCGTTCCGTCTCGGCACGGATCTTGGTACTATCCTCGCGCAGACGATGAATCCGATCTTCAACAAGCAGTGACTCTTCCAGAGCTGCAGAAAACGCATGCGCCGATACGGTAACGACTTGAGTAACGTCCTTGCAGGCCGCCAGAAAATGAGAAGGGTTGTATACGATAGATGAGGATGTGACGGCTGCTCGGATGGCATCGAGTCCGTTGAGCAGGGTGTCCATTGTGCGCATTGGCGAGTTCAGAGCAGTTGACATAGAAGAGCCGTCGGACGAATACCGTGGGGTAGATGCGATTTCACATTTCTTATCTCTTAGTTTGTGAGTTTCGCTGTCGATTAGACGTAACACGTCCTGCCGCGCATCGTCGTCGTCCACCCTATCAGGCGTTGTGGAGAGTACAGTATTTGTGGATGCATTTAGCATCTCGTGCTTCTTGTCAACGATATTTGCGGTGTCTGTTTGCCCCAAGTTCATTTTCAATGCGGTCTCCTGCTCAGTCAATCTCTTGTTCTCCCGGCGCAAGATCTCATTTTGTTCAATCAGGGCCTTTAGTTCAATGTGATGTCGAGATACCCGCGTTTGCAGCTCGTGATTATCATTCTCCAAATGTCGACATCTTCCAGACAATTCAGATAGTCGAATCCTTTCTTCTCTTTTCCGAGCGGGGTCACATTGTGCCTGTAGTCGCGCGTTCTCCTTTTCGAGTTGCTGAATTCGGCGTCTGAGAAATCCAACCGTCGCATCTTCATCTTTATTGGATCGACGGGAGATCTGGTCTCGTAGCCGACGATTATTGTCTTCCATGTATCTCAACTGCTTATGCAAGCTGGAGATAAGACCTGGGTCCATGTACTCAGTTCCTTCCATTGTTAGATGTACCCTATGATTTTGCTTTCCGTACGCACTTGACAGCGTAGTCGCAATTGTCCGCGCTGACTCAATGTCTTTTTTTGGCGCTCTTAATGGCAGAGGGGAGCCTTTCGGCAGTTTTGCCTTGTGGTCATCAAGGTCGTCTATATGAATAGGATTCTGAACAGTTTGCTGATAATGCCGAGTGCCATGTTGATCATCACGAAGCATTGATGGCGGTCTTTTTTCATCGGGTTCTGTGCAGCCTTCGGTTTGCAGTTCCTCGAAAAGCAGATGGTCGGTCTGTTGTGCACTAGAAGAGATGGTTTGCTGTCTCCCTTTCTCGTGGACATGTGCGTCGTCTTCAGATTGTGCACCATGTCGCTTGACCCTGGTCCCAATATCACCTTCGATGCGATCCGGCTTGGGCCGACTTGATCGTGCGCTCTCGGCTACCCGCTTCTCCGCTGGCTCTCTTCTTTGTGCTTCTAATGGATGCTGGAAAACCGAGCTGGTAGTACCCTCGCGATGGAAGATCGAACAGGGATTTTCTACGTATCCTTGATGAGAGATAATATAATCTGAATGCGGTCGCTCTTTGATGTCTTGATTTCCGGGGCTGATTTGTTCCTTGGCACCGCCATTGATATGTTGACTATTTTCATCAACAGTTTCGTGTGCGTTCTCTTTCTCATCCTTAAAGAGTCCATCTTCCAGTTCCTTCAAAGTCTCTGATATAACCGCTGTCGCTTTGACTAAAGCGTGAGACTTCGAAGAGAGGTCGCTTACAGGCTCCAGTACCGACAGCTTGACCCTGGAAGCAGATTGCGTACGATCATTTGAACTTTTCGCAGAACTCGGGTTACTATTCTCTTTTACTCGGACAGTTTTCGGGGCCATTTGCGAATCGAGCGCGCGCAGCAGACGCGTTCCTAGTAAGCTCGTGGTTTCGTAGCTAAGCCTCCTCCAGCTAACACACTCACAAAGGGCAACACTGCCAAACGGCTGTTTTGCTCCACTGCAATCCGGCTGTCGCCGATGATTTCACACGCTCGCTGTAAGCAACTGGAATATTTGTGGTATCATGTCGCAGGTTATGTCTTTGCTGGGCAATGACTGGCCAACAGAGGGCGAGTATGAAATTGTCAAGGGGAAGTCGTTTGAACAGCCGACCAGGAATCCTTGGTTAGGACTTGAATGTAAGCCTCTTCACCACCCTGCAGCAAAACTTTATGTCTAAGCACTTCAATTAGACAAAGGCAAGTTTCCACATCAATCTATTACCGGTGTTCTAAGGTCGGCGACGGACGAGCCTGCTTACAATGCAGAAATAGATTGTGAACAGGTGAGCGTATAAATCAAGGGCGCGAGTAAATATAGACATCTGATATGCGCTTTTGGACTAGTCTGAGCTTCATGCTTCTTAGGAAGGAGAAAGCCATCGGTATAAGGCGAAACCTTGTGGTACTGGCCAGCATTTGTCGTACTTGCTATTCTGGGATCGAAAACGAAAGGTACCTAGGTACAGAATTTGGCATTTTTTGTGTGGATACCTCATTAATATTGGTATGCATTAGGTGTTCGTTCTGGAAAAACTTATATCAAGTTTCGAAATGCATCCAGCCGCCATGCAGGAAAGTCACGGAGTGTCTTCGACTGCTGAGGACAATGAGACAGAAATGGATCTAGACAGGGAACTGGATGCCGTGTTTGCGGATTTGGATGAGGAGGATGACGACGAAGAGGTTGATCTGGCAGCGGACGACGATGGTAGCAAGCCAGATGCAGTTAGAGGATATGGTCGGAAGAGTTCTGTTGAGGATTTCGCCAACAGCCATATGAGCTCAGCCAACTACGTCTCTGACGAGGATGAGACGGATGGGCTGATATCAACGATGGAAACTCGACGATCTGGTGGAGACGATGTTACAGACAGCGATTTTGATTCGGAGCTAGATGCGGCGTTTGAGGAATTGCGTCAAGAAGATGGCGAATCCGGGGAGCTGACTGCGGCAAATGAGGGAAATCATGAATTGGAGGATATATTGGAAAATGCTTTGGAAGATGTGTATAAAGACTTGTGCGACTCCCATTCAGATGGTAGCGGTGATATGACTGAGGATGATCCAGCTGATGAAGCCGAAGAAGAGGTGAACAAGCTTTCCGGCTTTCCGCAGGATGATAGTGGAGGAGATCTTTTACATGCTCGTTCACGAGGAGGTCCTATTTCACTCAGTTCACTGGAAGGTAAGCTGCAGTGGTTAGCGGACTTTATGTCCTACTGACGAGCACGCTGTGCCTTTTTTTGTAGATGGAAGCGAATCCAGTGGCTCAGGTTCTAGCATTGACGACTAGTGCAGACTTAGATATTTACATTGTACATATTTCTTTTTACACGGCGTATTTATCACTTAGACCATTGTCATGACTGGACTCTGCTCAAGGCTGTGCCACCCACATCAGGTGGAAAGAGCTGCGTACGCGCAAAGTTCTGTTCCCCAGATCAGTGACCATATTTTAGATCGCTCATCTTTCTGTATTGCAACTGGGAAGCGATAGATAAATAGCACAACATGGGTATGGCCTTCGATGATTCTTCGTTTAGCCCGTTCTAACTCAGTCCTTGGACAGGCTTATTCGACAACCCTCCGTCATCCCAACCTTTTGGTCAGTACCCGAACATGCTTGATCAGCTTGTTCTTCAACTGAAGCAAGTACTCTAGGAGGTTCAGGCACCACGGGCTTCTTTCCCGCGACAAATACAGCTTCTTCAAATCCAGGAGCCAATGCGTTCCCCTCTTCTAAGGTTGGGGGTGCAGCTACCACAACCGCTGCTCCGAGCACTCCTTCTTTCTTCACACCTCCCGTTGCAAATACGGCTGCAGCTGGTGGACAAACGCTTGGAGGGACCGGCCTCTTTGGATCTATAGGCGGTGCATCTACTGGGCAAGCGCTTGGAAGTTCGCCTGCATTGACTTTTGGGTCTGCGGCGGCGACTGCACCTTCCACAACCGCATCGGGAGCAGCAGGTTTTAATTTTGGACCTTCATCAAGCCTTGGAACCACTAGCGGTCCGACCGTGGGATCTGCAATCGGTTCATCAGCTTCTAGTGCTGGAACTCCTGGATCAGTACCTGCGTCACAGCCTGCGGCAACGCCATCAAGTCAGCCACAGGGAGGCTTTTTTCCAACTGCAACGAAACCACTCACAACACAAGCACCTGTTACTCCAGCAGCTAATAAGATCGCCAAAGCCCCTGCAGGAACACCTGGGCCTTTGAAGCTGGGGGATTTGGCAAGTGAGTGGTGCATATTCGATTTTCAAATGATATCTGGTGCGGTAACTAACATACGGCGTGCATAAGCACCAAGCACGTCAGCGGCAACTGGAGCAGCGAGTGGAGCACCTGCCACTAAAGCGGGAGAAACTGCCACCGCACAAGCGGAACTCTCATTCTCTACTCTCAAAAACAGAACCATGGAGGAAATTTTGCAGCGCTGGAACCAAGAACTTGATCAGTGCACCAAAGAATTTCATCGGCAAGCCGTGGAAGTGCAAAACTGGGACCGCATTATCTTAGAAAACAGTTACTCGGTTAGGACACTTACATATCAGCCGGCCCTGTAGTTTCGGAGATTCTAACGTTTTCTTTATGTAGATTTCCAAGCTATGTGAACAGTTGAATGAAGCGGAAACGTTGCAGAAGGAGATAGATGACAATTTGGGCTACATCAGTTCTCAGCAAAATTCTCTTGACAGCGCCTTGGCTCAATACGACGCAGATCTTCAGCGAATTATCCAGAATGAGATGGCCTCGATGCAAAACAGGTGCGATACTCTGTCAGTTGTTAGCCGTCACTCCATAATCTAATTGCTTGGGGATGAATAGGCACAGCCACGCAGATGAAGAGCGAGAAAGGGCGTATTCATTGGCAGAGTCGCTGAATCTTCAGCTAGATGAGATGGCGTCCCAGCTGTCTGTCCTGATTGGGGAAATAAACGCTTCAAAGGGCGAAGAAATTGATGGTGGGCTGGGCAGCACCGGGGATGGAGATTCTCTTTTGGGTGATGGAGAAGAACCGAGTCCTGTTGGTGCAATCGTCCGTATCCTTAATGAACATCTATCATCGCTGGAGTGGCTCGACAGCAGCACCGCGGATTTGGCCCAGAGGGTTCAGAATCTCGTCCGAACATCAGATGAAGGACTCAGTCATGTCGATCGTGCGCATCGAGGTGGTGCAGCGACAGGCGCGTTCGATTCAACAACGCCAGCGAGACCCTCCATCACCTCGCTGTTTGGAGTTTCGTCCACTGCTGATAGATTAGCACGTTAAGGAGAATATATATATCACTGTGTCCCAAATGATATCCGGCCCATGCTGGTAGTGAGCTATTGACGAGATATCCATGCTGTACGATGGGACGTTAATTCGTGACTGTTGAAATTTGCGCATAAATATAATATTAAAGGACAGCTCTTAAATGTAACTCTCAATCCACACTCATTTCTCTATGAATCACAAATTCATTTTGCTCAAAATGAAATCATCCCGGCCGTATCTTGGGCGCCCCGGACGCTGGCCTCCCTTGCCAATCTTCAGACGGAACCATTTCATCTACGAGAGCCACAGAGGTCAAATCCCTTGCAATGATATTAACTTGATCCGAAACGCCAATTTACCTTCAATTTCTGCTTCAAATGGGACGTTTTCTCTGCTTGGCGAGGGATTAAGTAACCAGGCAGCTTCTTTCCGCCGTAGGAAGGATGTTTGGAGCCGCGAATTTGTTGCGTGAGTGTGAGACGGGAGATAAAAGAGGATGTTGTTGTATTGAAAGTGGTTACGCTGGTCGTCAGCCGGGACGGGGTCGTCCTCCAGAGGGATGTTAGTCTCGAAATCATGGTTTTGACGGTAAAGCAAGTCCAACATCCAGCGATCGCAATGTGGCTCCCTCTGCTGAATTTTGTTGCCATGGCTACCACCGATTATGAGTCCTTTATTGTGGTCACGGGGTGAGTGCTGCGCATTACTATGGCAACAAAACTATTGAGCAAACAGGCGGCAGAACCGAAGGAAGGAAGGGCAGGATATCTGTGGCCGCCACCGTCAGCAAAAGCTACCAAGTCACTCTGTACAGCTCCACGAACAGTACAGAGTCACTCGGTTTGTACTTCTGCAGTGGTGCCCATAACCATGGCCACTGAAGACTTTCAACTTCTGCAACGGCCCCGTCCTTATCAAATTGAGTTGTATCAGCAAGCTCTTCAGCGAAACATAATTGCTTATCTTGACACAGGCAGTGGGAAAACTCTGGTTTCGGTACTCTTACTGCAGAATTACGCCTCAGACTTGGTAGAGATCCGTAACGATGAGTTGATTGGCTTGATCGACGCCCGGTTGGATACTGACAATGGCTTGGGAAATCCTGTCACAACCGCTGCAAAGAGCTATGTCGCGCGGCGGTCAGCGAGCGGTCTGAAACCTCAAGAGGCTGCCTCTACGGACATGCTGAATCAGGGCACAGGGACTGGTACAGTAATACAGTCACCTCTGGCAGTAGATATGTCCCCAGAGGTACTGCTACCAGCCCAGCCGAAGAAAGTCATTTTTCTTGTACCAACGGTTCCGCTCGTTTCTCAACAAGCAGCAAAAATCAGAGCAAATACCGATTTAATTGTTGGGGAATATTCTCGGGACGACATTTCGTCTGTCGCATACTGGGACGCAATCGGATGGTATCATGAGCTATCTAAGCGGCACGTTCTGGTCCTCACGCCTCAAATATTTTTGAATATCTTGCGACACGGATTCATGAAAATGTCAAGGGATGTCAGTCTTCTCATCATTGACGAATGTCACCACGCAGTCAAGCATCACCCTTATAATGTCCTAATGAAAGAGTTTTATCATACGATATATCCTCCGGAGTCGAGGCCGAAAGTTTTCGGTATGACCGCGTCGCCAATATATCAGAAAGCGCACACCCACCAGGATTCGCTTCTCCGTCTGCAAGAACTGCAGACTAACATAGACTGCGTCGTGGTGACAGTGGCTGATCGCAAGAGCCTACAAGCGTACGTTCCGAACGCCTCTGAGAAACTCGTCGAGTACTCCCCACCCTCGGGAGATACTTCAAATACGCGGTTGTCGAAGACCGGCACCTTGGGTACTCCATCCGCCCGATACTATGCACACTATCTGGACCGTCTCCGCGACTTGTACCAAAACTTTGCGTCCAAGCAGAAACATGAAGCAGCGGAAAAAATGGGCAGGAATATGGAGCAGATCCAAGCTATGGAAGAAGAGCTTGGGCCGTGGCTTGCCGGGAGAGCTGCGGAGGATTTGGTACGGGGCATGAACTCATCGCGGGGCTGTTTATCGGGACATGGTAAGAGGGCAAGAAATCAAGGCAGTCTGGAACCAACCAAAGCAGCGGACGCACGGAGTTACTCCGAGCTCGAGTATGCTCCATCATTAAGCCAAGTCACATCTTCCGACGTTACTCCAAAAGTGATGACTCTCTTGCGCCTAATTGAGGAGCGAGCGCATCCGAACTCGACCGAAGATAATTGCGGCTCCCATTTCCGTGCGATGATTTTCGTAGAGCGTCGATTTACAGCAAAGGTGCTCTCAGTGTTCCTCAACTTGGTCGCCCAGGTGCGATTTCCCATCCTGAAATCTTCATACGTAACTGGTCACGGTGCTCAATCAACGAGTGGTGAACCTGGTGGTCGAAGCTCAATGACCAGTGCTTATCAGAGAAAAGCTTTTGATCGATTCAGGGCTGGAGACGTGAATACCCTTGTGGTTACCCGTGTGGCCGAAGAAGGAGTGGACATGTAAGCTCAGGTCAATGGATCACTCGACAATGAGACAACCACCCCATACTTATCTGCGTGTTTGGTGACAGACCTGCCTGCCGACTTGTGATCGTATTTGATATGTTCCGCTCTCACACAGGCTATGTACAATCAAGAGGCAGGGCTCGCGATTTGGCCGGTTCTGAATTTATCATTATGGTGCGTCGGAATAACATGCAAGGTTTGCGCACTGTTGCACGAGCAAAGGTGGCGGAGATCATGACACGCAGTGTGGCCAAGGAAATGCTGGGAAGATCTCCATCGCAAGCGAGCTCATCGTCGGATAGCAGAGATCAAGTTTTGCGAAACGAGGATGACAATGATACCACTGAGCGGTTGTTGGGAGCACAAGATGTTCCGCTAATTTCAAAAGCCGGGGCGAGCATATCGGCACTTGGTGCCCCACAGCTACTGCACCGTTATTGCCAGGCCGTCTCGAAGGATGGAAAGATGGACCTTTCCGCCTTCTATTCTGTGATTTTAGAGCCTAGCAGTGCTGAGGCCTGGCAGACCTATTCCGGCAATTGCGAGGCATCACTGTCTTCTGGCGACAGCACTCCTTTTGGGTATGCCTTCCAATTCCAATTTCCTGACGGAACTGCTCTAGCAGGCGATGTAGTAACCGGACATCTTCGTGGTACGAGAAAACTTGCTCAGCAAAGCGTAGCACTTGAAGCTTGCCGACGCCTATATGCTATTGGCGCCCTCAACGAACATCTTCTCCCAAACATCAATTACAAAACAAAACCTGGTGCCTTTTCTCTTCCTGGCATTCTCAAAAGATGGCAGGCCCATAACAACAGAGAGGTCAAAGATCTAGCATACGAAAATGCAGGAACATCCCTGAAAGCAAATCTTCAGAAAGAAGACGTTCTCCAAGAATACGAAAGGGGTGTATCGAGGGTGTTCCAGAAGAACGATAGCTGGTCTCATCTGGAGGACACCGACTTGCCGTCCGCTGCTACAGCAACCTCCTGGCTGTACGTCACCATTCTATCCTTCGGTCCAGAGCTAGAATCGTTTACTCGCGGACAGGAACCACCAGTCGATGCTTTCACATGTCTACTACATAAGGGAGACCACTTTGATGCATCGTCCACGACCTTGAATGATTCCTGCAAAGGTCCTGCTTGTGATCAACCTCTGTGTCGTCGGGCTGAATATAGACGGACACTGGCGATACTCACCTCGAAGCCGTTACCGGTAGCAAGCGTCCCCAGCTTTCCAGTTTGGTTCGACGGCGAAAGATCCTCTACAGTCGAATTCATAAGCTGGAACCCTTTATCTCGCGCCACGAATCATGGGAAGAGCACCATACAGCCCCTGCAAGCGACCAGTGAGAAGAATGGCTCGGACAATACGTCCAAGAGCAGCGTAAACAGTGGTGCAGAACCTGTTCCCTTCTGCAATGAAGACCTCGCACTGGCCAGAAAGTTTCAAAACAAATTCTGGGACATGGTCCTCCGACGCCCGCCAGCAGATATCGCCGTTCCTGCGCCACACGTTTTGGGGAAAAGGAAACGACATCCTGAGGATGGTGACAGCCGAGCTGATACCAGCGCTGTAGGACTACCTGCACGGCGTGATTCGGACGAAACCAGTGTGCCGCCTCCCATTCAATGTGGCGGGGATGGCTCCAAAACAAGTACAGTGACCGTACCGTCGCAGTTGGCAGGCAGCCACCAATCCGATCCCATTCTAGCTGATGCGGAGTCTGTGGCCTTCGATGCTGACCCCAGAATGTATATGGTACTCCCAATGCGCAGGATTCCTTATTACACGGGCGATTCTCTCGATGTTGAAGAGGCCAGTGGTCGAACGCATTCGGCAGTCATGGGGGCGGAAGTACAGTCTTCGTCTTCTACGGAAACTAGTCTGCAATCCTACGTATGGGAACCTGACTGGGACACCGTTCGACGGGTCGTGGAACAAAAACTGTGTACTCTGTATGACTGGATCTCATGCGTTGGGGTGGTCGCCGAGGAGCGTTCCTGTTGCAAGTTACCATCAGGGGAGTATGTGGACAGCAGCTCCATTGGCGACGGTCGCAGAGTCGGACAGTCGGCGTCTTTCTTGGATCGGTTATCGTGCACAGGCCAGCCCGCATTTGATGAATTCTATGACCATGTCTGCAGAGAATTTGTTGAGCAGTCCACATATAAGCCTGATGATAAAGGCGACAGAACAACCAAGTACAGACCTGATATTCTACGGGAGATCAATCAAGTTCTCAAGCAGACGGTAGTTTGCACGACCCATAATAATATAAAGTATTTACCTCAAGAGCTTATGCCCAATTTGGAACCGACAGCGCAGTTCAGAAAGGGTCGATTTGGAGAGGTTCTCACGTATAAAACCTACGTTGAAAAGCTGGGATATGCGGTAGTTCATGATCAGAGCGCCATGGTGCAAGCAACTCATTCCCCCTCCTTGCGAAACCATTTGAAACCCCGCTTCATAAAGCGAGGCGTCTTGACACAGCCTGGGAAGATTCATCATAAGAACAATACCGTGCTCCTAGTGCCCGATGCCTGCCAAGTGCTCCCATTACCCATAGATTTGTTTCGAATATCGTTGATTTTTCCGTCGATCCTACATAAGGTGGATATTTACTGTATGGTGGACGACTTCCGACAGGACATGGAGCTTCCAGGAATATCAACATCAACTTTATTTACTGCGTTTGCAGCGCCGTCAGCCCAGGAAGGGACGAACTATGAGCGTCTGGAGACCCTCGGAGACTCCTTTTTGAAATATGCGGTGTCAGTAGATTTGTTCAGAAGATTACCAACAGCTGATGAAGGAGTTTTATCGAGTCGCCGCTCAAGGATCGTCAGCAATCGGAACTTGTTCAAAAAAGCTGTCAATAGGGGATTTGGAAGTTTACTCAATGTCACTCCCTTTAATCCACGACAATGGGCACCACCAGGACACGTTCCGTGGAATCCATTCAAGCGTTATCATTACCGAAGTCGCCAAATAGACCAGGACGACGAGAACGTAAGCCCATACAGCAGCAGAAGGGGTATGTGGTGGCGGATGATCAGCCAGAAGATGTTGGCAGACTTCATGGAAGCAATAGTTGGCGCGTACTATACGGACGGCGGTAACGACGTCGCCCTGCACTTGCTCAATAAATTTGGACTCGTTTCAGACGTGATATTACCCAGTGGCACCGGTATACTCAACAGAACTGACGCGCACATCAAAGATAGTAAGCATGATACGCCCACGAATGATGCGTTCAGTGAAGAAGAAGACATCCATATAGACGAACCGAGAGTAGTTACTTGGTACAATAGTGTATCCATGACGCCCATTCCTGGGGAATCCAATCCCTTCATATCTTCCGACGAACATCTTGCAAGGTTGCGGGCATTGGAGCAGATATTAAGATATCGATTCAAGGATCAGCAGCTCCTTTACCAAGCATTGACCCACACGTCATATAACGATGGGCATACCGAGTCTTATCAACGGCTGGAATTCCTGGGTGATGCAGTTTTGGACTGGGTATTGACCCGGTTCTTCTTCAATTCATATCCTCATTTGAGTCCGGCCACATTGACAGATCTGCGTCAGGCAGCAGTTAACAATGAGAGCTTTTCTCGGATGGCGGTATCGTTAGGATTGCATCGGTGTTTACGCCATGAATCGTCGAGCCTTCAACTGGAGATTGACAAATACGTCCAGTACCTGGGGACACTTGATGATACCGCGCACCCTGTTGAGACCGTGCACGAGGGTCCAAAAGTTTTGGGCGACCTGTTCGAAGCCATTGCTGGGGCTGTTTTCGTTGATGCGGGTTGCGACATTTCCACCATGTGGATGGTATTCAGGCCACTAATGATGGATTTTTTGGACATTCATGCGAATCCGGACGTGGTCAGCAAGAGCCCGATACGACAGTTGCATGAATACTTCCAGAAGAAAGGATTTGCCGTTAATGATGTGGCATATAGGTAAGAATCGGCATGTGCTGCCTTCGATTCGAACCCGATTAACTCTATCGTATGAAAGATTTGCAAACGACCAAGAGAAGTTCATGTGCGAGATACTGATAATGGACCAAGTGATTGCATACGCAGAAGCCAATACCAAGCATCTTGCAAAGCGACTTGCAACATTTCAGGGCCTTGACTGGATCAAGCGTTCGGAAGCGCATATTTCAGCTCTACTCGAGAGAAGTCGCGGAATACGCGGAATGAGTGCAGGCTCATGAATAATTTATAATATTTGGCAAAAGAATGTACGGAGAAAATAGATGCATAGCATGAAAAGACACTATGGGTCGGACAAGACTAAGTCAGGTGTTCTTCATCACGAAGGTATTCGCCAACATCAGCCTGATGAAAGACGCATATAGCACTTGGATCCAGCTTCCGGCAATCTTGTGTTGACCTAGCGGTGACTCCAAATCCCAGGGGCACGTCACCCATGGAGTAAATCACCACTCCTTGATGTTCTGGTGTGTCCTCGGTAATTCGTCCGAGATGTGCCTTCAAGACATGGTTTCCATATAAGAAGGGCATTTCTCCAGACGGCTTCACCCAAATTTTGTACTTGCAATATCCGACAGAACATAAGTATCCAAAAAGTGGGCTGTACGGAAGTCTCAGACTTAAACAATACCTTCGCATACTGCGCCAAGTACTCCAAGGCGGTGATGTGAAGCTTAAATTTTAGCGTTTTTGTGAACTTGCCGAAACATACACCGAGTGATAGAAGGTTGTCTCGCCCTACGCAGGTTGCCCGTTTCATAATAGCCTCACTAAAACGCTTCTTGTGAGCGCGATGAGGCAAGATTGTACCACTTCAGCTCAGAATAGCATACCTAACATAGAAGACTCTGTCTCTTTGCAATCGGAAACAGTAGGGTTCATCTGGTCTATCGATAAGGTGAACAATGTTACGCCCTATGCTTCAAGAAAGGATGGATCGCCAGTACGGTTACTACGGTTCACATTAGATAAGTGCACCCAAATAAGTGCACCTAGATGGAGGACTCACTATTTGGCTAGCTTCTCGAAGAATATCTTCGTCTCCTCTTCAGTTAACGGTCTCATTGTGCAGAATAATGTGTATAGCAATGCCCACAAAGAATTTCGGGCAGATGCAAAAGTGAACCCAGTGGACTGTTGCCATAGAGACATGTGCTTAGTCGTCCAGAACACGGTGTATTTAGACTATGGCTGCACATGACTGAGCTCGTCAGCGTAAGCAAACTTCACTTCGCCTTCCCCAACGTCCCAGCATAGTAAAATGAAGAGTGCGGGCGTCTCAGATTCAGATTCCGGGTCCAACACCAACCTCCCAATATCGCGTCGTTCCCCAAGTCGTCCACGCTCGCAAAGCTCGAAACGCACTTCGGCCAAAGCCAGTAGACGGACGTCCGCAACAAGTTCACGACCAATAGGTACGCGTGGAGCTCCGACGAGCGATGATCCTTCAAACGCTTCCGGGACCATTTGCGATCGCATATCAGAGAATCTGTCCAGGTTATCAACGTCTCCAGAAACTCGACAGTTCACAGCAACCACGTCTTGCACGGGGTCGGGCAGGCAAACGACCCCACCCTTCTCTGCGTCCTGGTCAAACCAACCAATGCCCCCTTCCTATCGACTATCGCATCGCTTACCTGGGACCCCAGAGATGCTAACATTGACAATTGGGACATTGACCGGAACGTTCACCATTCAAGTCCGTGCAACGGACGCTGTAGAAGACGTTAAGCGATGCATTCAGGACATGGAGGGGATACCCGTTGAGTCGCAAATCCTCCTTTGGCGGGATAAAGCGCTGGCGGACGATAGGTCCGTTATTGGACAATTCGGGATTGAGAACGGGTCTAAGTTACAACTATTGCTACACATGTCTACAGGTAAGGCACGCCGCATCCAAACAAAGAAACAGGTCCTTTTCTCATTTCTTGATTGAATGACTGATTGTCAACTACAGGACCAGGACCTCCACTGAAGATGAAAAAGGTCGCAAAGGAATATGATTCAGTGGTCTTCTTCCTATGCAAAGAAGAGGAGGATGTTTACATGCTTGAGCTTCATATGGCGGACATTAGGGACCAACGTGCTGACACGAGGAGGTTGCTGCAGTTAGCCGAGCTTGCAGGAGTAGAAGTTTTTGAAGACCTAGGCTGCGATGCATCTTCAGTGGTCATCCGGCCGTTAGGTGGCAGCGACGACGAAAGCCGAAGGTCCACATCAAACTCACAGGAATCCGGGGTCCTGCCTACGCAAGAACGGCAGTTGAAGGATCTCCGTCCAACCTCCAGCGAATCTAACATCTCAACCCTCATGTCGTTTGCAGCCCTGTCCTCAACCGGAACTCTTTCAGAGAGAGGCGTATCACCCTTCAGCAGTACCTCAGATTCCCGCCCTTCGTCGGGAGAATCCTTGATTCAAGACGTTTTCCATGACGTGTTGGCATGGCGGGGGAATCGAATGGGATCCAGAAAAAGGGCATTTGGATGCCCACGAACACCACGAAGACGCCTGCGCCCAGCTACCGCTATCTCGGTGATGCGGTTGCCAGGAGGGTCGGGCCCGATGATCATCATCCCGAAAACACGCCCGGCATCGGCAGCACATTTACGGAATAAGGGGACACTTGTTTTGGATGATACACCCCCAGTAACGCCGCCGAACGTCACCGAGAGAGAAGATTGCGATCGTGACCGCTGTGAAGTGCGTAACATTTTGTGTGGAGCGCCTAGACTGAGAGAAAAAGGACGTGGACGGCGGCCGCAGAGCTTCAAGATGGATTCTCCTGATGAAGGCGGTTATTTGTCGGCCTCGGATAATACTACGCTGCGCACCGATCAGCCGAGCACATCAGCTGAGCACGTCTTAGAATTCATCTCTGCCGCCGTTCCTGGGCGACGGGCCCGCGCGGCTTCAAACTCGACGGCTAGGGGGAGTCATACTGAATTGCGATGTCTCAAACAAAACAGGGATCGGTTGATGGGCCCTGGTTGCGATTCTGCGCCAAAACCCGGTGAACGACCCCGATCGAAAAAAGAGGTGAAAGCCACTGTAGTCACTCAGCGGCGGTGCTGCATGTGCAAAAAAAAATTAGGACCCGCGACGTCATTTAAATGTCGGTGCAGCCAGGTGAGTAGTTATTATTTCACTAAGCCCTCTTTTCAACGGTATAGTATCAACTATTCCCTTTTAGACATTTTGTTCAATCCATCGCTATTCAGATCGACACGCATGCACATATGACTACAAGGGTGCAGGAAAGGCGGCCCTCGTGAAGGAGAACCCTCTGGTAAAAAAGGAGAAATTGGCCAAAATATGAAATATTCTGTACCCCTCTTAAAGAGAAATCATTTTGCGATCACTGTTGGGTCTAATTGTACCAATAATCGCGATTCCCTTATTTAGCGGTTATACACAGCTTTGCGGCGTCCTCAATGTGCTCGCTCATTCCCTAGCATCACCTCGTACTGGACCACTTGTTGTTCTAAATTTGACAATGTCTCCTCGTGCCAAATGAATATCTCTGAAAGGGTGTTTACCTATAACGCAAAATTCGTTATTGAAATTAATGCAATAAGAAGAAGCCAGGGTGACGGCATCATACAAAGCGATTGTAGGTAGTCAGCATGTTGCAGAGTCTTCTTCGCAGCCCTTCCTCTTGATGTCTCTGCTTTATATACCGTGCTTCCGTTTCATTAAGTCGAGGAATCAAAGTTTCCAGTCCTGAATACGGCGGTCGTCAGAATCGCACTGCCGTTGTTTCCAAGATACACAACAACCTTGCAAAATAGGTGAGTCAAGTTCGTTCTTCAGGGAACTTAATTCCTTGAGCAGATGTGTGTAGTTGGTCAGGTCGTCTTCGGAGGCTAGGAGAATATCCCGTTTCGCTACCGTGTCCAACGTCCCTGTCTCAAGCTCAACTCTATCATTCGACAAAGAGGCTTCAAGACGAGCGTCTACTCGAAATTCGCTCCATGAGATTAACCTCATCTATCGGAAAACAGCGAGGATGTGCTAAACAGTACATTTTTGAAAGAAATCGCCGATACCGCGACGTTCTTGAGCAATTTGCAATAACTTTTCTTGTATTCCTTGTAATGAGCGCAAAAGAGAACCCTCTAATTTGCCTCTTCCATCACTCGTAAGAGATAGGAGGCTAGGAGCAGTTATCGCCTCCAGGTGTGTAAGGCGCTCGTTCAGGTGCACAATTTGGTCCGCGCAATCCATTTCCCACAACCTCAAGATGCCCTCGACAATTGCTGGTGACTGCACTGGACTGATGGGGTCAGGTGACATAGCTGCACCAATACTTGTGTCCCTAGAATGCTGGACTCGGATCGCTGGTTGATCTCCCAAGAATTATCTACATGAGCAACGCATATATAACGGAACCGCCAACTAAGGGAAAGGTACACGTTGATGTCCTGACACTCACTCCGTACTCTTGCGTTAGGCAAACGGATTTCCAAAGTTTTACGCTATCTAACGTGAATACAATTTGGTTGCTTAGATTCTCCTGCATACGACGTTAGGACCTTTGGAGGTGGAGGTGAGCCTGACTTGCAAGATGCATGCAGAAAAATCTTTACAACCCCCTTTTCTCATATTCTACCAGTTATGGCCCAAAGAAACTCCCAAAGCTTGTCGAAACTTCGTCCAATTATGGTCTGTCGTTTGGGAAACCGGATACGAGGGCATTACCGGTCAAAGAAGGACTCACAGTATTACATCGTAGCTTAGAGGGGTACTACGACAATACTATTTTTCACCGGATTGTCAAGGATTTCATAGTCCAAGGCGGTGATCCAACAGGTACAATACAGTACGTCTAGCCGTCAGGATCACGACGATGCTGAATGATATGTTTCTGAAGGAACGGGACACGGAGGAGAGTCTGTTTTTGGTGCGCCAGTATGTATCCTTTGAGAGCGATATCTGGCTGACTGGAGTTTCCATTCTAACCGCCATCAGTTTGCCGATGAGTTTCACTCAAGGCTCCGATTCAGCCATCGCGGCTTGCTCGCAATGGTATGATCGCCAGCGCAAGTTGAATAGCAAAACCCAATAACCAAGGATGCTCCAATGACAGGCCAATACAGGGGAAAATGACAACCGAAGTCAGTTCTTCTTCACCCTGGATCGTGCTGATGAATTAAATAGGAAAAGCACCATATTCGGCAAAGTAAATGGAATCTGTAATTTTGTCATTCACCCGTAGCCTTTTATTGATTGCTTCTCTATAGATTGTCGGCGATACCATATATAATCTGCTGAAATTTTCTGCGCTGGAGACAGATGAAGAGGAGCGACCACTGTATCCCCCAAAATTCCTACGTGCCGAAGTACTGTCAAATCCGTTTGACGATATCAAACTACGGACGACACCAGAGGAGCGGCTGGCGCAAGCTGCAGCATTAAGAGCAGCCAAGGAAAAGGAAGAGCAGGCAAAGAAACCCAAGGGCAAAAAGTACGTTGTTGTCAGTCAGTACCATGGACTGCGTTCTCATTCATTCCTTCACGAAATTCCACCGAATACAGAAACTTGAGCTTACTATCATTTGGGGAGGAGGAAGCTGAAACCGCAAAATCAACCGGATCAAGGATAAAGAGTAGTCATGACGTTTTGACAAATGATCCCCGTCTCCGAAGTGATATAGCTGTGGAACTCTCAACGCGTTCACGAACCCCTGTGCCATCAGACCACTCCTTGCGTTCACCTAGTCAGACCGCAACGGAAGAAGAGAAGTTTGAGCGGCACATGCGCGAAAGTGTGGTCACGAAGCGACCAAGGAACGTGTCGCCAACTCGGCGGACAGAGTCTTCAATGTTCGTTTTTTAACTTTCCGCTACCGCGACCTCAGCCCATTAACAGTTTTCTGTTCAGACGTCAGATGAAGAGTGAAGTAGAGAAAGTGCAAAGTGAAATACGGGCTATGAACACAGGACGCTTGGAAGTGAGCGAAGATGGCATCGCCAACCGTCGGGCGAAGGAAAAACTGGTCGATCGTATGCGGGCAGAGTTTGTCGACTCTGGAAAAGCCATCAGTGCCAAACGACGAAGAGTTAAAGGAGAAACGGATACACTGGAGATGCTGCGAAAGTTCCAGGGCAAGATTCGAGATACTTCTTCCAAAGTTTCGCATGCGCCTGCACGAGCGTCAGACGCAGATGCATCTGGTGAATCCCAGGAGTGCCAACTCCACTTCGTAAGGAATTGTGCAAGCTGCAGGGACACATTCGGAAAGAAGGAAGAAGGAGATGAAGAAGGGTGGATGGCAACCAAGCTTGTATTTGAGAAAGAGCGTGGGGCCAATGTGTATGAACCGCGCGTAGAGGATTACACAGTAATCGATCCAAGAGCCCACTCCACACTAGATGATAAGCAGCGCGGCAGGTCCTTGAAAGGACGTGAAGGGCACCGAACATCTGGTCCACGGCGATAACGGATGGCTGGCTTTGTAATTGTTTTCACGAGGATTTTTTATTATATTTAATTACAATATCTCTATGCTTAACCACTAAGGAAAAGTAAAGCTCTGCAACGAGCAATCTTTGTGGACATTAAGGGTTCGAAAATGCCTTCATGATACAATTTCAGAGTTTGCGAGAAAATCACGTGGAGCAACAGGCTATCACAGTACCTCACAATGTTTTGATCAAGCGCAAAATAAGACGGTATCTTTCCCAGTCGCTTCGGATCTATATCAACGATGCGAATTTTATATCGCAGGAGGCGGGTACTACTAGGAAGCTGAATCGTCCCTTCGCCTTCGCCAGGGTCACAACGGATCCTTCCATAACTATCTTCTTCGGCTTCGGGCCACAGCGTAATTATCACTGAGCAGTCCTTCAGGGTGGCTGACAACACAAACTCGTAAATATAATGCAGCTGTTCTGTTAGCGAACACTCCGCCCAATCACGAGGCATCTCCGCATCTTGTAGGGTAAATAATTGGTGCCCAGCCGAGACAACCTAAGACATGATAAGATCCTCACCAGGTGAAGATATTCGTCTCAGATATGTTTGCACTATCTCATTCCACTCCGCAATTGACGGATCATGCAATTTCGTATCAAGTTCGAGCTTATCGTACCAAGGAAAAATCCCTTCAATGTCGTATTGATCCAAATTCTGCTGATGGTACTTCAACATCTGAAGTAATGAATCCGACACAATAATTGTCGTCAAGAGATCCACCAAATGATCCACGCCTGCCTAGCAATAATGAGCCAAATCTGACAATGTTTAGGATTAGGAAGTTATCGGCCTCCGCGACTACTTACGACATTTGGCGCTTCTGATTCGCCGACAATGCGTCGAAAGAACGACTCAAGAACGCTGAACGATTTATCGATTGACTGTCCCTGAGGTGATACATCACGCACTTGCTCAATCTGTATTCTTAAGCATGTCTACAGACCTGGCCTAGCATGATTGGCATCCCGTCCACGAAAAGCTTCAGATTATTTTGAGGAGAACGAAGCAAGGATTTCAATGATGTTCTGACGCGCTGGGGGTCTTTGGAGTACAGGTCCAGCGGACAGAAGCTGCTCTGTATATGATGTTCGTGTTTTCTGCCTTTCCAATGCTGGTGCATGCAATATCGACAAGTTGTATACTTGACTGAATGGGCCGGATTGATAACCGGGGAAACGGGCAGGAATCCCCACTTTGGCTGAATAGGGCAGGTCTTGTTACCTTTCGGCTGGAACCATAATGGGATAGAGATAACTGTTAGGTACCTTTATTTCAACTGCAATGACCTTGGGCAAACTCTCGCTAGACTCTAGGCCGTGCGTTTCAGGATTACTTTCCGCATGGGCACGGTCATTGATCTGTAATTCAGGTACTATAGTATGATCCGACATTAGTGCTGCCCAGGGTTGAGACGTGTCAAGGTCCTTGTGCTGTCTCGAAGGTGGGCGAACAGTTGATAGCGAATTTGATAGTGCAATAAGAAACGTCGGAGTCACCCTTATAAGTTGCTACAAAAACGCTTATTGCATCCTTATTGAAAGTATTTCCTTTAGGAAATCACTCGCCGCACTTACCATTTGGCTAATGTAACAGCTATTGATAAGCTTGCTGATGATATGCCGTTGAAAGTCGTGTTCATGCTCGAGACTAAAAATATCGCCGTCTTCTGACACTATCCCTCGCTCATTCTGCGTCTTCCGGACCCGGAGGACGATACCAGCCTGACCATATAGATAACCATGCTTAGTCTGCCAATTCTGCTAGTATTCACTCTATTGTCGTGTTTGTCGTCTTTGGCCACATTCCCCACCAGCGCAACTGTAACAAGTGGTACCTGCATACATATTTAGGGTCCGATCCCGCATAAGAGAGCACAATATTTGCATTTCCTTCGCTCTTGTATACCCACAGCGATGGGTCTAAAAGCTCCGGAAGAGAAGTACTGATGTCCATTGGAGGGCAGCTGCTCACACCCAACAACAAGTGTTCTATTTGACCAGTTCGCGTACAGAGTGCATTGGAACCGATTACAGACGAAGGTCAGTTTCGCCCGTAGAACCCGGCTTGGTAAGTTGACGGTTCAGCTGCTTCCAAATCTTTCGTTGGCGTAAACAGCCGTTAAGTACAAGACCAATCTGACTTCTGCTTTCATAGGAATTGCCTTCCACCGTAAGGTGAGCTAATGGACACTCCTGGAGGACGATCTCATGCACTTGAATGACTTCATGCAATTAAATCATTGATTGGATATTTGGCTGGAATCTGACCTACTGTACGTAACAGAACACTGTCGTAGCAACAAGACCGTCGACTCAAAGCGGCTCACCTGCTGTCAACATGTCCGACGACGAACAGCTAGAACCTCTTTCACCGACACTTCAGAATGTGCTGGACCAGCAGAGCTTGCGCTGGATGTTTGTTGGCGGTAAAGGTGGTGTTGGAAAGACGACCACGAGGTACTGTTACTGGCCCTGCATCCTTTGAAGCATTTACGTTTGCGTAACATGCCCCGCAGCTGTTCTCTGGCTACCCAACTAGCAAAAGTGAGGGAATCGGTTCTCCTCATATCGACGGACCCGGCACACAATCTATCCGGTATATTACTGTTCAGTGCAGTGACTGACATGCGCCATGTTGATCGTCGTCTTCTGCAGACGCGTTTGGACAGAAATTCTCAAAAACGCCGACTCTCGTGAATGGATACGACAATCTCTACGCCATGGTACGGCGCTGCGAATAAGGATCTCCTAATTTGAGAGTTGACTTCTTGGCGATCTGCAGGAAATTGACCCTACGGGAAGCATTCAGGAAATGATTGAAAATGGTAAGGCAAGCTAGAACGGATAAGATCGCCTGCCGCTGTACTCATTCAAAGGGTAGCTCAAGAATCAGGAGTACAATCGCATCTGCAGGATATGGCGTTCGCGATACCCGGCGTTGATGAAGCCATGAGTTTTGCTGAAGTCATGAAGTACGTAATATGTGCCATCCGCTCATCATATGATCGCTCAACTTTACCTGGTCCGCTCTAGACTGGTGAAGTCAATGGATTACTCTTGCATTGTTTTTGACACAGCCCCAACTGGCCACACCCTCCGTTTCCTGTCATTCCCCACGGTGTTGGAGAAAGCTCTTGGGAAGCTCTCCCAGTTTGGAGGCAGATTTGGTCCCATGTTTCAGCAGGTAATTACAACCAAAGCCTGTAACCTATCAACATTATTTTAATGGCTATCTGTTCTTTAGATGAGCGGAATGATGGGAATGTCGCCCAATCAGGAGGATATATTTCAAAAGCTGGAAGGTATGCGGACGGTAATTCAAGAGGTCAATGCGCAATTTCAAGATCCTGTAAGTGCGTAATAGTGTGCGTACGATCCACACGCACTAATACTGGAGGTGAATCGTAGGAGAAGACAACATTCATCTGTGTTTGCATCTCTGAATTCTTGTCACTCTACGAAACGGAGCGCATGATTCAGGAGTTAACGTCGTTCCATATTGATACGCACAATATTGTTGTCAATCAGCTTTTGCATCCTCCAAAGGGTATGTAGCTTTCATCCGTCACTTTGTTCGGTCAATTCCCTACTGAACGTCATTGTAAAAAAAGGGTCCACATGCGAACATTGCTCTGTGCGGTCAAAAATGCAAGCCAAATATCTGGAACAAATACACGAGTTGTACGAAGATTTTCATATTGTAGAAATGCCCTTGCTTACCAAGGAGATACGAGGGGTAGACAGCATCAAAGAATTTTCTGAGCTGCTGGTTCATCCTTACCAGCCATCTGAATAAATAACTGTCAGCAACGGTGGCGATCGCCACGAAGATCACAGGCTTCTCCCATCCAGGCCATCCAAATATAACCTCTAAATAGGACATTTATTGATCATAATACTTCTGCTTCAAATGCCTGTACTTTTTGAGAAACCAGAGAGCTTCTAGTTCTTTGAGGACAAATTCTCCTTTGATGTGAAGGTCAGATGTATACGCCTCAAACTTCTGGACGAGTCTTAACTCACCCTGGCGGAGAGCCTTTCGGATGTCTTCGGGATCTGACAAATCCCGCTTTTTAAGAAAGGCTGCTTTCAACCGCGCCCTGTAGAACTCAAAACCGGCTGGATACTCTCTACCAATAAATAGTAACTTGTGTCATCCAGTTAGGCTTGTAAGCTCGAAACAGCATCGTCCGCAATGCTGCCTACCTGCTTGTACAGGCTTCGCACTTGACCTCTCAAAGACATGTCGTGAATGTTCCGGCCACAGTGTTACGGTATGGTTGGTTTACGACCCTAGATCGTCATGGCTTAAAAAGGAAATATGAAATACATGATGACAGCAGTCATTTATTTTTTTTTTGGACGTGTTTTGCACTCCTTGCCAAGGGTTGAACGCTGTCCCAGTGCGGAAAAGTGCAACTCTGGTGAACATGGCGGACAATCAGGCGCTTCCAGTATTTGTAGGAATAAGCTTCGGTACTCTTTATTCCTCCGTGGCGATTATCGGCAAGGACGGTTGGGGGGAAACCATTGCCAACGAAGATGGGGACCGAAACATCCCGTCGTACTATGCTTTCACTGGGCATGGCGAGGAGCTGGCAGGGTCGCAAGCAAAAGTCCAGGCTATATCCAATCCCACTGGAACGATAGTGCAATTTCGGAACCTCTTGGGCAAAAAGTTCGTGCTGCTTGTGATGTAGCCAAATCTAAAATATACTAATTTAGAATCATTATCAATAGGTTCGACGACGAGGAGGTACAAGAGCACTCGCGAAATCTCCTAATGTCCATTGTTCCATCCCCGATAGACTCTACCTTACCCACGTACGAAGTGGAGACCTCGTCGGATCTTGAAGCCGACGAGCCCAAAAAGGAATATCATACCGTCAATGCCGTGACTGCAAAGTACTTGCGCAAACTTAAGGAAACTGCGGAGAATTTTCTGGGGAAGCTTGTTGAGGGATGCGTAATCTCGACGCCTATTCATTTCGAGGAAGTGCAGCGGGTTGCTCTAATTAACGCCGCACAAGATGCGGGATTTGCCAAAGTTTTCACTATCCATGAACCAATCGCGGCAGCTATTGCTTTTGATATCGCGCAACAGTACCGCGGAGGTTCTTCAAAACGGGATAAGCTGGTAGTAGTACTCGATCTTGGCGGACATCAATTCAATGTGACGCTGCTCTCCGCCAATGACGGATTGTACACCGTGGTCAAGTCTGTGGAAGACCCGCAGCTAGGTGGTGTCCATTTTGATGAGATCTTGATGGACTTTGTACAACAAGAATTCCGTCGGAAAACCAAGCTGGATATTTCCGGCAACAGGCGGGCTCGTGCGAAGCTGCAGAAGGCTTGTGAGCAAACTAAACGAGCGCTAACTCGGCAAGACAATGCTCCATGTTCAGTGGAAAGTCTATATGAGGGCATGGACTATCACGGTACCGTGCCCCGTGGTCGATTTGAAATGTTGGCTGAACCACTATACGCTCGATGCGTAGATGTGATTAAAAGGTCGTTGTCGGAGGCGGGAGTTGGGGTAGAGGAAATTGATGAGGTACTACTGGTTGGCGGAGCAAGCCGGATGCCCCGGTTCCAGACAGTTGCGAAAGGTGTTTTTCCGTCTGCGAATCTTCGTATGGATGTCGAGCCTGACGAGGCCATTTCGCGTGGATGTGCCACCCAGGCAGCCATAATCTTGTCAACACCTCCGAACATCGACTACGCTTCGTCCGCAAACAGCCATGACGTTGTCAATTGCATGCATTTGAGTCAAAGTCTTGGCCTGGAGCTACCAGATGGGGCATTTTTGGCCATAATACCGAAAAGAGTCCCCATTCCTGCGCGTCGTACAATGTCGTTCGGGGTACAAAATGGACAGCGCGAATTACTACTTTCTGTCTACGAGGGAGACCATGCGGTGGCGAAGGAGAACGTATTAGTTGCGGAGGTGGTTCTAGCGGACTTGCCCGAAGACATGCCTATAGGGCAAGCCTCTGTCGATGTCACATTCACTGTGGAGAAAGGAGGTGCATTTACAGTTGTCGCGAAAGAATCTACCAAGGGGACAATTGTGAAGGCCAAAGTGCGTCAACACAGTCAGAGATGATATTGATGCCGTTTTCCACATAAACAATTGTTTATATAGAGCAAGGGAATAATGTAATTTTAAGGAGTTTATGCAAATCAAATGACACGACGAAGGGTGTCTCAGCTAATATATACATATCGATCGCGCGTATGTGGGACCCGATCAACTGGCAAGTGCAACAGTATAGGTTAGCCGCCTGTCCTTGAATGCATGCTGCTAATAGGCTCGCCTTACTGTATTGCTTCTCAATAAGCTGTTCAATGCATCTTTTAATAACCGGGATGGACGGTGCAAAATTCACCTTTGCTTGGTCGATTACTTGCTGGACTAACTGGGTATGACTTAATTCTTTCCGGGACTTCATAATGCGAACAATAGCTGCCTACATGACAAATGCTATAGGGGAGTCGAGAAAATCAATTATTTGCCGTGCAGCGTACCTGGAGATAGAGCTTTCGGTCTTCATCCACCGCCTTGCGGGCTGCAGTTACTTCTTGCGGAGTTTCCGTTTGAAGAGCCGTGTTGATTTTTATTTTAGTGCGTTTGCTCGCGAAGCCATGATTCACGATATAAGTTTGCGTATCAATCACGGTTAGGAGGTTGATGTCAACGAATATCTGACCAAAGGACCATCTTGAGCGGGGGATTTGTGGCGAGAGGCAGCGGGAATTTCAGACAAACCTTGAGAATACGTTCAACTTCGCTACTGTTCAGTTTTGTCTGATGGATGATGTCGTGAATTGTCAACGAAGGCGTGACATTAAAAAGCAGAAGAACACCGAGCTGATATAGGGACACGTTCAATTCATATCGCTTGTCCATATGATTTATTTTCACGTCCGCTAAGCCTCGTACGTTAGTGACACTTCATATGGTCTAACTGACGGGCAACCGCTAACCTCTCGCCAAATGATGCAACCACGTCAGCTTTCGTCCATTGTGGTGTTTACCGTAGAAAGTCGTAAACTGGCTCACGCTTTTCTCCAACTGATGCTAGTATGAGGTACTGCAGCAAGAAAGTGAACGTTCTCTCCTCACTCACCGCACTTGGGAGTACAAACCCCGAGGCAGAAGCCGACAGAGGCCATGATCCCGCAGTAAGCACCAAGATGCTGAATTCAGCTGCATTAAAGAACCGCCTAAGTACAAGCCTCAATAGAGTATCGACCTTGGCAGAAAACGACACATACTTCCGAGGTTGATGGAATTGAGCTGGGCGAACTTAGAGAATCCCACGTTCAGATCATTGCTAATTGTGACATCCGTGAACATTCGCTGAAGCTTGCTTGTGTACTCTACGCCACATGCAGCCTGTAAACGTTACGTTTAGTGGTGGAAGCGTAACGTCCGACGAACATCAGAAATACAACTTTCAATCGCGATAGCATGTTCAATTCAGCTTCCTCAGAAACGGAAGTCCCGTATATTAAGCGCTTCGCAATCATCCTTGAGTAAAATTTCTGAAAAACATCTTTATCGTCCAGGTATTTGAAAAGGGTAATCTATTCAAAGATAAGGAAGCGCCGCAAACAGCATATGTCGAGAAATGACAATGGTACGAACCATACGAGACAGTTTATCGTCCACCTCGGATTCTACCAGTCCCTTTGCAGTTCTCTTCAAGAGAAGGTCGCAATAACGGGCCAAAAGTTCCGCTGCGCTACTACTCGTGGAGGGTATTGCTGTATTCACTATAGATCTGAATGCCTGGTGCCAACCGGTTAAACGCGTAACAGACCTAGTCCTTCTCTCCTGATCCCTCTTACCTTACCTTATCCACGGCTGCTGTGAACGCAAGGTTTCCGGCGAACACTTCATCACACATTCCCATATATTTTGCTTGCAGACTCATCAAAGACTCCGCATATTCTCGAGGGTCCTGATAGTGATTCCTGATCGGTCGATGGGCAAGGATGCTATACGTGGCGGATGAACACGCACCTTTGTTAGTGAGCTCCCTAGGCGCCCGATAACATCTCTAGCTATAGTAATAATGAAGTTTTCGAAAATATCTAGCATTGCAGAAATCCCATCGGCAGATCGCGACAGGAGGGAATACGCCAATATGCAATCTAACCAAGTGTTTTAGCGCTCGCTTCCTAAGGCGGATACGGTCGGGCGTACCGGCAAATCTTTCGTTTTCAAGAATCACCCGAAATTCCGCATACAGTTCGCGGTGATGCGCAGTAATACACTGCAGCTCGCACTCTTTAATGACCTTCAAACTGAATTAGCTCACCATCGACAACACACAACTAGATCACGTAATTTATTTTCTACCCTCTCAAGTGAAGTGGGGTGACAAAACCGTGCGCTCCGAGCCCCTTCATCGGCGAGACGTTCATGTATCTGGTCGTCTTATTATTTCGACATACTGACGTGTGACGAATTGCTCCACGCGTCAACATACCTTTCTCATGTAGCATGAGATGCGGTCCTGTGCAATCTGGGTATTTGATTCTCGAGCATAATAGTCTCGTGTATCTTCCAAGTAGGGATTTTCAAACATTTCAATGTAGAGCTGCAACGGCTGATCCGTATGCTGATTCAGTTGGACTTCAATGAAACATTGCATGGGTAACAGACTCCTGAACGGGTTGCCGGGGAAAGCAGCCTACAATACATACCCAGCGAGTTAATAGCGTTGTATATCACATCGTGGAGGACGATATGCCCGTCGCGGTCCTGGCGAATCCAGTCTAGGAGTTGGAACACAAGGCGATTTCCGTGATGGGTCTGCAGCCCTGCCAGGACTGTTTCTTTCCATATGTGAAATGCTAGCTGGTGGCCACATGTGTCATTTCACTTGCACATAAGATGTGTTTCGCAATAAGAAAAGGCATTACCGCCTCGACCGAAAGCTTTAAATATCGCCCATGACTGAAGGGTCGCTTAGTGTCTCCAAATGGCGGTCGCATTTTGAGCAACATTCGGTTCAGATATTCACAAATGATGTTGGCGTAATTAGCCGCCACGCGGTATTTCTCCCATTCCCTGGCATACGCGGTCACAACATCGTCCCGGCTCAAGATGGTCTAAGTGATATGAGTGACCCCGGCTCTTTGAACTCCAACTCGCAAGTTCTATGGACAAACCTGAAGTACACCAGAAACATGTTCTCGTAAGAGATCCCCGATCGACTGAAAGAGTAACTCTGTGTGCGGCTTGGGGTATGACGTGCAAAGATCGTAGACCTGTTGGAACATATCTAACAGGGATATACGGTCAACAGAGGGAACACGAACTCCACCAATTTCATCAACTCGTAAGACACATGAACATACCTATTCCAGAAACCTTCGCTCGAGCAGTCGTACTGTGAAACATATTCAAGAGCTCTTGACGGAACGCCGGAAAACTGGCATTGAAATCCACCCGCTGACGAATTCACGGTTAAGTCTGATTAAATGGCCAAAATTGTATCGGACATGGCACACCTTGGGTCGCAGGGACATTGTGCTACGAATATGATTGACCGTGAGTCGGACAGAAAGATGCAAGAAGATTCGTGCTGGAAGTGCAGATCCGCGTCGGCCTACTTCCTAGTCTGACCTGCCTACCAGCTGTGCCACATTGCAATAAGGATATACGACCACAATGGAATCAAACATGGCTTCTTCTACGATGAACACCAAACTCTACATATCAGTAAACAAACGCACATTAACAAAATGCTTATTAGCTGACATGCGAATTAATGATCGAGAATCAATGCCAACTTCCCACATCACCTCTCATGCATAATCTTTAATAATTTCCCAACTCTCCTCAACCGATATCCAATATCCCGTGACTAACAACTCTCAAAACCTTTGCATCAAGTTCTGTAACATTCGCTCTCATATGGTAATCCTAAATCATATTAAGCTTGCAATCTCATAATATATATGGTGTTTGGCTATCCGGTACTCCAATTCTAAATAATATCTTTCTCGGTAAGCTTACAAGCTTGTAAAAATCAAGGATGGTAATGCATCATAAACTCTGCAACATTCATATACAATTGATATTATGGCTAAACATAGTACTTGGTGGTAGAGTGGTGATGCCTACTATAAATAAAAGGCAACCACACCAAAATCCATATTATGTAAATCTGGTCTCTGTCTGCTTTAATGCACCTTCCATCATTATCATCTTACTCGTGAGCTCCTGTCAATGAGAACAAATGTCAGAGTTGCGGAGATATCAATAAAACAATTGTGCAGACACACTTCTAGTAATTTCTGCATTTTCGTGTTGATTTGGGCTAGCACTACTGGGTCCATTCGCTGCATTGCTGATGTACTTGAGAGAATATTCAAATTGAAGGTCTGAAGTCGTGTTTGTGCTCGGTCATTGGATGTTCATAAAAAGAACGAAAAAAGAGCCGCCCCACACCTGAGCTACTTTCGGCTTCTCATCTGGCTGAAGCTTTTGAGCGTGGTCTCGAAGTATGTATTGTCTCAGGATGTTCGACTTTTGTTCCAATTCTTCAGTCATCTTGTGCAATCGCTCGCTTGTACTCCGTAGCTGGAAGCGAATGCAAGATTGTCTAGAGACCGTTGGAATCACCTATGAAAAAGGTATACCTCATCTTCCGCACTTTTGGTGCGCTTGTTCAGCATTTCATTTTCTTGTGCCAGATGAAGTAAGTCATCTGTTAACTGTCGAACAGGCAAGTCAGTTCTTGGCGATCCCGCAATGAATTTGTGTGCACGGATATACCCGCTCGACTTTGGGAACTCCTAAGCTTTCACCCACGGGTACCGGTTTTGTAGGGCGGCTTAAGTCCATGTTACTATTTCGTGTCGATGGCGATTTTTCGTCCTGGCTAGGTACTTCCAAATGGAATAACAGTTGAGTTACAGGTATAGCCAATGCTACACACGTGCGTACCTAAGCCCTCGACGTTATCCTCCTGGAATTCGCGATGCTTACGCTCCTTCGATAATTGCTTTTGCAGATCTTTCACCTTTTGATGAATAGCTCTTAATAGCGTTACCATACTCTAGCAGGCTCTATCCTACCCACAATCTGTGCACTCTTCCGCTCCAAAATCTTCATTTCACTCTCAGCTTGCTTTAGCTTCTTCGCCAGAATCTCGTTTTCGGATTGAAATCTCGCCTTTTCTGTTTCTATTGCATTTAGACGGACTTCTGTATCTGCTCGAGCGTTTTCTACATCCTGGACATGAGATTCGCGTGCTGCTTCCAAGGAAGCTATCCGCTCTTTCAACGGGGTAATTTGTGCTTGAATATCACATCGCTCTTTCTCAAGACGAGCAATGGACTTCTTAAGCGTCGCTTCGCTTGTTTGGAGCTCATCAATCCTCGCCTTCAGCTTCCTGTTACCATCTTCTTTGTCCTGCAATGATTTGGCAGCCCGGTCGAGTGATCCCCGAGCGACTTCAAGCTCGGCCACCAGAATGTCATGCCGTGATTGAAGAGAGCTGATCTGTTCTTTCAATGGTTCAACGTCAACCCGATTATGCACCTCAAATTCTCGTAACTTGGTCAGCTCTTTCTGCTTGTCCTCCAATTGTCGTGTAAGATCCGAAATAGTGGCCTTGTGTTCGTCTTGTAACTTAGCATTTTCTGTGCGTATTGAGGCAATCTCCTGCTCTAGTGTCTTGATTTTGCGTAGGCTACCTCCCAGCTCCTCCCCTTTAGATATGATCTCCCTTTCCAGTTTCCTCTGCATTTCGACAAAGTCCTTCTTGTGCTTCTCGTATTCACTTAAAATTTTTTGCTTTTCCTTTTGCTCTTTTTTCACTTTATCGTCAAGTTCTATTCGTTGCTTCCTAACTCTCTCATCAACTTCCAAAGCCACTTTCTTTTCAGCGGTGGCAGATACTTCTTGGAGCTGCTCGAGTTTTGCATTCAAGCTTTTCACTTGGGTGTCATTTGCTTCTTTCATTTCATTGATTTTGGTTGTTAAACGAGCGATTTCTGCGTTTTTTTCCGCTATAACCGCATCTGCTGCAGTTTTGTGAATATTTTGACGCCCCACCTCCACTTCAAGTTCCTGCTTGCATTTTATTGCATCAGATAGTTCGTCCGCTTTAGATTTCATTAAAGCCTCTGAATTGCTTTTCCAATCCTGCATAGTACGCTCATGCTCTTCCTTGACTTTTGCGAGTTCTGTTTTCAAGACATCTTCTGCTATCTTCAACTCCTCATTATGTCTGCGTTCAAATTCCTTCTTCAGAAGGTCAATCTCTACGTCTTTGCGACCTTCCACCTCCCGCTTGACGTCGTCAGACGCTTGCGCAGTGCGCTCAATCAATTTGCGCTCGTGCTCATGCTTGATCTCCTCCAGTTCCTTTATTTTATCGTCAACCACGCCAGAGAGACTTGCAATACGAGCATTTGCATCGTTTAGATTGTTTTGACACTGGGTCAATTCCAATCTGCACTTGACCAATTCGGCCTCCTTGTCCTCAATAGTAGACTGAAATGTATTCATTTCTTCCCGCAGATTCTTTACAGTGCTCTCGAGTTCCTCCCGCTTGACGTCGTCAGACGCTTGCGCAGTGTGCTCAATCAATTTGCGCTCGTGTTCATGCTTGATCCCCTCCAGTTCCTTGATTTTATCGTCAACCACGCCAGAGAGACTTGCAATACGAGCATTTGCATCCTTTAGATTGTTTTGACACTGGGTCAATTCCAACTTGCATTTGACCAATTCGGCCTCCTTGTCCTCAATAGTAGACTGAAATGTATTCATTTCGTCCCGCAGATTCTTTACAGTGCTCTCGAGTTCCTTGAGTGCTTCGCGGTACTCTGCATTTTCACGATGTGCCGTTTGCAATGCGGTTTGCAGGCTGAGTAATTGACCTTCCTGCTCGTCCTTCCCCGTTTGTGCATCATGTAAGTGTAATGCATTCTGCTCCTCCATTGCCAATCGTCCTACTTCCTGCAAGGGTACCTCCCCGGCATCGGTGGGATTCAGTACTTCCATTTGCTCGCTCAATTGCGATCTTTGCCTGGTTTCCGTTTCGCCATCTTCTGAACTGCCTTTTACCTCCTCCAACAGTTGTGTTTCTCGGGTGGCAGTCGCCTGTTTAACCTCGTCAGTGGTCGACTTCAGCGTATCGGTGGGTATTTTCGATTGAATGGACTCATCCAAAAGTGATTTGACTTGTTCTTCGAGCTCCTTAACACGACTTTCACAAATATCCCGCTGATGGCAAAGCTCTTTCTGAGTGCTCTCACTTTCTTCCGCCCGAGCCTTCCAGCTTGCAACTTCCTCTAGGGTTGCATTAAGCCGCTGCTCAAGCAGATGAGTCTGGTCTGTCGCAAGTGTTGTTTGTGCTGATATTTTGCGCAACTCTTCCATTTGGGCCCGCATCTCTGCCGTCTCCTTCAGCGACGCACTTAACTGCTCTTCCAATTTCAGGCGTTCAGTACGAAGGCTTTCTATCTCCTTGGAATTTTCGGGAGCAGGTCCCACCGCAGCTGTGGTGACTCCCCTGTTCCACCATTTGGAAGTCGCTGCTGCGGTAGATCCAGGTACGTTTCCGGGCGTTGACTGAATCACCTCCCCCCCAGTATGTACCGAGTTATGCTCTTCCTTGTTTTCCAGAAGAGGCAGTGCGGTTTCGGAGGATGTGTTGACTTTGGTGGCCACGGGAACTGCCCCAGAATTATTAGCGGTTCCTCCAGTTCCACGGTTCCACCAAGATCGAGCCCCACTTGCTGCAGTATGTCCTTGGTTTGCCTCTGCAGCCTTTCGCTTTTCTTCGAGGGCCTTGAATTCATTAACCACCCTAGTAGCATCCTCCAAAGATTCCGCCAGATGTGCTTTTTCCGCACGTAAATCGCGTACTGTTGTTTCTAATGCCTTTACTTCTGCGCGAAGAATCTCCAAGCCAGCAGTAACTTCAGTTGCTGGTTGAATAACGGAATACGGTGGTGGGGGATTAGCAGAATCATGGCCATGTGAGTTTTGGGAGCTTGTGAAACTAGCCAGTTTCTCTTCGAGTTGCCGGCGTTGTAGGTCACTTTGAGCGACTATTTGATGGATGTTTTCTTTCAAGGCTTGATTCTAACCGATGCACTGCCATTAGTTAGGAACTGATAGCTACCGTCATCGAGCTGTAATGCACCTGCAGCTTTTGGTCACTGAGTACTTCTAGCTCGAGCTTCAACCTTGCATTTTCTTCCATGCACTGTTGCAATGCACGCGAGTCTTTCGACTTAGCGACAACGCCTGGCATTGTTTATGTTTTAGGTCAGGTGCCATGATCGCAAGAGAAAAAGTAACCAACCATTGATTCTCTTCAGTTCCTTCTCGGTATCCAATTTCTCCTTCTCTGCTTTGTGACGTGCTGCTCTCTCTTGTTCAAGCTCCGTTGCCAGTGCCGTTATCTTATGTTGCAGTTCAGATGCTTCATTTTGCGCCTTGCCGAAACCAGCATTTACGAAATTCAGTTATCCGCCCTGATATGTACGCGCATATTCGCATCATCCATCTTCACGTACTGTCAATGTGTTAGCCGGTATAGACTCTACATCCGCCATTTCCCCTATATTCGGTGCTGCAAGAGTGTGAGGTTTGAGCTGGCCTGCAAGGTCGCGTCTGCCAACGTAAGCCGGTTGGGTTCCATTTTGCCTAAAACGAGTGGGTTGCCATGGTTCCGGTCGAATCGGGAAACGTCATGCAACAGCGAGAACTTGTCCTCCCAAGTCGACGCTGGAACATTTGACACACAGTAATGTCTACAGCGGCATTAGAGTCCCTTGCCCGCTGGGCTGTACCGGTCGGTGCACTGGTTGCCGGATTACAGAGTAGCATGTACAATGGTAATCGGCAAGTACCTACCTTTACTTCCCCCGAAGTATCTAACTTCGTTTTCAGTTGAAGGAGGGCATCGTGCAGTCATCTTTGACCGCCTCCGTGGGGTCCTTCCTGTAGTCGTCCCCGAAGGCACACACTTCCTTGTCCCCTGGTTGCAGAAGGCCATTAATTTTGACGTCCGAACAAAGCCTCGTAATATCTCCACAACAACCGGCTCAAAAGACATGCAAATGGTGTCCCTAACTCTGCGAGTCTTACATCGGCCCGAACTTTCTCGAATCCCCACTATCTATCAAAGTCTCGGTCCAGACTATGATGATAGGGTTCTGCCTAGTATTGGGAATGAAGTCTTGAAGAGTATCGTGGCACAATTTGATGCCAGTGAGTTGATCACTCAGCGTGACCAGGTTAGGAAATGTCTCTTGTCGTAGATCTACGGTAGTTGCAGCGTTGTTAACGACTTGCCTCTATCTATCATAGGTCTCTCTTCGTATCCGCGAGGAATTGATGAAGCGCGCTAGAGAATTCAATATTTTGTTGGACGACGTGTCCATCGTACGTAGCTCCTAATTGAATCACGTCCTGACGTTGAACTCATCACTCTAATGTATATGTAGACACATTTGACATTTGGTCGAGAATTTACTGAAGCTGTTGAGCAAAAGGTAATAGCGCAACAAGAAGCCGAACGCGCAAGATTTGTGGTGGAGAAGGCGGAGCAAGAAAAGCTAGCGAGTATTATTCGCGCCGAGGGAGAATCTCAAGCCGCACAATTATTGTCAGATGCGTATAAGAAAAGCGGCCAAGCTCATTTGGAATTGAGGAGAATTGAGACCAGCAAAGAGATTGCCGCGACACTTGCTAAGGCTAGGAACATCACATATCTGCCGGGGGGAGGGGGCAGTAACGGAGCGAATTTGTTGTTGAATCTCGGGCAGTAACAGATCTCTGTGTATTACAATAAAGAGATATGTAATGATGCAAAAGTCAGAACACACATATAAACACACAGTGGGATCAAACATGTGACTTTGTCCGAGATCGCATGCAGTAACCGGATTACTTTACTCCTGGCGAATTGCGCTGTTGAGATATGAGCGATCGTCTGCAAAACCCAACCCAATCACTCGACGATAATGACCTCACTCATCCCTCGGATTGGCCTTCAGAGCTCTCTGGTTTCTATGCACTCGACGATTCGTTTCGGTGTACGATATGTAAGGACTTCTACCGAGTACGTGCTGCCCTTTGTGATCCTGGTCGTGACTGCTGTGGCAAGGTTTCCTCACCTAAAGCTTTTCTTAGGCTGCAATGTCTCTACCCTGCTCCCATACCTTTTGTTCCCTTTGCCTTCGCAGCCACTTGGCACATACCATGGAGTGTCCTACCTGCAGAATAACGGTTCAAGGTCTGGCGGATATGAAACCGAACAGAGGTGCTGGAAGCAAAGCTTTGTGAAGAGGGATGCCTGGTCCATGTATCTGTAAGCTAACGTCGGATATTCAATCTTTCTTTGCAAAGCCCTTGACGATAGTGTCATGCACTTTAGCCGTTGTCGTTCTCTGCACTTGCCTTTCCTATCGTCACTGTTGTCATCCAGGGTTTGTCCTGTACCAGTAACTCGTGCTGATACCCACTCGGCAACGGATACTGTCGATGACCCTGCTACCAACGTCAATAATCAACGTGAGTCCTCAGATGCGCATGGTATACGCGATCCTGCGAGTGGTTCTCGCCGCTACGACACGCGATTCGCAAAAGGCAGAGAGCTCACAGACGCCTCTAAACCTCGGGGATCCTCATCCCTTGGCCAGCTATCACAGTTGCAGCCACTGGGTAAGTGAAATACTTCAGAGCCCTCTCATGGTTTGTCTAAAGCGGCCCTGTATCCAACCAGGAGACACGCCGGTCATCTGTCCTTTATGCCTCAATGCAACAAAGGCAAGAGATTTGGATCGACATATAGATAGCGGTTGCACGTCGTTTGCAACGCGGACAGAGGAACCAAGTGTTCAATCTTGGTCGGCGTCTACTATAAATAGGTGAGAGATTTGTCCGGCTCCCACCCAAATATGGTCTAAGCGATCGTTCTTGTAGAAGAAATTCCCGGCGGCCAAAAGCATCTGTTCCGTATTCACTTTGTAGCGAATCTAAACTGCGTAAGCTACTGCGGGTAAGATCCGGCACCACCTTAATGCCTCAAGCAGTTGTTGACCTCCCAATAGGATGATGGTCTTCCATCTAGTGGAGATAGGTCTACTCTGATTAAACGACACGCGGAGTGGGTGAAGCGATACAATGCAAATTTGGATCATCCACAACCAAAGAGTGACTTTCAAGTATCCCGCGAGCTGGCAGAGTGGGAGAAGGCAATGGCCAGTACCCCTCCTACCCCATTCACCAGTATTCCGGGGCATGAAGTGACTGTAGAAACCGAAGAAGAAAAAAGAAAACATCACGAGCGGTATAAAGCGGAATATGAAAGAATGATAGTAGGGTTAAAGAAGAGAAAGCGGGCAGAAGAGTCCTCAACACCTAGTGACAGCACACATCAGGTTACAGATGATCAAGTATACCATTTATGAATTATGACCTGGCTTGGAATATTTGTGTATTCTGCACAGTGCAGTGGGTTCACAATTTGAATACCTGGCAGGAGGTATCGTGGCGAAATTAAGACCCTGAAATTCCATTGTATAAAAAACATCCAAATTATCCAAGAGCGCCTTCGGTATGGATACACTAAATAGTCTTCCATCATCATCGCACAGACACTGCCCGCGCTTGAACAGCCCAGTCAGAGATATAAGTGAAATCTCTAAACTCATTCTGATCTGCGGCGCTCAAAACTGAATTGATCGGTGTTAGCACCGGCTTCTCACGCGTAAACTCTGGATCAAAGTTTGACACATCCGTTGCATGGCGCTACGATCCAACCCAGTGAGTTTTTTGATGATACCATCATGAAAGAAACCAAACACTCACGATAGTGGGTATCCAAGGAGGGGTCACACGCCTTTCCATAAAGGCCTGCCAATCAACCCCAGCAAAATATGGATGTCTCTTAACTTCTTCTGCATCCAAACGTCCACCCCCTAGTCGGCGCGCCGGATTTTTGTTCATCAGCTTTCAGGGAGAGTTGACGTCAGTATACAGTAGCCAAGGTTGTCAAAATTAGGACTAGGCGCCCCGCTAGGACCCCATGTATGCAGCTTACCCCTTGCAATAGTGATAAGGTATCCCTGGGGATATTAGATGGATACTCTACGGCATCGTTTAAGATCGCATCCAGCACGTCCTGTTCATCTTCTCCGTGGAAGGGATACTATAGGGATATCAGCCAGAGTTGCAAGAGACGTCGTAGACGGTCGAGATGATCAATTTACCCTTCCAACGAGCATAACATAAATCAAAACACCAAAGCTCCACCAGTCAACGGCTCGTCCGTAGCGGTTGGACATGAGTACTTCCGGTGCCATATAGTCGGGCGTTCCACAGAAGGTCCGTGTAGTTTGTCCGTAAGGCATATTTTCCTTGCAGATACCGTAATCAGCCACCTTTATATGGCCGTCTGGTGCCATGAGGATATTATCGAGTTTCAGATCGCTGCAATAGGAAAGGTTCGGATCCACTTAGGTTTTCCCGCTCACCAGTATATGAATCCCTGGAACTACATACCGATAGATAATGTTGTTTTTGTGAAAGTACTCCAAAGCCAATAGAACTTCGCACGCGTAGAACTTGGCTCTCGCCTGCGAGAACCGCTTCTTCTCCTGGATGTGCGCCATCAAATCGCCCCCACTAACATACTCCATTACGAAGTATACCCGGGTATCCGTTTGAAAGCAGGAGTGGAGATTGACCAGATATGGATGATGTGCTGCAGACGCAGCTTGGAAGATACGTTTTTCTAGCTTCGTGCTCTTCACGTCATCGTTCTGAATGATAAATTCTTTCTTCAGAGCTTTTATAGCGTACAGCTGTTGCGTAGCCTTCTCGGTGGCCAGCATAACTTTGCCAAAAGCGCCGCGGCCAAGAACAGCCAGAAAGTCGAAGTCATTGAGTGTAACATCGGTGGCAGGCAATCGTAATGGTCTGGGTACAACTCCTTGTTGTGGTTGTTGTCTCCCAGCTGAACCCTCTGGACGGGGTGGAATGGGCAACGGCACTCCACCTCTATAAGGAGGCGGAGGGGGAAACTGGCCATCAATAGGGCTTTTCCCACCTGGTCGGATTTCCACAGTCGCGCTTGGCAAAGGTAGGTGCTGATAAGATTGCTGTGGTATTTGAGGCAGCGGCTTTGGCGGGTGTGCAGATAAATGGGAACCAGGAGCTGGGACCGCTGGCTGTTCAAACTGGGAAGTCGGTTATGAGACACGTTTTTCCAGAAGAACCTGAATTATAGGATACCTGTGGAATGGATTGGCTTCGAGGGGGTGGTTTAACAGGGGTCTCGGGACGTTGGGGATGTTCCATGACCGTCGGAGGAGGAGACAACGCGCTCGTTGGTGATGAGGTACCCGCCCCGCCGACGCTGGTGTCAATAACCATCACAGCTCGTCTCGCTTTCTCCGCCTCTTCCATTTCTTTTTGATGCATTTTTCTTTCATGCTCTTCGAATGCAGCCACCAATGTGTCTGCCATTTCTGGTGCTAGTCCGCAAAAGTGTGGTACCATTGGAGAGCATTCACGGTGACTGGTTTTACTACATTCAGTGCAGCGATGCATTTTTCGTCCAGGAGGAAGGATGTATCCACAGTGCGTGCACCACGCGGCACCAAGGTTGGTTACATTTTCCCAGCGATGTGGAATCGTATACTTCAGGAGTTGACCTGTATTTGAGTCCTTGCCCTGCGAAGACAACATGAGCCCAGCGAACATATTTCAACTCGTCATGGGGGCTACATACTGCTTTGATGTCGTCCTTGGTGATACATTTGGTGATGACTCGATTATAACATTTGGCATGTACAGTGTACGCGCAATCTGTGTGTTTCATAGTCGATACGCGAAAATAGTGAATTGAACAGTACAGGAGTGCGGGAATGGTTCACCTTACTTTGACATTGATATCCTTGTCTACCAAGAAATTCATTACACAGAGCGCATTGCATAACGTGGTAAAAGCTCTGCGGCAGGAACCGATGTCCGTTTTTAGGAAAGACCTTCTGAACTGGGTTCCGTCGGAAAACCTGGTCCCTAGCTGTTTTGGCGCGCCCCATTGAGATGAAGTTCAGACGCACTAGGAGTTGGCCGGCAGGTTCCATATCCAACCAAGTCTCCTCCACGTCCACGGTCTCGTATGCTGTACCATATTTGGCTTTCAGGTCATCTTCTAACTCCCATAATCGAAACCAGACCAGTCCTAGCAAAGTCCAATTTCGGTCGTACACAGCTATCTCAACCTCTTGGGCCTTATCCACCTGTATGTCGATGAATTCATGCCACTGAGTTCGCGTGGGCTTGGTCTCATGCTTAATTGTACCATCCACTCGTACAATTGCAACCAGTTCGTCTTTACTAGACCGTCGACCAGGAAGGTTCGACGCACCAATTATCCTGGCACGCAATCGACCTGTCTTTCGAAGCCGAACATCTGGAATGTCATAAGCTCACATAATCAATGTTGGACCCAGCAGATAAACCCAATGCAGGATACAATACCAGCGAGATATCCCTCTTCTTCTTCTTCGTCAGAAACGGATAATCCAGAATATTTATGCTCCGCTTTCTGCAGAAAGGCCAACTTCGCGTTCGCTTCAGCTATTTTTTCCAGCAATTCTCCCATTACAGTTGGGTCTTGAGATGCAGAGGGTGCGTCCGCAATGGCCTTCACCATATTTTCCGTCCCCGCCTTAACCTTCTGCTCCACATCCAACTTATGCCTCACTTCTTTGAGTCGATATTTAACCTTTTCCGTAGTCAATGCCGTTCCGTACTTGAGATAGTCGAATTTCGTAACTCCATTCGAATTGGATCCTTCGAATGATGTTGCTGAGCCTCCGCCGGAGTTCCGGCGAGTAGGAGTGGCCGATGTCGAAGGACCAGGGGAGGGTACAGTGGATCCCGAAAGTCCACGACCCAGGTTCATCAAGTTCCCGAACAGATTTGGCCCGGATGATGTGCGCTGAGGTGGAGTGCCGGATCCACCTGGAGGGTGTGTATCCATTCCCCCATCGAGAGAACTGTGGCGGCTTCCGAAAATGATGTGCCCGTTCGCATCGGACAACCCATCGGTGGAACCCGATGAACCAGACGCACTGCTGGCTTTACGAAGGTGAAGCTTCCGGAGCTCCCCTTCGAGAAACTCTAGCCGGCGTTTTGACTCTAGGGCATTCATCTCACACTGTTCGCGGGCGCTTCGGTCGGTGAGATTTCTGAACATTTTGTTTGCCCCTTCATACACCGTCTGCTCGATGCTAATCTTCTTTTGAAGATCCGCTATCTTGGCGTCGAAGCTCGCCTTGTCCGCCTAGAACAACATGAGAAGTCACCTTCAACATTGTGTAACGCAGGATTTCCATATGCGTACCATTTTGAAGAGTAACAAACGTCAAGTTCCGACGACCACCGCTGCTCACTGCAGTATTTCAGAGTCAGCCCAAAACCTTCGTTCCTCTCAACCACCCGCGATTGCTAGTCGCTCTCACATTTTATAAAATCCTCTAAGAATCTACAGGCGTCGCAATCGAAGGGTTTGTGTTAACTCGTCGTGTTTATGTTCTCCTGCTGGCTGCTTCGGTGTTTTCCTTAAACATTGCCAGAATCCGGAGCATCGCCCAGAGCCCTGACCTTGCGGCAGCGTTGCTATACCAACAATGTTGACCTCTGGTTCACGTGTATAAGTGGCTGGCAACTTCATGTTCTGCACCACGTCCAACGTTTTCCCAAGAAACACCCCGTTCCTCGCAAAGTGCATTTCTAGTCACAGCTACTACTGCAGAAGCTTGGCGGTGATATAACGCATGCAGGCGGGGTTTCTATTTAGGACCGAGTCTTTTCGGCCTCCCAGCCAAACGGACCAACCACCCCAACCTCCAGCAGAGGTATTTGCAAACCAACAGTTGGTGGAATGTCCTTCTGGAACTGCACTGGGAACATGTACGGACGTAGTGGGTGCGCTAAGAGCCCAGCCTTTAGCACCACTGACGCCAGCTATTGATGGTAAGACACCTGGTGCTTCCGAGGGAGATCCTACATATTCAACTCATGGTTAACGTAAATAGCGGCAAATCTGCTTCCTGACCTTACACTGTTGAAATTGCTTCCACGAAGCTTGTTGGATGATACAGATTGTAACGCAGTAATGAAGCGAATAGATGGGATGACCCTTCCTGTGGTCCAGGATCTAATCGGCAATGTGGATATCAGTTATCTGTGAGTGAGGGATGCCAGCAGGTGCCTAAAACTGCAATGACTTTTACAGTATCTCATTGCTGTCCCATTACAGACGTCTCCGAACTTCGTCGTTTGCTTTACCACATCGTCGACATACCTTGTATCAACAACGAGGTGGTAGTCGTGATGGTGACCCACCCGCCCTGGCTCAAAATATATTGAATTTCTCTGCGATGCTACCGATCCAACGTACCCAATCTCGGGGTATGTAGGTGAAAAGTCTTTGATGCCTGTATTTAGGCACTTTCCGCTTATTTTTTGCCTTTTCCAACAGCCAATGTCGATTTTGCGATCCCGCGTACCTCAATTTTCAACTCACAACCTTCACTACTCCAGTCAGCGTCAATTCTCAACTCTGATAATGCATCAGAAGTGCATCCGCTGGTTGAGACGGCACAAAATTTTGTATCTCATCCTGCTTACATCGGCGCCGCGGATTCGGCCACCATAGAGTACGATAAAGAGGTAGACCAGGGATCTCTACGCACTACAACCTTACCGACGCCAAGTCCCGTTTTTCTTTCCCGAACCGTCTCATTGTCCCAAAGAAGATTGTCGGATGCTCCAAGTCACCAGGAACAGAACATTATTTTTCCCCCAACACCGAAGGAAGTGTCAGGTGTCATCATGCACGATCAGTCCATGGACGGAGAGCGTGCTGTTGTAGGGCGAAATGTACGTCATGCCGCCGGACCGATGGACGTAACACCAGGACATCATGAGCCAGATATTCCGGCTATGCTTGATGGCGAAAATAGCACGCCGCGCGGACCAGGATCAATAAAGCGACGACGGACTTCTTTTGCGGAAGTTCAAGTTTTAATCGATGCCAAGAGGCGAAGCTTCTCCCCCGCCACTGCTGTCCCGAACAATACCAACCATAATGTATCTGAATATTCGCAACACAATGAGCTGGACTCGAAAGACCCTTTGTCGCCAGCCTTGAAAAAAAGAAAACGATCCGTCAACCCCGAAAGTGACGATCAGCATAGGGTGGCTGATCAGTCTCATTCATTGAAGAGATGCTCAGAACTCATTGAATCCCTGCTGGCCGCGGAGGATTGTCTGCTGAAGGAGTCGGAGGTTGATGAGGGTACTAGCTTATTCTTTGACAGAGGTGGACTTGTAACTTGTGGAATCTTAACTGAACTGAACAAGTACCTAATCAAACTCGACACTGTCAACGATATTTTGCAATTGATCGAGGAGGTTGGTCGATCTTCCATGAAACGATTGTCCAAGATTGTTGAGGCACGTGTGAAAGATGCAGAATATTTGGACCCCGGTTTCGGCAACTTTGGCAGATTACGAGCAACAAAGCAAAGTAAAAAAATCAGCGGTGAAGAACACGACGGTGGAACGAGCTTCGTTGGTGCATCGCCAAACATGGAAAGGACGTCGGGTAACGGGATATCGGAAGAAGACTATGGTCGACATTTTGGTGCCGCAATGACAAGAATCGAAACTAGTCTAGATGCGTGTTTGACAGCATTCCTTCTGTTGTCTCGGGAGGGCCGAACTCCAGCTTCAGATAAAGGGGCCGTTGATACAATTTTCAGCGAAGATCTGACTCTTTCCTGTTTAAATCTTCTGAAGACACAGCTGAACCAAACACTGTATGCGGCGCTCCAGTTAATGACTCGAGAAGGAGACGAACTTACCTCCGATGTGCAGCGGATGCGCGCAGGTTGTGATAGAATCAAATTGACATCGCGGTTAGCAGTAGTTGTCGTCAAAATCACTCGGATAATGGACCGGATGTGTGATTGTCTGGATATGGGCGTGTTTGGCGATGATTTGGTTATCACCGTCGCCTTTATAGCTCTATCTCCTTTTTTTGCTGAGGGTGCCGCTTTTGGAAACGCAATTGGTTTGGATAAATTGCAACTCCGTGGTATATATTTGAGTCGAACGATCTTTGGGCGGTATGCCAAGCACCGAAATTTCATGCTAGAGGAAATCTGTGGAAATTGCAGCAAGTTAGGTGGAAGCAAAAAGATATCAAAGCAATTTAAACTCGCGGATGGGACGTCTGTTCAGATGGTGACGGCGTTGGTGCTGCAACTTGTACAGAGCTGCTGTTTGCACATCGCGCTCGAGCAGGCTGCGAAGGACCTTCTGCGGCGATCATCGGAAACGAGTGAGGACTCAGCAAAAGTGCAGCTGAGAACTACGACATCACAGGAAGAGAAGCGATCTAACATGGCAACGGATGATGTGCACGTAGAAGGATATTCAGAGGAGCAGGGGGAATGGCAATCAATCGAAAAGGTACATGGACGATGACACTTTGGACCTGCGTTGATCTCGGGACTAACCTGCTATTACATTAGTTTTCGTTGGCGTGCAAGAGCGGAATAGACGCCGCATCGCATTGTGCTCACTATTTTCTCCGATTTCTGCTAAATCGTTGTACACAGCCAACATGCGAGTCGTTAACCCCCAAGGTGGAAAGAGGTCGTGGGGCACGGAAAGGTCAATCAAGTAATGATGCAGAATACAAGGCGTTTTTGGACGGGTTCTTGCAAGACCTCTTGGTTATGCTAAATACCCCTGAGTGGCCGGCCGCCGAGCTGCTGAGCATGATTTTTAGTCGCCTGGCGGTTCGTACTAAATTTTCTTTACCACCAAAATGAACGTCGCTAATTGATTTGCAGGTGCAAGTGCTTGACGATGTCAAAAGACAAGGGGATACTGCTATCAGAGCCATGGCCGTTGAGTGGCTTGGAGCTGTTTGTGCAAAAATACGAGCGCAACCTTTCAAGCATCGACAGGCTGGCATGCCCGAAATCCTTCTTCGACTCCCAAGCGCTGACTTAACGCCAGATACCTCCGTGAGCAGCGTAAGCGCGTTACGGGAACTGCAGAACCTAGTCATGAGATGGCTCGATGCTGGCCGGACGGAGGACCCTACCATATTGGTACTGTCAGGCAGACCTCTTGTTACTTTCACCGCAGTATTCTAATCGCTTTTTAACGTACCATTAGACTGCGAAGACGTTTTTCATCTCAACCTGGGCATATGGGATCAGGTTAACACCATCGGAACAATGGTCGGTCGGGCTGAAAGATACAGTCCGAACACTGTTTTTTGATTATGGTGAAGCGGTTCTTGATATCCCTTTGAAACCGTAAGTTCCGATGTCGTAGGAGATGTACTGATAACATATATATGCACGTTACTCAGCTTTCGCTGGAACATTTAGGTACTATCATTCGACGTCCAACATATTGGCCTCGGAAGCGGTTAATAGCCCTTTTGGAGCCACGCTGGAATTGCGCCCCACGATAGGATTTTGTGTGGAAGCACTTGCTGCACGACAGGCTCTGTACGAGTCATTCGAGCAGTTTATGGTTCGCATTGGGAATGCTCTTGACTCGGAGGTCGTGATGCTCAGAACTAAGGCACTCAAAGCATTGCAAGGAGTTTTTGTGGCGGATTCGTCTGTACTTGGGTACGGAAATATGCGCAAGCTTCTCGAGGCCCGTATGATGGATTTGAGCACCAGTGTGAGAGATGCAGCTATTGAGCTTGTCGGAAAATTCTTGATAAGTGGTGATAAACAACTCATCAAAGAGTACTACCCAATTATCAGTGACAGGATAATGGTATGCATGTCCTTTCATCTCAGCTCATATTGAAAGTCAAGCAGACGCATGAGTTTCGTTCTAGGATGTTGGTGTCAACGTTCGTAAGAGGATCGTAAAACTTTTGAGAGATATTTATATGAGGGAAGTCAAGTTGGAAGGGGATGACGACAAATCCATAGTGGTGGATATTATCGTGAAGTTACTCGGTCGTCTCGTGGATGAGGAGAATTCCGTTAAGGTTACCTCAATGCTCACAGGATTACTTCCTAAGCATTACCCTAAACGGTTATTTGTAGGATCTGGCATTCAAGTCATTGCAAGAAATATGGTTTACTTTCAACCATTCGGAGGTCCCGGGATTTGGGCATGAAGCGCATAGTCTACCTTGTAAACATGAACCACCCAAGTGGGCTAGTTGGAGTTCTTTATCCACGTCAACTCGCAGTGATATCCGCAAGCGAGCGCTGCTAATGGTCGAAGCCGTTGCTAGCCACGCAAACGCCCCGAACTTATTTGGCAACTTAGTGCGGAGATGTTTACTGGACACCGGCAAAGTGGACAGAAATGATATCATGAACGTTTGCCGAACCGCAGTCGAATGTCTCATAGAAGAAATACTATGTTTGGAGGAACGGAGCTGCAAGGTATGTTCAATACGTAACATCATCAGGCCATTTGCTGAACTCTACGTCACAGGTGGCGATTAAGGATATTTTGAGCCTTTTGCAAGAGTTCAGTGCAATATTTCCCACTCTGATTGCGCCGCACTTAAAGACACTTCAACCATACTTGAAGGGACCTGTGGTAGGTAGGGAATCGCTCCTATTCACGTGCGTGTTCGTATTTTGACAAATTGCCTTTGCGACCTGTTCCAGCACGATGGCGGGACTGAACAAAAGATTGCCCAGATTGTGATCGTGATCATCCATAACATCATCTCCGTCATTCAGCATCCGGATTTAGATGAGTGGACTTCCATTGAAGTCGACCTGACCACAGCATTGAATAAAGGCTCTCAACAAGTAATATTCAGCTAGGCTTCTGATGTGATTCCTACGATTTTAAACGCTCTTCCTTTTAGCTCGTCGCGGTTGCGGTACCGTGTCTGTGCGCCATCGTAGCCAACATGACCAGGCATTATCACAAATTGACCAAGGTGCTTAAAACTTGTATAGGTAGGGCAAATTCTTATCTGGTCACAGTTATCTCCAGTTAACGCTGCGTAGATTTCACCAGAAAGACTGAAGCTGCTGTGATGTCGAAAAAGAATGTGCCCGCCGGTGCCTGGCGAATGACGTGGCGGTGCTTGTTGATTGTAGCACAGTTAGCGAGATATTATGACTTTGATGGAAACCGTGCGAAACTTGGGGGTATGCGTTGTGACATGTTCTGTGGCATTACCTGTAAAAGGGTTCGCAATTCAGCGGTCTGGCTTATACATCGCCTGCCTACAGAGCCTGCATTAAAAGACCTGCGGGAAATTACCTCAGTGAGTCCGAAATCTCAAGCAGTCTGCTTAGAAAAATCATTGACTGTAGTTTCTACCAACCCCAACCTAACCATAGGGTTCTATCCTGAATGCGGTCTGTGAGCTCGTTCTATTTTTCCTGGAACCAAGAAGTGAAGAAGGCACAAAAGCGATTGCACTTACCGCGCTAGGTTAGAATGGTGTTTTTCAATTGTAGTGGTGTTGACCGCTGACGATTCTTCATTAGGACACCTTTTCATGGCATATCCTCGCCTTATGCTGCGGGATGACGTCCGCTCAGTGATGAATGTCGTCTTCGCTGGGCAGTCAATCCTTTTAAAAGTTAATCTGCTCAAAGTATTTCTGGACTTCTTAAAGAATGAGCAACAAAAAGACGCACAGAAGAAAGGTAAATTTACCACGGCGTTGCGCGGAGATTCTATTGATGTTGCTACAATACCTTACCCAATTGTATTCTGTTATGCCAGACAACGCCGTCCATGAGCACATCGACATTAAAGTCCTAATCGGCAATGCTGAGGAGATGGCCGAGGCCGGCATTAGTAGTTCCGTCATGCAAACATATTTGGACCGTATGCTCGATTGCCTCTTGAGCAGCAATTTGCAGCTCATGCGCGTAGCATTTGAAGTGACTGAGCTGATATTGGAGCAAGGTCTAGTTCATCCTCTATTGGTATGTATGCTATGTGACCAGGCATAATCAGGAATTTGTTAGCTGATCGACGTGACTTGGTTGCAGTGTATGCCGCCGATTGTGGCCCTAGAAGCAAATCCAGTACCTGAAATCCGAGATCGCGCACTGAGGCTTCATGAATATCTTGCTGAAAAACATGCCAGTTTCATCCATGCGAAGAACATGGATTGTGTCAAACAGATGTACGAATATGTATCAGCCTTGACGAAGGCGACTGAAGGTGAAATAAAGATTGGGTCAAGCACCGTAATGGGTACGTCGTTCCCGACAATCACCTGTTAAGATTCGAAGCTGATGCTGCGCAGGATATTTCAAAATCGAGAGCGTAGGGGATGGCGGTACAATTACCTCGTACGAAGCAATGCTTGGACGAATGTATTCATTGATACAAGGGATACGACCGCGGCGAAACGAATTCTTGATGAATATGGTAAAGCTTCTGGACGTGCCTTTGACAACTGAAGCCGGACATATGGTATGAGTATTTGAGATAATATAGTACGATAGGTCTCTAATGACTTGCCTCTTTGATGCACAGATGGACATCGATTATTGTCGCTTCGTTGCGGAGAATCTGGCGCTCTTTGAATATAAAACGCAGGAGGAAGTACTGCAAGTGATATACCACGCTTACCGTGCCTTATCGGTTGGGGGCGAAACAATTCTGCGCTATGTCGAATCTTTAGATGACGTGAGCGTTGCTGATGAGGGTACGTAGCGCTATTACGGGCGCCAGCTGTGTTCCTCTAAATGTAGTATCTAGGGAAAGAAATGCCACTCCTTGTTGTGGCGAAGGCATCACTTGGCATGGGCATGCTGCTTCTATTACAAACACACTTGCAGAATTTATATGCCTTGTCTTCCGCGTACGTTTTTAGTTGTTGTTTTATGCGCTGCACATGACCCTCAATAGCAGCATGCTCCAGGCGAGTGTCAGGTTACCGACCCAATGATGGTCCCCGATCGGCGGAGAAACCGGCGGCAAGAGCTTCGGGAGCACCTCTCACCTTGTCCTGGGAGCGCATGCCATTTGCAAAGGACAAGGTCATGTCGACGGAGGCCGACTACAGAAAGCAATGTCGAAAGGTATTGATTGTGTTCGGACCGGCTCTAGACATGCAAAGCAGATTCTTGACATTGGACTACAGTTCAAGGAATTGATAGATGCGGATTACCGTACATCTCGTGAGGACGTTGAACCTAGAGAAGGAGAGGAAGCGCAATTCGCAACAGCAACTCCTGATAAACATAGTCCGAGGCAAATGGAAGATGGGAGTCCTAGACCGTCCGATTCGAAGATGGTTACAAAGCGGAGCCGGACCGCCAATGGAGATACAACTCCTCGTCGACGCAGCTCGGCTACCAAGCGCAAAAGCAAGTCGGGTGCAAAAGGGGGAAGAGGCATTTCGGTGACACCAACCAAAAGGAAGAGGAAATCCATTATTAATGTGAGCAGTGACGAAATGGACACGGATAACGATCCTGATTTCATCCTTGCCTGTCCGAAATGAAACCCGCCCTGCAATGAAGTTGGGCATAGTTTCGAATTGTATATACACGGTTGCTAGATATAGAGAATTTCAAAGCCTGATTCTGTAATTACATCTGCATGTTCAAATGGACGTTGCTTTTCGACTCTATTTTATACGCCTGCACAAGGATGGCAAGAACCATGACTGCAACATCCCAGTTGTGTGTTATACCAGTGAAGAAACCGTAAATCGGCTCACGGTTACAAAATTGGCGGATTTTCGCCATATCATTTCGAACCAAGATGGCGTTCGGCATTTGACAGGAAAGGCGACAAGAATCTCCAGTAACACCAAGCTAACTATAATCTATCGATTGGCTGCAGAAATGCACTTCATTCTGCTGCCAGATCGCATCCAACATTGGTTGCAATAATGGCATATTCATTGTTACCACGACACTATGTACATTGACAGCCCTCCCGTATCATGAGACGACATATTCTTAATTACACCAAAACTAGCTTTACCGGGTCCGATAAATCTAACATGTGAAACTACGACAGAAGCTATCTATGAATGAATAAAGAATAGCAGCATAAACGTCGACCGTTTTACCGTCCCCTTCTTCCAGCCACTTTACCAAACTCTTTCACACTCATCAAGTAAATTGTCACCCCCTCCCCGCTCACAACATCTTTCATGTTCCCAACCAATCCACTTCCGTCAAACCATTCCTCCTTTAGCCTTTGATCTTCATTACCCGCAAAAGCATTGACATTATCAATGTAGGCATCTTTTTTCACAAACCCCAATCGCTCCGGAATGGCTGTCAAACGCGCGTGGTCGGCTTTGGCCCAGCACCACAGATGCTCTGGTGGGGATACGTTATCCCGTCTGGCATCCGCTTGTACGCGTTCGACGCCACGACGGAGGAGTTCGCCATATGATGTCGTGGTAGGAAGGAAAACGGAGCGAGGAGAGATTTGGAGGGTGTAAAGGATTTTCAGAGGGATGTTCCATTCGGTAATGGAAAATGCAACGTAAACACTATTCGTGTGGAGAGGGGAAGGACTTGCGCCGTTTGCTGAGGTAGATGTCGTAGGAGGGACATTCGGGAATGAACCGGGCGATACGGTTCCTTCTAATGCCAATCGGGCTAGCCATGGTACGTCCTCCTTTCCGCCTTGTTTAAATTTGCCCTTATTTCGATGTCGTTTGTCCACCCATGCTACAGTGAGATATTTTCGCCTGGTTCCCTTGGGCGCGTAATGCTCGTCCTTTGTCAAGGCGTCCAGAACCGTTTGGGACCACATGCTCTCAACCTCTTTTCGAACGTCTTTGTACCCACCAGGACGCGACTCGATCACGCTTGGGATAGCGTACAGAGAGATGAGACAATCGAAAAATACATCTTGCACCCCTTGGAGAGCTTCATCTGTCAATTCAGTAGCAACTTCCAGTACACGATACTGCACTGCTGCATCCCCAATACGTATGTGTGGTAGGGAACACGTTCTTCTGCCAGGTATAAACAGTTCACGTGGGCGCCATTTCCCGGTTCGATGTCTTCCTCCGCCGCCGCATTCGCTGAAATATGAGCTTGGGGTTACTAACTCAGAGAGTATGGTAGCACAGGATGTCATTAGCTCACCTGCAAAAGAGATATTTTGTTCCGCAGGGAGTACAGACAAGCTCAACATTGAACGAAGGCTCTTCCCAGTCCTCTACTCCAGCCTCACTTCCGACCTCATCGGTAAAACCTACTCTGACCCCTCCGCTACCGATGCGTCGTTTGCACACATCGCATTCGACCGTTGGGATTGCCCGAAGTCGTTTCCTCCCTGATGCACCAGAAATAGAGTTTGACGACGCGTCTGCACCCGATCTATCAACGGGGTTTATTTCTTTGCAATTTCCGCATCGGACGTCCACTACATAAGGTACTTCAAAGCTCGGCTGTGTCCCTCTCAAGAACAACACTCCAACTTGCTTGCGACAATCCACACAAACACATTTGTCCTCCACAGTCCGCTTCCTCGTCGAGGCACGCCATGCGGCATGTCGAAATACATCTGCAGGGGTGGAGCATTGTGGACTCTCCACATCACCGCCGCTGTCTGATTCAACTCGTGGAGCTTTACAGGATGAGGATGAGCCTCTTCGAAATGAGCGGCTTCGGCTGGATGCCGAGGGTTCGTCGACAAGGAAAGGGTACGGATATGGAGGGGCTGTTGGTGTGATGATCGATTCACCTGGTAAGCGAGGATACGATGTCAAGCAAGATGTGCGGACATGTGGAAGGGACGAATTGGGTCCATCGCGAAGATGACGTTGCACATCCGTTACTTCGCATTGCTGATTTATCCACATATATTCCGGTGGTGTTTGGATTAATTGGATGTTGCTGTGGAGTGGCGAGATACATGCTTTGGGGGATAACGGACAATCCGGATTCAACGAGATATTTGACACCTTGCGAGTCAAGTCTCTGGTATCTAACGAGTCAAGAGAATCTGTTCTAGGTTTATTCACATGTATGTCGTTTAAAAAGTCGGCTTCAAACTGGAAAGCGCAGCAAATAAATGAGCGCTCTGTTGCAGAGATCCAAAATGGCAAGAGTTGATTGGTCTTACAGCCGTTACCTGCGCCGCCCAATCCAGAGTACCGCTATCATCCAAGTTTTTGGGGTCTAGAAGGTTTAGCGGCGGTTCATGGTTGATATCAACAAACTCTGACATTGGTGAAGTAAAGAGGTCGCTAAACGCCATAGAGTCCTCCGAAGTGTGCATGGAAGAGCATTCAAGGTCATGTAATGTTTCTACCTCTGCAGGCAGCGCAACCAAGTCATTCATCGGTCTGGCGGACTCTACTTGAGCTTGATCACTGGTCAGCCGGAATTGCAAGGTAGTCGACAACGACAATACTGTTTACCTTGGCCCCGACCATCTCCAGTCATAACTTGCAGTATTTGCAATTGCAATTCTCTGTCTTTTCGTTCCTCTTCCTTAAGTCTTCGACTCTCTTCCAAGATACGCAAAACAAGAGACAGCTGCTCGCTGCTCTGTCCCGACGGCTGGCTCAAGATGCGTTGCAAAACGTCGTCCATGGCGACTTTCTTGGTGAACTGCCAAGAACTCGAGAAAGCGCCGTATTTCGAGTATCGCAAATGTTGCCCTTGAACCGGTTCAAACATCCGTGGATGGTTTCGAGGGCTGTTATTAGCGGAACCCTCACATCCAGTCATCATCAGGCAAGCGCTAGGGCTAAGGCTAGGGCTAGTGTTTATGATGCTTTTTATTGTATGCATTATAGCACAAGTGCGTCAAATGTATAAAAGTATTGCTAGAACCATACTGGCGAAACTAACTAGCATAGAGAATCTAGATATGGGGAGGCCTCTATAGATGGGGGCTAGCTAGTGCTTGTAAAAGGTCTCATGTGGATGGTGATCCGTTCGCTGGGGAGCAGCATCATTCATTACAGCCGAAAGTCAACATCACCTCACAAGGTGGTGAACAACATAAACTCTCGAATGAGACGGTATCTCACCGTATTTTCAAGCATATGAAGAAAAGGACAAAGGTGCGACATTCGCTACGCAATGCGACTGCCGTGCTGCTTATTGGCTTTAGGAATGGTACCATGCCACCTCACGAGCCTTGTTATGTATTTTTCAAAAATTTTCCATAAGGGCTTGTGTCCATAGATGATCCATCTGCTACCGAGGGACTTTGTTCCCTCATAAGAAAGGACGAGCAAGAAGGACCCGCAGGAAGAGAATACTTGACTTGCAAACTCGGATACAGGTCCTCATAAACTGTGTTGGGTCGTAAGTGCCAAAACATCGCGAGAGCTAGGGTTAGGGTAAGGGTTCCCAACAAATGTCGGCCAAGCTATAGACGTCCACAATGGGGATCTTCTCGAATGCATGTCAACCTTCTTCACATTCGTGTTTGCCAGATCTGCCGACACTTTGTACACCGAGATGTAAGCTCTTGGCGTAGCGAGCGTACGGTTAGGGTTAGGGTTAGCGTCGCCAACCTACAACACCTTGTATGCAAATCCCCATGTATTGAGCTCTTTTGGGGTATCAGTTCAGTGTCACACACTACAAACTTCTGGGTGTGGAGCGTCATATGACTGTAAATCCAATGATGAGATGAACTATTTTCGTATATTTTGTCCAAGATCACTATTATCCCTTCTACGCAAACACCACCGTCTTGTTTCCATACGTCAGCACCCTCCGAAGTAAATGTAACCTCACCGCCCTTCCCAGCACAGTCCGCTCAACATCTTTACCTTTTCTCACCAAATCATCCACAGAATCCCTATGAGAAACTCTGACAACCTCCTGCTCAATAATCGGACCCGCATCCAATTCCACCGTTGCAAAGTGTGCCGTTGCCCCAATGATTTTGACGCCCCGCGCATGGGCCTGGTGGTACGGTTTTGCACCAACAAAAGCGGGGAGGAAGGAATGGTGGATGTTGATGGTGTTGGGGAATGTTGAGAGGAAGGTGGGTGAAAGGATTTGCATGTATTTTGCAAGCACGAGGAGATCGACATTGTATTCTTTCAGGAGGGCCAGTTGGTCGGCTTCGATTTGGGCTTTGTTCTCCTTTGTGATGGTCAAGACATGGAATGGAATTCCTGAAATTTGACCTTTGTACGTGAACGTCTTCTTACATTAAAAAAAAATTCTAGTCCGCTTACCATGTGCCTGGACTTTTGCTTGCAGCCCATGATGGTTGGAAATCACAACAACGATTTCAGCATTCGGTATATCCTTAAACGTAGTCCTATGCAACAGGTCTAAAAGACAATGGTCTTGCTTGGATACAAACAGGGCAATGCGTTGGGGTGTGTCTGAAAAATGGAGCTGCCAGCGGCCATTGTAGGGATCGCAGAGTGTTGCAAGGGCGGATTGAAGGTCTTGACGGTTTAATGCAAACGATGCTAGACTCCACTACATGTGACTCGTTTCAGTATCTTTTTTTCCTTTCCGTTATTCTTTTTCGTATTGAAGACACCCAAGCTCCGTACCTCCAACCTCCCCAAAAACAGCTTCTGCTCCCTATCCGTATGAAAGTCCACATCGACGAGGTTCCCATCATGTTGCAAAACAAACGACGATAGAGACGCGACGATCCCCGCCACATCTGGACAGACGATTAACAAGATTGCATTGGCGGTGGTCATGACGGTAGAGTATTTGTGTCGTGCTGTCAAAAAGTCGGCCCAGAGTGTCAAGGAAGTCCCTGCACCAGAGTTGGGTTTTTTATAACTGATCGATTGATTACGAAGCCCTGGCATGCGCCACGTTAGGCATGAAAAGGACCAGGGATGCAAATCACCAATCAAAAACGCGAAGGTTTCGGACGACCAGCCAAAAGTCCTCCCCCCAAAGCAAAAAAACGTTGGAAGGAAGCATGTCCAACCAGAAAAGTAGCTTATTTCGCAGCATACAATTATGCGCAAGTCGAAGTGAATGGAACTCGCCCATCCTTTTCACCGCTTTGCTTTTGGAGGATATTGTTCACAGCTAGGGCTTAGCATATAGAACAATCGATGCGACCCATCACGATACTGAGATATTCCAATGAATGCTTCGATGAGAAAGTACAGCGATCTCATGAGTGTTCGACGGACCCAGCGGTGGGCAGTACTTGATTAATGCAATGACTACAGTCACAGGCAGATCGCAGATTTCAAACAGTTATTTTAAGCAAGTATAGTCCATCAAGAACTTGAACTAATAGATCACTCCTAACACCGTTAATCCCTGCGTGCCCCATTATGTAGGTTGTGATGCATTGACTCAATTAACTGCATGCAGTCACTGTCCATATCTTCTCAGTCACATTAACTACGAGGTTGCAATGTCAGTTGCAGTGTGCCGGTGCCCATTGGTCGAGTACGAGTGGTCGTCTAGCATGTGATGTCCAGTTGGCTGCCAGGTTGGCCTCAAAGGACGCAACGTTTGAGACGCTGCTATTTCCGGGCGGGCACACCGCTGGTTGTGTCGCAAGCGCCTAGTTTTATGACAGCAACATATGTTTTGAAGATTACACCTGGTGAGATAGGGACACGGTGGTCAGGGTTCCCGTAAGGTTTCATTAAAAGCATTGACCCCAAGTAGAGTATCTGCATTGTACATGGGCCGGTTGCCGTGTGAATGGGTGCATACCACAAAACCAATCAAGAGTCGATACAGGTTGGGTTCTTGGCTGTGGCTCAATTTGCCAACTGATTTCTACAAAACTTTTAGTTGGTGACTGGGTGATCATCAAAATGCATCTCTTTCAGAGTGTCATGTAAAAGTACCTCAGAAGCAGCGATACAAAACGCTAGTCTCATGTAAAAACCTCTCGCAAAAAAACTTTACAACATTGTAGTGACGGTTCATCTCTTTTGCCCATATCTCACTTTGTAGCACGATGAGACATAATGTGGTCAATGGGGAAAGCACTGGTAGTGATAGGATTCAAAAAAAAAGAAACAGTGCACTAGCGCATATTTGGTGTCCAACGCAGCAAGTGCGTAGGGCTATTTTTTACTATTTTTCTATGTACAAATTCCACAAAAATGCTGGCGATCATGCCAATATATACATCTGTACAAACTCTTTTTTTGTTTCTCGTAGGAACGATTTTCATTCGAGAGCTTTAGTGTGGGTGGGGCCCAGCTGCGGGAGCAGGAGCAGGAGCTGCCACCGGAGCCTTGGGAGGAGCTGGAACACTCGTCGCGAGGACTACAGGATTCACAGGGGAAGGTATCAAAGTTGAGTTGCGGGCATTGGCAGGGGTATACTACTAGGAAAGTTAACTTACCTGGTGGGGGATTCGGTGCGGGATTAACACCGGATACTGCGGCTGTTGCGACGGCGGCTGGCACGGCTCTGGGGTCGCCCTCGGGGACGGGGTTTCCTGCTGCATCGTGTGCGCCTTCGTGGGCCAATACCATGGTCAAAACTGCGCAAGTGGTGTTAATGAACATGTTTTTTGTTTTTTGTTTTTTTCCGGTGTTTGAACTGTATTACGTACAGGTAGAGGCAACCAGGAGCATAGCAAGGAATTTATAGAAGGCGTTCATGGCTACTTTTCTGTACTTAAGGCTTGATGTTGGTTGCAGTAGAGTGATACTCTGAGAAATATGTTGAGTTGAGGATATCGAAAGTGAAGAGCAAGCATACCCTCCCGCCTTTTATGTTTTCCACATTACCATCACTCTGAATAAGGTTTTACAGTACTCCTCGGCAACATTGTTTGAGGAAAAACGTTTTGCTGCCAATAGGTCAGGTCCCTTGCCTTATTCCTACCGAGACCGGTATCAGAGAAGTTAGGGCTTAAAAGCGTAACAGACATGCATCGTAGTGCGTATATGCCAACTACTGGCCGTCAAGTGTGGATAAAGATATCCTCCCGGAAAACGACCATCTTGGCGCCGGGGTCCAGTTCACGGAGAGTATAAAACATTCAAGATGCAGGTTCGTTACAAAAGTGCAAGTATTGAGCATTCGACCTTTGGTCTCATCCTATCCATACGAAACATTTTCCAAACGTACTGCGCCATCGCCCATTCAAAAGTCTACGCAAGCCGGATACCTTCGCCATCACACCAGGACTCGGGTCTATGTTCCAATGCATCCAAAATGCACTGAATGTCAAGCCACTCTCTAACTATGTCCGATACAACGAGGATTGGTGACATTCGTGTTGGAGACTTTTGATTAGGATGTGTTGGATTCCTAATGCAGGGAAAACGTCGGGGATTTTCTGTGAATGCGGCGAGTTTTTAAACTATACCTGCCAGATACGAAGTGTAGAGTGGAATGGGGCATTGGGGATATTAGAGTTGGGGAACTCCTTATGATACCTAACCCAGGGAATCGTGTTTAATGTTTGATGTTATAATGCATAGCGCGCACAATGCCTAGCGTCAACTATTGGGATGAGGAGTATGTGAGTTGGGCAGGCATGTTCCCCTGTATTAGGATTTAGTATTTTCGCCTTGCGATTGAGGGATTGACGAAGATCTGGATGCAACCCTTGCACTCATACACGTTCCAATTCAAGTTTTAGATCGGACAATCATTTTGTGATGCGATGTTTTGCGTGGGTTCGCCGATGTCGTGTCGAGCTGCAATGATGAATCTTTGAAAGCTCTGACTCTCAAGGGAACGTAATAGCCCAATGGTCACAATTTTTTGTATAGAGCAAAAGAAAGGTTTTTGTTCTTTGGACACTCTTGACTCACGTCCTAGCTTTTTCGAGCTTCTCAAGATTTTGGTTTTAAACAATGTACAAGATATGGCGTGTTTGTTAACGACAGATGAACCAATTATGCTGTTGAGAGGGTACTATTACTGTCATTACAGTTTGAAAAACGTGGGTAAAAACTCTAGAGAAAAAACGGGCATTTTGCATGGAATGGGAGCATCACGACGAAAACAAACCCGGTTTCCACTGAAATCCTCAACTTGTGTCGCCCTTTCCTAGTGTGTTTGAACACGTTAGCTGGCGCTGGGTAGCACTCTACACTTTTTTTAAAAAATAGCGAATCTATGCCCGTTTTTGTCAGAGCTACGAGAGAAAGATTAGGACCATCTGATGGAAATGGGGGACACGAGGAAAACATGCGAGTTTTACCAAAAAAAAAAAAAATCACAAAGGAACTTTTTCCGATGAGATATTCAAAACCGTTAAGAACCAAAGAGGCCAAATATCAGTCCATGAAAAGCATTGATTTAATGCAGAAAAACGTATTGTGGTGCTTTTAGTGTATCTATCGTGCATCTAATGTGATCCATGTCGTATGAAAAAGGGGGAAGGAAACCTTACCCAAGAGTGTTGAGTCCCTGATACCTTGTTGGTTGCGGCTGGGAAATCCGCACAATAGGACTGATTTTGGATGAACCTTTTTGTTCGATGAGAGCCATGCTACTCTCTTCCTTTGGTGACTAAAGTAATTTTGGGTGTTTTGCTTGCTTTGGGGCGTTCCAGTGTTTATTTCGCGTGTTTTAGCAACCATTGAAAAAGTATGACTTTGCACTTTCTCATTGGCATCATCTAGGAACATTTCATCGGATAGAGAGAAAGTGAGCCCCGTTCAGGTTCACAGGTACTTGAAGTGGTGAGTAACGAATGGAAAAAGTTTCAAAAAACAATGCAGCGTTCTGTTCAGTTTTAGTTCCTGGTGTTTTGTTGAACGCCACATAGTTTGCGTTTGAGTGATGTGGTATAATCATGGCATGGACCTAAATGATCGGAATCGGTCCGTTTTACCTTATGGTTTGAATATGGTTAGTGTTTGTAGAGCATCATCGCTTTGGTAGAGAGAAATAAAAAAGTAGTTTACCCGAAACTTGGATTACTCACACCTTACTTTGCAACTTTGTGTGTTTTTCGTTCCACGGAGACGGTTCTACTCAAACTCATCACAAAACAAGCTCAGACTTGCTCAAGACCAAAAAATCATTTTTGAATACTTGGAGCACATTAGCTTTTGTATAAACAAAGGGAGACAAGATGCGGCATGTCCAGCCGTTTAAAGTATCGCCAAGTAGGTGACAGTGTATGTATCTGAGGAGAGAGGAAGATAAAATGAGTTTTTGCCTTGGCATGAGATGTTTTCTGGTATACTGCAGTATCTGATACACTCATGATTGCCCATCACAACCCACCAAACCAAAAGATTGCAAGACACACTATGCCAAAAAAAAAAATGGTTCTACACAACACAAGTGTGTATTTGATATAGGTGGGGATCGCCAAGTGAATCAAAAAACAAATATATTTGATAACTTTCCTTTTGTTATTGCTTAAATAATGTGACTTTACCGAAATCATCCATCCCATCAAAACTGATTATCAACACTCTGTTTTCTTTGTTTTATTGTTTCTGTTCCTTGGGTGTTTCAATTGTAACGAAACCATTTTGTGCGTCGCATCATCACAGGGGAGGCATCTTGTGGTTGGCAAGAGTATGCAAGAGTCCCTGAATGGTAAGATATTGGGGTTGCGTGGAAGAGTGCAACATTGATATGAAAGAGTTTGAGAACCCACTCTTGATCCACCGCTTTCTACTTCTACTATGTCGGACATCAATCTGGTCCTGTATCTTTTAACGATTGTGATAACAATGGACATCTCCTACGATGAAACAAGAGATTTTGTACTCTTATACTACGTGTTTCTAAACGGTGATGACCGGGTACGCACTCGTTTTCTCTGATTGCTCATCCATTGTAGCGGATTTGCTCTGATGATTCAGTATTCGCGAAACCTCTCATGCGAGATTTTAGAAAATAAGCTCATAGTTCAGTACGGGTTATAACACGCATTGAGCTACAAGGATCCCCCATTCGAAGGTATCGTATCTAGGGATTTCGGCCTCGAGAGAGTTCCCATTCCCATACAATGAAAAAAAAACATAGTGTCGCATATACATACAAAAAAAGTTGATTCCAATAAAAACCACTCGTTCCGTCCGCATACCTTGTCCGAAACCGTGGGAAAATGCAAGATAAACAAATGATTTCATACTATGGATGCGCGGTTACATTATCGCTTTTGCAAGGGGGAACCAGGCAGGGCAAATACGATGGAAGGTTTTTATTGGTTTACAATGGATTTAATGCAAAGGTTGAAATGAACGTATACATATGGTTTACTTTTTCCATGGAGAAATTCCGTAGTGTTCCAGTCTCTTGGGGTTTATAAAAAGCCAAACATATCTCGCCCCCCCAATCTCTTTATTCGTCTTTTTCTATATTTGCTTTCCTTTCTTGTTGGTTGCAAAGGACTAAACTGTCGCGATGGAGGAGCGGCGGCCAACAACTCACACATGGTGAGGTGTGTCTCTTGGTTCCGGCCGGGGGGAGTTTAGAAAAGTCTTCTGCAATGCAATCAATTATGCGTGGAGCAAACTGTTGTGTTTTTTGTAAAACCTTTTTCTTTTTGAGGGATGTTGGGTTGAATGCGAATGCGATCCAGTCTGGCTCAAGACATGGTGTCGTTGAGGATGCGGCGTTCTTTTGATGAAGAGCAAACATGCTGTGTCTTTTATGTGTGGAGTGGAAGCTATGGGACTCGTGGAAGGACCTTGCTGGAATAGATACTTTGTTCATCGACGCATACTGGCCAGGTTTGTAGGTGTACCTTTTCAACATCCTTTCCAGAGAGTGCCAGATATGGTGGTACTTGTCCGAGACTCGCTTATGTCTTGTTGCAAGTGAGAGGAACCATTTTGGGGATCTCTTTTTTGCCGGACGTATGTGGAGGTTTTTCTCCTGCCTGTCAATCGTAAATGTGTGTATTCGGGCGGTACCCGCATGTCGGGGAGGATATCGGTTAATAAACCTTTGGATCTTTATTGCGTCGACAAGACTATATTCAACCTTTCCTGGGATGAATAACTACTTGTGACCCTGGTGCTATATTGCATCGCCTTCCCGCTTGTCCAGGTCCGATAGGTCCGATAGGTACGATAGGTTTTTCGATATCCTTTTTTGCCCGTTTCACTGATATATATATTGGTTTTTTTTTTGGTGAGACTACAAACTTTTGAGTAGGCAATGTTGCATGTTCTTTGGAAGGATGTCCATTCATTGATGTGTCGTACCCATCGTTTTGCACTCAATTGATTATGCCAAACATAAGCGATCACAGGATTAGAGTTCCGCCAAGGTAATTGTTAGAATATCCAAAAAGGGTTGAAAGGGCTATGATGATAACATTTGTAAATACACTAATGTTCACTGGTCGCAAAGACGGGCAATGAAATCAATGAACGGATTAGCTCCAGGACACCCGTAATAAAAGATGCAGACAGTCCTTCAGAATTGTGTGTGTTTCCCCATTGCTTGTTTCGTCTTGGTTTTTTTTTCTATATATTGTTGTTTCTTTGGTATTTCGTTTTATGAGCTTAGAGGATCTTCTTTTCAAGTGGATAAAAAAGTATTTATATACGATACTGGTATCTTTTCTTTGTAAAACCAGTGCTTTAGTCTAGCGTGTCCGTTTTTTGTTTTCGGTCGTTACAATTGAATTGAAATACAAAAGAGTATTGGTAGAAGTCGTAAATACCATCGAGTTTAACGTACTTGATCAACGACATTAGTTTGTCCCCGGTTTAAGCGTGTTGCGAGGTCCTTGGTTTCTTTTTCTTTCAATAACGGGGTTTTGCCTTTGCAAATAAGGATTTTTTCAGTTCCTTAAACTTACTGCCAAGAGAGAGTTTTTAAATTTTCTAAGTTTGCATGTCTCCATTAAGAGACTTGATAGATGCAAATAAACAACTCCCCAGGCCCAAGAGGATAAAAACTTACTTTATGTATACATGATGATATGACAATAAAGTATACCGAAACTACGAGGGTAAGAACAAGAAAAGTTAAAAAGGGAAATATGGATACTTGTCGGAAAGCTTTTTTTTTTTTTTTTGGCAAAAATTGATGATTGGGACTCGTTGTTGCTGGTTTGTTTACATTCCGATTTTGCGACCACTAGCTTTTGAGTAAATGATCACCGATCCTTTGAAGAATTACCAAGTGAGTATGGGTATTGTAAGTCTGTGCATCCTGTCTTGGACGAATTGACTTGGCAGTCATGTAGACTAGTTCTCGAGACATGGATTCTATGGTCATCATCAAGCCTTTTTGCCAATCGCGTTTACTAGAACTTTTTCATGTATTGCCATACGAACGTTGAGTTGTCTTGAAATGTATTTTTTCCAGTCTAGTGTAAAGGTTTGGGATTCATGAAAGGATAGGGAAAAGAGCCCCATACCAATTCCAATTTCGTTACGGATATCGTAAACTTGTGAGCGCATGTCGGAATTACTCGGGGTTTGGATGTATGGGAGGAATTTGGGACCATTCGGGAGCGAATATTTCAACACCTTTAGAAGGAAAACAGTTGGTGTTAATTCGATCATGTCTCTTGCAGTGTCCTGTCTAAATACCTTGCCTTGTTGGTCATTTAATATGAAATCCTAGAACGGTACAGTCATATCAATTGATCGTCATGCCGCGCAAAGTAAAAGTGCATACCCTAACCAATATTCTCTAGCAACCAAACCAAAAAAGTCTTTTGACGTTGAATTTGGGCCTATATGCACCAACGAAATAGGTGCAAAGACCGGAAAGCAAATGGGCAGCACCAAAAGTCCCAACACACCACATATACCACATACAAGGCCATTATTTGGGGTTCATACCATCGACCCTATGTTTTGTTTGTGATATGGAGACATAATGGGGACCCCGTCGCAAAAAGAATACATACTGGTGAGCATTATAGGATGTCAATTGTTGGTTGTTCCTTGCACACCAAAAATGACGCGCTGATGTGTGGATGTTACTCTCCTCCATAGTCCACATGCACAAAGATATACTCGTAGATTCGTTCGTTTTCATTGGAATCCTTGATGCATGTTTGCAGTCGGGAGCATCAGAGAAATAAAGTGAGACCCATAAACTTTTAGTCAAGAGTTGGCATGTCATAAAGAAAAAGGATACAGCATGTTCTTTTAAAATGTGGATATTACGAACGGGGGGACCGTATGAACACTCAAGTACCAACAACAAACTATGTGTGTGCCTAGTCCTTTTTGTATTTCACCGTCCATTCCGCAAACTCGGAAGCAAAAAGTTTTCTTTTTTAAAAAAACCAGTACGGTAATGCAGAGGGTTTTTGGGGTCCTAAAATCACTGCAGAAAATAAAAGTAGTTGGGGACGCAACACACAGGTTTACGAGGGATTATAGGTTGGTGATTATTCAAATTGTTCGTCTTTGAACCCATATAAGTTGACTGATTCTTGTTGCCTATCAACTATCCGATCAAAAGGTGCCCTGATTCATATCTTGAAAAGAACAAAAAAAAAAAAACGCAGATCGGCCTTGCGGCGTACGTGTATTCGTGCAAGTCTATAAAAGACGAAACAGTCCTTTGACATTCACAGTAGAATACAAGCAGGACAGCTAGAGATAAAACACAAGTCGAGATACATTAAGAAAATCGAGCGATCGTCCAAGGCAAAGAAACGAAAAACCTAAAAGAGAGAAACTCGCAAGAATGATGATGAAATTCATTACGGTTGGGATGATGGCCATTCAATGTACGTTACATCTTTTGTGAATTCTTTATTAAAAGAGAAACTGTAAAAAAAAAAAAACTAAAATGAAAAAGTGGCGGGTATGAGCCAAGGGCAGATATTGCCCGATCCTAGTGTTCCTGGCGAAAATGGACCTACTACCGTTGGTAGCTTGCCCGTCAACTTTCCGACCTATGGCCCTCCTACGAGCGGACCGATCGAGTTTCCTCTTCCCACGAGTGGACCTGCTACGAGGGGACCCATCAAACTTCCAACCCGTGTCCCTGAAGCCAGAAATCCATGCACAACCCGAGCGCGCAATGACAAATTACCATTGCCGACAGAATTGCCCGTAGTGATCAATGGCAAAGACAAGGGACCTACAGCAACCGTAAAACAAACAGCCATTCCAGAAACATTAATGACACTCTTTCCACAGAGTACAGACATGCCTAGCCAACTCCCCATTAGACGTCGTGCCCGTGCACGAGCCCATCTCCCTTGAATAGTGTGTATGTGAAATGTGTGAATAGTAAGAAATGAACATGTATAAAGTAAAGAATAAAATGCGATAAAAGAGACAATGTGTGATATATGGGAATAAAAAGGAATTTAAAGAGAGAGAGAGAGAAAAGGAAACCATAATCACATTCTTCTCTCTCTCTCTCTCTCACAAACAATCAATTCACTCACACACACACCTCTTGAAACTCTACTTGTCACACACAAGGAGGGATTTCTCTCTCTCTCTCTCTCTCTTTCTCTCTCTCTCTCACAAGCTTTCTCTCTCTTTATAGTTAAAATTCCTTTTTCTTTTTCTCTCTTTATAGTAAAATTCCTTTTTCTTTCTCTCTCCCTTCCATTCTCATTCACGTGCTTATATCCTTTATTTCCATGACTGTGCTTTTCATTATAGTCACTGTGCATATGGAACATTGCCGCTTCTTTACTTTTACTCTATTGATTCTATTATTCTTTCCTCTCTCTCTCTCTCTCTCTCGTTCTCCCCATTGGAATATGGCTGGATTATCGTCTACTCCCGGCATCTTTGATGTTTCTCTCGCAGCAGCCATTGTCTTTACTATTGCCTATGCTTTCGTCTTTTTTCCCTTGAATATCTATACTCTGTACAAGACTCGCATATGGGGATTACTCTGGGTCTCTTGGTATCTTCTCTGTGAGTATTTTGTCTTGTTTTTTTATTATTGGGGTTTATTGTTTTTTGACAAGGAGTAAGTGCGTATTACCGCATTTGTGTTTAGGATTGTCATCCACGCTCGTCCACAAGACACCCAGCAAGAGAGGGATGAGACATTGGTTCTGCTTATTATCGATGGAGTGTTTTACACTGCTGGCTACTTTTTTCTGATAAATTGTGTCCTCGGATTGATCATCACGTGGTGAGTAGGGCATTCCGGGCGAATGCCATCAGGAGGGCTCTGGAGGAATGGAATGGGGAGGGCTTATCGACGAATGGAATGGGGCAGCGCTAGCGAGAAAAACGGAAAATCGGGATTTCATGATCTTGTGAGCGCTAACGAGACACGATTCTCTCGCAAATGGAGAATTATGGCATCGCTTAGCGAGGAGTGGATGGGAATACTGGCATTTTGCGAGCTGTCGCTCATCATCCAGAGCATGCCCTCTCGTATTGTTCTAATCTTTCATTGCTCCTCACCTGGTGCATCTTAGGATGGATCCAACAACGTCCAATCCTAAAACATCTCGTTACGCCCGCTTCTTTCGGTGCCTCCATCTTGGCATCCTCGGTGGGGCAGTACTAGTGATTTGGGGAGGCATTACCGTAGCGACCGTCAATTTCAATCCACAGACGGCAGAGGAAGGTCAAAAGGTGTTGAATCAGTTGGACAAGAGCAAAAAATTACGGTACGCTTCAAAATGCTCTAAAGATTCCTTTGTTTGAACCTTGATTTGCTTACCCTTTTCTTTTATAGAACCTTGGGAACATCCCTCGTCCTCGTCACCGTCGTCACTCTCCTTCTCAACATTGCTGTCCGCCTTGTCAGAAATCCCACCCGCCAAGCCACCTACCTCCTCGTCGTGACCTTCTTTCTAACCCTGCGCACCTCCCTCTCGTACTACTTTATCTACGGTACATCCGGAATTGCAGATGATGTCCACTTGTACGGTCTGGGCGTCGCCCCTGAATTACCAGTTTTGATCCTATTGTGCATTCCCCCGTTTGTCGCGTGGTTCAAGCCGGCTGTTGCCCAGAGTTTTGCGAGCGTACTGCCACAGAGGTGGAGACGGAGGTTTGAATTTTTGAGTGGTGGAAGGAGGGAGGGGACTTTTCCTGAGCCGCAAGTTGAGTATGTTGAAGCCAAGAGGAGTTTGGAGGCATAACGTAATCGAAAAGTGTAAGGTTGACTTTTTTATGATATGAGTAATATGTGCTATTCTTGCAGGCATACATGAACATACGATGGAACCTGTTTTCGTTCTCGATCGTAATAAATACTTAAAAGCTGTCACGTTATTGGTCGTATTGGCGAAAAACCCCCAATGGGGGACATGAAGAGATTTCAACATGGAAATGGGACACGTGCTTAGCAGCTGGTTCCAGTGCAAAACGTAGTGTGTGTAGTGCGCTTGCAGATCTAAAGAAACTGGTCCACCTATTTGCCAGTTCCATTCCAAAAACGTGTTTGTCATTTCACCTACACATGCACTTTACTAGATCCCTTCTCCGCTCATCTGCACGCATGACACCCACAGCGTCCGCATCCCGCGTGTTTTTCTTTGACATTGACAATTGTCTATATGCAAAGAGTGTGGGGATATATCGCGAGATGGGAAAACGGTGCGTGTTTTGTCAGTGTGTTGGGGAAATGCCCGTTTGGCATTCTCAATGTTTTTGGTTTTTTATAGTATCCATGCGTATTTCCAAACGTTGGGATTACCAGATGCAGAAGGTATCATTCCTTGGATAGTTCATGTCCCTCAAACATTTCTTTGACACGCCCAAACAACAAGCATCCCGTCTTCATCATAAATATTACACTGAATACGGTCTTGCCGTTCGTGGACTCGTAAAGCACCACAGTACGCCTACTTTCCCTTTTTCTTCTTTGTAACCCCTCTTACTAAAGGACTTTGTAACTCTTTTAGATGTCGACCCAATAGCCTATGGTGCGTACAATCGTTGCGCAACACTCGGCCCTCTAGTTTAACATTGCATAGATAAGGTCGTTGATCAGAGTATCCCATTGGAAAAGTATTTGAAATATGATCAAGAGTTGCGTGGTATGTTGGAGGGGATGAGTGGGGTCAAGAAATGGGCGTTTACGAATGCGTATCAAGTTGTGAGTGTTGTGTGTTTTTGGTTATGGCGTTGAAGGGTGTGTGGTTGGTGTGTTGAGTTTAATATGGGTATGTTGGGTTCTTTAGCATGCGATGCGGGTTTTGGAACTTTTGGGTATACGAGATCAGTTTGCCGGGATTACTTTTTGGTATGTTTTCCCCCATCTCGCGTCTTTTTCCCTTCATCTGTTGCACTCTGACACACCGCTTTGACTGCATTGCAGCGACTACAGTCTTCCAGACTTTGCATGCAAACCCGATCCCCGTTACTACGCCCAAGCCATGCGCGACGCGGACATATCTGATCCATCGCAATGTTATCTTGTTGACGACTCCGCAGCTAATATCGATATGGCAAAGGTAAGGCCCTTTTTTTTCCTCTTGACTTTAGTGTTGAATGTAATTCTTTTGGGTTTGTTTATTTTTTATAGCAATTGGGGTGGACGACGGTGCATGTAACAGATGATCCCGAGTCTATGCATGGAGATTTTCAGATACAGTGTGTGAAAGAGTTGCCGAGTGTATTACCAGAGTTTTGGGCGGCGCGGAATTAAGCAAGACTTGTAAATAGTTGTCTTTTTTTTTCTTAGAGGAGTTTGTGGGGTTCTCCTCTACTCTTTTTTGAGTGGGGGCGTCTTTTTTTTTTATTTGGTTGGTCGGTTGGGTAGAACGTAGAAGAAATACCTTTTTGTACTGCCCTTTTTTATGGTGTATTAGAATGCTCGGGCGTGCAACATTGACAAAAGACTAGCTTTTATCATATCGGACCGACAAAGTGGCCGTTTTGTTTTTTATGCATGGAGAGCACAGTGGGGTTTGCCTGCTTTTTTCGCTATATTTCGTTGAACGTATGATTCATGTATTGTTAAGTTGATAACAAGTTCATCACAAAGAAAAAATATACACAAACCTATGCTCTTGGTTGTATATACCCCGACAAACAACAAGATATAAACTCATGTGTAGGGCACGCCAAAGATAAACTTTTGCAGCTTGACTATTTACTGGAATGCATCAAGAGTGCTTATAAAGGGATTCTACGGTTTTGCCGTTGGTGTACACTAAAATAAATAAATAAGAGTACTTCAAAGATTTACTTGAATCACCATAAACGTTATTGCTCAATCATTTGTTTTTATTTGTGTGTACATGAACTGGATATGATAGGGCTTGACCTGCTCTTATACTTGATACATGATACGGTAAAAGCCCTTTTTTGCATCATTTAGTGTTTGTCAGTTTGGGTGTTGCGCTACGATATTCTTTTTACGTGCTTATTGCAAGTCGTGAACCTAATACCCACATACGCCTTCATAGATTGGATTGACAAGAAGGCTTGAGGGCAAACTATAAAAGCTAACCCCCGAATAATTGGCTTTTTGATTTGTTTATTTTTTTGGATAGTGGACATGAAACTGGACAATACCTTGAACTTGCTCTTGAATTTAGATCTATGCCATGGGGGGGAAGATACGCCGAAATCATATCTAAAGTCATTTTAGTGTTTTCTCACTTTGTGTGTATTCTGCTACCATACTCTTTCTACGTAATTTTTTGCAAGTTATGAACCCAACCCAAATATGGATTGGATTTTTACATGAATGCTTGAGAGTAAACTATAACACCTAAACCCTGAATGATTGAGGAGGTTTTTTATGATACTGTACATGAAACTGAACAATACATGATAGATGCAGGAAACTGAACAATACATGATAGATGCTAAAACTGTACTCTTGTACTAGATATGTGCTACCGCAAAACCTATTCGACTGTTTTTTAACGTTTCTCACTAGAGTATTCTGCTACGATGCTCTTTCGGTGTTCATCCCATGCCAATGTTTCTAGGTACTTGACTTGCAATTCGTGTACAGGGATACCCAATACACCTTCATTGATGGGATCTACTAGACTCTTGAGGGTAGCAACATCCACAATTTGCAAAAACACAACCTTTGGAAAACAGAGTACTTCAACAGGTGTAAGAGCCGTAACAGTGATTCCAAATCCAGCGGCAAACGTTTCCCTCTCAAACGCCTGTGAAGCCGTTTCAGCCATACTTTCCGAATGAGACGGATCATATTGCCCCACCACGGCCGTTCGAAGAAGCTCGATTTTGGTTGCGGAGACATGTTGGATTCTCATATCGGTTGCTTCGGAGCGTAAGAGCCGGAGAGGGGGGAAATAAGATTTAGGTTCCAAGTCACCCAACACGAGGGTTTCGTGAACAAGTGTTTCTTTATGATCTAGGGGGGCTGAACCGGGGATATACGGTGACACGACTGTTGCTGAATTGCGTCGGAAGGCCGATAAAGTACCTTGTCCTCGTCGTTGTCCAGTCATGGTAGTAGTAGTAGTCGTTTTATGATTTGCAGCAGAAATGTCCAAGGAGACATGTCCATCGACTGCTGCAGACCATTCTACAAATGGAACGACTCTCATGGCCCTACATCGCCCCCTCACTAAAAAACACACCATCTTCCTCTCATCTGGCGGAACGACCACACTCCCCGCTTCATACCTCACCACATTCCCCGTCCCCGCAACTCTATTCACGACGTCCTCTGCCGCCCCTTCAAACCCCTTACAAGACCTCACGAACCCCTCCATACTCTCTTCCTCTTCCCCTCCTTCCTCTGTCAATGCCCGGATATAGTCATCACGGGGTACACTGACCAATGTACACGCCGTGACGGTCTCAACCGTACACGTCCGCACACACTGAGGCGCCGTAATAGGAAACTCACCAAACAAGTCACCGGGTTTATATGTTGTCGTACCGGATTCGTTCGTTGCGATGCATATCCCCGATAACAAGAAATAAACAAAAAGAGGTTGATACGCGGATTTTATCACGAGTTTGTGAGGTGGGACGGAAACGAGTGTTATGGCTCTACTTAGCCGTTTTCTTACTCCTGGTGGAAACCTTGCGTAACCATTCATGTGGCATAACACGATATCCAATGCGCGTTCTTGGGTTTGACTTCGTTGTAATGACGGGGTTTCTAGTAGTCGTTCTAATCGACATCCGGCTAGTACACCTTCGGTCTGTGTAATTGCTGCAAGCATATTCGACGCACTAGTCGTTTCCGAATCGGTATTGTTCCTCCGAAAAAGTAATGTGGATAACAAGAGTTTTTTGACGGATGTAATGGCGAATGACCATCGCTGCGCAGCGGTTTGGCGTGTCGTTGGTAAACTATTGGCATTCGTAACGGCTTTTATATCCTTTTCCTCAAAATGCGTAATAGACATGCGCCGATTTCGTCGAACGGGACCAAAACTTGCGGAATCCTTTATAGGCGTCAATTGATCCGTTCCTTCACCATCCAATGTTTTAACATTGAGTTGTTTGGGCGTCATGGCTTGTTGGAGTTTACTTAGTAGTAGTTCAGGCTTGGCGTCAAATTTCCCTTGAAGTACTTGATCAACATCCAAATTCCCCATTCCCCGATTTTTCATGATCCGTCTAAACTCGGTTGAATCCCCCGATGACAAGGACGCCCTCCTCCGTCGTGGATCTGTTCGTGGAGATGAATCTGGTGGTGTCGGACACAATTTGGATTCATCTGATGTTGACATTCGGCGTCTTTGGATGGATGTACGTGGGGATCCATTATCCGTTAATAAGGACCCATTACTTGATAATTCCTGCTCTTGTTCTTCTTCGTCTTCTTCGGCGGTGGTTGACGACGACACTATCGACCCCTTTCGAATCCGTTTCAACGGATCAAAAAATCTTGAACCTAATGACCCGGTACTATCCAAAGGCGACTGCGACCCCCTCGTAATCGTCGTACTACTCGTTTCCATGCGTAGTTCCTTATTTACATCAAATGGGGATTGAGACCGAGTACGCTGCCTTTGTTGGACTCGTCTGCCGATACTCTCCCCCTCTCCGAATGCCAATGATGCTCGACGAGGTTTGTCAGAGGTTACACTCAATGTATCTTGTTTTGGACCATGTGTCGTTGTTGGGGTTGTTCCGTTGGTTTCGATGGACCATAATGAGGTTTTGACTCGCGTTACTTCTTGTCCGTCACTTACGGATCGTTGTCGATACCGTCTCGGTGTCGAACTCGTTGTTGTTATTATCGGCTCTTGATTCTTTTCGTCTTGGCTGGTCTCTTCGGACCCCAAAGACCACGCTTGAGCATTTTGGACCCACTGCTTTGCTTGCGTTAATCCTCCTGTAGTCGTAACAGCCAACCGAGGAATCGACAACGGAACGGATTTGGAGGGTGTTGGAACGGGTTTTCGGTCTGGGAGAACAAGTTGTGGTAACATATTTTTTACAATATGTAATAATAATTTCGCTCTTTTTTGGGCCGAGGTATGGGGTAATGGCTTCTTGTTTTTTCTGGGGGAAATACTCTAGAAAAAGAGTATATATCGCTTATATACTCTATCGGCTCCGGCCCTTTTGCTTATATATCGTTCAAAACAAGTTTTTTTTATCAAGAAAACCCGATTGCTCCACAGCGTGGGAAGGCTTGGATTCAAGCGGGAGCGATAAGCTAGACTTATTTGCCATGGTACTGTCATTGACGAGAGAAAAAAAAAAGTTATTTTAAGAAGGACCCGTTTTTATCAATATCCTTTGTGAAATGGGCGGAGCGATATATATCAGGACACTTTGGAACAATATCATCACATAATCACCTCAACTGAATGAACGCGTTAGTGGGGAATGCCCAACCTGGCCCCAACCTAGACCCATGGGGTCTAAACAAAGACAACGAAGGGGGCCAAGAATCTTTTTTTAGGGGGGCGACAAGGCTGTATATTTGCAAAGCTCCGTAAATAATCCGGTCAATGCAAAAAGAAGAAGACGAGAGAAAAAAAATAAAACTATACACACAAACTACACACGAGTACATTTGGGTGGACAACTACGCAACATCCCTATTCACGAATCATTTCGATACATGCCATTGGGAACGTTCCTTTATTTCCAGTACGCATGTTAGACCCCTTACCCCAGCCTAACATCAAAAACAACAGTCAATTAAAAAAAAAAAAACGAAATCAAACATGAGGAAAAAAAGAACGTACCATCATCGTAGGAAGCCCACACCTCCACCATATCGCCTTTGACCAGCTCCAACTCATCAATTAATTGAGGAGTGTAATCATAAACAACCTTGTATTTAGCCTTCAAGGGCGTAACGTGGGACCCAGCCTCAGTCATATTGGACGCAGGAGCAATAAAAGGAACGGCACCACCGCCAGGTTGGATTCGGTTGCGTCTACCCTCGGTGCTGCCTCGCTTTCTGGCTCGCACAACTCCAACAGCGACACCACCGACAATAATCATGGCAGCTCCGACCGATCCCGCAATGATGGGCACCTTGTTCCGCTCCACAAAGCTACTATTTTCATCTCCTGTGGCGGTGACGGGTTCCCCACCTGTCGCACCTTGGGATGCAAGTTCTGCAGGTTTGGCGCCTTTGACAGCTTGGTTCTCAACGGGTGCAGCAGCAGCGGTTTTTTGATCGTTCTTGTAGCTTCCTCGTCGCTGACAGCAACCATCTTGTGGATAGTCTTTACAGTACAAGTCAGCGGTTTTTGAGTCACCACCAAAACCTGTAAAAAGGCGCATTATAAGTAATCGCACACCCATCCTCATGATTTTATTCAACTAACCGCATGATTTATGATCTTCCTCAACTCCCCAAATGCAGGAATCTTGCTTGTATCCAGATGCTCCACTCCACGACTGTACAATATGCTTGCAAGATTCCGCACCGGTCAAAGCAAATGACCGTCTGTCCGACACTTCCTGGTATACCGCTTGTCCATAGTGACCAAACGAAGTGGGACACACGGATGAATCACGGATCAACTCGGACACAGCGGACCCGTACGCATCGCACGTTTTTTCGCAAATGGGGGTAGAAGGTGGCTTGTAGTCTTTGTTGCATCCAGCAGAGAACATGAATATATCCGTCATGCAAGTGTATGTGCGATAGTATTGAATGGGTTCGCCAGAGTATCCAGTACATTGAGCCCAGTTCCTCCACATTTGGGCCTGATGCTCTCCGCCTGACGTTACGTCGCGGACCAATCGATCCCAGTATTTCGCATCGGGAATCGGGCCGCTCAAACCGTAGACCAAGCCAAGTTCAGTACCATTGATATAGTAACCTTGTCCAAATGGGGCACAGGCGCTCGTTTCATGGATGGCAATACATTCGTTGGACGAGTATTCCTATTAAGCAAGACCAGTCAACCACGGCGATTTGTCATCGAATGCAATGCACTCGTTGCTTCATACCTTGGACTCTGCCCTAACTTGACTGACGGCAGAAAGGATAGATAAGGCAAACGCGAGGGTAGCAGACGTTCGGGCCATGTTTGACAATGCAGACGGGGTTCAAGCTTTTTCTTGTCCACAGGGGCAAACTATAGATAAAGTATTCCTAAATAGCTACGATCGCGTGTAGGCTAAAACGGCTACTTGGGCAAACAAGCGTCTAATGCCCGGATAGTAAAAAACGGAATCGGTTTCGGTGTTTTCGACAACTCTAGGGTTTACGCCCGCGATGACCGCCTCCAACGCAAATGTAAAGAGATCAAAAGGGCGGCAAAGGACAAAGGAGATGAGCGGCGGAGAGCCGTGGTTGACAAGGGTATTTTCTATACGTTTTTTTCGTCGGTTGTTTTTTCCTTCCCAATCCTTCAGCCTTGAACGGCGACGAACAAAAACCAAAAGCACTGCCAACCCTCCAAATCTCAACTTTGAAAACTAAAAGGAGGCTGAGTCCAAAAGTCGCCTTGCGGTGGGCTGAGTCACAACACGTGATATATATCTACAATATTCCCTTTAAAGGCAGGTAATGTAACTGTTTATGGCTATATGACAGAGCTGAGCCTCAAGTGTGAAATGTTCATAGCCTCTCCTTCTGCGCTTTTTTCCTTGTTTTAAGCACAGCGGACGGTTTCGGACATTTTTCAAGGACGGAGGGGTGGGGGACTGGTGAATGACACGGCTTTTTATTTTCATCAATGGTTGATGGTATGTGTTGGAACGGCAGGTGTTTTAGGTAAAAGGTTATGGCGGCGGTGCAGGGACATGAGGTCCAGGTTCAAGGTGTGATCAAGGTTGTCGGGTATGTTTGGAACATATCAAGAACGCATGATACCCATGTGCTATGCCTGGATCTACGCACAGGGATACGGCATTTCAGGGATCATAGCCATGTATATACAAAACGAATAATATCATAATGAAGGTAACACTCGGAACGAGACAACATCTACCTCGATGAATAGTCCCTTGAACCAGAGCGCAAAAGAATATAATCAGAATCGCCAATGCCATCAATGTAAACGCATCGCTTTCGAGGAACCATCCAGACTCTAAACGGTTCCACTTCTGGTTCTCCTTGCTTCATCAATCTTCATGGCAGGCGGCATCCCCTCACTCACTCGCTCATGCCTAACGTTGTTGGCCACTTCAAGCTGCTCTACTTCGTCGGGTGATAGGGTTGTATTGACCGACCATCTCCTGCCTCGCATGTCGGACACGGCAGGGATGATGGGAAAGACTTGAGAGGGTTCGCGTTGGGTACAGGATGAGGTATCGAAAACTGTTATACGAGGTATCGTTCCGCGTTGGGCTGTAGTAGAAAGACATGAAATGCTAGTGAATTGAGAAGGATTCACTTGGATTCGCTTTTGATTTTAATGTACGAGGTGGATGGATGGGTCACAACGTACCTAGCATGCGTTCTCTCCAACTCATTGCTCGTAAAATCTCACCCATCCACTCTACCTTTGCACCATCACTTCCCGTCACAAACAGAAAGCACCGTCCTTCATTATCAATATCTGGAAGCTTGTAGAGTCCAAATACCATCGTCATGAACTTGCCCAGTTTGGGTGGACAAGGGTCGAGGGTACAGTCCTCTAAATGGAAAATCTCACTGGCATACAATGCATGGGGTTTCTTTAGAATATACAGTGTATCATTGTTGATGACCACCCAGCGACGTTTCGATTTGCCGATAGCCCCGTTGAATTTAGAATGAAAGTGGCGTTCGTGGACAGTAAGGTAACCAGAATAGGAGGTTTTACCCATGAAGAGGTTGTGGGGGATAGGATAGCGCACCTTTCGCTTGAGCTATTGGCGTCCCATCGGAAACCCAAGCACTTTTATGAGTCTGACTTGCATGAGCAACGTTTTGGCTTTTTTTCAAACTTACCCCCACCCATTTCTTTTTTGGTTCATCCATCATGATATTATCAGTATCCACCTCAAAACCGCACGACTGAACCGTTTTTCGCATTAACCGCCCCGGCGCGCTCCCGCATCGTCCCGTTGGTGACCCCGACTCGCTCCATGCCAAACATCTTGCAGGGCGCTCCTGACTTGCGTTTGATACAGTCGTCGCGGGAGACTGCGAAGATATCGTTGTCGAGGAGTTTACTATGGACGAGTCGCGGCTTAATGACAGTCTATTGGGGCCTGCAGCTTGGTTTTCTTTCCAACGTGGATGCAAAGGATTGCGGGGTGAAATGGGTTTGCCTCCCGACGCGAGCGGTGACGTGTAGGAGCTTGGAGATACCTTGGCAGGAAGGGCGGGAAGACCATCCGCCCCGACCTCTGTCAGTGACTTCATAGAGCTTTGAAATGCGTCGCTACTGTTTTCACGTCACCCCACAGAAACAGCCTTTTGGAAACCGAAACCAGGTCCTCCAGAGCACCCACAAATCGTGCTTGTCCCAAGCATCCGAACCCCACAAGAACAATGTTGGTTGTGAAAAGCTGCGCAACGAGAGCAATAAACAATATGACACGACTAACTTGGGATCGATGAGTTCACAACCCTTCCAATACCCGCAGAATGCCTCCAGGCTTCGGAGTCGAATACGTAAGCATGGATCGAACCAGTCACACTCATGGAGCGAGTGGACTGGCTTTTGTTGGGCCCCATTCGTCTCCTTCCTTTGGTTTGCCCTTCATGCATCGTGGCTTCCAGAAGGGCTTCAGAGCATATATTAGGAGACTTGTTCTGTTCGGATACCATCCTTCCAAAAACCTCACAAAAACAGACCGAAATGCGTCGGCCAAAGTCAATTCGCTCGACCACATAAACGCTCTACGGTCACTATTGACGATCCTGGCAAAGTCTGATGAGGATTTGGGGTGCATTGACCTAAAGTATGAGAAAGTACCTGTTAAAAGACGCCAAAAGGATCTACTAGATCGCGTGGGGTTTTACGTGGAGCAGGTCACATCGTGCATACCAAACGCCGGTATGCGTCCTTCAAAAATTGTACAAAGAACGAACCCCTCCAACCTACTTGTACCTTTGATGCATTCCTCCTCATACTGCAGGCCTTGGAGTCCGTCTACATGGAAAAGCTCCAAAAGGGGCCATTGTGGCTGTATATCCGGGGACAGTGTACGCACCAGGTGACCCAGCGTTCTTCCAATCTCTGGGCAACAGCTATATTCTGCGATGCTACGACGGATTGCTTGTTGATGGTAAGCGTAACGGACTGTCTGGAAGAATTTTCCGGTCCCTCTATCGGCGACATCATCCCGATCCGCATCTTGATCTCATTGCAGATCAGACATGGATGGAAGGCGGGAATGTGGCGTATGTAGTGTTTTTTTTTTCGTTGAGTTCTTTGAAAAGTACCCTCATTGAAGGGGAAATGTTGTTTTCATCCAAACTAGGAATCCATATGCGATTGGCCAAATCATCAATAACGCCACCTCCCAGCATCCCGCCAACGGTCAGCACCATTCCAGTGTATCATCTCTTGGAACAATCACCCAGCTCACGCATTCCCCTTCCCTTTTGCAGTCCATTATCAGGAGCTCAACATTCCACCAAACTTCCCCCTCCATCTTCGAAAATATATTTCCAACATCCACTATGCGGCAGCTTGGCGACCGTGGGATGATGATGTAACGCGAGTTGTGCTGCTCATTGCGAATAGGGACATTGAGGACGACGAGTTGTTTTCGACGTACCATGAAACGGTTGGGTAGTGAGCTTTAGAGTAGATTGAAGTTGTTTGGCTGAACCTGAAATGATGTGTCTTGGCACTGTGATCCTGGCGTCACTACGTTTATCCGACCCCGTGTGCCGGAAACCAGCAAGTCAAGAACACTCGGAGGAATGTTTTTGAGTAAAAACAAAGGCAGAGTTGACGACACATGATGTGGTTTGATTTGCGCCGCCTTTGTCGCAAGAATCCATAGAAGTCATAACGCTGGACGGTTCTTGATAGAATGTACAATATACCAAATTCCTGGGAGCAGACACCGGCATAAGCGACATTATAAAAAAAAACTTACCAGTGTCTTGTGGTATCATTTGTTTTTTGCCCACATTGCCGTACTATTCATCGTGCAGACGCTGGGGATCAGGAGGTTTGTCGCAGTTGGGAACCGCTATCCCCATCAAGGACAAGCACAACCGCTGAAGACGCATGGGACCATTCTGCCACTCATCCATCGTTGCCCATGCTAGCTCGCCGTACTATTCCATCGTCCAGACGGTGGGGATCGAAAGTTTTTTGCAGTTGGGAACCGCTGTCCCCGTTTTCATGGACCAATACGACCGCTGAACACGTATAGAACAAATTCTGCCACTCAATCCATCTGTCAAAGAATGCCCCGCACTCTTTCATTGTATTCAGCCTCGCTAAACAATGTAACTGTACCGGCACGCCGCTTATTTTTCGGTGTTGTTTGCAGACGGAAGACAAGAATTTGGTCATGTTTGAGTGGGGTTTGCTTGGCACTGAGCACAGGTTCGACGTAGTCGGAAGTCATACCGTCCTACGCTTATCGACAACACGGTAAAAGAAGTGATACCTGGTCCCGCGATATTGATGTGTCTGTCTTTGCATGACCTTGAATGCCGTACCAGTGTCTCCACCGTGGAATTAGCTGGCTGTTTTTGTGACTTGGACAATGAACTATATCACCGTACCTCAGACGAGAAAAGTTATCGAGGGTAGATGTTTTTGTCCCATTTTATTTGAATGGAAAACTGCATGAAAGGGGCGTCGTTAGAATAGAGTGCAGGATAAATAAATGGCGGGAGATCGAGATCCGCAGATGCCAATGTGATGTGGATATCCCATGGACTTGTTTTGCCACTAACTTTGAGATCGGTTTTTTTTTTTTATTTCAGAATCATGATTCTGCGCACACTGACTGTGTCCAACAGCAAGATGATTGAGAATAGGAAAAATGCAAGATGGACAAAGACATGTTTACAGGTTTTAATTTCTATGACAGGAATTTGATATATACAAGAAGCCAGCCATCAAGGTTGGCATCCAACATTTGGCCGATAAACACACCACACCCAGCCCCTCTAAAAAAATGCCCGTTCAAAGATGTTTTTTCAAACACCTATACGGGTCTCTTTGCAAACTCTTTGGCAAGAGCTGCTGCTTTCTCCGCGGTCTCTCCCTCTGTCTGCAAACAACTAAAATAGTCCACTGAATCCACGACGGTATTCGGAGGAAGGAATGGCCACCAGACGGGGGAAGGTGGCGACGACTTTGTCTGTGCAATACTGTTTGTACGAGTCCGAGAAGGAACGATGATGGGTGTAATGGTTGGATACACAACCGACTTTGAGCGGGCGTTTGTCTTTCTTGGGCAGGTGTCGCTCATGGTCGGTGTTTTGGGTCGGAGTTTAGGTAAGCAAGTGGAGGGTGGACGGCGACGGAAAAGACAAAATGGTGGCTTGTTGGCGAGCGGGTTGGTTGGAGAAAGCGAAAATTCTGGGGTGAGTTGGTGGGTGTGCAGGACAGGGGATGGAGCAGACATTGCTGTCCTTTATATAACGCTCCTCTCGTAATCCGTCAACTCAACCCTAGTGAAGCTTTTAATTCAAAGAGTCATCAGACCCGCAAACAACTCGAGTCCTTTTAGCTAAAACAGGCAACAAAAAAAAAACCCAAAAGTATGTTGTGTGTGTGTGTGTGTTGTGTGTACATGTTTTCGTTGTAACAGTGATCAACAGAAAAACAACAAAGTAATGTTGATTGTCGAGGTCCCTGGAGCTTTGCCCTTGATCCTTTTGCGACTCGTCCCCGCCTTCATTTAATGTCGATCCATTGGTCTGTTTTCTTATTATTGTTTGCGGATGAACTTGTCTGCGACATTGGTGCGCCGGCCGTGCAAGCATACAAGGACAGTTTATATTCGATATTTCTTTTTCCGCCTCTTAGCCTTTTTGGAGTTTCTCATTTTCAAGTCTCGACGGACGGGACGGTAAGGTGGATTGGAAGGCGCTTTATTGCCATGAATCAAGCGGTGACATTCCTCTCCGCGGTGGTATTGTCTTTTATCGATTCCTGTCAAACTTTTGAATACGCACTATCGTCCTACTGTATTGAGAGCATTCACTTGATTCACAAGAGTGTCCTCTATGGAGAAAATCGTTTGGCAACCAATCGTCAAACTGTTTGAATGTGTGTACTGTTGAATTAGTTTGTACAGTGCGAGGCGTTTCGGAGCATCATGTTATCAGTTGTGTTTTTCCCCCTATGACGAAATTGCCCCAGCTGTCCAACTCCAGCATGATGAATACCATCATCCACTGTAGATGATTTTAAACGTTTAAAAACAAAAGGATAGATCCCAATCACGTTATTTACAATGTCCGACTTTGGCACTTGCGAGAACCGTACGTAATCAACATATGCCCTTCATTGCAGCAACTTTGGGATTTCTACTTTTTTTTTTTTCTGTTGAGCGGCCTTGTCCAGGGATGGGTTGTGGGGTGTCAAAACAAAATGCGACGAGTTCACCTGCTGATCGGAAAGGCAAGGTAAAAAAAACGAAACTGGACTGGGATGAGCATAGACAAGAATAGGCTCCACGATGCCGTTCCTTTTGGGTCAATTTGCTGAGCACACAAGTCTAACCTACAATTCTCCATTGTTCAGCCGAACACCGGACAAATCGCATCCCCATCAAGCGACGTACGGCCCCTGCTATCCTCCATACCCGTTCCCTCCATCATTGCTCTAAACGAAGAAGGCCAGGCCCTTTCAAGCTCTGATCTTGTCTACCAAGGCGGTGATGAAGGCTCGAAATATACCCCAGGTGTAGAAGCCTCTTCTGACGTTCAATGGGTCATGCTTCCACCCGGCCAGTTACCGGAAGGCGTCAAGGAGGAAGATGTGAAAAAGAGATTTTGCAGTCAACCGGTTGATCCCGTGGGGGAACGAGAGCATGCAACTAGACCTGTGCTGAGGACGTGAGAGACCTGTGTACATTAGAAGCTGCTATACTTGTAGTTGACCAAGGCGGGCATGGTACCGTCCATCGGCGATGTGTGGCCCACATATTAATTCGAGCATCTTATGCCAGCGCCGAGGATGTTTCGACCCAGGAGGCACAAACAGGCACGCCGACCACGCTCAAATCACCTATACGAGGATTCTACTGGGCGAGAGATAATAGTGCATATGGTTTTGCCATCATTGAGGGCATTACCCGTGATTGTAAAAAACACTCTTTTGTATCGGCTGCTTCGCGCGCTCTTTTGGCTTTTTCTTTCCGGGAATCCTCACCCACTCTAGACTGTCACTAAACATTCCAACAAAGAGGATGCTACACCTACGATCTGCAACGATAGGGTTTGCGTATGGAATTAGATTACGCTGCAGCAAAGTGTTCCATCATTGGGATGCTTTCCTTGTTAACAAACTTCCATTTTGCACCGGATCCCTTCAGTTAGCAAAGCTCAAGACAATGCTCTCCAACGGGCTGCGCCTCTTCGCCCTCCTCGTTTACCACCCAAACCACGATCGCGCGGCCACCCACACCATCAGACAGAAAGCTTAAATTAACGAGAATTATTTTAAACTTTTTGTTAAAATTACTTGGCCCAAAAGCAACAAAGCGGATGCGGATGTGCGATTTTCTTTTGTCAGAGTATCGGAGTCCCGGAGGTCGGACGTTGGGCGCTGCCAGAGGGGACGCGTCCAGCCGCCTGTGACACCCATCTGTTATAAAGTACGTCTGGTAGAGCATTCGGCCTCGATCCCCATACAGTACTTTGCATTTTCCACCGTACAGAATTATGGCAGCAATCACACGCCGGGTCTGGTTTGTCCCAAATGCCGGTGCACTCTCCAACCTCGTCATAAAGGAGGAACAGCTACCACCCCCCGCCGCAGACGAAGTCCGGGTCAAGGTTCACTCCATTGGACTAAACTTTGCAGATGTCTTCTCAGTCCTTGGGTTATATGAAGCGGCGCCGAAAACCAATCTTGTCCCGGGGCTTGAGTTTGCTGGTGTTGTGGAAACGCCTGGAGGGGGTATGTTTTCATGCCATGTCTCACCAGTTGGTTGAAACTAATGGCGGTTGCGATATTATAGGATTCAAAGTAGGCGACCGCGTGCTTGGAACTGTGCGATTCGGTAAGTCCTTTCATACTTGACATGACCTTCCTGTAACGCATGCGTATTCTGAATTCTATTCTACAGGAGCGTATGCAAGCCATCTGAACGTGAACCCACTGTATCTCCGGCATAGCCCCAATGGCTGGTCCTTTGAGGAAGCGGCTTCCTTCCTCATCCAATCCCTCACAGCAATCTACGCCATCCGTGAGCTCGCCGCCCTTAAACCTGGATCTACAGTTCTTGTACAAAGCGCGGCCGGAGGTGTCGGCTTACAGGCGCTGAGGATCTTGGAGGCGATGCCCAATGTATCCGTATTGGGTGTGGTCGGAAGCCCAAGTAAACTCAAATTTCTGAATGACACCTTCCCTCCGGCAAAAAACAATGAGGATCCAAACGCCAAAAGAAAGAATTGGCGATTCATCTCTCGTGCTGAGACAGGATCCGAGTTTGCAGCCCAAATGTCGGATTACATCTCGTCTCACCCAACCCTTACCGGATTTGATCTCATTCTCGACTCTGTAGCCGGCCCTTACTTCCATCCAATGTACGCTGCCATGAATCCTGCTGGTCGCCATGTTATTTTTGGCGCTGCATCTTTGGCTCCTGCAACTCTGGATCTTACCCCTCGCCTTTCTTTCCTCTCACCTGTCAACCTATTCCGTGCCATTAAGCTGGGTTACAAATACTCTATGCGTCCCCGCGTCGACCCGATGAAACTCATGGGAGACAACAAAGCTGTCATGGGATTCAATCTGATCTGGTTGTATGATAAAGCAGAGCTATTAAGCGGACTGTACGGAGAGTTGGAAAGGTTGAACTTGAAACCCCCACACGTTGGACACCGATTTGATTTTGAGGAGATGCCAGGTAAGAATTTCTATTTGCTGTTAAATGCAATGCATCCCGACACTAAGTCCATTCTTTTTGCGTAAAGCGGCCCTTGCCCTCTTCCAAAGCGGTTCAACAGTAGGCAAAGTTGTCATTAACGTTAAACACGACAATTGAATTTAGCCTAGTATAGCACGTTGATAGTCGACTAGTCGCCACGCTAGCCAGAGTTTCTTTCCTTCCCTTCTTCGATCATTTCTCCGTTTTTGCAGGAAACTTCGTCTAGCAACGCTCTTTAGTGAGCCTCATTTAGTTACATAATATACATATATTTTAGCTAGGAAGCCAATGTTGGTCTTACTTGTTGGCACTTTTGCACTTGATCTGTAGATGGAAGCAGGGATCATTGTGAAACGGCTTTTCTGATTGCCATAGCCGACACAACGAACGCTCCTAACTCAAATCGTTTTCAGGCTGGTGAAGAATTGCATCCTCCGTGAACAGAGACTTTGACGCTGTTATTTCGTCTAGCACCCTCTTCAATTCTTTAAACAGCAGCAGCTTATCCTCTTTGCTATAAGCACTAACTCTTCCTGACGTTGACGGCACCACAAACAAGGCGGTAGCTCCCACTTTTTCAGCCTGCAGTCCAAGTTCAAATTTCTTTTTCCCAGAAAATGCCTCATAAACCCCTTTCCCAACAAAACAGCACACTTTTGGGCGAAAAGTCGTGATCTTTGCATAAAGTGGATCAGCTCCTGCAGACATTTCCTTCATAGAAAGATCACTGGAGCCTCGAGTAGGGCGGGACACGATATTCGTGAACCCAATAGAAAAGTCTGCAGGGCACCGGGCGTCGTCTTTGTAGGTGACGACTGTTGACCCAACAAGTCCAGATTCCGATAGACATGTCCAAAAATGGTTGTTACTTCCTGCATAGTGGTGGCCTCTTGTAGATGATTGTATACCAGGGTTGAAACCGCAAAACACAACGTCGAGATCCTTTTCCAAGTAGTCGGGAACCTCTTTTAATGGTGTTATCGTTTGGGCAGCACGTATGCGCTTTGAAGAGGTATCGAGAACGGTTGCGGAGCGCTTGGTGCGTCGTTTGGTGGCATCCGACGTGACCTTGTCAAGAATGCGTGCACTGCCAGAGGACGCTTTGTACTGTTCATCCACTTGCACATTTGCGCCCACTGGAAGTTTTAACCGACTTGCTCTTGCTGCTGGTCCCGTATAAGCAAAGCCCGCAATCAAGCCCTTAAATCCAGGCTCCGAATGTATGGTCTTGTTGTTGTTGTTGTCATCCTCTGTGTTCATGCTCATGTCAAAACAGACTGAAAAAGATCAAACACCTGGAAATTGAAGTGCATCCGCTGAGGATCGAACCTGCGTCCTAATTGGCCTGCACGTCTCCCCAATTGCATACGATAAACGACTCGATCCGCAAAGTCTTTCGTGTGATATGCCAAAGTACAAAACCGGAACAATGTTCGCTCCCATCATTGTTGTTGAATTGCATCAAGTCGAGCATTGCTACCTTCTTAGCACAGTACCTAACGTGTTCAAATGCTTGGCCTCCTACGTCTGCCCGATGCCTGCGTATGGGCATTATGCAAGCGCACAGCTCGCATGTACCCGGAAGGCACAGTCATGAGCAGCTTGCGCCACATCGGGCCATGCGAGTACCTCCCTGGTTACGGGCACCGAACTGGTAGAAATGTTTTTTCGTTTGCTGTGAGCATGGAGCTGGAGACAGGTTATGCAAACCAGCATTATGCCATGGCAAACCAATACTATCGTAATGCTAGTGCTAGACAGGACTTTAGGTTCTCGCGAGGATGATCCTGTAGCGAGACGCTCCACTGAGGTTCAGTTCGCAAGATCAGGAGGATAGCCCGCCTCCGAGTCCCACATGGTCTGTACTCGCAATTATTGACACGCGTAGAAACCATCACGTTCAGTTGAACTTGCAAAAAGGCATGGTGCCATTTCGGGCTCTCGCCAGTAAACGCCATGCGGGAAACCAATAAACAGAACTGGCAAACGGACAACAAAAAGGAGGAAGCACGCGCGCAACAAGAAGCAGCAATCAAGAAGAAAACAAAAAAAAACGTAGAATGATATAATCCTCAGCCAATCAGACGGCATCCAATCCCCGCCATCTCATCGAAATCTCCAAATGGATGGGCGGCTGCAAACGCGGTCTGCACAAAATAATGTTTTTATTTTTTGGTTTTCCATCATCGTCCACCCGCAACCCCCCCCCCCCCCCCCCCGGCGCGTTTTACACTGTTAGAGTGGTAACCTGTGAGGGCCTCATCACATGCTTTTAGACTGTTAAACCTTAAAGCCTCCCCCCGTCCATGAAAAGATGGCTCAGAGTACCTTCCCAGTTACTGGCGTTGTACACCCCTTTTATTTTGCCTCGTATTCGTTTTCCACTTTGCATCCTAGAAAGAGCCTGGAATCGCTCCTTTTTTTTCTTTCTCTTGTTGATGACCTTGTTCTATGCTTTTGTTTTCTCGGCTTGTTGATAAATTCGTCCAGCCCTTCTGTCTCTCCCGTCCCCTCTTTCTCTATTCACCTTGCTTTGTTCGACTGCCTTTTGTTGCAAAGAGAGAGTTTAGCACTCTGTCATGGACAACATCGAAGCAGGCCCTAGGGATACCAGCATGGCAGCATTGCACCAGCGTTCGCGAAACTCGGTGGTAACCGCCGTAGATGATGGCAAGCTACAGATTCTTGATGTGAATCCAGCGCAAGATACCTCCGGCTACGGTGGTCAACGTACCTCTGGGACTCCTGAACGTGGGCATTTTACATTGTAAGCATTGCGAGTGGCGTTTACCCGCAGAAATGTTTTGCTTACCTTTCTACTGTCTTGAATAGCCGAGCTTCCATTATTGGTTCACTCCTCGGATGCTTCGTAGCGGCTTCCAACTTTTACCTTGGCCTCAAAGCGGGGTGGACGTTCGGAGCCCAGCTCTTTTCGGCCATTTTCAGTTTTGGTATTCTCAAGACGTTGTCCCGCGTTTGGGGTCCTTTCTTTGGCCCTGAAGAGAATTGTACGGCCCAGACGGCAGCGTCTACCACGGGAGGGTTGTCTGTTGGGTTTATTACTGGTATACCCGCGCTCTATCGGCTTGGTCTCATGTCCGAGGATGTGATGGACGATCTAGGCAAGTTGATCATGTGGACTATCGGTAAGTGGCCAGTTGTTATATACCCTAGTTATGGCTGGTTCTAAGTATCGTACAGCCGCTGCCTTCTATGGTTTATTCTTTGCTGTGCCCCTCCGTAAGCACTTTGTTATCAACCACGACTTTCCCTTTCCGACGCCGCGTGCAACTGCTGTTACCATCTTGACGTTGCATGGCAGCGTCGGTAAGCAAAAGGAAGCAATCCAGACTGTCAAGGTCATGATCGCGACCTTTGGTAAGCTGATTATGAGATAGTTCAAGTGTTTTTACGCCCTTGTTAATATACATCTCTTTCACAAATAGCCGGCGCATTTGCGCAGACACTGTTGAGTTACTGGATCTACTTCCTTGACAAGATTCATGTGAGTATGGCATTTTTGGCTCTTGCCACAGAGAGAGGGACGGAGCATAATAGTAATCTTCTCCTTCAGCTTCTCTTCTGGATCGGTCGTGCAGCTGGCAACATTGGACTCCAGAATGCGGATATCGTCTGGGGATGGCATATCGTTCCCAATTTTGCCTTCTATGGTGCCGGTTTGATCACACCCCCTGCGACGCTCTTGTCTTTCCTTGCCGGCTCTGTAATTGCCTTTGGCATTGGCGGCCCCGTGATGTTAAGTGATGGGTGAGTTGAACGAATCTGATATATCAAGAACAAAAGGAGAGGCCTGACGCATTCTTGCTTAAATATTATGTTATAGGTACCTATCGGCGGCTTTGGGATGGGGTAAAAAAGGGAACGGCTCAGCTCAATCTTGGTGGTTCTGGCCCGGTATTTCTCTTATGCTCTTCTCTGCCTTTACGGAGCTTGCGGTCAATTACAAGACCATCATCAGCGGCACAAGGGAGGCCCTGGGCAAGCTAGTTTCGGTTGTATCCGAGAAAATAAACTCACGGCGTAAACCCGACAATATCCATTCAGAGCAGCAGCTGATGAAAGGCGAGCAAAGCGATGCGTCAGGGGCCTATGGCAAAGATCCCGTACCTCTCGCACATCAGGTCCCAACTTTGTGGTGGACTGGCGGGCTGTTGGTCTCCAGTTTCTGGACATGTATGTAGTTGCCACACATTTATTTCATTACCGCTTTGAGGAGACTAACCTACCGCATGCAAGGTTTCACCATGGCATACTTTTTCAAGATTCCCGTTTATCAATCCATTCTTTCGATTATCTTTGCCTTTTTCCTCGCGCTAATCGGAGTGCAGGCCGCTGCTGAGACCGACATCAACCCAATTAGTACTTTGGCAAAGGTCGTTCAATTGGCGTTCTTCAAGTTTCCTGCCGACTCTTTACAAAGTCTGCAACGAAACAATATCCTGTCGGCGGCAGTAACGTCTGCCGCGGCGAATCAGGCCGCTGATATGGTTGGCGATCTCAAAGTGAGTTCAGAGAGTATCATGACAACTGGCATTCAAACAAGATGCTAATTTCGACCTTCAATTCAGACAGGACACATTGTTGGGGCATCTCCTCGTTCGCAATTCCTCGCGCAACTCATTGGCAGCGCAGTGGCGATTCCAGTCAATCTACTGCTTTTCATTGTTTTTGCGAAAGCTTATCCCTGCATTGTCAAACCTATGGACACTTGTGATTTCGGGTAGGGTGCCCATGCGGCCTTTCAACTCTGCAATGCCAACCACTCATTGACTCTTTTGGGCAGGCTCTCGCCTGTTCTTGGCTGGGAAAACTTTACGAAACTGTTGACAACGAGTGCCAACCTGCCTATGGCTTCCTGGGTTACCGCTCTTGTATGCGGCTTTGTCGCCATTCTGTTCACGATCATGAAACACCAGTACATTCCACAGAAGCATCATGACTCTCTTCCCAACCTGGGTGCTATTGGGTTGGGATTCATCGTTCCCCAGCCTTCCACACCTCTTGCAATGTGTATGGCCATGGTCGGTGGTATGATTTGGAAAAAGTTATCTCCAAGCAGTGAACACAAGTTTAGAATGGCAGTTGCCAGCGGTGGCATTGCTGGTGTCGGCATTGCTGGTATGTCATCATCATGGCTGACTGCTAAAGATTTCTTGCTCATCCATCTCGTAGCCGTCCTTAGAGCCGTTCTCAAGCTATCGGACGTTCCGGATAAGGTTGTCGACTGGAACTGTCCTGTCAGTGTTGACGGCGTTGTCAAATGCTTATAGTCAATGTAGTTTTGCCGAGTTTGCTGTAACATTTTTCTTGGATTTTTCGTTCCGTTCCATTGCTCGTCGTTGTAGGAACGACATTACGCATGACAAAAGTAGAGGCCTCCACTTTCTGATCTGAGAAAACATGTCCAATGTGCTGCTTGTCCCTTTTGCAAAGTGGCAAGGACAAAGGCACAGCGGAGGAGACCAACTGTTGTGCAATGTCAAATGTGTATGGGGCTTGCCCACAGGCCCTGGAATTCACGAGCTCAATCTGTCAGCTGCTCTTACCGCTTCCCGCCGTTCACATGGGTCCGTAGTCAGCGCTCAATGCACAAGTAAGACCATAACCTTGCTATATACGCTACCCCCACCACGCCTATTCTTCATCGTTGTCCTCTTGTGCCTTCTGTCTGGAAACGCCTTCCCTCCACACGAACTCAACGGGTAAGCACATGTGACTGTGCCGCCACAATCTGATCTTTATTTGAACCAGACGCTTTTGCACACATTGGGTGTTCCGATCACAACAGCCTTCCAACTTCAGCCGTCAAGGGAAACCCTAACTTTAAACCCTCATCGTTAGTTTAAACCTAAAGTCCTAAAGTCCAACGACGGTTGTATTTTGTGTTTGGGGGCAGCTGAAGAAGAAGATCTTTCCAAAAATAAACACATTCAGACGAATGGAGAAAAATTGCGGGATGTTATTTTCTAGCCGCTGTTTGGATGACCTTTTAGGTGTTCAGCCGACCACCGCGGCAAATGGAGAGAGCAACGTGACTGCAAGATCCAAAAGCGGCCCAATTCGTCCTTGGCAAAACGCAGAAGTGAAATAATGTAAAAAAAAAAAGCTAAAAATAAACCAATGCATATGCCAAAAACCGTACATCACCTAGTGTACGTCAAACATGAAATTTAGCCTCTAGTGCAATAGTTCATTTGCTTGCAAAGGTCGGTTCTTTCTCCCTCCCGAACGGCGCCTTGACATCGGAACCCACAACATGGAATCTGTACACTTTATGCCACTGGTGAACACGGCTATTTAAAAAGCGACTGACTGTCCAGCTTGCCTTCCCTTCTTCTCTAATTGCATCCAATCCCCAAATTGATACTTTCACCCACATTTTACAACATGGCTGTTTCCATCAACGACTACGCGTACGTTTGGGTTGTGCTGTAGCAGCTGTTTGATTAAATATTGAATCTTGAGTGTTCTTTTTTGCTTGCGCTTTGCAGTGGCTTCTGGACCTTGGACTCTTCTCGCACGTAGGCATACCCCCGCGATTGTTTTTAAAGCGTATTTAATTGATACTCATTTCTCTTCTCTCTCGTCACAGCGATGATTACCAAGATGTTCTCTCTGCCCAAGGCGTTTCTTGGGTCGTCCGCAAGGTCATCGCCAACATGACCATCACCTACGATATCACCGTCAGCAAAGACGAGAACGGAAACGACGTCATCACAGCTGTCAACCCCAAGGGAGCCAAGCAGGTTTGCATTCAAAATGTCTAGCAACACTCTTATAATTCTGATTCTAACCTTTACGACTGGGTTCTGACAGGTCTTTGTTCTCGATGGCGTGTCACGCCCAGATGAAGACAGTACCTACGGCTCTGTTGCGCACTCTGCCACCAAAGATGCCAACGGACAAGTCAACTTGACTACCGTGTCTGAGAAGAATAAGTGGAAGGTATGTTTCATTGTTTCTTTTGTGAATCAATTTTAAGGAATGGTACTAAGATCCTGTCACATTTTAGAACTCTGGAGTCTGGACGCTTGAGGAGAATGGCACCGTCATGGTCCGAACGCTCTCATTCGAGTCGCCAAAACTCACCAAAACCTTCAAGATGACGTTCAAGAAGAAGCAATAAATGTTATATACCCGTTCGGACGGAAGAGTTTGTTAATTATTTCAAGTAGACTTGTGGACAAGTGCTGTCCAGAAAGTTTGTTGCGAGGATATTTTACTCTGTTACTAGTGTCATGAAAACAATAAAGCATGTGTTGTGATCGTCAGCTGTTTCCTGCAAAATATCTGCATGAAGCGACAGTTGCGGCCACAGTTGGAATTGAAACTTGCACGTCAGTCACGCGAGTGGCTATGCCGTCATTTGTCCATATTGGGAAGAATGACATGACGTCAGTTCCGCTGTCAGCATATCTTTATATTCTCGCCCTGGTCTTTCACCAGCTCTTGTCGTATTGCAACCCACCAACACTAAACTCGATGACAGATTCAAATACCGCTTCTGGGACACCCACTGGGACACCCACCGACGTACCACGTCCTCCCAACGATCCCTCACCTCCCGTTCGCACAAAAACCTACTTTAACCACCTCCTAACAGTCGCCAACAAGCTCGCCCCTTACCCCGTCCATAAATGCCATTTACACAACGTCCAACACTTTTTCGCATCCCCCCATCCAGACCCAGAGTCTACCCCAAAACATGTTCGAGAGAACCCTTTTGACCGTATCGTATATTGCATAAACCCCAGTGCAAAAAAAGCTCAAGAACGTGCCCGACTTCGGACTGTATTGGGCGCTTCCCTTTTAACACAAAAGTATAATGACAAGCCCGCCAATATTCGTATGCTGTTTTCAAAAACACCGCAAGGTGCAGCAGCACGAGCGACGACTCGGGCGATACATCGGAAAATGTACGGAAAAGGCTTCTTTGGATTCTTAAAGAAAAAGGAAAAGACATGGATTGAATCTGGCGATCAGTTTGTGAGCCTTATCGAGAAATTTGGAGGTGGGATAATGGATCGAGAGCCCAACACCACTGACAAGGAGAAAAACAAAAACTATGCGCCGCGGTCAGGTCCGGAATATACGTACACCCTCCTTCAAGATGGAACACTGCACTTTTCGCGAGCAGAGTCCCCCCTTTTGGATGTCGCATCAAAGCACTGCATTCATTCGTCTGTAGCAGAGGAGGTGGTGTATTCTGGAACGTTTAGATTAGAAGATCATGATGGGGAGAAGGTGCTGGTGATGGATAATGATTCCGGAACCTACGCACCGAGAACAGACCGAGGCGAGCTACAGCGATTAGAAGGACTTTTGCAATGGAATTTTAAAGGATTAAAAGTTGAAGCCAGAAAGTTTGTACCGCCAGGATTAGAATAGACAAACATGAAATATGATATAATGCTACAAACTACTCTCTTTACACAGCAAGATTTTACGACGTGGAATGCTCGGTACTACCCGCAGCAGCTATACTTGGACTACCGCCTTGGCTTCCTACCTGTTGCGATTGGGAATGAGAGTGAGGCGCAGAAGGATAGGAGGAATGAGGGTTTAAACTTGCTCCTGCACCACTTAAAATGTCAAACCCTCTTGGTCCTAAAAATCCTGGGGAGCTGCCGTGCGGATAGGATTGCACACGATGTTGTGGTAAATGGTGGGGCTGCCGCATAAAATCATCAGCGGGATTCCGTGCGAGGACACTACCCGGAGTGGCACCAGCAGCAGCAGCAAGACCTGCTAGCGGATCATGTCTGTACCCTCTGTCAGCTAATCCCGGCATATGATGGAGCTGATGATGGGCTCCATTCGCATTCAAGTCTCGCTGCCCATGATTCGCCGCTTGCTGGGATGCCAGCATGAGAAGATCAAATCCACTGTTGCGCTGTGCTTGCTGATTGGGTTCAGATATTGGGCGTGGGAGCGGCAAATGTGTTCCCGGATAAGGAAGATGCGCTGCGTACGGTACGGTTGAAGACTCATGGTGAGAAAGATGCCTAATAGGATCCAGCGGAAGGTTCGGGTACGCCCCAAGTGCGGCCTGTGGAGCATGTGACGTATGGGCACGTTCGCCTGCTACATGCTGCCGTTGGTAGTCGCTTGGGTGCATTATATGGGCTGCCCGTTGTGGTCCAGATGAAACCATGTTCAAAAATGGAGGGGTGTTGGTCGAAATCGGGGCCGATGGGGCGGCGTGTCCTGCAAAGGACTGGCCTCTACCATCTGCATGCATTGTTTGCTCAGTAGTGCGGCTCGTCTGGGGAACTCCCTCACCCCCGAGTTCATCCCCTTCGGCCCGCCCTTCCTCATCCTCGCCATCACCAACACTCTCATCACCCTCTCCCTTGAAATCAGTCCTTCTTCTGCGCCTCTTTCGGCCGTCTTCAGGGGGAACCCACTCTTCGTTCACTTTGTAAACACCATTTCCTTCTTTAATCAGCCGTCCTCGATCCACCGCCTTCTTGAGCGCTTGGGAGGCAGACGGGCGGAAATGCTCAGGGAGTTCAGGAATATTTTCTTGCATCCAATGGAAGATAATTCGTGGTTTGGACCCGTGAGGATCTTTTAGTTCGCTGATGGCCAATGCAATCATATCTTCATAGCTTCCTAACGAACTGGACATTCGGCTTCTTTGCCTGCCTCCCACCGTTCCGGGAGTGGATACGCCGCCGAGTGTGGTAAATGAAGGGAACTCTGCTAAACTCGAACCTGGCGTATCGTCTACCTCGCCACTGACGCGACGTGAGCTGGCTGCGGAATAATCATTGCCCTCTTGTTGCTGCACAACGACAATCGGGGCGGGAATTGTCCGTGGGCGTGCTGAGAACGCCAACAAATCACGTGCCTCCAAAAGCGTTGGTCGAGGCGTAACAAGATCGGCAATCTCAGAGTGTCGAACTGCAGCTTGGAATAGGGTGACCGCAAGCGTTTCATGCGGATGTTTCATCAGATAATGGTGCATCTACCATTTTAATTCATGTTGAGGGCGACTTTTAGCAAGAAATAATCAAATACCATGCTTACCTCGCTAAATCGGGTGTGACAAGAAGTGCACATCTTGCCGAGTAACACCTTCTGAACATCTTCCGGAACCTGTGGTGGGCATGGTCGTCGTGGATCAGCAGCAGCACCAAACCCGTTTGTGTCTTGACGAAAAGGCCCTCCTCTGTCGGTGCTCTGTGAGACATCCGTTTCTTCGATGGGTGGCGGATGACCTGCTTCCGGGTCTTCTCTTCCCATATCATGTTTCATCTCATTCTTCAACTCATTAACGTCGGCTACTGCGCTTCTTCGGTCCATGACTTTGGAGCAAACCAAACATCTATCTTCTTCATCTTGCACCGAAGCCATGATTAACCCTGGTCCATGTAAATGCGGAGCATCAACTGCTTTTCTTGGCTTACTGGGCCGTCCGACGCGTCGCTTAGTCTCGAGAGTAGGCATAAGAGGTTGCCCATTTGCCAATGTCATATTGCCGAACGGAATAGGTTCTGAAGCAATCTTGATGGCTTTTTCAGTTCCTTCGCAACTATGACAAAACCAATGCGCCGAGACATCTTCCGCCATCGTGTCCGGAACCGCAGGAGAATGGCAAAGTTGGTGATACGGGGTATCACATGCATCGCAGAGAACAATGCGGTTATGGAATGGTGAATCCCCCCCTGCACATATACTACAAAAGATGCCTCCTTCTGGCACAATCGACGTGATGGGGACCATTTCCATTGGTGAACCGAGTGGAGGCGTTGGGGTGGCAGAAGGAGGAATGCTGTAAGCCCCGCGTCCGCGACCTCGACCTCGGCCCCTCCCACGGGGTCTACCCCTTCCACGTCCACGCACCACCACTCCATTCTCGTCCGGCATCTGCGCGGCTGTGCGTCTTGGTTTGTCTGACGCAGCATTTTGTTCAGCATATATAAGAGCACCCAGATCAGCAATAGTAACCTACATATTGTCGGTTTCATATTCGCCTCAAATATTCTTGGTCTAACCACTTTCCTTCCACTTCGCGATATTCCTACAACAGGATCACTGTTTTCCTCTTCAGAAAATGACTCGTCGTCGTCTGATTCAGATTTTCGACGCCGTTTGACAACTTTTCCGGAACCTGGAGATGGTATACTGATGCGCTCAGGCTCCTCTTCGTACTGGTTATCCGAGTCATGATCGCTTGGCTCATAGTCGTCAGAAATCTACGGGCAAACATATTGTCATGACCGATGGCAGCAATGATATTTGGGCTGGCGATGTACCTCTTCGCCTGCCTCACTCCCATTCTCAGCTATCGATCGCTTCCTTTTGGATCTAGAACCTTTACAGATTTTGGGTGTCAGAAAATATTGAAATACTGTAAGGATGGAGGAGCGTAATGCACGGAAGGTACCTTCTGTTCCTCCAGGCGACGTGGCCCGTGACACATCAGCCGACGAAGTTGTTAAGGAATCCCCTGCCAGAGGTCCCAAGCGTGATTGCTGTCGCTGAGGTGACGTTGGATCGTCCTCCATCTCAAAATCGCCATCATCCTCGTCATTCTATTAGATTACTTCAGATCACATTCCCGGGAAATAAACAGCGTTTGGTGCCTACCCATTGGTCTCCGCTGCCATTTTCTCGTCTCTCATTAGTCTTTCCCCTCGAATCCTGCTGTGGTAAGAGGGCTGCGAGACGCTGTTGTGGTGTAGGCCCAGGTGCCATATCTTCAACATCAGAGATTTCTTGCATTTCCGTCTGGTGTGATGTCTCATGTTCTCCCAGGAATGTCCCAGGATTGTATGGTTGCTGTATTGACTCCATCCCGAAATATCGTCTTACGGGCTGGATTTCAGAGCATCAACACCTTGATGATCGGTTCGAGTGATCTTGCGAATACAAATATGCAGGCTTGAATTCAATCGTCACAATACGGAACACCCTTTGAATTTCCGGTGTCGTCAAATCACCCAAATATCCCCTAACACATAAGAAATAGACGTTTAAAACAAGACAGGAATGGTGACCTCGTCGTCCGCCCGATCGAAAAAAAAAGGTGAGATGGCCTAAAGCTTGTTGGTCAATAGTTCAACTATAACTGCGAAAGGGGTCTCAAAAGGTTTAGCAGCCTTTGATGGCACAGCATGGGCTGTGCCACTCTTCACGTGCCATTGTCCGAAAGTCAATCTGCACGCCGAAAAGCCAGGAAAACGAACGGCCCGTCGAGGAATCCATCTTGCGCCTATCGTTAACCTTTGCACGTAAGTCTCTCCATGCCAGTTTACACCATTTGCAGTCGTTGTTGTGTGCTAATATTGTGTTCTAACGTATCTTAAATGTGCAGAACAGTACATATAACTCAGCAGAAATGGCAGACCCAAACGTTGTGGCAAGACAGTTTGTTGATTACTACTACCAGACCTTTGACACAAACCGAGGGAATTTGACTGGTCTTTACGTGAGTGCCATATTGTCATTGTTTTCTAGGATATGTCGCTTATTGCAATGACAACCGTGTAGAGAGATATGTCCATGTTGACATTTGAGGGCCAACAATTCGCAGGAGCCAAGAACATTGTTGAGAAGCTTACCGTACGTAGGGGACATGGGAGCGGCTACGAAAGTTGATCCACTTTTAATGATTGCTTTTGATCATTAATAGGGCCTTCCATTCCAACGCGTCGTCCACAAAGTCTCGACTTGTGACGCACAACCTGGAGGTCCCCAACAAAGCATCTTGGTGACTGTCACTGGACAATTGCTTGTGAGTGTGTCCCCTAGTTTCTACTAATATTTCAACCAATTTCTAATTTTGATATCTCTAGATTGATGAGGAAACACAGCCACAGTTCTTTTCTCAAACATTCCACTTGTACCCTGAAGGGAACAGCTTCTTTGTGTACAACGGTATGTTGAACCGCATTCTAATTTATCGATACGAGAATGGTCTTCTAATGTGTCTTTGGCTGCAGATGTGTTCCGTCTCGTCTTGGGAATGTAAAAACGACCCAATACTGGACACAGATTCTAATATACATTCTACTGCCTGCTACTCGCGTACTTTGGCTATATTTGGCTGAATTGGAAAGAGGATGTGTATTTGACCCATTACAGATCCTGTGTTCACCGCGAATCGTCACGAAGTCTGGCATAGTTCAATGCCCACAGTTACCCACTTCATCTCTCATTTGTGATTTCTTACCTGCAATTATCTTGCCATGGGAACAAACGTGCATAATTGTCCGCACATTTGTTCTATCAGCTGTGGAGTGCGCTGTGTCCATCGGACAGTGTTCGAGATCGAAACCGTTAAAATTATTTCGAAAAGGTTGACACCCCCTTGCAGTTTGGACGAACCTTACTTGAACCATGTACCAGCATGCACTGTGATATCATGGTTTGACTAGTGCATGCTTAACTATGTCTCCAACCAAGGGTCTTATTTGTCATTGGTTTGATGCAAAGAACAAGGGGCAGATACCAAAGATCCTACCAGTTCCAATGCTGCGTCAGCGATCGACTCCACGTGACTCATCCGTCGTCGCTTGACAGGGACCTTTCCTCGCTGGCGACTGATCTCTCATTTGTTGATAAGACCAAGGAAATCTATCTCAAACTGCATTCTCTTAGCGGGTCTGGATGCCTTCCACTCTCGCGACACTCATGGGTTCTGGGTCTTGCATATGATGCTCCCGACTGCCGCGTGGTGCGATTCAAAGCAAAGCGCACTTTAGTGTCACTCCACTCTTGTGCTTCACCTTTACCTTAATATGTCGGCGTCTACACTTTAAAACATGCACGACGTGACGTTTTTAAAGAGGACACCACGATCAGTCCCAAAAACTGAGGTGTGGGTGGATATCGTCTCAACCAGGTCGACGCCCGGCCCATTTACTCCAGCCCGTACCAGTGCGAGAACACGAGCACATACCACAGTTCACACAAGCCGAACGAGACTATTTGGCAGTCATGCAAGAGGGAAACGCAAACTACTTGGAGCTGGCAACTGCTCGGAGCCTGAAACACCCGCATTCACATCCGAGGCTCTTCGTCTGTTCAAGATCGCCCAGAAGAAAGTCTCGTCGAACGTTAAAGAACAGTTTGACGTAGATGCTTATTCTCCTCGAAATGCAAGAACCCCTAGAAAACCTGCACAAGTGATCCACGAACCCCTCTTCGTACCTCCGAGCTCTCTAGATCACAACAAGCTACCTGGTGTGTGGCCGCAAACAAATATGGTTGCTTTGTGTGCTAATTGTCTTGCATCATAATTGCAGTATCATCTTCGCCTGACGCTATTCAATTTATATTGTTTTGCTACACCTTTGCTGATTTCTTGGGGTGGCGAAAGCTCGATATCCACGTAGGCCCTGAGGTTGTTATTAGCCGGAAATGGATGTTGAGTCCATTTACGTATGTCATCTATAGCTGCTTGAGGAAGAACTTGTCAAGGGTGACAGTCTGTACATAATCGAAATTATTATCAAGTTGTTGCGCAAAGTAGGACACTCTACGGATAATATAATGTAAGTAATAGAGAACATCCGTGTATACCGAGAAGGTCTTAATATGAATGACTTTAGGCTTTCAAACTGGGAAGAAACTCTTCGATTCCACACGTCAGTGCGACGGCAGAGTGATTTGTGGCCGCGGGATGTCACTTTCGCACTGCTTGACGTACCTGCACGGGTTAGTTTAATGTTTATTTTGACATTCAATTGCTAGCAAAGCGTTTATTTGTCGGTGTCCTAGCTTCGCCTTCTCCGAGAGTTGTGCGACTGGGTTTTGGAAAAGCAAAAGAAACACCTTGGAATGAGGCCGCACAGAATGGTAGGTGCTCGAGTTTCGGTTTATTTGTAAGGGGTAAGAGCATACTGATCATCTCTTTCGAGTAGCGTTTTCTACCTGTTGCGGTGGATGACGTAGCGATGCAGCAGAGGCGCTACGTATATTGGCATTTTGGAATTGGGGCATTAAATCAGCGGCTTTATTGCCAAGTGCTGAGTTGGCGACAGATTGGTGAAGCGTCGTCGCCACCAGAGGAGGGAGAGAACGAATCTTTAGACGTCCTGGAGCTGTCAAATCCCGGCGTCCTTCACGTGGTAAGGTCCATAAGGGTTTATAAAAGTCTCTTCCTTATCTCTTATGCTTCTCCACCGTGCAATGCAAGGTAGCCTCGACCCCCGAATCGTGGGCGATGTTTCTAAAGAAAGTGAAAGGTAGTCGGGTTCCTGCGCATAAACTTTTGCGAGCACAGTTCACCTCTCTCGCACGCCGAAAGGTATGGAACAATTCTTTCCCAAGCGCAAATGGTCTGCTAATGTCCTTATTTTTTGAAGGCCGCTGTAGAGGCGAGCAGCGAAGTGACGAACAAAGACGAAGAACACATCAGTGTGGATGGTTTAGCAGCGGTAAGGATTGCCGCTGATGGAACCGACGGCTTGGAAACTGCTCCTACTCTATATTGACAATCGTATGCGGTAGGAACTACTGCATGACCAAGAAATCATGGTGGAAAAGAAGCGAAAGGCTGAGGAAGGAGAGGAAGAACGAATTCGCAGATTAGAACGACTACGAGCAGCACGAGAAGCTGCACGGCAACCTACTCCAGAGAAGAAAGCGTCCACAGAGGCGTCACATAATGTAGAACGACGAAGGACGAGGTTGGCAAAGGTACGTTCCCATGCATATGCAAATCGACTGGTGCATGCCTTTAAGTGAAAAAACGACAAAAAGAGTGCCAAAGAAGCAGCGCCAGCACAACCGATTGTTTCTAAAACTACAGCGTGTGACGAGCAATTGCGAATACGAAAGACACTAGCTAGGAAGGTATGAATCGAAGTCGGAACCTCCGAATTGGCACTCCAAGGACCTTAATGCTTTCATGTCGTTTTAGCAATATGAGCTTTTCACTGACGTGGACAAACATACCAAGAGCGAAGAATATCGGAGTATGATCGCCGAAGGGACGCATATCCCACTGTGGCACATTTTGACAAACATACTGTGTGACCTATCCATTTGGGATGTTTCACTCAAGCCACGGCTTTGGGTGCGGAATCTCTATGGTCTGCAGTACGATCCAGATCTAGAAAAACGAGGTATGCGAGATATCTTTGCAAACACTTGGCGCGCACACCATAATCTTTTTGTTCTGTTATGGTAGAAATGGACTTTATCGTCAAAAATGCGTGCAAACATCTCGTAGATGGGTTGAAACGACATCCATCTCACGAACCATTCTTCGAACCGATAGACCCTGCTCAAGTGCCTGGTTACGACGAGGTTATCCGATACCCCATGGATCTCAAAACGGTACGCCTTTTGCCTTTGCTATGCAGAGAATGATTGAATTTGCCGGAAAGTGTGATTAATGTGCTCGTGACAGGTTTATGTCAAGGTCATGGTGGACGAGTATCGGGCCTTTTCTGAATTCGTGGCCGACATACTTACCATATTCCGCAATTGTCGAATTTTCAATGAATCAACTTCTCCTATCGTGTACGAATGCTTGCAACTGGAGCTACGCTATGTGGAATTGTGCTGTTGTTTGGGAATGGTCATCGGCCATTCAGGTGAAGGGCTGGACTGGGATGATCCATTCCTGTTGTTTGAGAGAAATCGGCAGGCGAAGACGCCCTTTCCAAAAGGAAAGCGACCCAGGAAGCCAAAGAATGTGAAGACGGATGCATCATATACCTCATCACACGATGCTGAAGCGCCTGCACCGGCCAAACGTGGGCGCAAGAAAAAGAAGTTGGATGTACCTAAGGCTCCAAATGGATTCGCGATCGACCCTCTGTTCGGGATGGGGATAGAGATGCCACATTTCGACATTGGGGATAATTTTTTGCTTCTTAATCAAGGTATCCTGGGGTCCGCCCCAGGCCTAGGTTCGTACGAAAATATGTTGCCCAACGCACCTCCTGGTATACACGAAACCGTGTCTACGATGAGTGGAGTTTCACCAAGCTTTGCCGCAGTCACTGCTTTTGAGGGCTATGAACTCACGAGCTCCGTTGAACCAACAGCCATTCCTGTGTGGACCGACGTACCAAGCGAGATTGGTCCCGCCTGTTCAGCAACTCAGATTCCAATATACCCTAATTTTGGGGCCATGCTTGAGGATACGGGGGCCACTACACAGGAATTCGAAGTTCATGACACCCCGTTCGCGTTTGGGGATGTTTATCAGGTTAATGAAGGTAGGCAAGCCTCTGTCTGTCAGCGCTGGGAAGAGACATGATATTGACATGTTTCCAACAGCACTTGGGCTTAACATGACGTACGTAAATGCGATTTCGGATAAGGAGAGCGACAAGGAACCCTGCCTGGAGGAGAACATAACATCAAGCATGCGCATACAGGAAATACTATCAACATTCGACAATGATGTACAAGTGCCCAATGCTGATGGTCTTGCCATGAGACCTGGAAGTCCGATGCCGGAGAAGATCGTTGATAAAGAGCCTGGCGTGGATGAGAGCGCAACAACATCATCCAATAGCATACAAGAAATTCCATCGACATACGGTGAAGATATAGGAGATTCAACTGCTCTTGGGCTTACAATAGGACAAGAAAACGCGATCCCAGAGAAGAAGGAGGCCTACAACCCACCTGTTATGGATGACAGCGCACAGTCGGGGATACAAGAAATGGCATCAACAATCATGGAAGATGTACACATTTCAGAAGGCCTTGGCTTAACGGTAGCGCAAGGAAGCGCGATCGCAGAAAAGGAGATTGATCAAGAACTTGTTATGGACGAGAGCACAAAATCGGGCACTAGCATACAAGAAATGCCATCAACAATCGTGGACGATGTGCACGACGTGCAGGCTTCAGAAACTCTTGGCCTAATTTCTTGCGCCGTCACCGAAAACGAGAGCGATCAAGAACTTGTTATGGACGAGAGCACAAAATCGGGCACTAGCATACCAGAAATGCCATCAACAATCGTGGACGATGTGCACGCTCCAGAAGCTCTTGACCCAACGATGGCACAAGGAAGCGCGATGCCAGAGAACGAGACCAATCAAGAACCTGACCAGGATGAAGATGGAGAGGAAGCAAATTCTGGCACTCGGATGGACATCCCACTGGAAATGTCATCTATATCGGATGAAGTCAGACATCCTGACGGTCTGCAAGGTAATGCATCCAATGATGGAAAAAGCAGCTGGACTGCGACCTGTTCATCCGTTATGGATGTTGCATCTTTAGTTCTTGTGGAAACTGCAGAGGTGGATGATCAAGTTGGTGTGGGCCGAAGAAGGAGTCTCGAGAATGCTGGGTTGAGAGTAGACCGATAAAGATGAGCACTTGGCATTTTTTATAATAAGGAGAGGCCGTCAGTTACTGAGTTGCTTATATTGGGTGCCGTTTTGAAGAATCTTTCTTCGTCTTTCTAAAATTCATTTGTAGTAAATTTCCTGATACGGGAGTAGGGATATGCCCTATCGCTCCCAATAGTATGTGTTTACCAAAAGTATATAAAAATACGGCTGAGGATAGAGGGAAAAAAAATAAACCGTGGCTACGTATCAGCACCCCCGGCGGGACTCGAACCCGCAATCTTTGGATTAGAAGTCCAACGTGATCTCCATTACACTACGGGGGTGGTCGAAATATTAGCTGACCATGTATCTTATAAAGATATCCTGACTCACTTGATTTGCCATAAATGTTTTAATGCACGTTGCTCGAACTATAATGTATTTAGGTAGTAGACATCCTGCTTTCACTGAAGCATATTTCAGCTTACTACAGCTACCTGCAAATTCTTCAAAATTCTTCAAACATTAAAATACGTGATGGTAATACCCGATTCCCTCAATATCCACCATTGACTTTGTAGTACGACATGGAGGTGTCAACTAGATGACCAAAGTCAATCCTCTCCACACACAAAAGATCCTGCAGATGTCCGACCCAATGCTAGATTTGCATATGGATGTGTCGTACTTGGCAGAGTAAGATTCATCGTTGGATTGTGCCGGTTGAAGTTACATGAGGAATCACTTTTTGTTGCACATGCTTCCTCAGAGTACGTCCACGTCGTGCTTGTCACCTCACGGCCATGCCGCCCGTAGTTTGTACCAGATTTGCAGTCATTTCAGATATATTCTGGTAGTTTGGGCACAGATTTCGAAAAGAAATCTTGCCATTCGACAAGGATGTGAAGTAAACAAAGACCAAGAGGAGCTGAAGTGCACCCGGGCGTTTCCTCCCCTTTTTCATGTTTTCTCTACATCTGAACGCTTTTCACCTGTATCATCCGAGGCAAATGAGCCATTTACAAGGAACATCAAATCCATAAACCTCTTTTTGCCCAACCCTTTTCTGATCTTCGTCTGCGTTCAGCCCGCAAGGCCGTGCAAAGGAAAAATTGTGGCACAAAACCTTCGTGATTTCGTAAGCAGGGCTATCACATGGGCTAAGCACGAGCACCCCGCCGATCAACCCCCCTGTCGGTTTTCGTTTATACCGGGCGTACTTTAACCACCGCCGATAGTGGCGATCTCTTTCCAGCCGAGCTTTTCCTCTAGTATTCACAGTGTAGGCCCATGCTTTCCCGGCTCAAGCATGACTTCGGCCCTGTCTCGAAATCCGGAACGAGATCGCCCCACGTCCTTATTGACCAACCTGCTTAGACCTGTCAAAATCTCTAGAAAGAAGGACAGGCCCCCACTTCCACTTTTCTTTCCCTCTGGTTCGGGTGAGGATGTCCGAAAAAGCAATGCGCCTGCTGTTACCCGACCGAGAGAGAATGTTGGGCCACCGACATTTTCTCCCTTTTCTCCCATGACATCCTCGAACGAGTATGATGAGCGTTCTCCGCTGTTACAAACGCAGTCAGCAAGTCAAGAGTCAACCTTATTGCGAAGGGTGACGACTTATGGAGGGTTGAATGACGACTACGACCGGCTCTGCTCGTCTGCCGTACCCCTGGGTCCGAGTTTGATGCCATCGACTCCTGCAAGACTTTCACGCCCCCGATCTATCTCAGCCCCTGGCAATTGGTCTGCCCCGTTAACATCATTGCGCAGCGCAGATGGAAGCGACGAGGAGATAGTACCCGTTTTCCTGACGCATGCGATGGAGGGGCCAGTTGATTCTCGCCGATCGTTGGCGTTGTCTCGTTCGACGCGCTTGATGAGCGTCCCAAAACTATTGAATCGACGCCCAGTGAGTATCGCGGGTGATAGACGAAAGTCTACTATTGATTTGGAGGAATCTTGTGCTCCTCGCCTCCCCCCGTGTCAAATCGCAGAATCACCCACGTCATTGGAATCAGCTTTCATCACGGAGCTTTGTGGTGTTACACCTGATGCCGAAAGTATCTATGAATCAGAGTCAGAAGAGAGCGATACCTCCTCGTCAAAGGAGGAGCACCGAGGGGCAGATTGGTTGAATAGGAGCAGACCGCATGAGCTGGCGAGGGAACTACCGGGAGAGAGACCCTCGGCATCCGATGGCTCCGAACGCAATCCTTTTTTGGTTGAACAAGGTCCAGAAAACGAGGTCCGACAGCAGCTGTATATGGATTTTAGCGCACTGGAAGCGAATCATGCCGAGAGCTGTAGATCTGGTGTGCTGAATCCACTGGGTAGCACTGAACCATTCGCTGTGGGTGTCACTTTCTGTGGAAGGCTCGCTATCGTCGCATAGTGGTACTCATCCTTATCTCTTTTCAGGATCTCGTGTCCACAGAAGCACAATGTGTCTTTTACTCGTCGTCGGTAGGAGGTGTTCGAGCGCGTAGCTTTCAGGTAAGCGAGCAAAAGATGTACGACTTGGTCAAATCAGACCTTTGATCGATGGACTGTAGGATTTTGCAGGCGAGACGGGTCACTGGTTAAGAGATCGAGCGGCTGAAGGCACATTCTGGATAGACTTTCATAAACCCTCGGAGCATGATTTAGATCTTGCGTCCAAGGTATGCAGGATACATCCAGCCAGATTACGTTGCGAGCGGTTGTTCATGAACGTTGGTAGGTCTTTTCGATTCATCCCCTGACGATTGAAGATATCTGCAATGGTGACATTGAACGCGAAAAGTGCGAGGCGTACAGTAAGTTCGGGCATGTTTTTGCTGTCGTGGCTGGCGGCCTAACTCTGGTCGCTGCTATGATTCAAAAAGACGACTACCTTTCCATTACTGTTCGAAGCGTTGATCTCTACGATGAAGCTGGGACTGATATTGAAGCTGCCACGCTTTCGATCCTCGTTTACCCCGATTGCATATTGAGCTTTCATAGCGATCCTCTTCCTCATATTCCGGCTGTTATTCAACGGCTGACCAAAATCCATAACCTAACTGAACGCAAATTTAAGCAACATTCGACAAAGTTCTTTCACTCTGCATGGATATGTTATTTGGTATGATGTGCAAGTTGTATTTGACTATTCGTTTGGGGCTTTTCTCACAAAGGAATACGCGGGTGACAGCTTATCGATGAAATTCTCAACAGCATCGGTCCACTCACGCGCCACCTGGAACGTGAAGCAGATGACATTGAGAATCTCGTTCTCTACTCATGGAATGACGAAGGGAAGCTGGACCATGATACTGATATGTTGAGACGGATTCATGGAGCGCGGAAAAGGGCTATAGCGTTGATGAGATTGATGGGAGATAAACCGCGGGTTCTCAAAGGAGTGGCAAAAAAGGGGATGAAGTGGAAAGAAAAGCTGTTTGGCGATGAATTGGGGTTGTACTTTGAAAGTTTACAGGTAGGATGATGCTTTGGCTGTCACTATCGAAAACCTCTAAAACGTTCTCGCAAGGATCGCACACTTGCTATCCTGCAAGGCTTGCGACATTTCGATGATATGTTGACCAGGTAAGCGGCCTTGCGATGTTATGGTGTTACAATTCCACTCAAAGCTCATCTCCTGCGCAGATGCCACTCTGAGTATCTGGCTGAGATCAACATCTCGCTGACGGCTGCCTCTAAACGCACCAATGAACTTATGCGGAAAACCACCGCCGTCGTGACACTCCTGGTTCCTTTGGGAGTGTTAACAGGACTGATGGGGTAATATCTGCTAAAGATGTCCTGTTTAAACTTTTGCTCACACATTGTTCATCCCACGTTTTAGAATGAATGTCCGCATTCCGGGTCAAGGCCGCGAAGATTTGACGTTTTTCGGGATCTATGGATTCATCATGTGCGGTCTCCTAGGTTGGATGTATCGTCTTGCGATTAAATGGCACTGGTTTTCCGATACAGTTCCAGGAAATGAGGAGCAAGCCAACGATACGCGGGTCGAAGTGCGATGGGATGGGTATCAGGCACTATGACCCTCCCGATGGTGTCATATTTGGTGCAAATGCGGTGCATATGGGATGTAGGATAGGGCGTTCTGTAACTAATTGTAAATCTGGGGGTTTCGAGGGATTGTATATTTGCTGCAACGTAATTTATAGTACACTGTCACTTGAACAATCCAAGATACATCGAAAAGTAGTAGCTCAAGTCACAAAACGACAATCAAAAATGGGGGAGGAATTTTTCGTCAGCAAGCTTTTTAAATACAATAGATAAATTCTTTTATACAATGACATGACTACAACTATTTCTACATATGCACAAAAAAATGCTATGAAAAGGTATATACCTCCTCACCATTGTCTATGTTCTAAAAACCGAACCCAAAAAAAATATCTTCAAAAGAAGATCATGAAATACGGTACTACAAACCAGTTTCTAATTTTTATCATTAGGTTTTTTTCCCCAGTCACTTTGGGTACTTGTGTTTTGCATCTCAGCATGTATGTCATATGCAACCTTTCGTAAAGACTCTGCAAGACGATCATGAATTGATGGGGCATACTTGTTAAGGATATGTTCTATTCGCGCAATGTTTGGTTGAGAGGGTTGTGGGGTGGAGGGTGTCGCAGGTGGGAGGTGATCGGTGGAAGGATGTGGTGAGGTTGCGCTGGAATGCGACTGTGTTCGGTGTTGTTGTTGGAGACGATGGCATTCAGCTCTATGCGAAACGTTTTCCTCGTGCAGAGAGTTTATCTGACGACGGAGGGCGGCAACCTCGGATCGCAGACTATAATTCTCTTGTCGGAGCTTTGTGCAGGTTTCATGAAGGTCGCGGAGATATCTAACAGACTCGTCCAAGCGATCACCGCCTGGTGGTAGAGGCGACGGTGGCGGTTGTTGTTGTTGTTGTTGTTGTTGTTGGTAATAGATGGGCGGACCAGGGGCAGGGGGTGTGAACGGCGAGTGAGCTGGAGGAAGATAGATAGGTGGACCGTACGGGTTGGGAGGGACTTGGAGGATAGGGGATTGTGCGTGAGGGAGTGACATGGGTGATGCAATACGCTTGCGGTGGGATATGGACTGGGTTGGAAAAAATCAAAAGGAAATTTTAATATGTGTGTGTGTGTGTATGCAAAATGATCACCAAGTCAATGCTATATGTACCTCTTCCTCTTCTGAAAGCCCTCGCTTGGCTGGTATTTGAACAAATCTCTTGTGTTTCTCCATGTACGCCACCAAACCCAACAGCCGGTCTGCTTCGTCTTCGCTCACAGCTGGGTGGCCGTCGTCGTCTCGAGCCGTTCTTCTCGCCCGTAACCGCTCAATAAGCTCTTGTTGCTTTTTCGGACTCAGGTCATGAAAATCCGCTCTACACAGCGTCCCTTTTGTCTTTAGCCGAATCTGGACATACGGGTGGCCATCTATATGTGAAAACCAGGCAATGTCTGAAATATCTTGCACGTTATTTAGTTGGGGAGGCTTTAAGAGAGGGAGCTCTTCGAGTTCGGACAAGGTGGCAGGACTCTGCATTTTGTGTGTTCCTTGTTGGGGTGATTGCTGTCGCGATGGTTGTAATGGTTGCAGTGATGGTTGTTGTTGTTGTTGTGATTGAGACATGGCTGGTGGAGGGGCTTGTGGTTGTGGTTGTGGCGGAAGCGAGGGATGTGACAAGGACGCCGCGGCCATGGAAGGAGGAGGAGGAGGTGACATTCTTTGATTGTATTGGAGAGACGGATGGGGCGGAGGCAGCATCCTCGGGTGATGACTTTGTTGACGGTGGGGTGGAGGCTCACCTTTTCTGTTGTCATCCATGGCGATGGAAATTCCGTGTGTGTGTGTGTGCGTGTGCAATTAACACTACTTTATTTTAACCCCCTGATTGGTTTTTGGGAAAGCAAAATGATGCCACGTTGGGGCTGGGGAGGAAATTGTCGTGCCCTGTTAAAAAGGAAAAAGATGACGAACTGCCTTGTGCATTGCAAGCGTGAAAAGGGCAAAAGGAAAGAAAACGTAAAGGCGAAAGGGAATCCTAAAATTCAAACAAAAAAAAATAGAAAAAAGAAAACACACAACGTCCAAGAAAGCAACACCAAAAGGCAAACAAAAAGCAACACATCGGAAGGTCCGGTCGTTGAAAAATCCCGTCTTCAAGCGCCAAGCAACCAAACCTTTGCATCGACGTTCCAGCAATCTGGTTCGGAAAGAGTTTTTCACTTTAATTTAAAGTACGTTTCACAAAATGTTTTCCACCTTCCTTAAAAGGAAACTATCGATGTTAAAATTACCCAAAAAGATTTTTTTTTCGGCATCGGAACCAAAGCGGCCCGTTTCCATCGTTTCAAAGCCATGGTTAAAAAGTTGTTTGTTTACATAAGTCAAATGTAGATGGGGATGGGGTGTGCTATATTGGATATTCCAGAACCGGAGCTTCCGGACAGAGCAGAAAAGGAGCAAGAGCCGCAAGAAAGAGGCAAGGAAACCACAATCGAGCACAAGTCTCAAAAATATGTCGTTTGAAAACAGATTATTGCATGGATGTATTTTATCTTGCTTTCTATTTCATGGTTCAGAGCTTTTCCTTTGCTGTTAGAGATGAAAAAAAAGGATCCACAAGGCCCTAACCAATCCCTTGAACCTATCCGATGGGAACTCTATGGATCCTTGAACACTGTGAAATGAAATTGCTAATCCCGTGTGTGGTCGGAGTTTCACTTGCAACAAAAAAATCTGTCAAAAAGGAAGAACGAACAAAAGCAAGAACCACTCATCAGGCATCAGAGTGTCGACCAGATCGATTGCTGCAATGTACACCAGCTCCTTTCCGCCGTGTTTTGACAGTTGAGACCAAAAAAGAAAAAGGTTTCCAGTCGCTGGGAACGGAAGCCTCGTTTTGGTGTGGACTTTTAAAGTTTTTGGCAGCTCCGCAGAACACCCGCGTGGCTGATGGAAAATTGTTTGGCAGAAACAGTGTTCTAAAGTGGAGATGTGCTCCAGCCATTGCAAATAATCCCCAACCTCCACATGACACGGATCAAAACGACATGAGCATATGAATTACATATTTCCATCAACCACGATCACGATGATCAAAGGGATATAACTTTTTTTTTATTTCTCAAACGAAACTACATTTATACAACGATATCCTGTTTCCACCACATTTCAAAATCTGTACAGTGTAGTGTGGTCACATTTACTGGTTGAGTTTGCTAATGAACGAATCAAAAACACCACAAAATTAGCTCACCACCAAAACATTGTAATATACAATTCTCTCAAACTCACTCTTTGACATCAGACTTTGCGCGATCGGCACGACCTTCCGCTTCTTTGGAGTCGTTGCCCGTGATGGCGCCCCACGTCTGCTTGGCCCATCCAGTGATGCCCTCGCCAGCAGCTTCAGCTCGATTTTGAGCTTTTGCACTCTCGTTTTCAGCGTTACCCTTTAGGTTTTGCGCTTTGCCCTCAGCTATAATAATCAAAAGCGTTAGATAAACATTTCCCGTCAAAACAAAATTTGAAATGTGTACCTTGCCATTGCTCGTTGCCGGTCACATTGCCAAGAGTTTCCTTTGCGGAACCAGCGGCCTTGTCAGTGATTCCAGATTGACGAGAAGCCATTTTGAATGTTTTTGGTAGATTGGTAAAGAGTGTTGGTTGTTTTGAAAAGTTACAAGTCTTTTGAATGCGAATGAAATTATGTGGAAATCTGAGGCAAGCCCGTTCCTTTTATGCTTTTTCTTTGAATCGTTGCCCTCCATTGCCAATGTCCCTTCAGAAACAGGTTGCAGAGCGAAACAGACTCTAAGCCTGACGTCAGGGATCAACTGATGACGTGATGACGCGCCCCGCCTTGCTAATCCCACTTTCCCCTTCCGCCCCACCAAAATCCCGTCATTGTCAAACACTTTTTACAGTCATTCAACGTAGAAAAGAAAAAGCTACGCATGACGAAAGTCTTTAGGGCGATGGGCGGTGCATGCTTACCTAAAATCATTGGGGCGTGAAAATAGCGAAAATGCCAAACTGCCTTTGGCACGCCATTATGGTGTGCTTTTGCGCGACAGATACACTCTTCTTCTTTGTTCCTTGGCGGAAGGGTACTTGTCACAACAAACCCTTTTACGCGCAAACTGCGTGCTCCCCATTTGTGTCCATCCCAACAACCCTCGTGATTGGGGATTCATTGCCCGCCCCCTATTAACCATACCTTTTTTTGATGAGAGGATCGCCAGGTGATGGAGAGGTCTAACGATAACTGTTTTCCTGAGAACCTTATGTGCTATTAGAATCCCACCTCTACGTTGTTGGACAAGCTGTAGGATATGCGTGTCAAACTCTTATTGAATTTCAATCACGGTTGACAATGTACTTGCACATCCACAAGTTCACCTCTGCGACGAGGAGGCATAGCAGCTCATAGCAAAACTTTCGAGTTTCGGGTTTGAACAGGCTCATCCCATCCAACAGTGCCCAAAGCCATAGCGATACAAAATGCTATGGATGTCGCTATCGCATCCTGTCAAAGCAGTAATGGATGACATCGCCAAAAGAATGCGTTCAGGTCAAAGAACACCTGCACAGTCACGCTTGCCCAGAACCAGTGGCAAAAAGAGCGCAATGCGAGCGCAATTCCAATGCTTATATTGACCCCATTCATTTTACATCTTCACAGCCTCGCCCATGCAGCAGAATGGCCCTAGTCTCCAATCAATCATCTCGCAGCTCATGTATGCTGATATCGCTAAAAGCGCCCATCACTTTTTTCAAAATATTGTCACGCCTCCATCTCTCATGCCGATTCCGAAAACTTGCCAACTACGCAGGAAAGGTTTTCAATATATAGTTGAACAGCGTTAGGATCTTGCCTCGATCGCCGTCCATGATATCTAAAAGGAATTTACAGGTTAATATCGTGTGTTGGACCACGAAAAAAAAAATGCCACATGGACAAAATGGGTCAACCCACCTTGAGGAGAACAGAAACCAGTCGATATTCCCTTCTTGGTCAAGAAATTGAGTGCTACCGCAATGTTATCGATTTTATGGACAGGCAACATGGCGCGCTTATTGTACTTCCCAACAGACTCGCCCGTGCAGTCCTGAAATTTAAAACATTAGTTGCATGAACCGAACGGAGTTTGGTCCGCGCATGTTTTTACCTCTAGTGCATAAATCAGATTTAATCCATTCCCAAGTGCAGAGTATAGGTTATCAACTTGGATGTCATGTGCGACTAGGTGCTTGTTCAACCATTCCAGACCGCCCTGATGTATTTATATGGTGTGAGCATTTGCAAGCACACATCCAGCATGATCCGGACCGCCCACCTTTTCAATGGCCTTGTCATCTCCACTAACACTCGATTCCTTTCGCTTAAAGTTCTGTAACCGCCAGGTCAAGGTCAATACCTGAGAGAACTGCACTGCAACAGCCCGCATCTACATACCAGCGCTGGGCCGTTAAATAAATCTGTATGAGACGGAGAACGGCCCGCAGCTGCTACTCGACGTGTGGTCGGAGATACCACAGCCGGTTCCTTTTGATGCAGAAATATGCGTAATATGAGTTTCAATATACTGAGCACAATGATAAAAATTACTTACAGCCTGTGTATCCTGGTCCCCTGGACGAGTCTGAAGCGGAGCTGGGAGCACCTACACATACAAGGCGATCAGGAACAGGTAGAGATTTCACGTCTTTGAAACGCTCCAAAATGCTTACTTCTTCCGGAGGCGGCGTACCAGCACCGTCCGCTACATGTTCTTCAGCAATATGGTCATCCTGTGACAGTGACCGTGGAAATGCTGGCGGTCCGCTCCTCCCAGTGACCGCAGCGGCCAACGCTCCCAGGGCCCCATGGTTGGTAGCAAAGAGGCCAGGAATTCTCCGCGGTTTGGGAGAAGGAGCCTCCCCGTGATCCTCAACTGCCGTCGAAGACGGTTCTTCATGGCCAGGAACGGAATCCGTAGCCGAAACCGTTGACACCACAGACATTGGACGCTCACTCGCCATTGAGGTAGGTCGTTGAGCAGTGCCCGGTGGCATCGGTCGTACCTCAGCCGGAACCTCGTCAAAGTGCGTACTCTTACGGGTAGCGCCCGGTTTGGGAGGCACATTAGGAAGGGGTGGCGATGGACTATGGTCATCTGCCGTGCTCTTCCGCATTGGGCTATGTGAAGGAACTGGCCTTGGTGGGCGGCGTGGGACTGGTGCTGGAGGTTCAATCGTCCCGACCGGAGGCGAGCCTGGGGATTGTGGCTCGTCGTAGGTACCTCTCCTAATGGGGGTGGAAGGAGCTACTCGCGGTGGAAATCGACCGATGGATTCCTCTGACGGTGTATCCTGATGGACACTGCGACGGTCTCCGGCTTCGGAATACATGCTCGTCGGACGGCCAGCACTGGCGCCGGAATCAGAATACATACTCATCCGATTCCCTCGGCCACTTGCAATGCTAGCAGTCTCATCTGCTTCTGAAGCCGTCTCATCGCCAGTCTTTTGGTTGCCTCGCATCACAGAAGCGAGCGCGCTCATGGCAGAATTGCCCTGAGGCTTTTTAGGCCTTGAGGGTACAGCTGGAGGTCTCTCTGGACCTCCTGCCGGAGCTTCGGTGTACCCGTCATCGCTAGCGTGTTGTTCTCCAGATTGAGCAATCTGGTCTGTAACGCCAGGTAGACTAGCACCGATAGACCCAGGTCGGCTATGGGTCGGCTTGGAAGATCGGGAACTTGTGGAACTCTGTGATTTCTCATGTCCGCGCGTAGAGTCTTCATATGGCTCTTCTTCACGGGCTTGTACAGGAGGCCGTGCTGCTGGGCGAGGAGGGACTGCAACGGGTGGATGATCCACTTCTGCGCCTGCCTCCTCAGAAGGGTGCGAAGGCTCCTGTTACACATCACAACGGTTAAGGCTGGAAATCATTCGTAGATTAATCAGCAGGACACTTACCGTAGATTCCGAAGCGTGAGGCTCATGCTCTCCGGTCTCGTCATCCTTTCCGCTCTTTTTGCCTTTCTTTGGTCTGGACTTTGTCAAGTGACTGAGCATACCGCGAATCCCCATCTTTGGTGACTTTTGCCCCTTATGTTTGTCCTTTTCCTTCCCGGCGACATTCTGGTCAGACACAGATGAGCTCATCTGCTGGGGCGGCGCCAGGCTCTGTTCTGGCATGGAAGTCACAGTTGGAACCCGTGCAGGCGCTGCTGGCGGCTGCTGGCCAGGCACAACTGCAGCAGGCGGTATTGCATGTGTTTCTGCGGGTTCATCCTCCATCTGTGGATAGTCCTGTTCTGACTGCACGTCTTGAGGCTCCTGAGTCACTTCTCGCGTCAGGGAACGAGGGTTATACTGATCATCGTCACTCCCGGCTTCATCTTGCGCTGAGTATTGAACAGCAGGACGGTTGAATTTTGGCGGGGGTCCCGAAAGCATACGATTAAGGTTGGATACAAATCCCGTACGGCCGTCCCCTGGCGGATTTCCACCCTCGGTCTCTTCCACGTCCATTTCTTCGGCCTCATCTGGCGTCAAGTCCGTTAGTGACTGACGGGACTTTGCAACCGGTGATCGCTCGATCGGCGGAGGCAGACGCGAAGTAGTAGAGGGGCCCTGATTAACGGCGATGCTTTTTGGTCGGGGCTTCGTCAGTGGTGGCGGCTGCGGTGGCGGCACAGCTTCTGAGGCAGAATATGGTCGTGACACCGCAGTATCTGCCGCGGGTCGAGGAACAACGGGTGGTGGTGACGGATTTGTCTTAACCTGTGTCGCAGTCCTCTGAGGTGCCGAAACTGGATGGGGACGGGGAGCGGTTGCTGAAGGCTGCAAAAATGAACGGACAATCATGATCAGCGAACTGCATATTGGAAACGATACAAATTACACATCACGCACCTGAGAAGTGGTGGACTGCGTTACTTCAAGCTTATTGGTTACACGCTGAATCCTTGCGCTTAAACGGTCCTCTGTTGCGGCGTTCGCAGTTTCGATCATGCCCAAATATGTATCATGGACGTCATTACGGAAAGTTGTAGTGATAAAGTCATTCAACAGAGCGTCGAGTCCTCCAACAAGGTCCATTCGATGAGCAATCTCTTGCAGAGCTTGTCGGCATGATTCTACAGCACCTTCACCTACACGCGTCGTTCAAAGATTCAAGGTTTAGAGCGCGTTCCTTCCATTGCATATTGATTAACGACAGCACCTAAATCATCAGAATTTGCATCGTCTGCTCCATCTGCCTCATATACAAAGCGAACTTCGTCCAGCACAATGTTCACCAATTTATCTAATTCTCGTCGTAGAGCTGCATCCGCCCTTCCAACTGCATCTCTAAAAGAGGTCTTCAACGAACGAACCAGACGATCATCGACAATATGTGTGGTGTTTTCAGTGAGCCCAGTCAGTGCGCGCCCATACGATTCCACGTCGTCCGTTGCAGCATAGGCTGACCGTATGAGAGCAGACGAAGGATTTTTCTCATGAGCTTCATAGCTTGCAACGACTTTCTTCAGCCGCTCCGTAGCAGCGGACAATTGGGCGCTTGGGTACCTTGACGCTACGTTTGAAAAATATGCAAATTGCAGGTCAGCCATGTGTGTCAACTGGTCCTCGCGCTCCACATCCCTCCGATCGCACTGAGCTCAGACCCACAAAGGGTTTATACCTTGTAGTGACATGTCCCTATTCTTGTCCGCAGGTGCGTTTTATAGTTGTGCCAAGTTTCCCGGATGGCGCGGCGCATAAACACACGAGACGTAAAGGGCGATCCGCTCACACAGTCGAAAGTTGTCATGCAAAAGCAAATAATGGCGAACCGCAGATTTCTCCAAGTGTAGTCCTGTACACTTGACAGTTCTGGCAAGCGTTCTAAAGATAGCCTAACTTGGATGGGCAGCGGGCCTGCTGTTGAAGCGCTTGGGCGGCCAACTGCACGGCGCATCACGTGCCCCAGTCGTGTGTAACCTAGCTAAGCCTGCTGCTCCATCAGTTATTTAAGGTTAATGGCAATAACAAACATGTTGTTTGGGTTTGGCAGCAACCAGCTCGGATAAAGCCTGACTACTATCTGGCTTAATTACACATATGACACATTAGGGTTGGTCTAACTGGGTAACTAGTGTCCACCACCACAAGACAAATCCTACAAAGGCCGGGGTCCGAAGCGTTCCGGTCAGAGAACGTTCAGATACTAGTTGAATGAGTGATGCGCGTGGCAACGGCAAAATGTTCCACTGATTAGATGTACGCACGAGCAATCATTGCAATCATCATGGCCGCAAATCGATATGTTTTGTTTATCTCCATGATGGTGCCACAATACATGTGGTTAATTCACAAGAGGACTAAAGAAGGGGATATGGTTGGCTCCTTTAGACATGTTCCTTCCTACTTGTGTCAATGATTCTCCAATTACAAGGCTGCCTTATCAGATGGCACTGGTGGAAACAACATGATTGAATAAGCTCCTGATTTTTTCAGTTTTTTTAATTTCTAAACGTGTCTCTATGATACATGTAATCCCAGACCCCCTTTTCTACCGACCCACATCATCTACCATTGCCCATCGAATCCCATGAAGCCACTCAAGAGAAAGACGGGGAAATATCGCTTCTTCTCTAAAGTCGAACACCAGTTCCACGCCGAGGTCAATCTTCCATCAATGCATGAACCAGCGTCTAAAAACAGTAGCACATTGAAGATCCATATTGAATCAGTAATGGTTAGGTAACAAACACTTACCAAAGAAGTTATCCGCACCACTTCCGTCAAAGGCATGTCGAAAGAAGTCCGCGAGTATCTCCTTCCGTAATCTTTCCGTCCCTCCAAACTGTCCGTCAATGTAACCCTTTATGCCGGGATTCTTGACCAGATCTTCCAACTGCCCCAAACAATTGCAAATTGGCAAAAGAATGCGGTAAACTTGGGTGTATTTGTCGATAAACATGAGCGCATTTGGAACATTCTAATAGAGCACATATCGATGTAACCGATTAGATACATATGGATAGCGAGTACGAGGTTTGCATATACTCACATGATCTCCCAAATGGATCACTGATGACCCAACCCAGTAGCCCACCCTCTTCTGTGCACGATGCAAAATCGTGTGCATCATCCGCGACACCCTTGGGGCGGCCTGCACGCGATTCAATCCCTGGCCGGTATCTCTCAGGCGGTAGCCGTTTTCATCGCTCAACAGATCCTGCTCAGCAAGGCTCCAGAGCATAAACATATCGTGCATAATCTCTCTCCACAGTGTCAAGGACTGCAATACATAGTGGTATTGCTTGCCATGATCGTGTGAAAGCCGCGCACCTCCTCGCCCCGATCTAATCGCCAGGGAAAACCCTTGCTCTTCCTTTTCAGCATCAAAATATTTTTGCAGGTACGATATCATCTTATCACAAGGGTCCCTATTAACGCGTAGGAAAGCATGATTGTCGCCAATGGAATATAGACATTGTCGGATGAGGTCCGGCTTCAATTCACTACTTCCATATTTTCGCGCCAGCTGCTCAATGGCGCGCTCTTTCATTTTGATTTCCGACTGAACTTGATGCCGGCTTTTCCCTTCAGACAGAATCTCCTGTGTTGCTATCGCGATCAGATCGTCTTCCAGAACTCTCAATCCATTCAGCTCGCTGAGGACCGTGTACACAGTCTTTATAGGTTTAACACAGGTAAACTCCAGCATATCTTTTACTTCAGGGATTTGCGAGTCTTGCAGCAGGTAAACAAGCTTCCCGTAAGTAGTTCGCATCTTCTCCGGATTCATGATCTTATGCCGCCGCCCTAGCTCGAAGCTAATTGTAACAAAACATGGGGTGAGGGGTTATGATACTGAGCCACAAAAACATGCCCTTCCTTACATTTCCTGGAAGAACTCGGCATTACTTCCGAAATCTCTATCTTGGAAAAGTTCTTGTCCAACTTTGTAATCAGCCGCCAACACAAGACCCGATAATATGGCACAAAGTTCTTTGATTTGCGACACAATCCGCTTGCTTTTGCTTCCATAACTTAGGATATCGATACGGTCTGTATACTCAGACACGCTCAGTGCAGCTTCCAACAAACGAAGGTATTTGCGCTCGTCCAAGGTTAACCGTAATGGTATAAACTTTGCTCTCTCCAAGAACCAGTCACCAACGGGCGCCTTCGCGGTTGGCTGTTCGCCCATCAATTTGAAATCGTCGCTGAGTTCCTCATCTTCCTGGTTTTCGCCGTTGGCCGTTACAGCTGGTTCTGCCTGAATTTTAAGATATTTTAGGGCGGTATGGATGATCCCCGTCCCTGGACTCTTTGTCACGCATTATTGATGAATCCTCTTCAGCCCGGCAATTTCCCCTCTCAGTTTCCCTACCCACCTCTGCTTTTCCATTCGATCGCTTCGCTTTCTTCTGGGGGGTTGTCGATTGCAAGGATTTTGTGCTGTGTCGCTTTCGATTTCCCTTGCGGTGCTGTGAGTGGAAGCAAACTTCGCAGTAATTGTCCGCACACTGCTCGCAAAACACCGACGCAGGTTGATCTGCAGTTGTACAAGACCATCAGCCTGTCAAGCAGAAAATAGTCTGCTAAAAGCTGGAGAACAAAACCAACCTTCACACTCTACGCAATATCCGACAGGCGCCGACTTGTTTTTCCCTCGCCCATTTTCAGAGTCACTTCCGCTGGCACTTGCTTCCGCATCAGTGTCCTCCCCTACTCCATTCTGTGAATCTGGTCCAAGTCTCTCGACTTGACCGTCCAAAATGTCCCCCAGACTGACGGAACCCTGCGCCGTTGTGTTGCTCTCGTCACTAACGGCAATGTCCATGGGCGAATCACCACCGATATTATTGGCTGGGAGGGGGGAATATAAAGGTGTGGAAGGAGGAGAGGGTCTTACAACCCAGGATGCGTCTGTGGCGTGTGCGGAATCTTGTAACGTTTGTCTGCTCATCAGGTTAGGGCAGAGTTCCGACTCGACACTCCTCCAACCTGCAGTGCAATGGGGAACTGGGCCAGAAAACAAAAAAAGCTCAACAGAGCTTGTAGACATGGGCGGCACAGTCACAGCAACTGCGCGCGCTAGTGACAAAGGTAAATGATAGACAAAAAGTATGTTGTTCATTGCATTTATTGTCGACGATCACAAAAAAGTATTTACAAGTGTAATAAATCAATTCTCTTGCTTCCCGGAGTAACTACATAACACCAAGGTAGCGTTCAACAAACGCTAGTGTTCCAGGTTGGGGTGTAATTGTAACGCGTTTAAGAACGCTCTCCACGGAGACGGCGGGCGAGCTGAATGTCCTTGGGTTGGATGGTCACACGCTTGGCGTGGATGGCAGCCAAGTTGGTGTCCTCGAAGAGACCGACGAGGTATGCTTCCGAAGCTTCCTGAAGGGCTCCAATGGCCGATGACTGGAAACGGAGGTCGGTTTTGAAGTCTTGAGCAATCTCACGGACGAGACGCTGGAAGGGAAGCTTGCGGATCAAAAGTTCGGTAGACTTTTGGTACCGACGAATTTCACGAAGGGCGACGGTACCGGGCCTGTAACGGTGAGGTTTCTATAAAGGACGAGTAAGTTTACCGAGTTCATCATGAATCAAAGAAGAAACGGGGGATCCCTACCTTGACACCACCGGTGGCGGGAGCAGACTTGCGGGCAGCTTTTGTGGCCAACTGCTTACGGGGAGCCTTTCCTCCGGTGGACTTACGAGCGGTTTGCTTGGTACGGGCCATTGTGTTGTAGTCTTGAAGGTCGAGTGTGAAAAGTCTTGAAGGTGTCGAGTTGCCGAAGTTCGGATGGCGTTGTCTTGATGACTTTCGTTGATCGATGTGCTGTTGGTATGATGAACTGGAGGGGACACGACAGATACCTGCCCTTTTATAGACGCGAGAAGAATGGTCGCGTAATTAACAATATACAATAATACCAAATCGGGTCATATTACCAAAATGCACCGGCACAGTCATCTAAATGGCGGCGTAGCCACGGAGAGCGTTAATTGCTCACGTGACCGTAATTAAGCCCGATTTGGTTATAGTATCATTTTCCGCAACCCCAGGTGGGTCCCTTGACGGCTATAAAAGGGGCGCGTCAGTTGCGCTTCCCCCCAACTCTTCACCCCACCACAGCAGCGTAACTCAACCTCCCCGGCTCACAAGCACAAGAACAGTCCCCGACGACTCGTCAAGGCACCGACTTCAGCACTTCAAGAACACCAACAACAACACTTCAGCACAATGTCCGGACGCGGAAAGGGAGGAAAGGGACTTGGAAAGGGAGGCGCAAAGCGTCACCGTAAGATTCTGCGCGACAACATTCAGGTAAGACTCCTTGCGCCCTTTTGACTCTTGTTTTCTACCGCTAATCGTTCGCTGCCTTCTCTTAGGGTATTACCAAGCCTGCCATCCGTCGTCTTGCTCGTCGTGGTGGTGTAAAGCGTATCTCTGGTCTTATCTACGAAGAGACCCGTTCCGTTCTCAAGGTGTTCCTCGAGAACGTCATTCGCGACGCTGTAACTTACACCGAGCACGCCAAGCGCAAGACTGTCACCTCACTGGATGTTGTATACGCCCTCAAACGCCAGGGCCGTACTCTCTACGGTTTCGGTGGATAAGCATTCTCACTCCCTCAAGATATCAAATACAGAAGAACGGCGTTTGTCAACGCCAATAGTTCATTGCATTATTGTCGTGCTCTTCCTTGTACATATGAGTTTAAGCGAATAAATCAATTGATTGATAACAACTCGTTGTCTCCATTATAATTGTCAATACCTGCTCTGCATGCGCAGTTTTCTCCTGTCCTCCAAATGGCGGGCATGCATTCATTGCAAAAAGGGGTTTGGTTGAAGAGTTGATGATCACGTGATCCGGTCCAGGACATTCGCGTGAGAGTGCGCAAGATCGTTCTCAGAATTCAACCAGTTACATACCCGACGTCCACTTGCTGGAGACGTAGATCAACAGTGTGAGCACAGTCCGGGAGCTTCCCGTGCCCCGTCACATTCCTTCCGCAGTTCCACACGCGTAGCCCCGTCTGGGACGCGCATTGGCATCTCGTATGGTCATGGCGATGACAGCGACGGCGGCTCCTCCTCTACTCCCGCAGTGGAGGTCAGAATCACCGGGACCGGATTGCGCAACACTCCGTCACCGCCTGGAAAAGCTGGGCTACAAGGAATATCTCCCACCAGATGCTGTCCCTTTGGTTAGAAAGTTACTTGCAGATTTGGTAGTGACGACCGAGACGTGCCGAAAGTCAAAGATAGAAACAGACAAGTGGAAGGCCGATGCGGCTGCAATCCAGGCTCAGGTAAGCTAAAGCGTGATTTAAACATCATGACGACTTTATTGGATCTCCACAAGAAAGCTATGGATTTGTTGTGCTTTTGTACTTTCCAACCTTCCCGCGTTGTAATCGCATCACTTTATGACTTCCTAGGTGTCACCTTTACGGAGTGAGATATCTCGGCTCACAGCGGAGAATAATCACCTTCACCACGATATAGTACGATTGGCCGACGAGCGTGATGCCCGTGAGAAGCGAACAGCGCAAGCAGCGCGCCGTTTCGAGTCGCAAACAGCAGATCTGAGATTCGTGGCATCACAGTATGCGCACCGTGTCGAGGTCGAGCAACAGCGGGTGGAGGAAGCACGTGCGAAGACAGAAGAGGCACTCGCAAAGCTGGGGCTATTTGAGAAGGCGATTGCCGAAAGCAAGGTTAACGCAAAGAGCACTGGCAAAGGGAAAGGGGACGCAGCTGCGAGAGCGGAAAAGCTGTTTCAAAGACTGCAGAAGATTGATATTGAGACTGGCCTTGAGCCACTTCAAAATCCCCCGGTGCACTTTCCTCCCCCTGATCCAATGATCGCGGATATGGTCAAGCTGGCGGAGGGTCGCATTGCAAATCTGGGAAAAGCCATGGACCTGCTATCCGCCAAAAACCTGGATCTGGAAAATGAGGTACTCATTTGTCATTTTACCCCTGGGATCAACCTCCACACCACTGACTCTGCATTTTACCAGCTCGACCTCATTCGAAAGAAACTTGAAAATCGAGAGCAAGAGATGGAGCGGCTTGGTGCTCAGCTCGAGATTGCACGTGCGCAGCAGTTTAGTACCGTCCCGCTGAGCAGCGGTACCCGGGAAGGAGGCGTAGACGGGAAAGTGCAGAACATTCAGGATCTTAACGTTGCAAGACAGCGGATCGAGCAATTGGAGATGCAGTTAGAATATCTGCAGGAGCACGTGGAGGGACTTGAAAAAGAAATCAGTGCTCATGATGAAGAGAAACAGAATTTGTACGCTACTCTTGATGCAGAAAAGCAATCTCTCGCCCAACAATTAGCCCGTGAACGTGACCGAACGAAAGGCTTAATGAATAGTGTGGACAAGCTTGAACGCATGGTTGAGCAAAACGATGTTATTCGAGAAAAAGGCATCCGACAGGACGCCAAGAAAAGACGGAGCATGAGCCCCGAAAAGCAGAAGCCCGAATCTGACTCTGCGGAGGAGACTTCTGGTGTGACGGCCAAGGCAAATGCAAATGAGGAGCGACGTCAGGTTAAGAGGTTACAAGATGAGGTCGAAGCCCTCAAAAACGAAAATGCGCGATTATCGGAATATATGCGAACTCGGCCACCAGAACAGGTTATACCGCCAGTTTCCGGGGACAGTACTCGACGTCAGGAAGAGCGGGATCCAAGTTTGCCTCAGCAAATCCAGAAGCTTAAGGACGAGAAAGCTTCGCTCACTATCCGATTAAGGGAAACTGAAGCACAGAAGTGGGCTTTAGAGACCGATTTCAAATCGTTACAAGGACAGGTATATGGATATCCAATTCGCGCAAGAAACCTATATGCCATTGCTGATGTATTTACGGCAGATTGAGCATGCAAGTAAACTGGAAAGTGAACTGGTCTCTTTAAGAACTCGCGCGCAAGTGCTGCAGAGAGAGTTGGCCACTCAGCAAATTGAGTGCAATCAAACGACCAGGAACCTGGAAGTGGCCGAGAAGATAAAGGACGAGGTGAGCAGTAGCAAAGAATTCGGTTCTAATACTTGACTTTTTTTTCGACAATCTGATGACCTTCGCATAACTAAATAGGCTCTAGCCAACCAAACGCGACTTGCAACTAGTCTGGATGCCGTACAGCGAGAGCGTGACGATTTAATTCTTGTGCTACAGAAATTCGAGATGCAACTGACTGATGTGCAAAGCTGCGTCGAGATCGTCACGGCTGATCGCGACAACATTGCGGCACTTTATACCCAGGTTGGCACTCTTCAGAGACGTTGCGAGTATCTTGTCACTTACGACTGGAACTCATCGGAACTTTGTAGGTCACAGAAGAATTACACCTACTTCGCAGCAATCCCTCTCTCCAAGTGCCAAAGGGTCAGGTCCCTCCTCCACGACCAACTGCACCTCCCGAACCTTCTGCCCCAGTGCTATCACCCGAAACTGGAGAGCCGCAACGCACTGTAGACTTTGCGCAATGGACTGACAGTCAACAAAAAATACGTCAGCTTGAAGAAGAGGTGCAGCAGCTACAGCAAGACCTTAAGGCCGCGGTGCATCGGCAACGAGAGATTGGCACTGGAGCTGATGATGTAGTACAGCATCTTCATGGGGAGTGTGAAAGGTGTGTGCCCATTCATCGTTACTGCAGCAATTTCCGCGTGCTTTCGATTAATATGCATATGACTCTTAGCTTACGGGCTGCGCTGGCGATAAAGGAACGTGATAATGCGGAACTCCAAGACCGTTTGCGAACTGCTGAGAAGCTAGGGGAGAACATGCAGCTGGACGCGGAAGACCTTCGACGACGAGAAGAAGCTCTGCGTAGCCGGATTTCTGAAATGGAGGCAGAACGCGATCGCGGGGTAAGTTCTGCATCTCCCATATGGCGGCATCACGTCCTGCTCTCAGCGAAATATCGAGAAGATTTAACAAAGCTTTTATCCAAATTAGAGCTTCCAAGTACGAGATTTCCGCTCAAAGGTTACTGATCTCGAACTGCGGTTGTCGCGGGCGACAGCAGAATGCGAACGTTTCCGGAAAGAAATGGAAATGCAAGCCCGTCAGTTAGCGGAGCAGCGGCAACTTCTAGTGGAGGTTGACGGTGAAAGGGACAAAGACAGAGCTGAGATGGATCGAAAGTGTGAACGAATTGTCGAATTGGAGGGCATTGTCTCAAATCTGCAAAACGGAACGCTGGCTGCGGAACAAGATATTGGAAATCTTCGCGAACAGGTCGATCTCCTGAACCATCACCTAAATGAGCGGGATGCAGAAGTCGGGGCGCTTAGAACAAAGGTTGAAAATTTAATAGGCGACCGCGATCGATGGGCGGCAGAAGCACAGCGCAACGGCGAAGAGGCGCGCAATGTGGGTATGGACCTCGCGGCGTTGACAAGAGAGAATCAAATGTTAAACGGAGAGCTAGCGGAGGTCGCGAGCGACCGAGAAAGACTACGAGCGGAACTAGCGGAGACTGAAAGACAAGTGCAGCTTCTTGACGAGCTTGTTCAGGCGAAGGATCAGGAGCGGGAACGCCTCTTTGCTGCATACAGAAAGCTTGTGGCTGAACATGAGCGGCTTGATGTGGGTGTGCGCCTGGCGGGAGAGGAGAGCAATAACATGAGAATGGAGGTCATCCTGAGGGACAAGAGAGTACAGCAACTACAAAAAGCTCTAGATGAAGCGGCTGGAGAGGTCACAAAGTATAAGATTGACTTGGCCGCGTTCGAAAAACAGTGCAATAATCTGTCAAGGTCACTGGCGACGGCAGAGCGGGCCATTCGCCATCTAGAGTCGGACAAGCAGCGCCTGCTCAGAGATATCGCGGCAGCCCGCGATTTAGCCCTTTCCCTTGAGCGTCATAAGGAAGAGCTGCAAAAGCAGCTTACCAGTGTGACGCTAGAGTGCGAGCGCATGCAGGCGTTAATAAAGAAGCTGGAAACAGATCGTGAAGCAACAGGGGCACAGATCCGCGCGGAAAGGTTGAAATCGGAGCGGCTAGAACATCTTGTCGCCATGGAGAGAACCCGTCAGTTTCAGACAGAAAAGGCTGCCAAAGATTATCAGGAATCAAAGGGGACGCTGGAGGATCAATTGCAACAGGTCAATCAGCAGCAAGCGCTGTCGCTACAGGCAATGAGCAGTGACATGAAGGAAGCTCAAGCAGCGCGCGACAGTCTCAAGAAGCAGATATCCCAATTAGAGGGTGACTTGGCACGCACAAGAGAAGGTATGTCACCCGTTGCCCTCACTCATTCACCAGTCGCAGACCCAACGTACTGACTCATCTGCTTCATAGCGCTTTCACAATCCGAAGACCGCTGTCATAAACTATCTTTGGAGGTCGCTGAATTAAAGGAACAAGTGGCGAATAAACAGATGGTGATGGAAGATCTCATGCGCGTGCATGAGGTACGTCGGCAAACCTCCTTTGGGCACCATGTGCAAATTGAACTAAAGATTCAATACATACAGGCAAGTGAACCGGGCGGAGTGCGAGGCAAGAGTGATCTAGAAAGAAGGATCATGACTGAATTGGAGAACACAAAGCGACAGCTGAAGAAATATGAGGTACAGCGCCTGCACAATCACAAAGACTGTAAGATAGTAAGGGTCATTAAATCCGGTATTTAATAGGCACAAATCGCCCAACGTTTCCGCACCCCAGAAAAGATTTCTCCGGTCAGTGCGAAGACTTCTGATAATGACCCTGGTCTAGAACAATCTCCACACCCGCGTGGTATCTCATTGCCATCAGGGAATGACGCGGAAGCTGGGAGTAGTTCCCCCAATTCTCGCTCCGAAGGCAGCGCCTTGGACGACTCTACGGAAGAGGATCCTGTGGTTGAAGGTAATTAAATTGCCGGATAGTTGTCGGTGGGCATTGCGCATGACCCGTTGATATTTGCTACCAGAAATGCTTGCCAAATTCGAGGCCGAGCGGCGCCACACAGGCAAGAGGAGTATCAGCCCCGGCAAGAGTTCCTCGCCTACCCCATCAGAAGCGCGGAAAAGTCCCTTGGTCTCCAGCGGCAAGCATTCATCCAATTTGTCAACACCAGCGTCAACTACGAGCACGACCCCAACGTCAGCTGCAAAGAGTGTCGTCTCCCCGAGGCATAGGACACCTCCGCCACCCATATCGAGAAGCGGGACAACTTCACCTGCACGAGATGAAGAGCGCCAGAAACGTTTGGACGAGAGCCGAAGGTTATTGGAGACAATTGTACAGGTATGATCAACCAGAAGCAAGAATAGTCGTGTATTTTGATTTGGTATCGACTCAACATACTGGATGACCATTCCAGGTTAAGGATGCATTACAAAGTCCTGGGAGTGGAAGATAGGGTGAATTGGAAATTGTATAGTTATTTGCGCTGTTGGCCGTTTGTTTATATAATTTATATCTCTTGGTCAAATAATGGAAACCAAACCAAGAAAAGGGCTACTGATATTATGCGACCATCGTGATCGAATGAAGTCGAAAATGAAACCAAACTGCAAACTGCGATGAGCCATGCGAATCATGAACCTCAGTTAAAATTTCTTCCCAACACGACTGCTCTTCATCGACACCGTCTTGCGCAATCCCTTAAACTTTCTAGCCTCATTTCTACTCATCCGGTTTCTATCCCTAGTTCCTTTTCCACCTTCCCAAAATCCACTACCGGCATTCTTCACGGTCTCCTTGCCGCATTTACAGACACCCTCTTTGGTATACGGCTGCTCGCGCGAACAGAATCCGCACACCATACGGGTAGCCCAAGCCATTTCGTGCTTATCGGCTTTCCCTTCTTCGTGACAAATATCGCATGGATAAACTTTGCTGCAGCAAGGAAAGCGAAACCACCGATAAGATTTCTTGTAGTGAGAGCATGTACCGTTTTTGGGGAGCGGGGTGTTTGGGATAAAGATCTGGGCTGGGTCCTTTGCGGCCGTTTTGATCCTATTGGATTTCTTGGGAGGTAGCGATGCGTTTCCTAGCGTAAGAAACTTTACTTGGTCAACCTGCAGCGTCATTTTTGTGTGGCATGTCGTGCACGACATTGTAGTCGGATGGTTCCGAACAAGAGCTTTAAACCCGTGGCCGTTTGGTTGTGGACGGGCGCATGAGTCGCAGGTTGCGATATAATTCGAAGGGAGAAGGTCAAAAGGGATGCACATGTCCAGGTCAATGTACCCGATGGACAGTGATCCTGGATGGAGCATTTCAGATCGATATAAAAGTCCGAGAGTCGTCTTGCATTGTGGACAAGGAGTGTAGCGCGGTGTAGTAGTGAGGTTATGGACGTCGACTGACGTTTTGCAGCGAGTACAGCGGACTGCAATGTTGAGGGATGTACATTCGAGAAGGGAGATGCTGGTAAGATGGATGTCGGGAAAGCGGATTTGTGTTCCTCTGTGACTTGACGGTGGTGGTGGTGTCGGTATTGCGGAGAGATAGGTGGATATTTTCTCGCTTAGATCAATAGAATCTCCGGGATATGATTGGTCCGGGTCGTTTTGCAACTGCCCGGCGTCAGTTCCTTCCTCTTCTGGCACTCTACTGCCGATATGCCGACGATCACGCTGACTTTCTTCATCCTCGTCGGATCCCCCCGCGGAAGAGGGGCTACTGGTTGATGCGTCGTCGTCCCCGACACGTTGTCCGTAATATCCATCTCCCGGCCCCGCCGATGGTACATCCTCAGCAAAGGTCACCGTCCCGTTGGTTAAACCAGAAGCAATCCTCTCTCGTCCTTCGTTTCTCACGAATACTATCCTGCCTGTAGGTTCATCGGGCATTACCAACAGCTGTTCCAGGTTCCTGTCCAACCAGTTAATCATCTGCAGTAAACGTATCCTCGAGGCTGTAGCCTTTCTCATCCACGCCTTCTCAACGTTACGGCGTAAGGGGAATGGGATCTCAGGATTGATGACAGTTATGTGCGATGGGGTAGTCGGATACGTCGCGGGAATTCCAATGTGTAATAGGAGAATAGCTAAATCAAATGGGAAATCTGGATCGGTGGGAACCATGCCAATTTGAACAATGGTTTCCTGCGCTGTCTCTGATATGATATGGTATCCAGCCTCCCGAAATCGGCGCTCAAGCTGGTGTAAGTCCACCTGACGAGTGAGGTGGGCTTTGTCGACTGGGTCCGATGTTTCATTTAGCCGTGCTTCGAGGTCTTTCGGGGTCGGTCTTGCAACTGCAGGTGGAGGTTTTGCATTCTTTTTAGCAGAGGTATTCTTCGAGTTCAAAGTTTGAGACGCAGCAGGGTTGCTCCGATCGCCTTCCTTGGGAGAGGCTGTATTCACGACAGGTGCTTTTTTTGGAGTGGTTTTGGAAATTGGCTTTCTCTGCCTTCTCCTATTTTTCGCAATTTTCAATGTTGCAGATCTCGCTTCCGATAATGCACCTGTTTGTGACACTGGTTGAGGTTCAATTTGACTGTTCCCATCATGTGTGCTTATGTCGTGGTGGTTGATTGCGGTGATTGGAGATGGTTCCTGGTCGTGGCTATTTCTTTTTATTTCACGCGGGCGTCGTGTACTCTTACTCTTTCTCTCGCTCTGAACTGTGCCCTGCTTTTGCTCGACCGTCACATGCAAGAATTTGCAGTTCTCCCCAGTACGGCAGCCACCAGAAGATTTAAAGAAACGACACTTTGGTACAGTACGAGGACGAAGTGTAGGCGCAGGGCTATACTGGGGTAGCTGGGGAACAGTAGATATTTGGTCGGTGGACATGCCGTTGGTGTTGGCTGCAAGGAACAAGGTTGGAATGTTTTGGGGACGAAGTGTTCTCGGTTGGGTTTTAAAATGGTGATGACATACAAGGGTGGGACAGCCATGGCAGACTGCAACATGACTGTCCCACCGAGGACTTGTTTGCATTTCTGACATTCCGTTTAACGATGTTGATATCATTTAAACATCCAAAAAGCTTTTTTGATAAACTGCTTGAAAGTCGATAATTTATTCTTTGATTTCACAATTTTGGTACAAGGAGTAACAGTTCATCCTCACTAATGCCATCTGCATTTCCAGTACCAAGACCTTCGTTTTCGAACTCTTCATCGATAATCTTGGTTACGTCGACAAGGGCTTTAGCACCCACCAAGTCCGCAATGAAAATAAGCGAGCGGATAACATCATCGGGTATGTTAGGCTGGGCTTGCTTGGATCTGGCCCATATTTTATCCACGACTGCATGTGGGATGCCAACTGAAAATCCTGCCGAGAATAGTGAAGGTGCCACTGCAGCTCCTGCAGATGTCGTGTTTGCAGCTCCTGCCATTGCTTCCGCTGTAAAGAATAAGCATTCCGTCAATATCAGCTCTTTTTGGATAAATATATGGACCAACTAACCTGCTGGCCACTGTGGTGTTGGCCCATCTCCGACAGAGGTGATTCTTGTCCCATCATTCATTCCGTTCTCTTCCATGGTGAATAGTGGAGAAACCAACCTGGAAGACCGAGAGCCTTTCACGTAATGAACATTCATGAAGTTACACGTGATTCAGGCAATTGATTTCACAGCCACCCACATGTTCACTAGTTTACACAAGATTTCTTCAAACAGACTGCCCAATCACTTATGGGACATTAATGAACGCATAGCCCGCGGCTTGGTTGAAAATATACTACGAGATCATTGCATCTGTTGATCTTAGCAGTAAGGCTCTTGTTTGTGAACATCAAGCACCCAAAACAATTTTCGGGTGGTCTATATGTCAGTGAAAAGCAAATGAAATAGCGAATCTTTGGGCATCAGCATAGAAATTACAGAAAGGAAAGACTACAAAAGAAATATACCCAAAGCAATTCCCCAAGTTGAGCTTGAACTGGCAAAAGCTTCGAGAAAACACAGATACCGATTTTGCTGACAGCCTGGTAGTTCATCCTTTGTACAGTCTGCATGCCGATAATAGAATGATTGCTAATCCATTGCCAGGTTACCGGGCAAACATAGCTCGAGATGTTTCAATCTTCCATTCACTAGACTATACTCGGTACTTGATAGGCGGTGGAGGTGAAAAGTCTGCATAATGGTGGAAACCCTCATCTGATAATGCGTTTGAGAGTCCGTCCGCCACCGTTGGATACACCTCCTGACCAAACTTATCGAACGCACTGGAGACCGTGATAATAGATTTTCTCTGGTGGCTTGCGAAACTGAATTCCAGTTGGGTTGACTGAACTTGGCATGCCAAGGGCCTAGGTTCCTGGTGCTCCACTGCTTTTGCCCGACGCTATCGCTACCGGTTCCACCTCAGCTGGGACGACTCGAAAGAGAGGATGTTATGACGATCAAATCTTTTTCAGCAAATGTCACAACGTCTGAATTTACGACCAGTAGTTTACTATGGCCATGTAGTGCTTCGAATGGATGCCGCTCAGTGGTTGGTGCCGTACGTTGCTCAAGATCCATTGGTAAGTGTAAAGTATGAGGTGTGCAATGTCCAGTTGAAAACATGCCGCGGTGATCGGAAGACTAATTGGCTTCAGACATTATGTCAGGTTCATCTATTTAGCACCCAGCAACCCTGACCGTACGTCTAAGACTACGCAAGATTTTGCTTTGTCGATACGCTTTGTGAAACTTGAGCTATCCGCAGAAACAACATGTCGGAGATTGATGCCTTATCCATGTACGAGTTACGATTTATTTATATCATCACAGGTGTGACCGATGTCGACAACATCCGTCACATTCTCTCTACCGATGATTGCTTCTTCGTATGTTTCAATTCACGCGAAAGCAGTACCTGAGAGTGGGCAACTTGATGCTGATGCTTGGATGAACCAATAAAGGAAGCCCCAAAGCAACTAACAGTATTTTCGTGAGCAGGGATAACCAATGACTCGCTTGCTATTCCACATTGGCAAAATTACATTACCCCCTGTGAAACAAAATCGCTTAAGTCAAAAGGAAATTGATGCTAGAGCCGTGTATTGACCTCATTATCTGAATGGCCTATTGACTGTCAAGATTGTGCATTAAGCAAAGACAGTCGCATGCCAGCGGCACTAACCCTATACAGTGACATTTAAACCTTGCGGCCGACTGCCAGTGCTCAGTCAACCAGGGGTTCCTCTGCTTGTCTCTGGTTGTACATTCAACATTCAAGCATTGTGACTGCATCTAAATCCAAGTAGGATGCAGGGATATTGAGGGTAGAGCGAGGATGACGACGGCCTGGCTTAACCTTAAAATTAGTTTGATGACTTAAACCAAGAGACAGCCGCCCAATGCGCAGATTCACGAATACCTTATTAGGCATCTAATCGCCACAAGAATCCGACCGGTGAGTCATCTCTTCCCGTCATCGTTTTGGTTTGGCTCTGGGATCGCAAACGATGGCAACGATAAAGACAAATGGCAAGTATCTATGACGCACTTTGGGCCATTCACCTAGCAGCCCATGCCGAGTTTTTGCCTGAATTATCCTCTGACAAAGTTGGATATCAACAGGTAGCGACGAACACATCGCTGTGTCCCGCTTTAGGGAGTTTCTCAGAATAAAAACTGTACAGCCGAAACCTGACTATGAAGGGTGTACCGCCTTTCTAAGTAGTATGGCCAAGGAGCTGGGCCTGGACTTCCACACTGTTGAGGTAGGTCGGTCTTTTATAGCCGTATCGGCGCTGGCGTACGCGCACGCTTTTGGAAGGACGGCTACTGAAATTGTCTTTGACCGCAGTGTGTCAAAGGGAAGCCCACTTGCATATTCACATGGGTCGGAACAGATCCCTCGCTACCTTCTCTCATGCTCAACTGCCATTCGGACGTAGTACCGGTTAGCGAGGTAAGTAGCGTCGCGTGAATGGCGATCTGACCCGATGAATCTCATCCGTGGAATGCAGGATAAGTGGACTCACGACCCATTTGCAGCCGACAAGCTAGAGAATGGAGATATAATTGCGCGAGGGTATACCACTTGATCCCCGTACGCCTAACAAACTTCAATGACTGAGCGTGTTTGCGCTTCCCAGTGCCCAGGACATGAAATGTGTGGGCATACAATATCTTGAAGCGATAAGGATACTGAAGCACCAGAACAAGCGTCCTCTCCGCACAGGTATCGGCCAGGTCCTTGTGAAGCTAATATTATCTGTGTTGATGAATCCATGTCTCTGCTCCATTTTTCCATCTCAGTCCACGTCACGTTTGTCCCCGGTAATTTTCACATCCAATGAGACTGGTCACTTCATGGAAATGCAGTACATGATCTCATGAATTGTGCTGCGACTGTACAGATGAAGAGATTGGCGGCATCGAGGGAATGAAACTGTTCGTGAAAACCGACGAGTTTAAAAAGTTGAATGTTGGTTTCGCGTTAGACGAAGGTGAGGGAGGATGCAAGGTGCATTATCAACCGGCTTTAACGCATGCCATTCACAGGGCTGGCCAATCCGGGAAACGCATATAAACTCTTTTATGGAGAGAGGGCACCATGGTGGTTAACACTCAAGGCAAAGGTACTCCGATGACGGTTTATTTTAATACGCATCCCCTCGGTTAGTAACAATGGCGAACGTTAAAGGGCGGCGCGGGTCATGGAAGCCAGTTTATTGAGCCGTCCGCTACGCTCCGCCTGGTAAGCGCAAAAGATATCGTTTGCGTGTACCATCTCGTTCTGATCAGTACCCATAGTTGAAGGTGCTTAACAAGTTCATTGCGTTCCGCGAAGCTGAGAATATAAGGCTGCGGTACGGAAGGAAAGAAAATGGCGAGGGATACAAGCTCGGGGATGTGACCACGACGAATATTACAATATTAAAGGTATCCAGCAAATGCATCGTTGTTCGACATTTGCACCATCCCTTCTTCATGGTGTTTACGTCACGCATTTACAGGCCGGCGTCCAGGTATAATATTATTTGGGTTGCATTTTAGGCATCCTATGGTGACCTTTTTTATCTTGGTTTTGGCGCCTCTCAGCATAACGTTGTACCAGAAGCAGCGCAAGCAGGTAGAACATTTGTACAGTGGTGTCTCAGCTAGCAATTCTTAATGTTTGAAATAGGCATCGACATCCGCATTGCTACGACCGTTGATTTGCACGCATTCAAGCGACAGATCGAGGAATGGTGCTCGGAGGATGGGTACGCCTTTATCGCTAATTGTCCAGCATTTATGCATTTTTCCATAACTGCTTCGACTAGGATTGAGATCGAATGGGTCAACACATTTTGGAGCAATGCGTGTACTCTGACGGACGACACGAATGTATGGTGGCGAATTGTAAAGGGCGTCGCAGATAAGAGGTTGTGAATGTCTTCTTCGCGTAATCCACCGGGCGTCCACCGGCGGAGAATGATACTCACCTGTCCTCACAAATGACAGAAATATAAAACTCGAACCCGAGATTTTCCCTGCAGCGACCGGTATGTTGAAAGACACAGAGGCTTGAATTTCCGTGAGGGTTTACATTTAGCGATTCCACAGACTCACGCTACATTCGGGAAGTCGGCATTCCTGCATTTGGAATCTCACCAATGCGTAACACTCCAGTGCTACTGTAAGCAACCAAATCGTTATTTTTTCTGCCTACCGCTAACACGTGTGTTATGGATAGTCATGATCATGATGAGTATCTCAATGAGAAGGTCTTCCTTGAGGGGGTGGAATTTTACGTCGATCTTATTGAAGCTTACTGGAATGTTCGCGGATAGAAACCTACGAATTTCTTATAGTTCTGTAGATGCGACATTCGTCCGGTGAGATGGAATTGCATAGAGCCAGGTAGAATGTTAGGTATAACTCTCATTTCTTCCCCTACAAGTGGAGAGGATTAGAAACTTTACCTAACATAACCGAGCGGCGGATAAATATGGGGTCAGGATTACGCACTTATTATTTCTTGCTATGCACGCCACCTCGAATAGTGTATTGCCCTATGAAAAGTCATATTGTACACGTACATGCACATCTTCACTTGAATTGTCTTCCTGTCTTCAGAAGAGCCAACGTGAAATCTTCTCTGCTCCCCATACTTATGGGTCTTATTTAGCGTTCTATACAGCCATTTAACAACTGAACCCTTCTCACATTTTGTGTTCCCTTATTAGGTGTAGGATGAGCCAGAAGGAACCGAGGAGGGGACAAACTATGCACTCTTGAGGAGTGAATTGCACGGAGGTTTCTTACCAGGTGTCTCCTGCGCAACATCTGGAGAAGCTTGTCGCAGGATAAAGTGAGAACTCTACTGTTCTAGAGCAAACTGTCAGCCATGGATAGGTGGATCCGCAGTAGATGGCGATTGACGAGCAAGAAAATGTCCATACTCGTGGGTAAGAACGCAGATATATTGACATTGCAAAAATGCTAGGTATTTATAAGGTAGCCCTTACATAGGGTACATATGAAGCCCGCAAATATGGAAATAATAGCGTATCTCGATATTTCACTTTTCTTGAGAGGCATCCTTGGAAACCGCTTGTTCACCTTGGATGGAGTGATAACGAATAAAGCAATTGATTTTTTCCTGCTGTTGCAAGAATATTTCCAAGGTAAATATTGCTCAATAGCTCGAATGCGTACAGCTTCCTTTGTTGATGGGCTTGACTGTTGATGACCATCACGTTACCTCGAAGGGCTACATGAAATGGCGTTTCATATCTCAAACTCTGTGATTAAGCACGCCATGTCACAGTTAGGTACCTTGTTGCCAGAAACAGTTTCTTTGCAGATGGCTTGAAGAATCCTTTGTATGTTTGCTCTTCGTTCGTCAAGTCTTCCCAGTCCACTTCCAGGAGCTTATTTGCAGAGTCGACGATGTCCTCATGTACGGGAACAGCCGTTGGATCAACTTCAATTGGCCGTGGTACCCTCCCAAATTCCAGAAGAGTTCCCGACTAGTTCTCACGATGTCGATTTGCTCCATATTGGACTTTCCCAGGCTAGCCTATAATGACTTCCCGCAAATCCACAGTGACGGATTGCATCGCAAAGGGGACATTGAGATCGCAGGTTCTCTAGATTGCTGTTGGCGGCGTTCCCATCGCGGTGATCCACTATGAAGCCTTTTCCTCCGCAAGATGATTGGTACAGGCAGTGAGTACACGTGTTATTGTCCCTCTCCAGCACCTGGCGACGTCGAGCTCGCCAGGCCGTTGAACGAACGGGAAGGGTCCTATTCCCCCAGGTTCGAGTAACTGAGAGGTGAAAAGCTCCAGCGGGGTCCATGAAGGCGAGTCAAGATTGAATCCACTTTTTGTTGTTGAGATGGAAGCTAGCTGGTGCAAGTAGTGAGAACTTTAGAGACGACGGTAAACACAACAAGCCTCTCTGACATGATATGATGCCATCACCTTGAATTCGGCTGGCCAGGTTAGTACTATCCAGTCGTGTAAACTCCTGTTAAGTCCAATCCGTCTGTCATCGTACATACTCTACAGGCCTCTGAAAAAATTTGAAATTTCACAGTGCTTGGGTGAAAGCTGCTACCTCAATTCTGGGTAGTATTTCTCAAAGTACGGCTGGACGGACATCGCCGTCCAAAAGTAATCGCCGGATGTAAAATAAACAAAAGGCTGCTCGTTTGCCGACCCACCCCTTCCACAGACGGCTGTCACATTTTTCCTCCTTTCATATAAATCCGTTTGAAACGGAAGTTCTACGCTCATGGAAGCTCATTGATTGCATTACAGTTGTAAAATGATCCACGTGTAGCTTACGAGTATTCGCTAACCTTTACAATGGTCTCGACTTGCTGATTTACATCTGGTCTCGGAAATCATCCAAGTTAAGCCCATGTCTCGATCTTTCTTTGCTGGCAATCTTACAATCACATTGCATGCACAATGGGTTTGCACCACTGTTTAAAGGCCTGTGTTTTCTTCTACACATTGGTCAAGGTCGCCGCCGTAGCAAGCCCCTAGTGTACATCATAGTATTCTGAACCCCTTTAAATTTTTAGATATATATTACCGTAAAACCATACACTTAAAGAGTTATATTCGGTGGGCCTTCGGACCACCCGCATACCGCCGTCCAAACTGAAGTGGTCTAATGGTTTTCGCTGTTCCGACGGTGATGTGCCCCACTTCATCGTCGAGAGTATGGATAGTCTCTCCAATTGAGGAATGATGGTCTAAAGCATTCCATATGTCTGGTGACTCGGCATTGCACATATTCGCCAGCTTCAATCGCAAGTGGTCCGATTGGCTCGACACCTGTATCATCGCCGCCAGATCAAAGTGGACACGACTGCATAATGCCAATCGTGAAGGCACTTTGTCATCTTGATACGCCATAAAGTAAAGTCCCATACCACAGGTCAGGGTTGCTATGCCTAGGGTAGCCAGGATAACGATGCTTGATTTCCCTAGCAGAACTGCACTACCAGAACCAGAAGTTGTCACGGTGCATGTACTGACTGCCACAGCCCCGGTGATAGACAGTGCTTGTTTCATCAGCATTATGTTCAGCATATCCATCCCGGGCTCACCCAAGCTGAGTGACAGGCCTCCGTCGCTGCTGGACAACCATGATAGAAGGGGCGGTACCGCGTTGGGGGCAGTTCTGCTCAGAGGCTTTGTGTCATTCATCGTTGTGTACCAATCAGATAGCACCACAACGAAGTCGTCGTTCGGCACGACTGGTATTCCTGTATCCGTTATCTCACCAACGCCAACTACTGCGGGGGATATTCCGTTGCTACTGGCGCTGTACTGAATGGCAGCTTGTCCGACTGTTATCTCTGCTTTAACGGCACACATGAGTCGACTGATACTGCCACCGCACAAATCTCCATCGTAAAGCTCCTGGTTGAGTATATAAAGCCCTTCCGCCATGGGTTGCGGTACAGTAGCCAATGTAACTCCTCCCTCAACGTGCAGGTTTACGTTGGGCAACGCAATAGGACCTGCTTCGAGCTGGGCATCGGCATAAAGATTCCTCCATTCACTCGCAGTTCCAGCTCCGCAAAAGCAAGTGGAATTCACGGACATCAAAAGAGATGTACCGTGGACAACGTAGTCTGCGCCGAAGCCTGTAAGCGTGGGACCAATTACACCAACTGAGAAAGGATACCCGTCCACTCTCGTGTGGCCCATGGCTGTGCTTGTGGTATACTCCGTTGCTCCAGTGGCATATTCGTACCCAGGTATCCTTGTAATGCCCCTTGGAGACCCGTCCACTGCTGGGATGTAGCAGACGCTGGTTCTGACGTCAACGGAGTCCTGCAAGTTAGCACCAACTCCTGCTACTATGGCAAGTACGTGAAGCGACTCCAGTAGAATCTGCAGCCATGCAATGTATGTCAACTTCTTCCGTAGTTCACTACGATATGATAGCGACGACAGGAACGAGGACCGTTGTAGCACACCGGTGTGCAGATAACCCACCACTGTTAAGCTGCCTTTGCCAACTGATATCCTCCGCCCAGACCAACATCTAATGGATTGATCCACCAACCGATTAGGCAAGGATGAATACAGCAGCACGGAAATCTCGGTCAGTACGATTACAATCCACTCGCCGGAATGAGCAGATACAGGCAATACGAAGCCGGTGGAGTTGGCGATAATCAAGATGACGGCAATTATTGTCCCTGCACACCATCGATAGATCCAAAGGGGACCCATGAGAGCCGTTGGCCTCCCTTGCTTCTCTAAAGGCATACCATTTTGTGGTTGCCAGCTTTGAATAGACGTTCGGGATCTACCACCCAGAGGCAAAGACGGGCTTTTCGTATCGTTTTCTTGGTCGTCCAGAATAGCAAGGGACACCTTGCTCCCGATACGCTTCGTAAGGCCATCTTTTGTTACTTGCTCCATTCTTGCAGACGTGCACCTGCTTGTGAGCAAATCAAGACTAATGGCCTCGCCAAGTTCCCTGACTATAAGGATGCGTGAAGTATTCCGACATACCTGCCCCAAGGGACAAGACTTGGGTTCTTATTGGGGGTACTGATGATCGACAATATTCCTGATCCTCGGTATTTAGGAATAGAGGTGATATTTCTGGTATGGGAATTCCAGTAACACAGCCTGATCGAAGCTTTCCGTTTCCGCCGGTCTAGGGGTTGTCCCTATGTCCTTGACAAGAGCAAAAGGATCCGCCTACCGTGTTGTTAAAACGACCGTGCCAATCGGAGTTAAATTGAATACTATAATGGAGACATCGCGCCTCAAACCTGGCTCAAAAGTCTTACTAACACCTTGGTTAATATTGTTCTTAGCAAGATTTTGCCCAAACATGTTGGGCCATGGCAATCTTCAGGCTGGCTGAGCATAAATACGGTATGGACAATCTGGGGGGACTTGGGGGTTTGGAGCGTTTGCGGAGCTTCCCTATGATCTCGTGTTCTCATATGGTTCTGCATGAAGTTCCAGTTCCCGACAATTGCAGGCAAGACCTTACTGGCAGGTATGACCTCTCCCGAAAAATATTCTCAAATGGTATTAATGAGAAATCTACGAACATGAATATAGCTTCTTCAATGGGAGGGTACAGGGCTCGGTCGCATAATGTTAGATGGGGTTGAACATTGAGGTCTCCAAACGCATGTTTGCAAGAAGTTTAGAGGTTCCAAATACTATTGGGGGACAGAACAGCCCGTCATCAAAGTTCGTAGCTACTTTAAACGCCTCGGTTATAGTGCGGCGGTTGCTACTGCTCACCTCGTCGTCAGAACGTACAAAACAGGACTAGGGTCGTGATGGTAAACGTCCAATGATGCTCAGATCATAGAGCTGCCTTTCCTCCCGACTTTCTTGTAGCGTCGCATGTACCAGCCCGTTTTTCTTGATAGGCCACCATACGCATAGTGGTTGATGACAAAGCTTATGCTTTGCGTGCATGGCGCAACGAATGTGAGCACTCAATGCCATACTTGGAATCAACAGAGGACTGCGTGTTGCTTGGATGAGTTTGCAATCACCCATCTAAGTTCTTGACAATACCGTTGTGGGTTTTGAAGGGCGTCGTGTCCCAGCACCCAAGGGCTCGGACAGTTCCACTCGCTTTACAGATCAGATCTACGCTTACCTCTATAAGATTTTGCCAACCGACCAAGCGAGCCGAATGCTACAGTCGTCGGTAAGACATTCCGGAAAACTATCAAGTTCATGACTGCTCGAAATCTGTACCCGGAGCGATGGCATCGCTCGCTTTGCTGGCTGTAGCAACACTGTCCACGAAGGTCGCTTTTGTAACTCCTCCGTATGCTTTATGTCACAGTAGTTGGCCATTACCTGGCGACCCAGAGCATTGGGTTAGGAACTCCAGGAAACAGGAATACTAACAAGAGTTGCCTTGCATTAATCCTTTTCGGGCGTCCCCTAACCCTAACGTTGGATTCAATTTGGCGCAATGTCTGGATATCTGTGCTGATAACCCTAACCCTAATCCTACGTCCATGGCGCCGAATATTTATCCTGTCTGATGTCTTTATCATATTGTGATTGCTTTTCGTTGGTTTCTGGTATGAAGCGATACAGGATCGGCTCGCCACACGCCACCGTATGTGTG